CGTTCTGTGCTCGGAAGTACATGACTGCGGTCCAGTAGTTGGAGAAATCCTCGCTAAATTGACATGTAGTGCATGTGGCCGTGTTTGAGATGTCAACTCGGGGGTCCATGGTTACATTGAAAGAATTCTATGTCTCAAAAGTCAGTTCCGGGATCTTCAAGAAGAGGCAAGAACCTACTCCTCCCACAACCTGGTGGAGATGTGGCGATGGAAGTTGGCCAGGATTAACGAGGGGATCAAGGCGGTCAACGACGAGTTGCGAGCATGAGAAACGAAGGATCCCGGCTACCCCACCGTTGGCGAGCAGCAACGCTACTACCGCCAGCACATTCACGAACCGCATCATGGTGAAAAATGGAGTTTGAAAGTGACGAACAGTAAACTCTTATCTGCTTCTAAAACTGACTCTTCGCCGAAAAGGGATCCTCGTCAGACGAACAGGTAGAATTTTCCAAACTTCGGGAGAACCACCCTCTGCCTTTTTATAATTCAAGTTCGCAGTCGGCACCAGAACATCACCCATGTTGAGCTTTCAACCCATTGTTGCAACTTACCCACCTCACCGCATAGCCTTTAGTAGGGTTGTTTTTAGAGTGCTTGTATACGCCGTTGATATATTGATATTTGTTTGACACGACCCTGGGCGAAGTGAGAGCAACCTGGATCCTTTGGGAAATAGCTCGCCCCAAACTCTTCTCGTCTAGGTTCTACTAAAAGAAGTTAAACAAGTTAGATTGCTCGCGCTCAAGAGTTATCGATAGGGGAGTCCAATATATGAACCAGTGTATTGAATACAGTTCTCCATGATATCACGTCGTCATCAATCACTGCGGATGGCTAGTCTCCAATCCGCAGATCTGGGTGGCCCGCTTCCTCATAGGTTGCGAGATAATTAGGCTGTTGGCGGAGATTCTCGCGTTCTCGCGACGCAAAATTCGCCCCTATATCCCCGCTGTCTATCGAAGAACAGGCTAATAATGTCTCCCCAACTTCTCATTTCAAGTCCCCGCCAGACACGTCACTCTGCGTCTTCACTTGGTTATGACTGTGGTTAGAATATCTACCTCGTTTAGTGTTAGTCGAGGCATGGCTTTCGTCGCCTCGAGCTTTGTGCGGTCTCCTTATTTGTGAATTACAACATGCTTCCAATATTCGCCTGTAGGTAGAGGAGGATAGAAGCCCCTGAACAGCAGCTTCCGGCCGCAAAGAACCAACACCATGAATTACTGCGCGCGGTTTATCTCTACTTTATTCAAGTCTTTGGAGGAAAGAAAGAATTTGGGGCCTCATGATCCACCACAAAGTGTCTTCACATTGAAGCCGGTAATTTACGTACGGCTATGACTCCAGGCACACTATACGTACGGGTCCTTGAGTGTATAAAAGTGACTTGAAACCGGCATGCCCACTCCGCCGGTTCTGCTAGTCCCGGAAATAATTAATATCGGACCAAGCCCTTGGGGCTCTAGTTAATTTAAGTGCGTATTCGTACCGAGGAGTGTGCGCGTACTCGTACCGAGGCGTATCCGTACCGGGCATATAAACCCTTTCCTTCCTGCCCATCGGTGACAATGTATCATTCATTTAGTCCACCCAGGATAGGTCCTAACCATTTGTATCTATATGGAAATGCGACGGGAAACTACTTCCAAACTCGTCATTCCCTGCCCCTGAATTTGAGATGGCGACCCGAGCATCGCATACGAAGTCTCGGAACGGCTGTGCAAAGTGTAAACGTCGCCGAATAAAGGTACGGGCATTGACACCACCATGCTGTGTCGCGAGTCAGCATAAAGGCTAGTACGGTGTACTAAGTTAGTGTACCTCAGTGTGACGAAAAACATCCCTCATGCCTCAACTGAACGAGACGCGACATTCCCTGCAGCTTCTCGACTACCTCACCGGCGTCATTTACCGTGGGAAGCATAGCGCGACTGCAGGTGGCCAACAGAATTTCCTGCACTCCGCGAATAGACGTCAACTTTAACAGTCCCGGTTCTTACGGAGACGCACCATCCACTAATAGCTGGAGGCGGGACCCGGAACTGATGCACCACTACTGCACAGCTACAGGCAATATAATAGCTTTCCGCCAGGACATGCTACATGTCTGGAGGGTTATACTCCCCGAGGAGGCCTACAAACACAGCTACATTACGCATGGATTGTTGGCTATTTCGGCCCTTCATAAAGCCCATCTCATCCCTAGTGACCGCAGCACGTACCTTACTTTGGCTGCCCACCACCAATCTCTGGAGTTGGAGGAATATACGCCGCAGATAACAAAGGTATCGGATGAAACCTGGAAGCCCCTGTTTAGTTTTGCTTCTATTCTCATCATATATGCCGCCTTGCTTCCTAAGAGGTCTGGGAGGGGAGAATTGCAATCACCCATATTAGACCTCTTGGATCTTTTCTCATACAGGAGGGGGATTCAAACTGTCTTCGAGCCTTTCTTAATCCAGATTCGACAATCTTGCTTGGCCCCTTTGGCTTACGGAGTGTGGGTCATTCAAACGGAAGAGAACACAAGGTACCATCATTTCCTAAGAGAGGGCTTAGAAGACAGCATAAGGCCGAGCACATCGGGCTAATATGTGTATAGTAACCCGCCGCTACGCCAATCTCCTCTCCCACCAGATATATTTAATTCTCTAAACCGTCTCGACGCTTTTCTCCAGGAAACTTTACCTACGAGTGCCCGTGGGGATTACGCAAACGCCACCGAACTGCTCATCATCTGTACGAAATCAATAGCCCACGCCGGCATCCATGTCGAGCCTGGGATGGTCTTCGTCTGGCCGTACACGGTATCCGATGCCGTCATATCCGATATTCGGTCCCTATACCCACCTGCGCTTTTGCTCTTTGCGTATTACTCTGTGTTGATCGTGACATTGGAACATCGATTCTGGTATCTGGCTCGATGGGGTCGTCAGTTGTTTTCGGATATCGATGCTAGATTAGCGGGTCATGCCGAGCTGAGAGAGATGATGGATTGGCCGAAGGAGAGGATTTCGGGGTAATCGGCGATGTGGGTGATGTGTGAGAGTGTTGAGATAACTAGCCGGCCTTGTCTCGTACATATTGGAGGAATTTTCGCCATTCACTGATCTCCGACCGAATGAGGGCGAATCCAATGCATCTCAGTGCTAACACTTCGGCTTGGATGTAAAATGGACCTCGGGATATAACGGACGAATAGAAGAAAGAAGGCTATATCATCGTCGGCGAATAGGACTAATATATTTCGATACGAAAATATCATCAAATACCCCCCCCCCCCCCCCCTTACAATAAACAACCTAGACAGCTTATTCCTCCTCCCCCGCAAACTTGAACCGGAGGAAGCTTGAGCTAGAGTCAACACTTCGCCATCCCAAAGCAATATCCGTGTATATTAACTCAGAACAGAGGGGAATGTTTCACTCCGCCATTATACAAGATAAGGGCTCCGTATACATCGCGGGGGAAAGTAGAAAACGAGGATACGTGAGTTCACCAGCGAGTATAAAAGTAGCCTTACCAAGTATCACGATCCTCCTGAATCTTTGATTTGGTCCTTCTCATTCAAAAATCGCTTCACTTTGAACCTTAGAAATCTAAACTCACTTCTTTTCTACTTACACAATGCGGCTTATGTCTCTGGCTACGACAACCATTCTTGGGCTCGCATCCCGGGCGCTTGGCCAGAGCTTCTTACCGGACATGATGCGTTTCGGCTGCTCTCAACTTGTAATTGAGCGCGTTGACCCAATTGTTAATCCAGGCCAGGTCTACACTCCTCACGTGCGTTAAATTGTCGGAGACAACTCGTTCAACGTCACCATGGATCCTGTTGAGCACGATTCTGGAGAGCTTTCCACCTGCACGACCTGTACATACTCTGAGGACTTTTCCAACTACTGGACTGCTGTTCTTTATTTTAAGGCACGAAATGGCACTTTCAAGCGTGTACACCAGGAGCCCAACTTCTTCTTAGTGCAGAATGGTGGTATTACAATTTACTACATTCCACCCTATGATGGCCTGACTAAGGTTTCTGCCTTCCCCAAGGTATTGTCTTATATTCAACTGAGGCATGTGTTTGCTGTTGTAACATATGTTAACAGTAAATGAACTCTAGGGCTTTCGGATGCTCGCTGGTGGTCCTCAGCAGTCTGGGCCCGAAGGCATGCAGAGAGGGATCTGCCACCGATGCTTCCCTAGGAACCAGAACCCTCCTGGCGGTGCTTCGTGTACGGGCACAGATACTGTCAGTCATCCTCCGGGCATGTGCTTGGGAGGCATCCGAACAACCATCACGTTCCCTACTTGTTGGGACGGGCAAGAGTACCGACAGCCCTGATCACAAATCCCACATGGCATACCAAATAAGAAAAAGCTTTAATTATTATTAGAAAACTTAAAAGAGAAATATCTATATAAATTATAAGTTTTACTATATATATATCTAAGTTACCTTCTAAGACTCTCTAGTAATTAATTTAAGTATAACTATATCCCTATACTTAAATATATACGTCTCACTAATATCTTATAAATACTACTTAATTACTTTACTTACTTTATAATAAGTACTCTCAATCCTAATACTAGATATACTTATCTGATATACTAAGCCTTAGTGTTAGAATTATAATAGCCTTCTTTAGTTATAATATAACTTTATTTTCGTTGATTAACTATTTTGATATTCTATTTCTATTCCTGTAGGTAGAATTGTAGTAGCTTCTTATAAGAACTATTCTAGACCTATTTAACTAACTGTTTCTTTTATTTTGTTCTTGCGGTGTGCGGGCAGGCTGCATTGCTCCGTCTCAATATCTCTATAGTTATAATAATTTAGTAGTAGTCTTAATATATTTAAAGAGATACTCGAGTATAATTAGCTTAGATAGATCTATATAGAGTCTTTTAAGCTAATTAGAAGTCTGCTTCTAACTTTTATATACTGTTCTTCCCCGTCCTTAGTTCTTATAGTATATAGATATTGTCTATTAGACTCTTCTCTTCAAGTTGCAAATCAGTCCCTCTTGCTGCACAAACCAGATATTCTTCGTCTTCCACTCTGCCTGCGGATCAGTAAGTGTAACTTCAAATCGTCTTAAAAATTCCGGGATCATCTTGGCCATCTCCATGGCCGCAATATGTCTTCCGATACAAGTGCGGGTTCCGGCGCCAAAGGCGAAGAACGATTGATCCATCATCTTCAGCTCGTCCTCGGAGGCGTTGAGCCATCTCTCAGGCTCGAAGCTGTCTGGGCTGGGGAACACCTCAGGATCATGCTGGGTCACCCATGCGTTGATTCCGACAATGGTACCTTCGGGGATGTGCCTGCCGCAGATCACGGCGCCGCCTCGGGGTACATGTCGTTCTAGTAGAAGACCAACTGATGGATGAATTCTGAGGCCCTCCTTAATCACAGCCTGCATGTACGGCAGGTGGTTTGTGGACTCCTTGAAGGATACTGGCTGGCTGAGCTTTCCTTCAGCGGCCGCATCGTCGATTTCCTTGACAACTTTGCGCATCTTGTCTGGGTTCTTGAGCAGGTGATAGAGTACAGCGCGGATGGCAATGGCAGTTGTGTCCGATCCAGCAAACACATTTGTGCTCAGGTGAACGACAAGATCACGTGTTGACATCCTCTCCGGCGACGAAAGCTTGACGGCGTACCACTTGCTGAGCATGTCTCCGCGTTGATCTAGGGCCTCAACGTCAAGCTCTCCACCCTTCTTGAGGCTTGCTCCGGAACCGTCCAGTCCGAGAACGGAATTGACAGCTTTTAAGGTAAATGTAAGCACTTGGTTCCAGTTCTCCATCGATGGCAGGAGATATGGGAGAAGAGGGTTTCCCAGTAGAAAGTTGTGCCAAATCGGAACCTGGCCAACCTGGCTGGCGTATGTCTATTAATCTCTAACGTTAGCCGAGTTCCAAATTGCGTGTGTGCACGGTTGCCGTACCAGGATGCCCTCGATACTCTCAATCATGCTGTCAACATCTTCTCCTCTGTCAAGGAAGCCCAGCTTTTTGGCGAAAGTAATCTCTCCCACGACGTCAAAGGTGTAGAACTGGATCCATTCGCCCAAGTCTACCGGCTCGTTCTCGTCTGCGAACCGGTTCAGCTTATCAAACAGAAGCAAGCTGCAAGCATCCACGGCTGGTTCATTTGTCAGAAGTGTCGTCAGACTGAATGCATTGGCAATCGGTTTCTTCATTTCGCGGTGGTAAGCTTCATCTCGGGTGCCGAAAAGGTTCAGCTGGGGCTTTCCCTTCCAGGTAATGGACTGGATGGGATAAAACGCAGACTAGGAATTTTTGTTCAGCATTTGCTCGCTCGCGGTTGATCCAAAATGTTATCAGGCGTTAGACTTCGCCGCACCTTTGTGTAGCCAGACTTCAGGCCATAAATCTTCTTAATCTCCCGAGGATCTGACACAGACACATGGTTCGGGCCGATGCGAACAAGGGAGCCATATTTTCGATGTAAATTAATTGCCGTCCTGTGCGCCTGACCCTTGCATACGTCCCGCCATCGCCAGAGCGCGGTGTAGCCGGCAAGAGCAGGTCCTGGAATGTCCCAGATGCCTGGGCGAAATTTGTTTCGGAGGAGACTGATAACGGCAGTGGTGCCTATCAGAAGGAGAATTGTAGAGGGTGTAGACAAGATTGAGACAATCTCGACCATGTCGAACTTGTCGGGTAACTCGAACATCGTGACTGATGGCTTTGCTCAGTTCGTTGCAGCTGGTTTTTTTTTTTTTCTTTTTTCTTTTTTTTTTTTTTTTTTTTTTTTTTTTTTTTTCTACGCCCTAACCTGCTCAAAACGACGATGCCTAAGGAGACATACAAATTGACGTGTGGGAGGAAGGCTTCACGTTTCTTTATATGGAAACAGGTTGCGTTCATCCGTTAGACCGGAAACTGGCCTTCGGAAGACGACTGAGTGTCATGATCGACGCCGTTTCCGAAACCTGGGGTGGAATTGCGGGGACCCCAGACTGGGATCCACATCTGTCCCCTAATGAGGCATGGTCCCAACCCCGGAAAATATAATGGGCGGTTCTCCGCAAAGACTGTGACCAACAAATGGGACTTATTTTAAATCGGAAGATCGGAAGGAGGACTCTAGCGGGCCTTTGTATCGGATACAGGTCTCTAGGAGGGTAGAGAATCGGCGGGCGCGACGCGTTAGTCACCGAGACCCGCAAAACAGACTGCAAAGCAGCGGGAAATTCTACACAGCATGATGCACGATCAGAACGGCTGACAAGAGCGGCCCAGAGAAAGAGCGAGAAGGTGAAAATGAGTTTGCGACCAGGCCGTGGTTCACAGGTGACGGAAGTTGCGGCGAGCAACAACGCATCTCTGATACATATGATGCCCCGAACGTTGCTCCAGGAGATGCCAGTCCATCTCATGAGTGAGCGAACAGAAGCAGATGCAGGAGAGGCTGTGGGACGCGTTGATGGAGAACCAGCGAAACGGCGACTAAGATGAATGAAGACGCAGGTCGCCGAGGAGCTGAAGAAGGTAGAAGAGCTTAGACATGGAGAACGCATGAGAGATCTAGACGCACTACGGGCAGATCTGACCGGAGCGACCGTGCGGTCACCGCATATTTGCTTTGCTTGCGAAGCTTACACTCGCAAGCCTGAGCACATCGACTCCGGTCGATCATTTGTTGTTGGCATTGTTCCCACGAGGGCCCGCGGGCTGAGTCCATAACTTGTCAGATGATTGCGGAGAAGATTCGGCTTTTCGGTGTTGCGTTGATGATTCGCGCATTGCCATGACGTGTTATGGCATTACGAAATTCTTGAGAAAGGAGTTGGAACGTTCATCGGGATCTCGTCCCTTGTTTCGGATGCAGGGATAGGAGGCCCGGGTACAGGGTCAACTAGATCCTACCATCCAAGCGTGACAGGCATCAACTTTTCAAGCGTGCTTTGGTCTCGCTAAAGTAAGTGCCGAACTCTTTCCCCACAACCACCCCATGTTGTCCCTGACTTCTGAACGCCTTCCCCGCACAAAATGCTCCACTCACTGGCGGCTCGAGCGCTTAGTCTGGTTTGAGTAAATTTTCGACCAAAGTGTATTGAGCGTAGATACAATTGTAATTGAAACAGGACTGCCCCTTCTGACAAGCACGAGATTGAGACCAGCAAGTCGGGCTAAATTCCTAGGGGCTAGGGCTTAGGAGCCACTTCCCCCGTGGCATAACAGTTCTCTCTCGCTTCAGGAATGTGTGCCTGTGAAAGGAAGACTTTAAGGCAGATAGTGTCTTTTTCATGGTCAGCTATACGTGTGGTCCGAGATGGGAACGTCGGGGACACTGTGCTGCTGCCAACTTTGGGGCGAGCGCAATTGCCCAGCGATATTGGGAGGACACACCCGCCCTTTAGGGTCTCTGAACATAGCAGTTGGGGACTCAGCGAGCAAGATAAATTCCTGACGAGCTTGGGAGAGCAACTACAGGACGGTGACTATTTTCCCAGCTGTGACAATTTCCTAACACCTGTCCAGGCGGCTCTCTAATAACTGCACCCTTCATAGACCGAACTTCTACGTTCTGCAATATTTGAGCCACTTTAGAACTGTCCCATTCTAACATTCATCTATAAATTCATATTACAACAAAAGACTCTGTAGTAGAACTATCATTACTAGAAGTTACAATAGCCGTTCTACTAGTTGTAAGAAGTGCTAATATATAGTCTAGTATTTTTAAGTATAAGAAGTAAATTAATTAACTTCCTCTCTTCTATGTAGGAGGAATTCTTTTATAACTCTTTTATATAAAGTTCTATTCTTAATAAAACTAGTATTACTGGTTTTTATTTATACTTAGTTAGTTTTACTAGCTAAGAACTAGTTAGTAGCTCAGCTCATCCATCATTTCTCATCCCCTTTCCTAACCTTGGCCGTCACCATCAACGGGCCCTTAAGGTCACTCACGCCCACACTAATCATCTCGGGCAGCCTGCCACGGAATCCACCGCTGGCCGCTTCATCCCTTTCCGCCGGGTCGGCAATCTGAAAGTCGAACTCGTGCAGCAGGGTGCTGGTCAGCTTGTAGATGTTCGTCTGTGCTACCGTCTTGCCGAGGCATTGGCGGCTCCCAAGGCCAAAATGCATCAAGTAGCGGGCACGATCTGCGGTTTCCCGGACATTCCAGCGTGAGGGGTCGAAGATGTTGTGTTCATCGCCCCAAACTCGGGGATTATGGTGGAAAGCGTGATTGCAAACCGCAATTGACATCTGGAATATGACAATGTCAACATGTAGGCTGCTTACTGAGGGAGCATGGTTTTTTTTGGGATGGGGGGGGGGGGGGGGGGGGGAGATGGAAAGTAGGAAAGAAGGGAGGAAAACGCACGCCCTGTTTGATGTGGCGGCCAGCTACCAAGATACCTTCCGGATCCGTGACTCGTCTTTCCAACGGCATACTGAACACGGGAGTTAATCGAAAGTTTTCCCTGACACACGCGCGAAGGTACGGTAGCGAGTTCTCAGCTTCCGTCACCGAATAGGCCGCTTTGTCAGCTTCCAAGGGTGGTAATTTATCATCGATTTCCTGAACACAGTTCTGCAGAATATCCGGGTTGTGCAGTAGATTGTAAAAGAGCAGCGTCGCTGTTGCGCTGGTCGTATGAGTTCCGGCGATGCTGCAATAAGGCCAAAAAGGGTTGATTAGAATGTCTCGTGTTATGCAAATACCAACCATATGGATCCAGATTCCAGAAACTCACATAAACCCAAAGGCTTCGGCCTCAAGGTCAATCTTTGCAATGTGCTCACCAGTGTCTGGATGTTTTGCTAGGATAAGACTCGTCAAAATGTCCTTCCTCTGAGCTCCGTCTTTCTTGCCTTTTCGTACTTCGTCGAGCCGCCGCTCTACGCACTCCGAGGCAAGCTGCACGCACTCTGCCCGGCCCTTGAAAAGGTCCTGCAGTCCCCTATGCGGTATAAGCGGGAGCCATTTCCTGAGCGTATGTGTCATGGCCGGCCAGGCCCCCGTTACTGAGCCGAGGAGCGTGTGAGGGACGACGCGGGGAACGAGGACGTCGTCGGAGACCTGGACGCCAAAGGAGCGACCAAAAGCCAATTCACCTAGGACGTCAATGGTATAGTGATGGAGAAGCTTCTTCAGGTCAAAGATCTTTTCCTCTTTGGCATAGCCAGCAATCTTGTTGCGTAGAATCCTAATGTTCGCGTCCAAGTACTGCTCCATGCCCTTGACGCTGGTAAGGGAGAAGCTATGCGACATGTGACGTCGCCGGATGGAATGAAGCTACAAACAATGATAGTGAGTGGTGAGTGAATGCAGCTGTTCATGTAGCAAAGAATGAGCAGTATCTCTCCCTCCCCCCCTCTCCTACATTTTTCCCCATATGACTTACATCAACAGATCGCATGCCGAAGACATTGGCAGTTTTGCCGCCGAACGCATCATAAAACTCCGTCTTGGGCATGCGGCGTCCGCCCTTTTGATAAACCAAAGCCACGGCCTCCTCGGCGGTGATACTCAACTTGTCCGGCCCGTAGCGCACAAACTCGCCGTATATATCATGGAGGTCCGTCAGGTTGTACGGTTGCTTGAGCGAGAGATACTGCCCAACTTGCCACAGGTCTGTGATGGATGCCAAGAAGGGACCCGGGTAGCCCGCTAGAGGATGGAAGTACCTTTGGTAGATGACGTAGACTGAACATGCTGCGACTGCCAACCCGACGGCCAGGACGACCAAGGGTGCAGGGCCGTCGATAACTTGGAGCAATAGAGAAGGCATTGTGTTGAGAACTTGAGATAGGAGCACGACGAGAAGAGAGTCATGGGGTTGCAAAGTGAAGGGCAGGGGGGAGGTTGAGAATATTACTCCGTAGTTGCCAGCGTTCGTTTATCACTAATCCGAACTGGGCGATTCTCCCCGCACCCCCAATTCCGGCAGCAATCCCTCAGTCCCAGCTCCGGGTTTCTCGTGTCCGGTAAGAAAGAACATTGAAGCTAGGCATTCTCGGGGTCTGGCCTCTCGACCCCACATTTTAAAACTCAAACTCTGAGCAACGAGCACTTGGCCTGGCCCCACACTCCCAAGTCCCAACCCCACTTGGTCCTTTTGCTCATTGTTTTGGGAAACACAGCCGCGGGAAAGTGGGACGTGGGGTTCTAGGAGGGAAGGATGCCATGCGCGCCGCATCGACGACTTCTCCGCATCCTGTTAATCTCGGACAAGGTGGGCGAATAATGCCGAAGAAGTCGAGCAGCCAAAGTATAAAACACCCAGTAAATAGATGATCAGCCATGTCAGACCTTGTCATGGGTTAACATTGCTCACGCTCTCTTCCATTTGCGCTGTGCACGATCTGCTCCGAAAAGGACTTGGGGCAGATTATGTATACCTACGCTCAAGATGAAAACGGTGTCTCAGCAGTGCCACAGGCAAGCCTCCGGAATTGGGTGACTGTAGGAGACCTTGGGCGCCTCTTGGCTGTTGAAGGCCCGGGGTTCCGCCAAGGCCATCGCAACCTCGACGCATCGTTTTATATATGCCTCGTCACTGAAGATTTTATTGTCGCTGAGTCGAGATATTGGCGGGGATGTGGCGACGAAGTGAAGAGACGAAAGCGTATACAGGAGCTATGCCTGCATGCTGGAACTGCCTGTGAAATCGCAGTGTGGGTCCAGGACTATCCCCCCACATTCCACACGGACGTGGTGGACCGAACCCACCCCAGCCCGGACAGGAGGGATACCTAGGCGTATGGCCTATTCAGAGTGCGTGGCATTGCATTGCCTCGCTGGCAGTGGATCATAGTCCCAGACAAGTTGAGTAGAGAAAGAGACAAAGCCAGTGTGGGCCAGGACTCTAGGCTATGGAAGCCGAGAGCAGGCAGAAGGAACCTATCATTCCAACTTCATTTCGCCACTACTACGTGTTGTCAATGTATTTGATCTACGATATGGACGCTTCAGACAGCACGATTGCCGCGGTGAACACCGCGAGCCCGTGACTGACCCTCAGAAGGTCTTTCACTACACAGACCTTGTGAGGACCAAGCCTACTCCCGAGAACGATCCATATGATTACCAGGCCAGCTAGGACAACGGGCACCAATCCGAGGGTATTACCAGGGCCCCGCCTGCCCGTCAGAATAACCCATAGACACAGTGGCTTTGGCTTATACACGGAGGGAATCGCCTATTCAGCCCTGCCGCTTCTCAAGACTACGCTGAGATCCAGACCAGGTTTCGCATCGAGAACTGTTTCCTCTCCTTGAATCCCATGGTAGAAGCTATCTCGGAGCAGGCCGGATGGTCTCACTTCTCTCTCCCTGCAGACGGCCAGAGCATTGACTTCATAGATAGCCTTCACACCCTTGGCGGCACTGGTGATCCAAACCTCCGCCAGAGGATCGCCGCCTATGGCCACATAATAAATGCCTCCATGGAAAACAGGGAGGTCACAGCCTTGCTAGCCCGCCCGGCTTTTCGTTCGCAGTCGCCCACATCGATGAGGGCCTCCATGTGCTCTTTAATATTGTAATCAAGAGCAACGGGAAGTACGTGGCTATCAAGCAAGGCCACGGCCCACTTGACGTGGTCGCACGGCACGGCAACTATGTACCATACAACATACAAGGTGAGCCGTCCATAAACCCCCCTTACCTTCGATTATGTTGACTGGCTAGGCACTACTTACCATAAGAAATAAAATAATAAAATTATTACGACTTGGCCAAGTTCGTGGAGTGGAACAGGAGCGCTGTCGACCATATTGACCGCAGTGGTTCCTCCTCATACGAACGGGCACGCCAATGATACAATACAGGCAGGATGGCAAGGAAACGATGGTGAGGTTTGTCAAGCTATCGGATGATAACTGAGGTAGGAGGGGGTAAAAAGAAAAAAAAAAAAAAAAAAAAAAAAAAAAAAAGTGTTCCTGCCACCGGGGAATTTGAGGCACTTGCGCCTTCCGTCGATCCCCGCCGCTCCCTTAACTTATCTTCGACCGCCTTTCTTTCTCTCGACCTACACCGGACGCGGTCTTTCTCTTTCACGTTTGAAAAAGAACAGAAGATAGCTACTTTTAAAACAGCTCTTTTTAGTACACTGACAAGTACAAGCGGCCATCAGATACAGTCCGGCTGATCCTCTATATCAAGCAACGAATCACTCATGATTCTCAAAATACGGCATAGGGGTTTCGCGTCCCACTTCCCCACCTCTTCCAGTAAGCTAGCAAATTCAAGAAGGATCATTTTGGCCGCATTGTACCCGCCCTCACAGATGACTCCCGAAAAGCTAACTACGCCCCCTTCCCTTACCCAACGCCTCGCAGCGTTCTCCTGGCCATCATCGGCAGCTATCGAAGGTGAGAACGATGATGACGCGCTCCCATCGCCGCCCAACCCAGGCCAATCCGCTTCGTTTAGAAACTCGTAAGGCTCCACATCCGTTCCCGCGCCGAGTTGATGGCTTAGATCATCGTCATGGCTCGAGCCCATCATAAACACATAGAGCCCTAGTACCAAGGCCGCCGCGAAGATGGAAACCTCAGAGTGAAACATGGTTCCGTCGTTGATGCGGCGGCGATTCATGGCGGTGTAGATGCCCGCGGCATGGAGGCAAGCCCGACGTGCATACCAGGTATGACTCCACGCGGCGATGTTCCTCAATGCTTCGTGAGCACTGTCTGCTCCATTTCGGCCGGCAGCGAGCTCGAAGACTTGGAGGTTGGAGAAGAGATTGAGGTTTAGGAAGTGCCACATCGTGATGCAGTTGGGGTTCTTGAGCCCGAGGAAACGAGCGTAGGCCCTGTATATGTCATCTAACATACGTGACAGCACATTCCCGGACTCTTCTAAGGCAAATACTATTTGCGGTGCATTGGAGATTCTGTGGTCTACTTTGGCTGCGTGATGGTGGACTTCGAGGATTCGGATCCAGATAATAGAGAGCAGGCCGATGATGCCTGTCGGCGAGACATTCTGCGATTCTGACAGGCGCACTGAGGGTTCATGCATCTGGATCAAGATAGATCCGGACACGATACTGGAGCCATCTTCGACGAGCCGCTTCCACGACCTGGCTGAGGAAGACTGGAATAGCTCAGCAGAGCATGGATGCTCGAATTGAATTGTACGGGTACGGATGAGCGGCGCCTCGCCTAGGCTATACGACCACCAAGCATCAGTAGCGATCATAGTAGCAATGAGCCTAAGAGCGACGTAGAATCAGTCAGTAAAAGGAAGGCCTGTTCCTGGAAACGCAATCCGAAGGTGATCACACCGTTTAAGGCTCTCAGTTCGCGCCCAAGCCTTCCACAGAGCGTCGTCGCTCTGGCGCTGACTTTGAGCCTCGCCTTGCGTTCTGAGTCGATCTAGGAGATCTTCTATACTAGGTGAAGCTGAGCGCATGGCGAATAGCCCTGAGAGTTGAGCAAGCTGAGAAACAGGGTTATTAGTATCTCCTGCGTGCTATCAATGATTTCTTGTTAGCCATCAATTTCTTACCGACAATGTCTGATTGTACAGCATCCGCGCCAGCATCTCATCTTGAGAGCCCTGTAAAAAGTCCAATGTCAGTACGACTCATGACCGCCGGAAAAGGGGTAATGTAAGAGAGAACAGTACACGAGCCAGGCAGATCCTCCAAGCGGTCAGGAGTAGCGTCGCAGATGTGAGGCGAGAGATAAGCGTCGCAGAGCTCCCTGGTCCGAAGCACGGCGTGGCTAACTGGTGACAGCATTTCTCGGTGGCGCCCTGCGAGGACGATTCTCTCAAAGTTATTACCATCTGTGATATGAAGGGGGTGAGATAGACAAGGCGACGTACTGGCAAGTAGCTGAATGCGAGTGCTTTGACTTGTTTTGAGTCGAGAAGCGCGAGCCCGAGGAGGCATAATGATAAGACGACCAGATTCGGCGTCGACTTTGCCGAAAATGTAGGTTGATGTATAAAAGGGAGCAGGGAATTGGGCTGCCTAAAAACAAGGTCCAGGCCGAGGTTTAGTAGTCGCGTGGGCGGAAAATCAGGGGAATTATTGCTACCATTGAGAGATAGAAGGTCCGACCCGAGCTCGTGGATAAGCTCCTGGCGCTTATCCTCATCCAGGCCCCATTTCGATTCGTTCTCCTTACCGATTGAAGGAACTGGCGAAGATCGCGCGATGGAAGTATCCGCCAAAATGTTATCGCCCTTGTACTCTACCACTTCAGCCCATATATTAGTTGCTTCGTGACCCGCTGTAGACCCCCTCTTGTTTGGCCACAGCCCCGCAACACGAGCGAAACGCTCAAGGGGAATACAGCTCGCCCGTTCCTTGCTAGATATCTGAGAGCTTATCACGCTGGACGCAAGGCCGCTTTCAGTACTAAAGTTTATAAAATTCGGCGAGTTGATGTTGTTGTCGAACGAGTCGAATATATCCTGGCAGAGGTGGAGATTACTGGGATAGGAGTTGCCTAATAACTAAGTTAGCTGCTGGGGAGCGTCAAGCTCGGGACCACAGATGGGTGGGGAGATGCGCTTACCTATTATGAAGGAAGCCGGTACAAGATTGCCACCAGTAGTAAACAAAGGTTCATGTGGCCGGAAACCAGTGTTGCTACTGGTGATGTCTCTTGGTGCCGTCGTCAGGTCAGGGGCTACGAAGTCCTGTGTTGCCGTAGGTTCTGGTGCCGTATGAGGGTGGTTCGGGTGAGTTACTTGGAGTAAAGGGCGCAGTGCTGCATTTACGGATCCGTTTAGTCCTTCCTTGCGAGCCTGCAGCATTGATGCGGCAACTAACCCATCGAGGTCGGTGGTGCCCATTTGGCCAGCCGCCGCCGGTGGGTCTTCCAGGTGGAGGCTGTGGACCGGCATAGTTTCCTGGGCTGGTGATGTATCATCCTCGCTATCATCGACGTCAATCTCGCTCTCGTCGCCAGGGCTGCTGTTGCTGGGATATTGGCCACCGCGTAGAGAGTTCGGGCTGTTTTCGACAGCGATCCGCTGGTTGTTTCGCCCTTCATTTGCCGCGTTATCCTGGCCATGGAAGACCTTGACGTGTCGTAGCAACACGTCGCTAACTCCAACCCTGATTAGTGAAAACGTAGTTACGTATGGCATCACGGAATGACAATGACCAACCTCCGTGCGTACCGGCGGCCGCACTTGCGACAGTGATACGGCTTCTCTCCCGTGTCTGTGGTGCGTCAGCTCAGGCTCTCTACGGGCTATCCAGCTAACCTTCCCTGGGTGAGCCTCACGAGAACGTTCGTGGCGAACGAGGTGTTCAGTCTTGAAGAACGTCTTATTGCAATATGTGCAGTTTTTCATTCTGGCAATGTAGGCTGGCCCGGTGGGCGGTGGGAACTTAGGAAATAAAGGCGGGCAGTTCTTTACTGTCGTTGGAACGAAAACTCGGATTGGTTCTGGGTGGTTCAGGGAGGGAGTAATTACAAGCTTTCTGAGTGGTGAATGGCTCACAGCTGGATTTGCTGGATTAATCCTCTTAGTTTGGTAAATAGTGAATGCCGGGGTAGCATAACCGCGGGACTAGAATGCAGCAGCTCTCGAATGCGGGGGCAGGGGCGTGCTGACAGTTGGCACCAACATCCATTCGGTGTGTTCGCTTTGCCCACGGAACCACGCCAGACTTTCTTCGGCACCGGCTTCGCATGCCCAGGGATGGGCAGGTCCCTTGGCAAGATGAGGACGAGTTCGCGTGCTTCAATCTCGATATCACCATGCCTTCACCTGTAGCTATACCGCTCTCCAGACCGCCTTATCCTGTTCTTAGATATATTCGTAAGGTAATATTGTGTATGAAAGTTTAATGCGGACCCCTCGAGGTACTTGTTGCTGACATAGACATTCTGGTCGGCTCTTTTACGAAACGGGATCGAGAGGTGCACACCAGAATTTATCTACAATGCATTCGACTTTGCCTCAGAAGCAGCCGCCTGCTTAAAGAAACAATACCGGCATCGTTCCAGACGAGCCTGTCTCGTGCAAATTGGGAGCCTTGGACCCGCTAAATGACGCTCAGTTCAGCTTACCAATAGATAGGTTTCTTGCACGACCCAAACAAGCTAACAGGCTGGCATTTCGCTTCCTCTTCGACCAGCCTAATCCAGGGCAATTCATCAAGCCGAGCTCACCACGGGGTTTACTTTATCTATCGGTGGATTTGACATGTCCCACAATCAGGCAGCACAGCACGTCTCTCGCGTGACGCAGGAGAAATGGATCCAGGTTGTGGGCGGAGAAATACCGTGCAGTCCGGGACAGCCGTTGGGTTCGGGCCATTCCAAGGGTGTCGAGCTCTAGACCATTACGGGTTAGCAGTTCGAAGAAGACAACAGCATAATTATGGCCTCTTTAGTTGCCGCTGGCTTGTAATTGTTAAGGTTACTCCTAGCAACTGGGAGGTCAAGCCTTTCAAATTAAGTATTATATTCCCAGCGGATATATCCTGGAACTTATTCATATTCAAGTCCTTAGGGTTACTCTTCTATGTCGCTATCACTCATTCGTTGTCCCGGCGCTGTCTCGTAAGGAAACAACTAACATTATGCAGATCGAAGCAAAATGAGCATGTCTTCAAAATATGCTCAAGCATTTTGGTTCCTACACGCCGTGCCACATCTTCACGGACCCAGAGATGTGCCTCCCGCTTGCCTTCCCATCGATGGTGGGACGAGCAGATACTAACACCCACCAACGATGCAAATCAGCAAAGACAATGGTTTTGATATCGAAACAATTAGGGACCACTTGACAGCTTCTCATAGCTTTGCTTTGCCCGACTCGATTCGAGACCAGGCAGCCGAGTCAATCCTGTCAAACCGATCACCATTAAGCCAGTAAATACTGTCTTTCTGGTTTTCGGCAGCGGGATCCCAAGGCAGGGATTTCAAGACCGTATTTGATTGTTTGAATGTGGCCGTCGTCTCGATTCTTTATATCAAGTCGTGAGTATCAAGCTATATTAAGGCACAATATCATTTTGGGGGCCGGTATTCTTACACAGGACGGAAGCGGATGAGCTTAGGCATTTGGTAAAGTGTTAAGCCGCGAGATCGAAGTCGGTCGTAGAGCTTCTCGACAAACTTCGACTCCTGCGAAGGATCGACCAACGTGATGGCAGCTGCTCCCGCCTGGCCGTCGTACCTGAAGCAAGCATAGAGCCGATGTGTTAGCAATGGCGGAAGGCAATCCCCCCCGGGGGCACATTGAAAAGGATTTGATAGGCTCAATACTTACCCGGAAAGCTTCACAGCGTAGACGGAGCAGTCTTTCACATTGGGGAGCTTTCCAATGTGCTCGCGCACTTCGCTCGCGCTGACGTTCTCCCCCCGCCACCTAAACGTATCGCCAAATCGGTCGAGAAAACGCACCCATCCAGTACTATGACGGACAAGCAGGTCCCCAGTCCGTTGGAAAAGATCACCTTTCTCGAATACATCGGAAATTAGCTTCAGTTTGGTGGCGCTAGGGTCATTGTGGTATTCGTTATAAAACTCCATAGACCTCACACGGCCAATAGCCTCACCGGGCTCGTCTGCTTTAGCCGGTACACAGAACCCCGTCCGGGGATCTCGGTAGATGGACTCGGTGGCGGGATCGAATTTAACCAAGAAGACGTCGTCTTCGGCGTAGAGCTTAATGGGGCCGGCGAAGCCGACCATTCCGACACCCTCCATAGAACGTGAGTAATTGTCAAACTTGGCGATGCCTTCGGTGGAACGGTAGACCTCCCGGATCTCTGGAATGCCGAAACGGGCCGTAAAGTTTAGCCAGACGTCTCGGTGAAGGCCGTTTCCCAATGCTACGATGCACTTGTGTGCTCGGTCATTCGGAGACGGGGGAGCGGCGATAAGGTATCTGCAGAGTTCTCCTACATAGAGCATGCGTGTAGCTCTGCTCTCAAGGAGCTGGGTGGAGAATCGCGAAGCCGAGAACCTGCGCGCCAGGCAGAAGGTCCCCGAGAGGCCTGTGCTGTAGTAGAGGCCAACGAAGAGGCCGGTTGCATGAAAGAGGGGCAGGCAGGAATAGGTGCGGAGAGGCAGGTAGGTTCGCGCATGTTTCACGTCGATCGTGGAGGGAGTTGACACCAGGACAAGCAAGAAGTTTTTCACCGCCACGGCCTTTGGCTTGCCGCTGGTACCAGAGGTATAGATCAACGCACCAACGTCCTGGAGGAGACGCTTGGTCGGCGGTGCCACCGGATCAGCCGTGATGTCCGCGAGGTCCTCATATCGCAACTGGGAAATTCCGGAGCCGGCACAGGCCTCCGCTGAGAGTCGCAATGGGGGATACGAGGACAGTGACAATGAGAATGTGGGGGGCGTCTGGCTAACATCGCTCAGCTCCGCAATGACTGGAGCAAGATCCGGAGTGCAAACTAGGATCTTCGGATTCGCAATGTCCAGGCAGTGCTGGAGTGTCTCTTCTGCAAGTCAGATGATTCAGCGAATGTGTCGGTACAGACGGACGCCAAGAAGGCCCCACATTCATATTAACGTGTGGATGAAGAACGCGTCAAAGTGGGAGAATGGGGGACAGCATGCGGAGAAATGCCGAACAGGGAGGGAGCGGATGGGGCCAGCCCCTCGATGCGGGGTGCATGCCTAGTGGGCGGGGTGCATGCCTAGTGGGCGGGGGACTGATAGAGAGCTAACTTACTTTGGAGCGCAGTGTTAATGAGCGCCGGCACTGCGCCGAGCTTAGAAACGGCCGCTTGAGCGAAGACCATTTCGGGAGAGTTTGTAGCAAGTATTGCCACCACGTCTCCACTCGCTACGCCTCGATGTTGTAACGCAGCTGCCAGCTTGCTAGATTCTATCGATGCTGTGAGCCCTTCCCGTAATCTAGAGGGTTGAGGCACAGCTTGCTCAGCTCACCAAGAATAGCTTCGGCGTACGTCCACCGGCGGCCCTCAAACCAGAGAGCTTCCGCCTGTGGGTCTGCCAGCTGTAACATGTGGTAGAGGGAAAAATCGTCGCCTAAGGCTTGGATTCGCTCGGTGAGTCGTTTTCTGAACGCCTTCTCATTTAAGAGCTGATTGATATCATACGAAATTCCGTAGCGATTATTTGCGTACAGGGCGCTGAGAAGAGTCGCTGTGGTAGCCAAGACGGCAATTGCAGCTTTCTTCGCTGGAGTCTGAATGGGTAGTCTGGGAGGCATTCTTTCTGCTTTCTGCTAATGGTACGGGATGGTGTTGAGCTGTGACAGGGTTGAGAAGCTGCATTCAGGACGATTGGATCAAATTATATGATAGCAGGTTCGGCAGGTTTCCAGGCCCGAATTCCAGGCCGTCAAGAATCTATGTGGGGCTACCAAAACACTTGGCTTGGCAGTATCAACCCGGCGCCTGGGCTTGACTGACCGAGCAGCCGCGTTATGCCTTAGTTGGTCACCGTCAAGGACCGTCATGTGGCTCAACGATGACCTAAGTCCTCTCATCTTGCCATTCGCCGCCCCCTAGATTTCTCATCGTGTCTTCTCCGGAGCCCCCATAGGGTCCGGACTTCAATTGCGGCCAAAGAAAACCTGCATCCGTACCTGCATCCGCAAGGCCTGTTGTGTTTGTCAACCAGCGCAAAGTTAAATGCAACGTTGCTAGTATTTGTAGTGCTTGCTCGAACCGCGTACGCGACGAGGGGACCTGCGTCATCCCCGAGACGGCCTGCGGAAGGTAATGAGCCCTGCCCCTTAGCTCTACTGTCAGCAAGCTTACAGAGTGCTACAGGATCGTAGACGGTCACGACGCCTGGCCTGTTTGTGAGGTCGCAGCTGCTTCCTTGTCTAGTTAACAAGGTCAGAAATTGACTTTAACGAAAATCTGGAAACATTAATATAACAAAGCCACGGACGGTCGTTGATCCGACCGACATTGACATCGAGGGCGCTGCTCTACAGCCCAAGGCCAGAGCTGGGGTGGTACTATGTCTTCTACGCTCCACAGCCCCTGTGTGGACCAGGGGCCGCCTGGCGAGCGAGCCGAATGCACGTGTCCGCGCAGTTGTCCGCGCAGTGTTAAGGACCCGCGGGACCTAGATGCCACCACTCCCTGGCACCCGCCCCGGCAAAATGATCGCACGTTTACAACCACCGTGCCATATTATACGTATCCATTCATCACTGTGTCCAACCTCCACAGACTGCCACCGGAGGACGTCAACTATCTGGACCTCAAACAATGCCTCCGAGTCCCCTCGCGCGTCTATCTCGATGAGTTTCTGCAACAGTATTTTCGTTATGTCCATCCGTTCCTTCCGCTTATAGACGAGGCGTTCTTTTGGAAAATGTATCATGGCGCCGAAGAGGCGGATGACTGCCTAACCCCCGGATTTCCGCTCCTCGTGCTTCAGGGAATGCTCCTTGCCGCTTGTAGTTTCGTTGGTCCGAGAACGCTTGAAAAGCTAGGCTACGTCTCTGCTCGGGATGCTCGGCGGGCCATGTACGGCCGAGCCAAGACATTGTATAACTTCGAAACGGAACACTCACGGCTTCACATCGCCCAGGCTGCGATCTTACTCTCATACTGGACACCGCCGTTTGAAGAAGCTGCGAGCAAACCAAACGCAGCCTGGCTACGGATTGCCATCGAAAACGCCAAATCTGTTCAAGCCCATCAGTGGAACTTTGGATTAGCACCAAAGACGAACCCCACCAAGATCCTTGAGCAGATCTCCCTGAAGAGGCTGTGGGGCTGCTGCATTGTTCGCGATTGCATCTCGGCCATTGCATTGAGACGATCTTGCCAGATCGGAGGACCAGAATTGTATACGAACGTCAGGTTCTCATTGGCCTTCGAAGACTTGGAGCATGAGATACATGAATCGAGGGTATATGATTCTCAGACGAAAAGGCATCTAATCATAACCTTCTTGGGTTTTGCTGAGATGTGCATGTACCTGACGGACGTATCTAAGCTGCTCTTCCCCCACCAAGCAGGTCTGTCAGACGAAATGAAACAATACGGGCTGGTCGAAAGGACCACTAGGATATTGGAATGCAAAACAACCTTGGATCGGTGGCACAGCAACACGGCGCAGAAACTGGATAACTGCCAAGGAGCCGGCACTGGTGGCTCTAAGACAGACGGAACGGAGCTAATCCACCCATCGGTGATACTCTTTACGACTCTACAGCACATTTACTACTAGTATGTCCGAAATCCCACTGGACGACCGCTATGAAGCTGACTCTGTCGAACCAATGCTCACAGCTCGGCAAAGATTGCGTTAGCAAATCGGCAGATGCTATTGTACTATGACCCGCCCATCGTCACAGCCCAGGACGTGCTGGTATTCCATGAAGAGGTACAAAAAGCGACTGCTGCCATCGGCAGGTGCCTGTTGACCCTGATGGAACTTCAATTAGCCCGCTTCCTCCCCATTAGCGTGTAAGTCTTGTGTGCGACCCCTCGCCCCGACGTGAGAGAGGCGACTGAAACCAAAGTACTGTAGCATTCCGTGCATCGCGTTTCCACTCGCTTTGCAGGCGGTCAACTATAAGATGAGGAAGCTTTCGTTGAATCCTAGCGCATATATTTTCACGAAGGTTATGAAAATCTATGACCCTCTTTACGATGGGGTTGAGGGCCTTATGGAGACGATCCGAGTAATCCTTCGCCAAAACCAGCTCGTTCAGCACATTGAGTCTAATTTTCCGCCGACTTCTATATATATGCAAACACATACTACTTGCTGGATGGACATCACGGATTTCCACGCTGTTTGTTACATGAGACTGGCCCTCTCAGTGGATCTTAGTCTCAGCGCGGGTCATTTGCCAGGCGAGCAGGACTTTCCGAGAATGCTGCAAGGACAGCTCACCGATGACGACGCAGACGGCCCTAGACCGGGAGCCGCCACGCCCGAGGCACTTGCACCTTTGAGCGTAGCGGGCTCATCCCAGGCCAACTCATGTGTCCACACTGACGACGACACTGGAGTGGGGCCAGATGTCGGAATGCAGAGTGACTTGGCCCAGATACATATACGAGCATTTGAAGGAGGCGTTGCGATAGACGACTTTATGGCTCTTGACAAAACTCTAGCGCTAGAGAAGGGACAAGAGATGAAGATGGGTATACGGGGATTCTCGGGCCTTCCCGCAGATACGCCTGATTACCAGGATTGGAAAAACGAGCTGTGCATAAACCCGGCTCTGCTCTTATTTAACGGGCATGAATCGTAGGAGAATCCCTGCTCCTAGATGGGGCCGGTTGGGAGGACAACTCGTGACTTTCGGGATAGCGGCGGAGACTAGAGTCAGGTGTGCCACGGGCCAACTTAATGTAGGCCCAGAGCGGTGACATGGTTCAACAATATTTCTGGGGGATCCGCTGGGCTCAAAGAGAAAAAAGGAACCAAGAGACCAAGGTTTCGTTCTCCGTTGAAACTTCTCGCCGGAGTCCAATTCGACCGATGCCAGGCAGCGCACCCCACCTTCACGGTGATCCCAAGGCTTCCCCGCCCGCGGAGTTAGGAAGTACGCGGAATTGTTCCAAGCCAATGAAGGTCCTGGTTCATCGCTGAGGACGGGGGTCAAAATGGGCAAGTGGGGACTCGTGAGGACTTGGGGAGTGGTGGTTGTAAATACGGAGTCCCAATTCTCCTTTTACACTCAACAGTTGATAAAGAACGCTTTAAGCGGCACTAATACCACGGAATTCTATTTACCTAACCGTATTATAAAGGCCCAAAGCTGGTCGAAAGCATGCCTTGGAATAGACAAACAATCCCGAGAACTGCCGAGTCTTAGAAGGCAACCTCACCCACCTGTCGAGCTCGAGCTCAGAAAACTTCCGTCGTGGGGCAGGTGGGGGCACTATCCAGCCACGCATCCCAAGCCCACGTAGGAGTGCTCCCACCCACACAAAAAAAAACCCACCCATAGCCAAAACAAAGAAAGGAGTGGAGAGCGCATTACAGGACGAGAGGAGAAACGAAAGTTTCGTTCCTTGCTAAAGTACAAAGTAGGTGTAGGGGTTTTCCCCCCACCCCCCAACCTACAAAGAACGTTGAGTAGTTACTTTCAATCTAAGTCCCACAAATTCACATCCTGGCAGGTCCCTACAGTAATGATATTTATATTTCTTCTTAATAGTTTTCTCTATTATTTTGGGACCACCTTTACTAGTGTATTGCTCTTTTACTACTGATGTTCTTGCCCGGATTGGCCCACTTGTGACTGAGCCAACTGACAGTAAAAGAGTTGATGTTCCAAGTGTCGCGGCTAACGGCCCGCGGCCCTTGACCGAAAGTAGTCTTATAAGGCATAGCCACTACGCTCGGCCATCCTTCCCTTGGGTGGTGGGCTTTTCGTCTAGGTGGGGAGCAGCTCCTACCGGGGCTACGTGGCACGGCTAATACGTGCTGGTTCTCTTCTCGATCAAGTGGACCCCGGACGGCAGCGAGCAGTTGCCCTGCAAGTGGGGATCTAGTGTATCAACCCAGTATTTGCTCTAGATTCTGGGAGTCGGACATCCCATCTCAAGGCTCTTGTTCCAGACTTTTACCCCGCATTTCCCCAGATTCTACTAAACTCTAAAAGTAGCTAATATCACCTAGATGTGGGGAACTTCAGCCCTTAAAAGGGGAAAGAGAGGACAGGTCTGTAGGCCTACGTTGTATATCAAAAAATACACCCCGTCACGTTTAGCCTGCGGCACTGCCCAAGATGAGAGCTTCTTACACTACAAGTCTCCCCGAGGAGGATGTTGATGCACCTGCTAAGCCATCACTCGATGCCATTGAAGACATCATCGACGGCGAATCCATCACGCTTGACAAAGAAACCAACAAGCGTATCGTCCGGAAGATCGACCGGAAACTGATGCCTGTTGTGCGTGCTTTCGTTTCCAAACCCCCCTCCCCCTTCCCGCGATACCTAGCCCCATCGAGCTTACCGAATCTCGGAATAACAGCTGTGCATCACATATACTATGCAATACTATGACAAAGCCGTCATCTCGCAAGCCGCTATCTTCGGTCTACGGTCGGACCTCGACTTAGAAACCGGTCTTCGCTACTCTTGGGTCATGCTCATCTTCTTCTTCGGCCACATAGTGGGCATGTACCCTTGCTCCCTCCTCGCCCAGCGGTACCGCCCTAAGCGTGTCTGCAGCGCTCTCAGCATCTTGTGGGCAATCATCGTTCTCACGACGCCTGCGTGCAAATCGTACTCTGGCATTCTGGCAAACCGTTTCTTCCTAGGAGTCGTCGAGAGTGGTGTGAGCCCCATCTTCATGTTAGTCGTCGGGCTTTGGTACACGCACGAAGAGCACAGCTTGCGGAGTTCGTTGTGGTATTCATTCAGCGGAGGGAGTTTACTGATCAGCCCGCTCATCAACTATGGCCTCGCCCACATTGAGGGAGGTCGTCTGAAGTCCTGGCAGTGGATTTTCATCGTCGCTGGTCTCATAACTCTCGCTTGGGGAGTCGCTCTCATCTGGGTCTTCCCGGATACGCCCCAGGAAGCGAAAGGGTGGTCTCCAGAGGACAAGAGAGTACTATTAGAGCGTATCAGGCGCGACAATTCTGGCACGGAGAACAGGCAGTTCAAGCCATCCCAGGTGTGGGAAGCGCTCACCGACTATCAGTTCTGGGGCCTCGCGTTGATAGGGCTGCTGTCAAACACGGGAGCTGCAACACTGACAACTTTTTCATCAATTGTGTTCGCCGGCATGGGGTTCGACTTGCGTACGTCCCTTTTGCTCAATATGCCTTTCGGGTTCATGGCTTTCCTCTGCGTCCTTGGGGCGGGTTGGCTTGGTTCGACCCGAATTGGAAGGTTGTACACCTGCTGCATTGCTTCTCTTCCCGTCGTCCTAGGTTGCTGCCTCTTGTAAGTTCTTGTCCGGATTCTACTAGAGGTTTACGCGTCGGAAGCTGACCCCGCACAGGTGGAGACTTCCATCAAGTAAACGAGCGGGCCGCATCGTGGGCCTTTATCTTATCTCCTTCTTCTCGTCCTGCTGGCTGCAAGCTATCTCGCTGGGCACCTCCAATGTCGCCGGATATTCCAAAAAAGGAGCGTATGCGGCCGGCATTTGGATCGGATACTGCATTGGCAACATCATCGGGCCGCTGCTTTTCCACGCGTAAGTTTCCGCTCCCCATCCCCCCACCAGGATCATTTGAGATGGGCACTCGCCTTAACAAAAGGCAGACGATACGCTCCGCGGTACGATGAGAGTTTCACCGGCCTCCTCGTTTGCTTCTCTCTTCTCTTCGTTATATCACTATGCCTAAGATTCCTCCTTTCGAGGCGAAATAAGAACCGCGATGAAAAGTATGGAATGCCGGAATTCCGGCACGGCTTGGAGGATATCACGGATAAGCAGAATAAGTCGTTCCGATGGATGGTATAGGAAGGTTGGCTTACAATTACGGGGCAGTTATCCTCGCTGTCCTGATACAATTATCAAATACTAGCCTTTCAAGGGCTGCTGCTGAAACGGAGCAGTGCAGCCTACCTGCTCATCATTTAAATAAAAAAGGAAATGGGTGTGATCAATGGTCTGGGAAATTCCTGCAAGAAGCTGCTGTAAAGCTCCTGTACAGGAATGGACAGATGTCGATTCTGTTGACTAATGGGAATGATAGTAGAACATGTAAAAAGGAGACCTCTAAATTAGGAGAGGTGAAGAATCATGTTACAGGGCACTTAAGCACACAGGACAAGCAGGAAAGCTACTTGAAGTCACCATGAAAGATGATCAAAGAGAACTGGGTCAAAAGAAGTCAATTGAATCAAGAAGAACTGATGATGATGATGTTCAACTTGTTGTCCTCCATCTGAGATGAGAGGAAAGAAAGAAAAGAAATAGCTATGCCCTGGTCCATGGCGAGGAGAAATGTTCTTCCGCCCCTGTCTTTACGGACCTTTTTCACTGCCATCACCCTTTTCAGGAGCTAAAGTTTTTTTGTCGGGTGGGATGGTAAAACCTTGGATAAATGAATAAAAGTGGAGACACAGTCCCCCTCGTCGAACCCTTTAATAATATCTTACCTCTCCCTCTCTCACTGTATTCCGCTCTCTTCACTACTAATTAGGGGTACAGACTACTGATAGTAAATGCATTACTGTATAAACGTGTGCCAGTTCCTGATTGAAACGTACATGTCTTTTGGTGGGCTTCGGTGGCCGATCTTGCGTCAATGATTTCCTTTACACCGCCGGCACACAGCAGCCCGAAGCATCGTGTAATGTTTGCAGCTTGCAGGTTGCTTCTTAAAAATCCATATCCATCCAATTCCATCTCACTCCTCAGACTCACGTGTCCGTATAATTCACGAAATTCAGATTAAATCCTTCTGAAGTTGGCAGATATGTAGCAACTAGAAACAGGAGCCTCTGCTCCGGGATACAGCCAATGCCCGGCGAACCGGGATCCACGGTGGCCCGTGGGGCGGGGACCACCATCCGTTTCCACCGTCGCCATAGCTCGTAAAAACCATCCAGGGCGTGCAGAAGAACCATTCATCGTCGCTGGAAAAGATTAAATACTAGCCAGCCTATATTTGAGACACCTACTCTTGTCTTGAAACTTGTCCAGGACACCCTAGATAATAATACTATCTATATCTTAAAGACAAAAATCAGTACTATTAACCTGGCCTACTGATATATCAGGGTCCTTCAAAGCAGTACCTCTAAAGATATCCCTCTAGTAAATAAAATTGTATCCTGACTAAATGCCCTCGTAGCTACTATTATTAAATGTAATGCTAATATCTAGGAGGCTGCTAAGGCCCCTCGCGACGACTTGGCTGAAACCAGGCACCGCATGCGGGGTACTAGCACGGATCCTTCGCGCGTGCAGGACGGAGAAAATAAAGTATGTTGCCGAGCATCCCACGGACCGCGTGTGGAACCTTAGTTGGCGTATAAAGCAGTCCTATTGGACGTCATGATAATCCGAGCCGGCAAGGTCGAAGTAGGTGAAACCGAGCCAGTTTTAACCCCCGGAAAGACAGGGCGAGTCAACCCGAAAAACCGGGTAGAGACGTGTCAAAAAGTGTCGACACCGCCTCGCTTGCATTCGGCGATCCTATCGCTCACGCCGATCATCCCACCTTTGCTCTTTTCTGGCGTACCTCTTCTTTTTCCTCCCATCGTCAAAAGGGACGAAGGTAAACTGCTTGAGTACGACATGTGGTGACGTCGTCGACAAGCACGATCTACCATGAGTGTTCACAGCATCATCTTGTACGGCGGCGCGACAATCCTACTGCAGGCCTTATTTTTGCCGCTGGTCGCCGCGCAGGCCGGGGGCACCGTCTTCAGTGGTTTCCCAAAGCCGCCCATCTTCCCAACCGGCGTCGATTCCAACGACAAGTCGACAGTGACGTTGACAGGGACGGACACAGTCTCCGACTTCACCGAGATTCGCATCATTTCCGACGTGACGGGCGCGAAGACGGTGGTAGGAGTTTGGACGCCGAACAGCCAGCCGTCGGACTCGACGGCCCTGCCTGTTACTTTAGAAGGTGACATTCTGAAGCTGATAAAAAAAACAAAAAATACCTCGGAGACTGACTGGCGATAGTCTCTATACAGCGCACCCCAGGAAATCCGCCAGTGGCCAAATTGACGATCCCTTACCGGCCCTTCGACTTGTTTTGGAACGATCTCATGTCCGTCCAGGCCGTTCTCGGCTCTGCGTCGGAACCGGTCACGTCGACCTCGAATTTCGATTTCGTCATCACCACACAAGGATTTCAAGACTTTCCGGCCAGAATCCGGGACCACCAGGCCCGGAACGAAGCTCCGGTCTTGAGCACGAGTAGGGTTGACGCACTATCACCACTTCCCTCTCCGCCGCAGCAGACCCCACTACAGCCCACATCCTCAATACAGCAATCGAATCGTCCGGGGACAACACTGACACCGACTCCAGGCCAAGATTCGACGCAGTTTCCTCGACAGTCTCCTACAATTGCCGGACCCTCCGATCCCGGGGCGGCTCCTTCTCCCACCGATGTCCAGGATGTTCGGACGGCATCGGCTGCGCCACCTGCCGTTGCCAGTTCGAATTTGTCGACGGGCGCAAAGGTGGGAATAGCTGTTGGTGTTATTACTGCAAACGTCATTATCATTGCTGCCCTAGCCTTCTTCATGTATACCAGGCAAAATCGCGACGCGCGATTAACCCCATTGCCTTTCCCCTGCTGCGCCGGGAGGAAGTCGGATCGGGTGCAGTTCGGCACCGCAAACCAAGTCAAGTTCCACCAGAAGCCGGTGGTCGAAATCACCGTCGACCAGGCGGATGCCCCACTCACGGAGCTTGAGGCGCAAAGAGGGCCGTTCGAGCTGGAGGGATCCACGGGTTTCTACGGCAAGTCACTCGCCGCTATCAAGTCGGCGAGGGACATTATACGGTCGGCTGCGACCTCGCGGACTGGGCATCGGACGAGTTTCTACACCTACGCTGATACAGACTCGGACACAACGTCCAGTCGGAGCGCGCGGACAAGATTAAGTTTTGCTAGTAGCGTGCCGCCGCTTCCGACGCCGTCCGACTACGTTGGGAGGGACAGGAGGTTTACATTTGGGCCAAGAACCAATAGTATTGCAAGCAGCTCGCAGGGTAGTTTGAAGAGTAGTCGATCAAGCTCGAGTATTAATACATGACACTACCCAAATCCGAGAAGGGACAGCCACATGTGAAATGTGCCGGGCTACGCTCATGCTTGAATTAATCTCCCGCCATGAACTACGGTGAGGTCTAGAACGGCGATTATTGAGAAATGCATGGCTGGTGTGAGTGTCGATGTGTTCCGCGTTACGGGAAAACTAACCATAGGGGGCATATCCGTGCTTCCGTGATTGTATAGCCGCAATAATATCTTCACATCGTTCGGACTTAGGTAGACTTGTCCCGACCAAGCCGGTCCGACCAACGCCTCTACATTCAGCCGGTTATCCTGGATCGGTGATGCATGGTCTGTAATATTTCCATCCCAGTCATCGTTCAGCCTCCTCAGCTGAATTGCCTCTCGCCCCCGGGACTGCTGAGGGCAGTCAGCTATGCTAGGGAGAATACCAGAACATAGACTGAGCCGCCCATGGCCCAAAATAGCCATTGGTCCTGCTCCGTATCCTGAGGTAGGGCTTAGAGGCATCATTGCTCCTAATCGCCAACGGCTCGATTTGGTCTGGGTGATCACGTTAGACGACATTGAAGCGGAAACAAGGAGTGAAAAACTAGTTCAGTCACTTAGTCTACGCCTTGCCAGATACATGCAGGTATTTGTGTCGTTTCCTCGTGCGCGAAGTCAGTATTCGACATACTATCTTGGTCGCTTACGAATCTGTTTTCTCCACGGCAGGCGGTCCATTGTGTCAAAGCCGCAGCCATTGTCACTTCCCAAAAACGTCTCCAATTGCTGGAGGACCCAATTCGGCACACCCTCCTTTCCGACCTCATCAAACACCTCGTTTGTAATCTTGATGACAGTACCGGTGTCGGCGCCCACGTCCTGGACGTACTCGGCAAAGACAGCTCGCACCTTGTCTGTTTCCTGGTTCGAGTATCCGCGCCCGATGGCCCTCAGCGCGAGGGCGAGGTCTTTGGTCGAAAAGGGATCAGATTCGAGAATGCCGCCAATACTGTAGCCGTGGGGGTAGATATGGTCGTGGATGGTCGGCACGACGGCGAGGATTGAGATAGTTTTTGAGCTTTAGCACAATAGATCGCTCGAGAACCTGTAGAGTCCTTCACAGAAAGAGAAAGCTAATCGTTACGGCGTGGCCCTTGAACTAGTCACAAGTTCCTAGAATTATAGGAGCCCAAAACACAAAATGGCCCATTGTTAAAAACCCGTCTTGGGAATCGTCCATCACCCTCATACATGGGACGATATCCTGGCCCGCGTCCCACCATCCGTCCCTACTAGGCGAGCGTCGGCGTTGAAAATTACCTCGCCTATTCACGGAAGCATAGCTGTGCCCATCGCGCACCATCGTTCCCTCCAGTTGATTCTCCGCAGCTTTCCATCCATAGCTTCCGGATCATTCCGACATCTAGTCTATAATATGTTTTGCGAATAGACTTTGAGGTCGAGTGAGCGCCTACTTGCGAAGTGTGCCTTGCTATAAGCTAATTAGATCTCTGCGAGGGGAATGTGGCATTAAACACACCTGTAGGAACGAATGAACTAAGAGCGATTTCATAGTAACTCCTATAGAATACAACACTATCATAACATGCACTCGGCCAGATTTTCAGTCGCCTCCTTAGGCGCAACGACACAATTAGACTTTTCTGACTCGAGATCCCTATTGAAGGCTGTTACGCCGAACTCGTAGTTCCAGGTACTAGGAACATGCTCGAGAAGTCGATTGCGCTGCATACTGACTCTTGCACGGTCATGGTGATAGCATCGACAAAAAGCTTGGAATAGTATTAGTCGGAGTTTGCCCGAAGCCGGAGCTGTTTCCTGGTTCCAGAAAAATGCATTGCAGGCTTCAGGGACATAAATTTCCGCCTAAATGCCAAAGTTTCAATGAAAATTTCAACGGGAATGCCAAAGTCCCAGTTTATCGGTGTTGGTGATGTATTTTGCCAACGGCGACATTTTCCATAAACTCTAACCGGAAACCCCGTCGCTCACTAGCTTACGTGACCGTGGTTGAATGCTAGGAAGACTATGCTTTCAGCGGATTCGACGCTCCCGAAGGCCAGCATGGTCTAACGTTGTGCACAACGGAGTCAGTGAGCTGGCGTTCGTATTGGCGTGGTAAGCCGGAATGGTCTAGAAAGCCTTGGTTAAGTTTATTATCGGGCAGCAGCGATTAATACACAACCTCCAATCTCAATAACGGGAATTGCCTTATGTTTCTGCGGAACAGCTGCGCGGGCCACGCATCATCCTCCACCAGAGGCTAAATCTAAAAGATACCCCGTTGCCGGACTATCAAAGTTTATAACATCGAAAGCCTCGCCGTTTGCCAGAGTCGCAAGGTCAACGTCGGTTGCAAATCCAGCCTCGGAGGATGGGTAGAGACGGGAGACCGGCGCTCCTGTCGTGCGTGGTTCTGCTGGCACTGTAGCACAAGAATTGGGGAGGGCGAGGTCTGAGTCCCCGCACATATGCCCGTAATCGACCATGCTCCATAGCGTGGCTTCTGCCTCTGCGTTAATATTCGGCGGTATTGTCGAGTCTAGTAGCGAGGCAAAGGCGTGAGCCTGAGCGTTGAAGTTGAGAAGTCGATGGTACTGAAAAAAACTTCCGAGTCAGTCATGGCCAGCCAGATGCTATATTGGAGTCCATTGAAACATACGATCTGCGAGGCATGGTCCCAGAAGGAGCCCAGCTTTTCTAGGATATCTATAGCCATCTGCGTCGCGCTCATAAGTTCCGAATACCGAGCTGCCTGATTATGAAGCTCTGCATGTTGGTTCAGCAACAGGATGCCGCCCGCCACGCAGGTAGCATAGGCGTAGAAGGACGCGCCGAGGTGGCCGCCAGCCTCTTCCGCATCGCGCAGCACCTTCACTAAGTTTCGTGCATGGTCACAGCTCCGCTGGAATGCTAGATACAAGAATCTCGAAGGCGCCTTTATCTTGAGTTTTCGCAGCTGTATGCGGAGGAGGAAGGGATGGTTGAGGAGGCAGTAGGAGAGGTGGAAGACAGTATGAGCAAATATTCCGTGCCCAGCAACTTGGTGGTTGACAGTACCATCTTGGCAGCGAGTCGCGTTGATAACATCGCTTAATTATGGGCTGTGTGCTGATCTGAAGACGGGACTCGAGCAAGAGGAGGGCGGAGTTCAAAGACGCGTACTCGGATCCCAAGTCCCACGGAGGTAGGTCGTCTACTTCGCGATCGTGGAACGTAATCCGGGTGCACCTGCCTAGAATGGATCCGGCGAGTATCGCGAGCGAGAAGTTCCCGCTGAGTGCGTTCAGATCCTCGTTCCAGTCGAGGAGCTGATGAAGAGTTGCCGTAGCTCCGTGGGAGCCCGCGTGAAATGTTGCCTGGCGACAAGGAAGCCGTACAGAGCAGCGATCGTCCAGCAGGGCCGGGTGGCGGTCTCTGCCGCAAGATACTAGCTTGTCGAGTAGGTACACCGACCAGAAACAGCGCCTTCGTTCTTCCTGCTCTGGCGCAGGTAGCCTAGCGTCAGGTTCCTTCATCAACTGCAGATCCTGGGCTATCCTGATGGCTAGGCCAATTTTCAGCCACCCAGAGCTCGTCCGACCAGCTTAATCAAGGGCTGTTAGCATGATACTTATCCGAGCCCATCTTGCGCTCTAGAGCTCGATACATACCCGTAAAATCAACAATGGCAAGAATGTTTGTAGTTTGGGCAACATATAGCTGGGGCGAGTTGTCCGCGGTCATGTGGTCGCTTAAAACAGAAAGCCAAGCTTCCCGAGCGTAGGTTTCCGTCGCTTCGCGAGTTGCACCTTCGAAGTATTCGTGGTCGGAGAATCGCAATGCCGATGCCAGGATGGCGAGAAGTAGGCACTTTGGAAGGTTCCCGTCGGCTAGCCTCTGACGGAAGGTGCCTTCGTGAAAGTATGAATAGGGTTGATTATGTGAGTAAGTGAAATAGGTGTTGATGAGCGATTCTACCACTTGCTGAGGGGGGAGAGAGTGGAAAGATCTCAATCGAAAGAAGTCAGCAGAATCTGGCATTTTGAAATTCGAGAATCACTTACTTCGGCGGCGATGCCTGAGGGGGTTGTGTTTGAGCCGACAATAATGTCGTCCTCTAAAGGCGAAACTTGGCTCGCACAGTCATCTCGCCCATCACTTTTCTCGCTAAGCCGTCTAGAGATGGTCAGAAGATGTCCATATATGGCGATAAGACGGTATAGCTCTGGAGAAGGCTATACAGACCTGAAGCCAGGGTCAGATCGGGGATCGCTTAGTCTCGCTAACTGACTCTCGATGGCAGAGATGCGATGTAGGAGGTCTCTCTAGGGCCGCCCCAATGTATTAGGTTAACCTATGATACGTTGGAGGTTAAGAAGTTACAACTGGAGGTCCCTCACATTCACGTGCGAGGTAGACAAGCGCCCGGAAGAAGGGCTCCCTCTGCGAACGCCACCAGGGACCGAGGTTGCCGAGTAAGGCTCGTACAGGCATTTCTGCTTGCTCCGTCGGCATTTGACGCAGACTGGTCGCTCTCCCGAGCATTTTATCTTCTTTAACCTGTAACAGTGTTAGTTCATGCCAATCTAGGCTGGTTGAGATGAAGCCGGGCCGGCGAGACGAGAGGGGGGCAGGGAGGGAACCGCGTACCGACAGCCGGTGCAAGCTTGGCGGATCCTCCGGATACCGCTGGAAGCGGAAGAAATTTCATCCACCGTATTCAGCGACAGCATGACTTGGTCCCTCATATCCTCCGCATTCTTGATGACACGTTGCCTTGCAGAATGGAGCTGGTGGCTGACTGTTGTTGATGGTGAAGGGAGTAAATTATTGGAATCTGGGGTGCATGTACACACATACTCTAAAGAAGGGGAAAATGCGGGGAAGAATACGGATATGGGGTGTTTGTATCCCCCCCGTTTCGGCTAGCACCAAATTCGTCGGCCACCCTTAACGGGAGGTGATGGAGGAATCCAACAGCTCAGCTTGTGAGGGAATGGTATGTGTGTATTGAAAAGGGGAGCAAATAGGGGAAGCTCCGTGCTGACCCACTTTGCCTATTTTAGGCAAGTCAGTTGTGGCCTGATAAGTTAGGGGCCAATTATTCTGACAGGAGGGAATATTTAACATATTTGTGGTAAACACCCAAACTCTGCGCTCACCGACACGAGGGGTGGACAGGTAGTCCAGATATGTGATATGGAGCACACTGACTTTGGAACCATTACACTGGGCCCCACGGAACGAAGTATAAATTAAGATCACTTGGCAAACATGGAACCACACTAGAGAGCCGGGTTCCTGCCATTAAAGCTTTGGAAGCTCATGTACGCTGTGGTAATATTCCGGCTGTTTTCCTCTGGAATCGTGACAGGCCCACCTGTTAATAGTTACTTAGGTGCAGCGGCCTCGATACCGATACTGCGGAAGGGTCGGAATTCGGGTGTGCCACTCCACGCCACAAACGCTACCCCAAGTAGAGCGATGTCTAGAGGCTCAATGCTTCCTCATTTTTGGACTATTATTTGACAAAGAAGAATCAGAGCACTTTAATCCCCACTACCAACAGATATGGACTGGTTGTGAGAACTCGAAATTGACCTCAGACAAGCATTACATCATATGATGTTCCCAACTCTCGAGAAACGCCTTCTACAGCTTTGCTTGATGTCTACTCAATAAGAATGCGTCCCTATCAACCTCACGCCGCTTCTGGAATTGCTTCATGCCGTGCTCGCCCTCGGTCCCAGGCTGCAGCATCTGCTTGAATAGCGCCGAGATCCCTTCCTGCTGCTCTGCCTTTCCACCATGGGCCCAGCCCAGTTTGACTAACTGCTTAATCATCTTCGATCCTGTCGGCGAGGCGTTTCGCAGGCCGTCAAGGAAATGGTTTGCGGCATCTTGTAGCGTCTCGGGCCGATCTACCAAGAGAGAGATGGCACCCCTTGTGCCTGAAGTTCAGCGGCGTGGACGGGTCTCGCTGTGAGCATTGCCTCCCTCTCAAGTGAGGAGCCCCATTCTCGGATGACATATTTGGAGATGACTGCCGGTCAAAGCCCAAGTTTAACTTCGGAGAGCGTAGACGTAGCTGATTTCACGCAGATTATGAGGTCACACGAGAAAGCCAGTCCGATTCCACCGCCGAATGCTGGACCGTTGATCACGGCGATGGTTACCTTGGTAGAGTTCTCGATAGCCTCAAAAAGGCTCGTTAGCCCTTCCAACAACGTTGAACTTGCGTCGCCACCCTTGCTAGCTGCACTAGCCGCCGCAGCCAGGTCCATGCCTACGCAGAAGAACTTGCCAGACCCGCTTATGAGGATGCGAGATATGGTTGGGTCTTTCTCAAATTGCTCAAACTCGTGTTTGAGCTGAGATATCATGGGCAAGGTTAATTTGTTACCCTGTAGTGGGTTGTCAAGGATGATGTTGACATTTGCTCCGGACCGCATGATGCACAGAAGCTCTGTTTTTGGACTAATGACCAATATACTAAAGAGCTAGTCTTACGGTCCGACGAGGGCTCGGCTGCTACGCTCTGGGTGGCGGCCGACTTCTGGAACTTTGACCACAGAGCAACGCCGGCGCGGCTGTCGTTCGGTTTGGATAGCTGTTTGGAAATCCAGATGCCGACGCCCACAAGCTTGTCCAGGTCGACCCCCGTTTCAATACCCGCGTTTTGGAACAGGTACACGATGTCCTCGGTGGCGACATTGCCTTTGGCCCCTGGCGCGAAAGGACATCCTCCTAGGCCGCCGACGCTGCTGTCAAAGGTCCGTATGCCACAATGATACGCTTGCCAGGCGTTGGTCAGACCTTGGCCGTAGGTGTCATGGAAGCGGCCCGCTAGCTTATTCGAGTGAATGCCGTGCGCATTCAGATATTCTATCAGTCCCCGGACCTGTGGCGCTGTACCGACGCCGAGATTGTCTCCCAAGCTCACTTCGTAGCACCCCGCGTTAAATAATTCTTTCACTGCGTGAAGCACAGCAGATAACGGTGTTGAGCCATCAAAAGGATCGGCAAAGATGCACGAGACATAACTAAACCGGCCGGCCAAGTTAATCGTAAAAATCTGGAATGGACGTTCAAAGATGCCTGTACTCGGCTGGGAAATAAATTCACCCTCGTACACTAAGCCCAGAGGAGATGGCTTCTACCACCACCTCCTTCGCTTGTGCGAGGCCCTGGTCGACGGAGCAGTTGAGGTTGGCGCGACTAAACCCTTCGGTTGCGCTAACAAAAACAGCTACTTCTGCGACGCCGTGTTCTTGCGCTATCTTCAATCCCTTGATGGTTGGTACTAAAACCGGGAAGCGGTAGATTGGCTTCGAGGGTGACCGTCCTTGTAGTTGTTGCCTTTGCTGCCCCAGAAGAGGAGAGGAAGACAGCAAGTCTCGACAATCGGCGAGTTGAGAAATGGCTTTGGGGGAAACGACGGATGTGAGCTCAATGGTCTGGAGTCCAGCCTGGCGAAGCCGCTCGATCAACTGTAGTTTTGTGCTAGTAGGAATTGCTGCCTTGACATTCTGGAGGCCGTCGCGTGGTCCAACCTCGACAATGCGCACGGTCATGGCAGGACGGAGGCGACACACACACACACACCTCTCTCTCTTCGAAGTGTGACAAGCGCGGTCTGTAGAGAGGTTTGCGATGAGCTCAGGGCATGAGGTTATTGGGGCGCCGACAGATCTGATGGCGATGTCATGGTAGTTATTAAACGGAGATTCGTCCCTGCACGGATCGGAGCCGTGGGTGTCCCTTTCACCTTGGAGTAACACTGTCCGTGGATTTTTATAACACTGTATTTCACACCATGCGGTCCGAGCCCGGGGAAACCGGAAAGGAAACGTGGGGCAGTCGTCGGACCGAGGTGTCACGATCCTTGTCCGCATAGGGATAGATTGCAAGGACCCACTACACAGGAGGTCTCGCCCCCTTCGGATTGCTCGGTAGTAACTGCAGCTCAATCAACGTCCTGCTGAGAAAGAACAAGCGCGGTAACATGGCAATTAATGCAAGGGGAAAAAAAAAACTGAGCGTCGTCCAGAAAAGAGGAATCTTTGCATAAGCAGTTCTATCATGTTGGGAGTTTCGAAAGCAATACGATATTTCAACTTCAACCAATGTCACAGCTAGAGATGAAAACCCGTAGGAGCGGTGAGGGTAGCAAGGCAATTGCTTGGAGAGGTTGCCGTGACCTGTTCGTGGTCAATCTCCCTGTTGACTCCAGCGGGCTCCCCAAAATACGAAAGTCACTAATCACGAACCGTGGTGAGATCGCTTGCCGCATAATCGCGACTTGTCGCAAGCTCAACGTCGTCTCTGTTGCAATCTATACCGTAGAGTAAGTCCTAGCTGCTATTCTGCTGACTGGATGGTGTCACCAGGATTCTATTAGGACAGCACGGAAGATCGCTGACTCGGCGCATTCTCTAGGGATGCCCAATCACGCCATGTCTCGGACGCTGACGAGTCCATCTGTATCGGCTCCCTCGAACACAGCAAAACAAACCCTTTCCTCTACATTGAGCTCCTCGTCCAGGCAGCCGTCGAAACCGGCTGCGACGCCGTCCACCCTGGCTATGGCTACCTGAGCGAGAATGCCAGGTTTGCTGACCGCGTACGCGAGGCCGCTCTCATCTTTGTCGGCCTACCCGGCTCAGCCATCTTGACCCTAGGAGACAAGCGCAGCTCTAAAGAGGTCTTGCGCGCCAAGGCGCCCGAGGTGCCTATGATTCCCGGTTTCGCAGGCACGAGCCTAGAGGCTGAAGATCTCGAGCGTGCAGCCGCCAAGATTGGGTTCCCTGTGATGCTCAAAGCGTCTGTCGGAGGCGGTGGCAAGGGAATGCGCGTGGTGAGTGAGGCACCACAGCTCATGTCGGAACTCGTCCGCGCGCAGTCTGAAGCCCAGCGGTCGTTTGGCTCCGCCGATTGCATCCTTGGAAAGTACATTGAAAATAGTAAGCACGTCGAAATACAAATAGGGGGAAGCCAAAGATCATGTAAGTTTCAAATAGGGGACACTTCGACATGTAAAATAATAGAAGAACTGTCCGGAGTCACCACACAAGATGATCTAGAAGAATCGTAAAAAAGAAGTTAATTAAGAGAAAGACTAATGACTAAATACTTGACTGAAAAGTATGATGAGCTTGTTGAAGTTGTTCTTCCTCTTGAGGAAGGAAGGAAAAGAAAAGAAATAGCTATGGTCCTCGGCCATGGCAAGGAATAATGTTCTTCCGCCTCCATTCTTGCGGCCCCCTGAGAACGTCACCATTTCCACCACTGTCACCTTTTCCCCCGTCACAATACTAGTCCTAAACCTTCTTAAAAAGAATATCCACCTCATCAGTCCCAACCTCCACATCAGCTACCATCAAACCGCCAGCCTCAACATTATCATACTTCAAGAGCTCCCCATCTACATACACAGCCCACAATCCTGCGTCCAGGTTCTGTGCGGTTGGATGGATTTGTACGCGCCTGTTCTCCCAAGTCCTCACAGTGAGAATCAACACCATGGCCTCATTATCCCACATTCCTCGCAAGCAATCTACCTGAGAGAGAGTCACGTTATCAATCCAAGGACGAGTTGATAGATCTTGACCAGTCCAAGGCCTTTCCCACATAATTTTCGGGCCATTATGAACATTCAGTCGAGCGTACGCTGCGCACGCGTTCCCAGCGAGTGGACCCACTTGAGCCAGACTCCCATCCTCGTTAGTCTCCGTGTCATTTCTCGAGTAAAAGAGCCCGCCATTCTCCCATGTGGGCTTTTGATGCCTGTCAAGATATCGCAGCAGTCCGTCGAGCTCAGTCTTCCTCCCCAGCTCCGAAAGCCACAATAGGACATATGGGAGCGGAGATCCCGTGCCTGGATCGGATGGCGCTGGGTGAGGGGAAGAACGAGATTTGGTGAGGGTTGACGGATCATGAGGGTTGGCCCCCTCTTCTCTGACGAGGCGACGGAACTCTTGTGCCACGTCGGATGATTGCAATCGTACCTCGTCGCCGATGACGGTAGCGTAGCCCAAGACCTGTTTCTCATACAAGGACGCAACAAGCTCAGAGTTCCACGAGTTCATAAACGCGTTTGCCCTATATTTGTGTTAGATCGATGTTCGGGGATGAGATTCTCAGTACTCACCAAGCCGTAAAACCAATACCCAACGGTGGCACAATATGGTCTTGTTTCAAAAGGAGCCAGCTGATGTAAAGCCCCTCTGGGGTAACCATCCCCTTTTTGTCCCAGGCCGCCTTGTAGTTTTCCAGAACCGATTCAACCTTGTTAGTTCCATGCCGCACATCGTTATATCGCATCGCAATGATCTGCCCGCAAGAAGACCCAAGGTCAATTAACAATTCACAAGGAAGCACTAAATGTGGATACGCACAGGATATTGATTGCAAACGATGAACACTGCGTTAGGCTCGCAGCAGACCCCGACCCAGTTGTTCTGTTCCATCTGTGAAAAGATGACGTTCTGTAAGGATCCGTTGTCGTACTTGAAAGACTGTGCGCCAAAACCCCAGAACATGGGTGCCCATGTGAACGTGATTGAACCCGGCTTTTCAAACTCATCGTCGTCAAAGAGCATCGCATACAAGCTGGTCATGAGGAGCAAGTGACCGCTATACATGATGTTCTCCTTACAGACGGGATCCGGACATGGTTCTCTGAGCGCAGTAAGGCTAGCGTCTAACAGAGGCCCGGACTGGCTTGAGGTATACCAGTAAGCCCAGACGTCAGGGAGGAGCATTTTATGGATGAGCTGTCGAAAGAGCGGCTTGAACATGCTCCTTGCGGCAGGAATCCTGTGATAATGGGTCACAGCAGTGGCGTAAGCCATCGTGGCCAACTGATACCGGTACGAGTCAAAGGATTCCTGCAGAGACTCTACTCCACCCATGTGATTCCATTGTCCATCCGGCTGAGATGATGTATTGTAGATGTGGCGTAGGTGGCCCGCCTGGAGAGAATCGAGCTTCTCATACCTGTCTAGGTCTAGCTGCAGGCGCTGGCTTGGTGTAATAGTCATCTCGAGTGGCTAGGCTAGGTGTACGCAGGAAGGCAATTGATAGAAAGAGTAACACTAAGAGTGTACTGGGCATATGATCAAGAGTAGAGGGCAAAAGCAAAAGTTCAAGTAGGAATGTAATTCATGGAAATACGAATACAAGACCAAAGAAAAATGGAAAGTTTATCTGATGCCCCCTTTATTAGTTAATAGGTAACAGAATTACAACCGGAGCTTATTTCCAAGCAAAGCCTCGGACCGGCCCATCACCTACCCATTCCCTAGGTTCGGATACCTCTAGCTTTCCGAGCCCTACTCCGGACTCCTAGCTCGGTCCGGACAAATGACCAGACCGAAATGACACCGGCCTCCTTCACATCTATCAGTTAAAGGGCCTCGTTAAGTACAGCTCGCGCTCTCTTTTAGCCATGCTCGCATGATAATCGAACGATCTCAAATTAAATATACTCATTATTGTTGAAAAGTAGTATATCCTAACTTCCCCATTAATCACAAAATGGCCAATCTCGATTTCCAGAGCAATTTTGTTCACGTCATTGATGGAAACTCTTCTCCAACTGAGGGTCACCGCCATGGCATCAATCCAGCCACTTTGAAGCCGCTTTGGGATGTTCCAGTCGCTACCCATGGCGATGTTGATCGTGCAGCCGCAGCCGCCAAGAAGGCCTTTAAGTCCTGGTCTAGGGTCCCCTACGAGGAACGGCGTAGCAAGGTTCTGGCGTACGCAGATGCCGTGGACAAGCACCGCACCCAGTTCCGAGATTTGCTCACAACCGAGCAAGGCAAACCTGTATGATCCCAACTACTCCCATTCCTCATCATCTCCTTTCGTGGCTCTTTTGGCTTTTTCTCCTCACATCCCCATGCCCTCAGTTCTAGGCGCTCACGAGTCACAGATTCCCCAAGCAGATGTAGAGACCGACTGTGCCATCGAATGGATGCGAGGAATGGCAAACATCCCGCTCCCAGAAGATACTCTAGAAGAAAACAAGGATCGCACAGTCATCACAAGATACACTCCTATCGGTGTAGTTGGCGCTCTTGTTCCATGGAACTTCCCTCTTATGTTGGCAACGGCCAAGATCGCCCCGGCTCTATTGACAGGAAATGTTATTGTCGTTAAGCCATCGTGAGTCCAAGCCCGCAGTGATTTTCTTACCTGCATCCTCCTAATGACACACAGGCCATTTACGCCCTATTGCGGGCTGAAGCTGGTCGAACTGGCTCAGCAATTCTTCCCCCCCGGCGTAGTACAGTCCTTGAGCGGCGGCGATGACCTTGGCCCGTGGATCACTGAACATCCGGGCTTCGACAAGATTAGTTTTACAGGTTCTACAGCCACGGGAAAAGCCGTCATGAGGAGTGCCAGCAAGACCTTGAAGAGGGTCACTCTTGAGCTGTGCGTCGCCCCCTTTTGTGCCAGTGCGCTCAATACACCAAGTTAACTTTCCCGTAGGGGCGGAAACGACCCCGCCATCGTTTTCCCCGACGTAAACGTAGATAAGGTTGCCGAGCAGGTTCGTTGATGAACAAGTGACGGGCCCTAAGACGAGTCGACGAGTCACTTTGAATTTTTCATCCAGGTCGCATTCTATGCTTTCTTGAACTCGGGCCAAGTGAGCATCTATACATCAAATTACTTAAACAGGATATGGACGTGCTGACATAAGGGCATTGAAAACAGATTTGTTTGAACTTGAAGCGTATCTATGTACACGAAACAATTTTTGACGCATTCAAGGAAGCCTTGGTGAAGCACACCAAGAGCTACACCCTAGGAGACGGCTCAAAACCGGGCGTTACCCACGGGCCGCTGCAAAACAAGATGCAAGTTGATCGAGTCAAGACCTTCTTTAACGACGTCAAGACGGAGGGATGGCAGGTCGCCGTGGGCGGGGAGATTGAAAAGAACCAAGGCTATTTTATCACCCCGACCATCATCGACCGCCCACCCGAGAAGTCCCGAATCGTAGTCGAGGAGCCATTTGGTACCACACCCCCTTCTTTCAGCTTTCCATAAACCACTTTTACCGGCCTGGAAGTACTAATTTTGATCTCTTTTAGGCCCTATCGTGCCTATCCTCTCTTGGAAAGACGAAGAGGATGTCATTTCCCGTGCCAACGACACTACCATGGGCCTGGGTGCGTCGGTTTGGACCAACGATCTAGATAAGGCGGCCGAGGTTGCGAAGCAGATCCAAGCTGGAACCGTTTGGATTAACAAGCATTTCGAACTATCACCTTATGCTCCGTTCGGAGGTCACAAGGAAAGCGGCCTCGGCACCGAGTGGGGTGCAAACGGCTTGAAGGGTTTCTGTAACGCTCAGACGCTGTTCTTCAATAAGAACATCGTTAGCTAAGAGAGTTTAGTTTTATTACTAGTCAGATTGCCATTGCTTCAGCTATATATATATATATATATATATATCCACTGAGCATTTATTTCTGTTTGCGAAGCGTCTTGAGCAACGTTGCGTTTTGACAGGTGGGCTGGCCGGTTGTGAAGCGTAGGCAATGTTCAGGCCATTTCTTCTGCAAATACCCATAAGGGGCTCCAGCGTTGGATAGCCAGACCTATTTTGGAAACTTTTACGGAAATTTGACATACACCTACATGTCACAAGGGAGAAAATGAAGTCTTTCCCGAACTATAATACTATTCATCTACGAACCAAGGTCACCCTGCTACCTATTATTACCAAATGATTACCGGCTTAATTGTGGCCCCATCTTCCATATCCTTGATTGCTTGGTGAAAATCCTTGACCTATACTTGAAGGTTAGCTGGCTTTAGAACTTGAGTGATGAAGCCCGGGATCGAGCGGTTGCACTGACGGGGTAAAATTTCACAATCTCATCAAGTGGCAACTGCCCTGACTGATACCACTGGATCATCCGGGGAATATACTCATGACATGTTAGTCGCGGGTGCAAAATACTCATTATCGGGGAGTAGGGGACTTACATCTTCAGGCCGGACGCTTCCTTCCATGCTCCCCATGAGTTGCTTTCCGCTCTGCATCGTTGTCAGTGCTGCCGGTTTTCTCTGTTACTTCAGCGGAACCGGCCACTCACAAGCGTGTACGGAACAATGGGAATATCAAGCACGGCCTCCATAGGAGCAACTCCCAGGAGTATCATTTTGCCCTGGTTAGCTGTGAATTCAAGGCCCGCCTTTATCAAGGGGGTGACTCCGGTCGCATCGACCGTAACGGTAGTTCCAGTGCCGCCTGTGAGCTTGTGGATCTCTTCCACTAAGGTTCCTGAAATAGTAGTAGTGTCTACAACGTCGGCCGCCCCCAGAGACGTAGCCTTTTCCAGTCGGGAAGGTACCCGGTCGATGCCGATTATAGTTTGGCAACCTCGAAGCTTTGCGGCCTACCATATTGTGAGTATCTGCGGACATATGCAGACAATGGTGCGCCACTACTATATTCTTACCATAATTGCGGAAAGCCCGACGCCTCCCAGCCCTATGATGGCCACCTTATCTCGAGAGCCAGCTTCTGCCAGCTCCGTGATTGTTCCCGCCCCAGTCTAGCAAGTCAGCGCAACCTAGTTAACAAAGTGGCTTAGGGGTACGTACTTGGATTCCACAGCCTAACGGAGCCATAAGTTTGAGCTCCTCCAGATTCCGGATGACACCAGAAACATTGACAATAGATGTCTGCTGAACTCGGGCAAGCTTTGAAAAACTGGATTGGCCAAAGAACGAGCCGCCGATTGCTGGCTGGCCCTTAGTGGGGGAGCCTATAAAGGCTTCCTTGCTGCCCGTAAAGTTGATCTCGGCGAACTTGTGGCAGTATCCTGGGGCCCCAAACTGGAAATTGTGACAGCTCATGCAGAATGCGAAAGAGAGCAAAACAAAGTCCCCTTTTTTAACTTTTGTGACGTTTGTTCCAGCTGCTTTGACAATGCCCGCTCCTGGCTTAAGTTAGTATGGACTCTGTTAGAAGTGTCTGGGGCAGTAACAGACGATGGTACCTTCGTGCCCGAGAACCCTAGGATATGGTGGCACTGGGAACCCAGGCGAACCGTCGGGCAGACTTCCACACCCAAGGTCAGTATGGCAAATCCCGCTGGAGACCATTTCCACAATGACATCCTCCTTCCCTGGAGGTGTGAGACGAATGGACTCAAGCTTCCACTGCCTCTCACCATCTTTAGGGGGGTGACAGACAATTGCCTCCGTGGTCATGAGGTCCTGCATGTTGGGTAGTTTTGACGTGACTTTGTTCAGTGGTGCTAATGGGTGTATGTTCACCGAACAAATCTTTGCGAGCTGTTGTATTCTTGGAATCAGAATTATAAGTTAATTGGAAGCGCCTTCCCTCAGGTTTCCCTTCGGACCGCCGTCCGATGGTCACTGAGCTTCTCCGAGCCGCAATTCCCGTACCACAGTAGTATGCTTACCTCGGACCGTCAAATACCCCGAAAGCCGGCGTCCGCCCAATTAGGAAACGCTAGGTAGGTAGTATAGCACATAGTCCAGGCAAAGGTTCTGTTAAAACATGACTCTATCGGAACCTGAGATATCTGGCGTAATTAGGAAAATATCGGTAAAAGTGGATTTGGGTGTTGTTTGGGCAATTGGAATAAGGAGGATACTCTGAGTAGTTCCTGAGCAAATGTGGCGAGTGATGGTGTGAGCAACCCGGGGCTGAAGAGGGCCCAGATGGCTCTCAGGGGAGCGAGAACGATGGACGGAAGAAGGGAAGGCTCCGGGCTCCATTGGATTAATATTCTTAGACAAGTTTAGCCGTCCGCATCATGTCAGGTGAGGTCTGGTTTGGGTCGTAAAATAGGATGCCAACCTGTTTGAGTGGGTTTCTTCAGTGAGTCGCTAGTGACCTTGGGATTGAACAAGGAAGGCGGGGAGAAATCTAGATGGTGTCAATCAGTCCCAGTAAATGAATACATGGGATCAGCAGGATCATGGTGATGACAACAAGGCAGGGGTCGGATTTGACAGAACGCTCGACCTTCAAGAGGGGAATGATTGGCTTGAGCGCACGTAAACTACGGTAGAGGGGTTGCATCATACCGACCCTGGGCGAATTCTACACATAGATACAGAGGCATAGTATGTTGGCGGGTCATCCTGATGGGTTGGTCCCCTGTTGGGCTATATAAATTTGAAACCTTTGTGCCCTTCTAAAGTATTACTCCCCAATTCCTTAAGATCAGCAGATATAGAGTCTGGACGATAATACCATATTAAAATTGGAGGTAGCCCTTGGGTCCCAACATGTCCCCTCGGTAATCAGCAGGTCCCACGACTTCCTCAACGGCCGACATAAGATCCACCCAACCATCGCACTCCCCGCCGTGGTCAGATTCACCGAGATGATGACGAACCAAATGAAGTATCGTATGCGACGACCCTTGGTAATACGCAGCATTGTAAGGGCAAAGGAGGTCTTGCTCCACGACGAAGCCTTGATGGAAAATGTCGATGCTATCTTGTAGTAGAGAACTGTCGCTTGTATTTGCGAAGTCGTGAGGATGGCTGCATGACGGTCAATGCCCGGTTGGCGGCGTTGAGGTTCGGCCCATTGGTCTCGGTAATGAACTCTGGGGGGAAGTCAGTATTCTCGCCCATCCTGTTCGCCTATTTCCAAAATTTCGATCTCGTAGGGTATGTTTATCTCTGTCTCGATCTAGACCGTTGAAGGCCGTCGATATTGCGAGGGCTCGTGGTGAATATGGCATTCCTCCTCCACCTGGTAAGCGGTGCTTTTTTGTCGAACTGGTGCTACGGTCGCCCTGCGGAGTCCTGACTGGAGAGGCGGATCACCTACTGAGGCCCCTTGGTCTCTTATATCCGAACTGCAGGGTCGCTCGTAGGTGATTCTTGTCTGCGGAAACGGGGTCTACGAAACGACGAGCTGAGCTTAAGTTTACGAGGCTCTTCTAGTCGATGCACAAGGTCGATGAAAGATGTCTGTGTGTGTTTGGGCAATTGAGGCCGAGAAAGGTTTGCTCGTGCGAGGTATTCGATACTAGCAAGAATCCGGCTAAGGGAACGCCAATGATTGCCTCTTCAGGGAAGTTCAGAAAGGGGGCATTTAAAAGGCGTGGTCCTCTTGATGAGGGTCCCCTTGGAAATCTGGGGCGATGGTGACCTGTAATATTGGCGTCGGCATAGGGAGATGACAGGATTTGGCTTGTGGGTTGAGAAGCGACACCTTAACACCATTAAAGCGTGCAGGAGCTGATGAGCGGACTTCTCGGCCAGTTCACTAGCCTACGAAGTGGGACGTGCTTTACAAAGCGGTAATATGAGGGTCTGGAGATGGTACGATAGGATGCGAAGCATTGGGGACAACTTGACATGGGACTCTGACACCGGGATCATGGACACTACGAAGTAGGGGCCAACTCGGTCCCAACCTGGTGAATACCTGCTTTCTTGGAAAGTGATCCGGCGTTGCACTATATAAGTAAATGTTTGATTCAAGGATATGGGCCAAGGAGATCTACGGCTGGCCTCCGAAGTACTTGTATATTATAAGCAGTACTTTAAGCTTTGCGCTTTGAAGTTGGCCAGGACCATTTTGGCAGTTAAGATTAGTATTGAGGACGGCCGGGAGGAATGGATAGGCTCGGATTGCCATGGCAAGAACGTACTTTGTAGGCAGGCAGTGCTACCCGTGTCCATCTGGTTGTTAATATCAAAGAATCGAGGCGACAGACTTGAGACTTGGCAAGAACCGACACAACACGGGCAGGATATTTCCCCCTTTTTCAGCATTGCGCTTGCATGAATAATAATATCTGTAGCCGAGATCATTCGAAGGCGCATCGGGTTCCTGCGGGATTCTTCACAGTTCATTCTTCGAAAATTGCGATGCCGTGTAACTATCTGGATTGACGGGACGACTGGCGTGATTGGCAAAATCCCCAGATCTCCTGAAAGCACGAAGTGTAGGACGTCGCTAATAATCACATTATTGCCCAAGACCCTCGGAAAGGGCAGCGCCACCAGACAGGGTTAGGCTCAGCCCGGTTCCCCTCGGGGAAGCTGGACCGGGAGTACTGGACCACAAAGACCAGGACCTCGCCAGAGCCTTTCGTTGGATTTCATAATAATAACCACAAAGATACCTCTGAAATCTCGTAGATCCACGAGGACAAAGCACCTTGATGTCTTCCCATGGTACCCGGCAGAGCATGATGGCTGTGTAACTAGGAGAGGTTTCCCCGGAATCCTTCCAACCTAAAATCAAAAATATCCTTGCGCTCGCATTGTCTCGAGGTCCAAGCGCAGCCGGATAGTTCTTGGACGCCACACAATGCTTTCCCTGGAATCCCTTGTGATTGCACAAAATGCGACGAAGGATGGGTACGTAGTGAAGGTTCGTTGCGATTCAAGAGATCTGCAAAACGAGGAAAGATTCGCGTCGCTTTGGTAAAGATCCTGTAACCGAGAGACGTGGGGGCCACCATTCTCTCTGGACAGTCCAGGACAATGAGGTATGAGTACGTCGTACATTTTTTTGAACCATGCATGGGTCACGATGAATCAATGATCTAGAAATGGTATAACAATCGGTTCATGTCCGTCCGCCGCCCAGCGCCGTCCCATAGCAGATCGATTTCAACCCGACCTGTTCCTATTCGCGTCTTGTCCGGCAGGCAAATCGGGAAGCCTCCTCGGAGAAGGGATTCTGTCCATTTTCCGATGTACCAATCAAGTCACAACCTCACTCCATCTGAGGAGAAGCCCTTCAGAGCCCAAACCAGAAAATAGGATCGCTTAATTGCCAAGTCCGACTCCCCTGCTCACCGAGCCATCGGTGACGCTAGTGACCCCGCTTAAGCTATCTTAAACAAGGAAAATGCTCCTGAAAAGGGACAGAGGTGGTGATCATCAGCCTTTCCGCTAAACTACTTCGTACTTGTACGAATAGTCGGGGGCCACGGGATGCGAAGAGCTTAAACTCACATCGGGATCTTGGAGCCTGTTGATCCCACGACTCCCCCTCATAAGCTTCAAGCCTGATCATTCCTTTCGTCTCTTGGTCTTCGCCATTCTCTACTTTTCGTCGGGAGAAAGACTTATTCTCTTCATCCAGTGAAAAATGGTAGCAGGATTTTCTCGCCGAGCGTCTGTTGTTTTATCGTCCGTCTCATGGATGTCGCGGTGCATGTTTAGTCATCATCGTACATGGCTAAAATGGCTAAAATATGGAATTTTAGATGGGTTAGGGTTATGATATCAATATTCGTCCGCAGGAAATAAGGTTGAATTCCACATGAATCCGCGATAGAACCATTTGCTGTGACGGGATAAACTAGCTTTTCTTAGCTCAAACCCATTATTTGGCCGCACGAGCCATCTGGGCCTGCTTTTTTGGACTTACTGCTCCTACCGCCGCTCCCACTGTTCCCATAACCGCTACGACGACAGACGACCGAACGGAACTGGCATCTCAGTCCTCGCAGTCCTTCACCCCAGCTCTACTATCCCGCGGCTTGGTGGAGTAGATATACATCGTCTCTCCGAGAAAACACTCATTGTCACTATTATGGCGACCTCCACTCTCGCCGGGATGTCCGACAAGAAGCCGTTGGAACAATTCCACTACTTCCCAAGACTTCCCCCAGAGCTCCGCATCGCCATCTGGCAGATGGCTATACGCCCTCCGGATCTAAGAGGCGTCCATTACTTTTCCCTCTTCAGGAGTATTGGCGATCGAGAGAGCCCGCTCCTAGACCAAGCTGTCGCCGACCGTCAGTACGACAGGTATCTAGAAAAAGATCAGAGACTTTTTAATATCGAGTATAAAGCTGCTGCCCCAAGAGTTTCTACTCTGCCTGAGTACTCGTGGTTCAACGGAAACCAGTCTCTCTATGCCTGGGATGCAGGTCTTTTCAGCGCATGCCGGGAGTCTAGCCAGATCATTCGCAAGTCTATCAAGCTGGGCTTAGATCTTGACCAATGGGTGATTAAAGCCCAGCACAATGGAGAAACGGTATACCTCCGCGACCACGGACGGGACCTGTTTTTCTTTGAGTTCGAGCGTGAGGATGTTGAGGCATCTATGTCTATTCGTTGGGGTGTCCTCCTTTGCCAGCTCTCTTTCAGCTATTTTACACTTAGCCCATCCAATATTGCCTTTGAATTCCATCCAAGTTGGATCACTTCTCTCCCGGAAGGGGAATTCGACCTGTGTGAGGAACCTAGCCCCCGTGGCCTTGTCTCTCGTGCTTTTGAGGCCTGGTGTTGCGGCGAGCTCCCCGGCTATATCAGGATTTGGCTCATTGACCGAAGCATACAGCTGAGGAAGGAAGTAGAAGAACTATGCTACTACCCTCCTTGGAAATTTTCCGATTTAAAGTATACATACGTTAGCATTAAGAGCCAGGATGTTTTCTTTGGTATTGGGAAGAAGAAGAGGGAAAGAGATAGTGTGTTTTACCTATGCAAGAGGCTTAATCGTTGGGGAAGGACGATTCGTGGGACACCACGAGGGAGCTGCCTCGGTGTTTTGGCCTGCGTGCCGACAGACAAGCAAGCATAATTTGGCATCGATGCGGCGCCCGCATGTCCAGTAAATCAAAAAATTCGTGTCTCGATTTTAGCATGCTCATGTGGGAGTATAACTTTCTGCGCTACGGCGTTCTCTCCTGTGTGCCTTTCAGACCGGCTGTGAGTGTCTTGTCCATTTTGATGTAGTTGATGTCTTGAGAACTAAAGAGCAGCGAATAATTGACACCTGCCTTGGGTTGGTGTGTGGTCTCTCAAAATCCGGGAAGTCGCTATGGAGAGGCTCAGGAGACGTCGATGGAAGGAGCAGCCCCGCCCGCGGACTTTTGAATTTGTAGGATTGACATCTAACTTCTTTCCTGTCTTCTTCTCTTTTCCTTTCTATCACCATCGCCGTCGCCCGTACGTCTAGCCCTTTCTCCCGTTGCCATGCCCCGATTGCTGTCTGGTCGGAATCAAGAGTGCTGACTGTTGCGACATGTGGTTACTAGATCTTTTTTTTCTTTTTTCTTTTCTTTTTAGTAACGATGTGAGTGATCGCTTCCGCCCTTGGCTTTCCGCTGGACCCTCATTCTTTTCTGGCACACGTGCTGACCGACAGAATAGCACCAAAGCCCCGATGTAAGCTGTCCCTCGTTGGTGTGACAGCACATCATCGGTGAAGAAGTCTGACTCCTCCAATTGTAGTGAAAACCAAAATACCTGTGAGTAAGGCTATTTCCTTTCCATTAAAACTTCATCATATGCACTTCAGAAACCTTTTATATGTGCTAACCCAGCACTTCGATGGTCCTGTCTCGACTAGTCACTAGTGAGTTTGAATCCAACACTTGCGGCGTGTTACATTTACGGTCTCTCTGGACTTGGCTAATACCGTGGCTCTGGTGCTTAGTAGCTATTATGGCCGATGTGAGTATTCGCTCAGAACGTCCGTTGATGTCCGTTACGCTGACATTGCCGAATTGCAGAGCACCTAACCGGCTCCTCAAACCCCTGAGGTAAGCACATCGCGACATGATATGTTTGATCGTTGCCGATGTCCTCGGACCTTGACTGACGAAGCGGTGTACAGATGGGCACAGCCGATGTATGCTAGTCACACGGCCCTCTCGACTTTGAGATCTGGTGCTAACCAATGCTTGTCCTGTCTTGAGGTTCCACGAGGACCAGGTTGCTGTAAGTCTCCCACGACTGCATCACCACACCTGTCTTTTAAAGCCTTGGATAGAGGGAGCAATATTTTAATGACACTACTTCTCTTGCGATATGTATTTCGATGCTAACCTGCTTGGATTGTCTTGAAGCGCCACGAACGGCAATTGGCTGTAAGTTTCCACGACCCTATCACCACGCCCACCTTTCAAAGCCTTGGATAGAGGGAGCAATATTTTAATAATGCCACTCCCTTTATGATATGTATTTCCGGACTAAGTCAGGAATACAGTCTGGAATTTAGCAATGGTGGCTTCAAGTTGTTTTTCAGCTTCTCCCCCCTCGCCAAAAAAGGCCGAAATTTTGTTATTCGTTTCCATCACAATCGCGGTGCTCTGTACGTCAAAAATTGGGTCAGAAAGCCTTCAAGCCTTGAAATAAAAAGAACGCGGACCTCTGCTATCACCTCCTCCAAAATATTCACTCTCTGTCTGAGCTGTTCGACTTCCGTGGGCTGGCGATCTTTTTTAGGCACCCTATCTTCTGTCAGATTGCTTTAGATTGTTATTGAGTGTTTCGGCATACCTTTGAGTATCTTTAATTATAAGTTCAACGTTTAGATACCTGGTGGCCGCGTTGGGGAGGCTTTCAAGCCCCATCTGTGCTTTGCTCAACCCCAGGCTTTCCATGAAGACCTCATAGTCTATCTGGCTTATCGGCTCCCTCCAGGGCGGTCCCATGTCCCAGACAATAAGAAAACCACGTGGGAAGTCTTTTACTGATTCTATAAGGTCTGCCCAGCGGAAATCTCGGCTCCCAGCCCGCTCATCCTCCGAATATGAGACTACTACTGCAATAACGACGCAAAAGTCTTTGCAAAGCCTGAGTATTGTAGGTCTGGATGTTCCATCGAAAAGGCAGACGAGATCGCCTTTCTGTATAGGCCTCGCGGAGCTCTGAAGTGTATAGGTATAGCTCCACCCCCGGTCGGAAACTGAATTCTCTGGTGAAGTCAAGGTGAACTCCACACTCTGTCTGTCAGACCAGGCGATGTCACTTTCCACCCAATTGACATTACCTAGGACACAACCCTTGCTTTGAATCACGATCAAATCCTGATTGTCCCAAGTGAATAGCGATATACGTTCGCTTAGGACTGACTTGACAACTTTCTCAAGAAGGGTACTCCACGGAATCTCGTAGTCTGGAGATAGGTCTCTTGTTGTGGCATCATCGGAGCTCATGGCGAGCAAGGCATACACCTTGTCTCTGCGATCAGTCGCTTCGCGTGTGTGGTACATGTCGATAAGCTCCGCCAAAGGCCGTATATTCAAAGATAGCTTGCCATCATCTCTCGTTGCCCATTTTGGACGAAGAAATGAGTGCCGCATGAGGTACATAACTGGATGTATCAGGCTCCGGAGATCAGGGTTAGCTTCGTAGCAGTCTTTCCACAAGTTTAATCCCGAGCAAAACACATAGCCATCAATCTCTGTCGACCCGCACATGACTATGACATGCTGGGCTGCAGCAACCTCTTGAAGAACCTATTCCGAATTGCTATCAGCTTTGACTTCTTCACAGATGTCAGTACTCTTACCCACATGCGCCTAAACCAAGGACGCTGAAGCAGTGCCAGGATTGCCTTCTCTCTTTTTTTGTTCCTCTTTGAAAGTTTTTGCTCCTCGGTCGCTACTCTACGCAACTCGTCGAGGGCTTGTTCGCTGTCGTCTTGTTCCTCTCCGAGACAAACCACTACTCGACTAGCCCTGGCATAAATCATTGCCATCATCTGAACCTGGTACCTCCTCTCCATAGGGTTTGTTTGATCGATGCACACAGCGTCCGCCCATACCAGTCGCTCAAGAATAGGGTCACGTAGATGTAGAAGTGCAACGTGAAGGTTTTCGGTAACAGGAAGCGTATCTTTGCCTATGTATATTGACCTGATCTTCTCCGAAGAGCCCCATGCATAAGAAAGGGCGTCGTATAGATGAGTCTCCTTCTTTGAATCCAGGAGAGGATAGTCGAAGAGGTGACATTCAATTGGTGCATCTCGATGTCGATTTGGCAGTAGTCGGAGCAACCGAATCCATCCTTTTGCCAACGGCGAGTATGGATACGACGAGGACAAGCAATGGTTTGCGGATTTGCTCGCTTCCATCTTGAGGGCAGAGCCCAATATGTGGCAGCACCTGAACCGGCCCTGGTTGAGTCCGCGAGCAGTTGCAGAGATTCAGTTGGCATTCCATGCCCAATATTAGTCTGGGACATCCCTACATGTTGAGGCAGCTGGGACCAGGCCCCGCAATCGGAACACGGCAAATCATATATCCGGTCCTAATAGCACTGATCTTAAAGCAGCATGCTTTTAATAGAATTCGCACTGTTCGGATCACTCCGTGCGCCAAGACATTTGAGTTCGGTAGAGAGGAAGCCAATTTCAATGCTGATATTCCTGGCTTGTCTTGAAGCGCCTCGAGAAGAGTTGGTTGTAAGTCTCCGTGACTCCATCACCACCCACCCCATTTAAAGCGTTGGAGGGAGGGAAAGGTTTTACCTAACACAGTTTTGAAGTCCGCCGGAATAGAGCGAGCCGTAAGTTTTTCTTCAACACAGATTCCCGCTTGGGCGTTAAGGCAGATTTCCTGCGGTTCGGCAGACCCAAGTCCAACAGGCTGCGGTAGGTACCGAAAGATCACGTCCATACTCTTACAGTGTCCGCGATGCTAACGTGGCAATATGGAAAAGGACTATCGAAAAAAAGGCTGCGGTAAGTGCATAATTCTCTTTGACGGCTACTATATGTACAACTAGCCATGATTGCGGAGGTCAGCTAGCGCTTGGGTTGTCAACAGGATCTGCGGGATGAACCAGTAAGTACATTCCTCCGACACTGCTACTCCTGGTTTTTCACACCAAGCCTGGTTCTGATGTGCATGGCTCATGGGATTAGCCCGTAGAGGAGTGAATGACCCCCCCTTTGGACGAAGATAGTCTCTATCGCCGTTGTTCACTCACACGATAATAGAAGGCGGTTGCCACCGCTGTCGCCACCGCCCTGACCGCCCCGACGATGGCCCCAACCACCTCCCACGACATTGTGCCCTCCGGGAATAACCTCTAATCCCCCTGCAGAAGGTTCTTAGTCATTATTATCCCTAGAAACCAGGTCATGAAGGGGTTATCTCGTTTAGCAGGTGAAGACGCTGGGTCCGGGGACCTTGTAGTTGGTGACAGGAGGGTACCAGATGTTGATCTTGACACCGGGGTCATTACCCTGCAACGCTTATCAGTAACTGAAGGACGAGAAACATAAGTTTGGAGGAGAATGATATATCCTTACAGAGTACGCGCCGGGCAGGCTAACGGTGGAGGGCGTCTTGGAACCAGAGCCACCAACAACGTTTATCTGAGCGCATTCCATGTAGAACTGAGCACCGGGGTAGTTGCTAGCACCATGAAGAGCAAGCATCTCAGCACGGAGGAGGTACTGGCCTGACTCGATACATGCGGGGATGCGGATGCTGTGACGGCCCTGGCCATTGATGATCTTCTCGGTACCCCAAACACCAGAACTGTCGAGACCATACTCCTGAATCTTGAACCAGCCGTTACCGACGCCGGAGTCAGTCTTGGCGTCGCCGACCTTCTTGAGGTAGGCCATGATGGGGCCCTTGTGGGAGCTGTCCATGATGTCGTTGGGCGCAGAGCCGGTGGAGCTGAGCATGTAGCGCCAGACGGCGGTGACGTTGCTGCCGGCTTGGACGTCGATGACGGTGTTAGTGGGGGAGGTGGGGTTGGGGGGCCCGTTGCAGGCGAGGGAGTTGGAGGTGACGTCCTCGATGGGACCGTTGTAAGAGGGGATGCGGACGCCGTTGCCGATTCCGTAGTTGACACCGTTGACCTCGAGGGAGGAGAAGATGGTGTGGGCGCTGGCGAGGCCGGCGGCCGAGAGGATGGTGGCGAGCTTCATGATGTGAGAATGTAGTGAGAAGGTTTCTCAGAAAGCCAAAGAAGAACCAAGTACTACTGAGCTGGTTTGAGGTGGTTTTCTTTCCTTGAAGATCGTGCCGGGGTGAGGCACGCGGATATAAATATTGATCTGGGGACGAGACATCCCCACGACGGCGACCACTTCGGCCTCGTGTGCATCTTGGCGATGGGGAATGGGCTTATTGGTGGTGAAATCTCCTGAAACCTCTTGTCGCCCTGGCTGCGACTCTGCCCAGTAGCGTAACGCAGGACCAGTTCATCAGACTCGGAAACAATGTGTACGTGGCAGTGATCCAAACATGAAGAAGTGTGGTGGGAGCAAACAGCATTCTGCGGGAGACCAATGCAACGTCTTGGCGACATTGAAGATGGTCAAGACAACCCGTGACTCGGCGTGGGTCAAACGGAGGAACAAAGTCCGGGTAAAAAAGCCGCGAAATAGATTAATTCTCGCCGATCTCTGGCGCCGCATTCGTGGAACTTGATGACGACGATGCAACTCCTTCTAGGATACGACGAAGTAAATCCTGGCCCCTTTCATTTCCATGATCGCAGACCAATTCTCCATGGTTCCCATCAAAAAAGGAATAGGGGAAAAAAAAAAAAACCAGATACGCTGCGATAATTACCGGCCGTCCCCTCCTCATTTTGATTTCTGTTCGCATGTCGCGTGAAAATGTGGGAGATGGTGCATCCACGACTTCAAGATGTTGAGTTTATGTCGCATGTTCCCCAGCTTTCCCCAGGGTTCTACCACACTTCATGGATCCTTCATTTGCATTTCTTGTTGTCTATGTTGTCGACGCTCTGCCACATCCCAAGCCTTCCACTGGAGACGGGTTGTCTGCCGGGGTCATATCTGATTTGCATAGTCTTCGCATTCATGTTCCTCTTTACCGAGTCTGCTTTCATTTATCAAACCGTCTTCGCTACCACCACTCCGGTGATAATTTGCAAGTGCCGTGCCATTCTAGTGGTTGTTTCCGCTGGGGTTGTCAGAAGACCGCGGTCTGTATCTCCGAAGCTATGTATTCTCATCGTAGTCAAGCTTCATGCGCAAAATTGGGCTTAGAATTGACCTCGTAAGGGCAAGGATTGAATATTGATTCTCACTTTGCGGACGGCGTTTTAACAGCTCTGCTTCTCATTCCTGCCAGGGCCCGTTTTGAGCCACTGGGTTAGGTCCCCATTGTCTCTAGTGAATGTAACTTGGCTGTTCAGGCCCGCACATCCGAAAGTTGGCTGGCCATAGCTACATAGGCTCCTTCAGCGCTACAGGAGAGTTCCTCGGTAGAAAGTGATTATGTCACCGTAGCATCCGAGACGCTATTGTTATCTCCACCATCTATCCCCAAGTGTCACTGTAAATAGATGTTTGCGGGGTCGGCGGGGGCGATGTTCGGCTCCCAAACCCAATTGATACCTCTTATGGTCGCGCGGATATAGACAGGTTCCCTATCCTCCGACCGGAGCATAGGGATTTCTCTCATGGCATAGAAGTGCCACCAATAGCAGTCTTTATGGGAGGATTTGAGACGAGGGAAGGGTCGCCGTTCTTAAACTGCCTGTCAATCGTTGAAAGGTGCCGCTTGCCAAGCTATTTGGGTAATTCTTTCCCAGGTCCGGTCTTACAGTTGACTCTGGAGGCTGCGTCATTGGGCTTCCACCTGTCTCTCTCTTCCTCAGCTTCTTTTCCTTTGTTTCTTTCTCTTTTCGCCTATTAGGAGATATCTGTACATCGGCAGCCAAATGTTCCTCATATCACAGCTTCTTCATCTCTCACCTGCCTAGCAACACTCTACCTGGTCTAGTCTACATAAGTGATGGAATTATCAAATGACTTGATTTGGATGTTGATACTATCTTACACCCTATCTCCCGAACCTAGGTCCTCGAGACATTCTCATCTGTTAGCACGTGTCATAACTTATCAGCCCGCTACTTCCGCCGCCAGTATGTGTATGGGTATATCCTCTTAGCATTTCACTTCTCGCCGTTGGTTCTAGACCCTCTCATTCAACCCCCCAACCAACAACAACAAATGGTTCACCGAATCTGGTTATGTTGATTACCTCTGGGAAACGGTACACCGGATAATTCAGTAGGCTCAGCGACAGCTGAGGCTTCAGCAGCGGTGGAATCCGTCCGCGGTATCACATTTGGCGGAGACGTGGAGGCTGGTGGCATCGCCGGTGGGAGTACACCGGGCGGCAGGTAAGCCATCTGTGCCATCTGCGGCTGCGGCTGGTAGTACGTGCTCGGGGGTGTGGATGAGTAGTCGCTCATGCGCGCCCTGTGCTCCTGACCTGGAGAAACATTTTGGTAAGGCTGCGGAGCCGGTGCCATCATCTGGTAATAGGGTTGCTGGGGGACTGGCATCTGGCCGTACATATGTGGGCCTTGCATGAGGGGCGCACTCGCTGTTGACCCTGCTTCGGGCGATCCAACTAACGATGGCTTCTTCCGCCGTCTCCACAGGAGGAATGCAGCACCGACGATCACAAGCGCGCCGAGGAGGGCCCCGATCGAGATTCCCGCCACAGCTCCTCTGGACAGCCCTCCGTCCGATTCAGGAAGCACGGTTCCAGTCTCCGTGCCAGTAGGTCCGGGGCCTTCCTTTGCAGTTTCCGGTATCGCTGGTACTACGCCGGGGGAAAGAGGATGTGTTTCGAGGTATATTAGGTCGCTTTCGTGCCATCGAATTTGAAGGGCTCGGGCCCATCGCGTAGCGGTCGAGGTCCATGACATGCCGTAAATAATATCCGAGTCGCATACAAATCCACTACCATGCGCCAAATGATGTATTAGAGAAGGCAAGCTCCCCACAAATATACAAGCAAAATGTCCTTAGCCCAGTCTCACCTTGGTATGCAGAGTTTTGCCGTCTCCCCGTCGCTAGGCAGATAGGTTGACACGCCTGACATCTCAAAGTACGATATCCTCAAGCTCGTCCACGCGTCACATCCAACCGTATACCCTGCGGGGCAAATGCCGGGAGAATAATAGCCAAGAGGTGCCTGCGCGGCGGATACCCAGTTCTCGGGCACGCAGGACGCCGGGCCCGAGAACGAGCTCGGAAACGGGTACTCACAGGCCGCCGGGGCAGTGAAGACTGTCGTAAGTGGTTGGACGACGTAGCTCGACGTGTTGAAGTAGAAGGTGAAGTCGGGATCGCGCATGACGGTCGTCACCGTCGGGTATGTAGTCGTCGGCCGAGACATTTTGAACGTGCGATGGGGGCTGTTATTCCCACCAGGAGAGTCTGTTTCCACCTCGGTGGGACAACACCGTCCGAAGAGAACTCTTCTTGTGCCATTGAGCATTCGTAGACCTTATATTATGTGTTGACATCCCTGGGCATTGGTACATGTTCCCTGTTTCGTCCCAGGATAGTAGGGCGCCACCAACAGACTTTCAATTGGCGGTCCCAGCACAAGAAGGAGTCGACCACTTGTGTCCCTGGAGATCATGCACCTAGAGTCGCAACCCCATGCTGCTCACCACCCTCAGCCACAGCTTGTTCAATGCCAAGCCCGGCCCAGGTCCATCTAGGCCCTCCAGGAGCCTTTTTGGGTCGGGTGATCTAGGTTTGTGGAACGCAACACAAACAATCTGGACGATCACATCTCATTCTCTATTCTTTTCATTAATGTTATGGGGGAGAACCCACCTTCAAGATTTCATCCTGCAGCCTTAAAAAAACCAGTGAATCATCCTCCAGACTCTGGGTCCGCCGATCTTAAGGAATTGGGGAGTAATACCTCTGAAGGGTGCAAAGGTTTCAAATCTATGCAGCCCAACAGGGGGCCAATCCATCGGGATGTCCCACTGACATGCTGTCCCTCTGTGTCTGTGCGTAGGATTCGCCCAGGGTGGGTGTGATGCAACCCCTCTACCGTGGCTTGCGCGGGCTCAAGCCAATCATTCCCTCTTGAAGCTGTCAAATCTGACCCCTGACTTGTTGTCATCACCATGATCCAGCCGATCCCATGTTATTAGACGAGAGAGCTTATCATCCACTGGGACTTATCGATACCCTCCAGATTTCTGTAAGGACAGTTGGTGCAGTGGCTATATAAGACTGCTTATAGTCAAGTGGCGCTGATCGTGACACTTGGAGCATCTTTTTGTTGTCAAATGTTCTAGCTGTAAGCAGATCATACATGACAATTTTCTCCCGCCTTCCTTGTTCAATCCCAAGATCACCAGCGACCCACTGAAAAAACCCACTCAAACAGGGTTGGCATCCTCATGAAGAGGCTAGATAATTCCATGTTAGGGTTAAGGCGGGCGTCGATGGGCAGGGATGTCCTTCCGGGCTCTGTCTGCTTGGAGCCCTGTGGCACTGATGATGAATGGGGCCCCCGTTAAAGTCTCCGGAATTGCCACCTCGTCATAATCTTGGCTTCGTTTTTCTACTAACATCATGTTCAACCTCGAGGACGCGTTACTAATGGCTGAGAGTTCCTCTCTAAAACTGAATGGGGCGTACCGACGACGATCCTTCTCTACCTCAATTAGCTGTTAACTGCGGATCATATAAACGTATACGGGCCTGCTTAACTCCCCCTCGGCTGCCCCAGACCAGGATCATTGTCAGGAGATGCCTTCAGCTTCACTCACGGTAGGAAGCAAACCAGTAAATAAACTTATCTTGCCGCGCGAAAACGGAACTCTTTTCTCGGTGTGTATGGTGCACCTCTTCGACGAATATGGTAGTATGTCCGGTCTCCTGAAGCGCAGCACCAACTAGACCCAGCTCGCCCTACTTGAAAAGAAAATTTCGTCCCTAGATGTACGCTATATCGTTCAAGGAAGCCTGAATGAACACCCTTTAATCCGAGTCCGGATGAGATGTCTCCATCTAAAGAGCCGCTATGCTCAAGACCTCCTCCACCTCGCCAATTCTCTCTACTCTCCCCTTCGACAACAAGGCAACAATATCCCGGCCCGGCCGCAGACCCTCAGTTATACCGCTCAACCTATGCGTGATAGTAATGACGGTATGTCCCTTCTCCGTAAACTCTTGGTGAATAATGTTGCGGATGGCTGATTCGGCCTCTGGATCAAGGGATGACGTAGCCTCGTCCAGTAATAAGATCGGCATGATATGTCCGCCGTCAAGTTGGGGCCCCGATGAACTCCGTGCATGGTTGAGGGATTGAAGTTGAAGAATCGCTCGGGCTGCCGCGAAAAGTTGTGACTGACCGGTAGACATTTGCGGCAAGGACGCGATGGAGCTGTTCAAGATGTCGTGGGCTTCTCTCGGTACAGCATTCCCTGCGTTGAAATGTGACCACAGGAAGGTCTTTTGGAGCGCTGCAACGATGGCTTCATCAGGGAGAGAAGCAGAAGGCTGGAATGAACAGGTTGGTCAGTGGTCTTTTTTCAACGACTAATAGTTATGAGACTCGGCAAGAATTCCCTCACGTCTAGATTGAAGCGTAGACTAGCCTGGGCAAGGACGAAAAGATCCTGAGTAACTGTGATGAAGCATCTCTGCCTGATCAAAGAACGGGGGACTAGGCTTAGATCGAGGCCGTCAACCTTGATAGTTCCAGACTTTACGTCCAATAGACGCAGGAGGGTGAGCAACAGGGTGCTCTTCCCGCTGTCAAACAGTGTCAGCTGGAATCTAGAAGAAGAAGTGTTGAAAAACGCTATAAGACCACGGACCTGCCTGTCCGACCACAAATGACTAGTTGTTGACCTGCGGAAATCTTCATCGTGACATTCTGTAGAGCTACTGCTTCGTGGCTAAAGTCCCGTGTTAGTTGTAAAATAACCTGGCCGTTGACCAATCTTCATCTTACTTGTATGCCACCGTGACATCATCGAACTCGACAACTCCGGTCGATGACCAAGTCTCAGCAGGTATAAAATCCTCGTACGGTTTGTCCTCCTTCGGCGTCTCAGCCTCTAGGCTTTTGAGGCGAGAAATGGCACCGAGCGATATTTCGACATTCGTCCAAGATGTCACAAGTGCAAGCAGAGTACCGTTGGCAACTAGCACAATGTTCAGCGCCATACCAATCTGTCCCGCTGTTGTCGTCCCCCTGATCAAAATAGCGAGAGTAATGAGACTGGTTGCTAGGGCGGCTACCATCAGGTCGAGGACGATCCTCAGCCACTGCTGAAGACAGAAGAGTACGTAGGCAGGCTGTTGGGATTTGTCGAGATGGCGGATATTTGCCTGCTCGACTTGCTTCTCCCAGCCGAACGCCCGGATTGTCGCAACACCTTCGACCTATCAATATCATTGTTAGAAAAGAAGAAACACTCACGAATTCAGAAGTGTCACATGCCGACTCGAGGAAACTTGAATACACTGCCGACTGTGACTCAAGATCAAGTAATCGTAGTTGACGTGAGGTGCGCAAATATATCTTTTGTATGAGATATACAATTACCACGCACAGGGGTAGTGTTAGAGTCATCAGTTTCTGTGCACTGAATACCAAGACGGTTTGTACTAGAAGCTTGAAGACCTCTGAAAATAGGTTAGAAAGCTCGGGGGAAGGTCCGCGAAGACTTTAGGAATCTCACGGGTCGATATAGACAGAAAAGCTGGTGGCAAGTGCGTATCAACCAACTGCATATCCTGACTGAATCTGCGAAGAGTTAGCATGCGGCATGCGCGACGATGGTTGTATCAACTTACCGATTCAATATAACTCCGATGTCAGTGGTCGAAAAGTATAGCAATGGAGCCCTGGATTACATTAGTACAGTACAGCAGCCACGGGCAGGGCAATCTGCACGAACCCGATGATGGTTGAAAGAAGTCGGCGGTGGAGTTCAGCTCCAGACTCTGGTGCAATACGGATATGCGTAGACCTTTTCCAAATTTAGTATCGCCGCAGTCCGAAATAAGTGAAATGTGCCGTTACTCACCACATCGAACCATTAGTAGAAACCCAGGCCAGCAGGGATAAAATTAGATAGCCCCCGACGTAAAACCACGTTTGGGAGATGGGCGCTTCAGTCCACTTTTGCAACCAATATTGGGGGAACGTGATAAAGAACGAATATGACGATGTGCAGGCTAGAAGAAGAAGGAAGTTCTGAACGCCAACGGACCGAATATAATAATCTATACCAGGGAGTCAAGTTAGTACGGAAGAAATATAAGTTTATGGAGCGACCTTGGGCCATTACCATAAAGTGAAAAATCCCCAGTTGCCCTGTTCAGATCAGAGATGGCATCGGCAACTTTGAGACTTTGGCTCTGAACGGTTTTGTCCATTTGGGGCTTTTCCTCGGCAGTGCTATGCTGTGTGTCGTTGATGTGAACTTTGAGAATGTGTTTTGGGTCTTGCGTGAAATCCGCCCATGTCCCCTGGTACGTGATTGTATTATTCCCGAGAATGACTAACTGGTCTGCCAAATGGAAATGCGTAGCTGTTTATGATAGTTAGTGCTCGTCCCGGCCTTTTACAGGGAAGGTCTTGAACTTGCAAGAGTTGGTGGCGAAAAAGACAGTTATCCCCATCTTCCTAAAAAGACTCGTTGGGCCGAGGAGGTTCCCCACGATTCGGCTTTCCGTCTTGCCATCGAGGGCACTAAAGCAGTCATCCAAAACCACAATCTCGCAACGGGAATACACAGCGCGGGCAAGTGCCTGCGTGTTTGTTAGTACAGAAATCTCCCAGTCTGACCTTGGAAGATGAGGCAAAGAGACTGTTGTAAGAGCGGAGATCACAATTTACTCTAGCTAAGAGTGGTACTGCGATGGCTCCAACAAGAACGCATGTCGGGTAGATATTTTGCACCAGAGGAAGAATGGGGATGGAAACATACTACTCGCTGTCGTTGTCCCCCGGAAAGATTCAAGCCTCGGCTTCCGATCGGAGTGTGGTCTCCTTTGGGGAGTGTTAAAAGGTCTTCGTCGAGGCAGCAAAGTCGAATAACCTGTTCGTACCAGCCTGGCTCTTCCGGGCAAAAACCGCACACGGCCTCCTTGAGAGTGCCACTTGGCAGCCATGGTGACTGTTCACACCAGCCTATGCGCTTCGACGACACCGAGATTTCCCCACGCGCCGGAGAAACTTCGCCCATGAGGGACTTGGCCAGCATCGTCTTGCCGCTTCCTACTGATCCGGAGCATATAGCGATCGACCCTCTGTTAATGACCAGATTGATGTTTGTGAGGAGCGGAGGCATTGATGGACTGGTTTGAATTGTAACATCCTCGAAGCGGATGGCTGGTGAAGTGTCGCTCGAGCTATCATGGACCTTCTTCAATGTTATTCTTTCATCATTTTGAGGCGGCTGCAAGAGATACTGCTGGATGCGATCGAAAGCGGCCAAAGAGCCAACTGCCCTAGGGATAATCGTCATGATCATGTTTGCAGGGTGAGTCACTAATCCGAGAAGTGCAGTGGTCGTAAATGCAGTCTCCGTGTCAAGTGCTGTGCTGCTGAAGCTTGCCACAATGACGAAGAGCACGAGCGTCAAGATGGGCGAGAATATCCCAAGGGCATTTGCTGCAATGGTCAGGCAATGAGATCCCCAAAACGAGAGATCAAGGGAAGGACATACCACTTGCATTGTAGGCAAGCATCATCCACCGCACTTTACTAGCCATCTCCAGCTCTTGAAGTCGCAGGTTCTGGATCAGCGATTCAGTGTACGCAGTAACCCCAAGCATCTTCAAGCTTTTCACCGAGGCGAGCATTGATGTGGTCATCGCAATGCGGTTTTGGGTAGCCACATTCCAGGCCTTTTGCTTGGTCTGAAGATTTTTGGCCAAGTACCGGCTCATTCTGGAACAGACTTTGATACTAGTTATTAGCGTGAGACTGAAGGAGATGACGTACGAGGACCTACAGAAGATGATGACGAGTGGAACAGGGAAAACCCACCCGACTTCTCGGGCTAGCATCGTCAGACCCAATATAACCTCGAGGATCTGCGCCCATGCCTCGTGGAACATGGGCGCAGCTTCGGTTACATTATCCGCATCTGCGCTCATCAGCGTCACAGCTCGTCCGTCGTCGTAGCCGCCTGACTGTTGACTCAGGGACTTGTGGTTGATGAGACCGACAACAGCACCTCGAACCATAACCCGGAGCAAATTCAGGCGGTGTTGGTACCATGCCCCGGATAACTAAATTGTAAGTTAACGACTAGAGTCACGCAAAATCTAGGATTGACAAGACTTGCCGCTAAGCCGACATATACGATAACCGCCATCAGAATTACGGAGTATTCTGTTTCCGAAGATTGCGACGATGGCTTGCTCATGGAGCGGATTGCGGTGCTGATTAGAACTGGTTGAGCGTATCGAAATACCATAAGGGAAAGTCGAGGGATGACCGGTGCGAGAAAATGGGGCAGCATGCTGTGGGCCAGAACCTTGGGCAGCGTTGTCTTTGTCTCTGGTTTGGCTGCGAACTTGTTAGGGAATTCCTGCAAGATCGAGCACTGGCTGCAGGGTTGAAGCACGGGGATTAATACCTCTCTGGTCCCAAGCTTGCAAGGCCCGATGACGGCGTAATTTCGACGACAGCTTATGATCCATCGGTGGAAGATCATCCCCAGTGAGGATTTTCCGGTTTCCTCGTGCTAGAATTGGATTGATCCACCAAAAGAACGCCCGACTCAAGATACCAGCCAACTCCTCCGGGGGCCATTGACCCTGGGGGCCTCGGAGGATCTTTTCTTTTCCTCGACTTTCGGTCATTAGAAGTAGGACCTTGAGGAAGAGATTCGCTGTGGGAGGCCCGTCACTGGCAGAGACTCCATTCTCATACACAATCGTTCCCAACTCGGCGGAATCGCACGCCAAAGATGCAAGTAAATAGACAACAGCTAGATCGGATGGTCTAACAGACCTAGCGTGCTCTAGGAAGAGCAGCGGGCAGAGGCCTAGGCATGCTATAAAGGAAGCAACGGCTGAGAAAACTCTAATGTCGAATTGAGATGTCGGGGACACCGGTGTAATCGAAACGATTGCTTGGACCAATGATAGTAGGATCGCGATTATCTATCTTCAGGTTAGTCGATTTGCGAACCAAGTTTCCACCCCTTGACTACGGACTAGTTTCGTAAGACCGTGGCGCCCCGGAGCGACCTTGATCGTTTCTGTGCGAAGCTTCGAGAGGCGGAATGGCAGCAGCAGCAGAAACAAGGTGGAAAAGGCAGCGGAAACAAGTTGAAGTGGTGGATACATAATGCGCTCAGTCCGGCTTGCGCGAGTCTGCTTCAATACTTCCTGATAGAATATCTTGCGCTCCGAAGGTTCTGCTACGAAAGTAAAAAGGAGAACGAAGAGATGCGGCGTGGAACTTCAGGCACGCGACCTATAGGGTGTCTGATAGACTCCACCTCAGTCTACCAACGGTTCTCTACTTAATGATCGGGTCCGACTGTAATACCATTTGTATAAATCTTGACGACGCGTCCCAGTGATGGTGGGGAAGAGTGCTCATTTCCACTCACGCAGCAATATGCAAAGAACGCGTTTGATAGGCTCGGGTACGAAACCCAAGTGAGATCACCTTCCCAGGGGAGGCCATCCCGTCTGCAGGAGCCGATGGCTAACTGACGACCGTTTATGACCTTCCCTAATTAACGTAAAACGGGAAGTAACCCTGACAAAACCCAAATTGATACCGACAGCGTGCTGCGGCGTCCCGATTAGGTTTTAACACATGAAATTGTTAAGGAGTACAAAGTCTTTGCTGGTTCACTAAATGGGGATACAAGCGCGAGTGTTCTTTAAACCTCCCTCTTTTGCCGAGGTAAGGTGACTTGTATAATACTGCCTTCGATACAAAAGTACCAGGTAAATGATGCAATGCGGGCAAGCTGGGCGATACGAGGTCCTAGTCGATCCTGGATCCGCACACTGCGGGCGCAATTTTCCGAGACTCCGTGATTTGTATCGAGCGATAATATCCAGGTCGAGGCGGGCCGGCCAGCGTTAATGAATACGAAAATCGTCGCAATAGGCTGTTTTGGGCGTGTTTCGTGAATGCAACGGACATCTCAACCACTCAATTTCAGGCTTAAAATACGAGGAAGCTAAGCAGTCAATAACCCAGGGCCTCGAGCCATTATCTGCAATGGTCTTCTTTTTCAAAGCGCAAATGAAGCTCGCTACATGGTGCAATACACAGACGGGTACGGTACACAGGTAATGTGTTTCAGGTTAGTCCTACCACAGTACCACTTAGCAGTGTGGTACTCTACCCAAAACTTGTGTAACTTTGAATGTGGGGTAACTAGAAAATTGCGGGTCCTTTCGAGGCGGCACCAGCAACGGGATTTTGGGAATGCAGTGTTTCTCAAGACTCCGAGGAGATCTGACAATGTCGACGGTGAACAACCGAGCCCATACCGCACTCCAAACCATCAACCTGCTCGTAGAATTTCCACCGAGGCCTTTGAGAGATCTACTATTTCGGGATTGGTAGGAACCCACTGTTAGAGAAGATATGATTTGCTGAGGTGGTGATCTACTTTCTCTCTACTTTCACCGTCCTATTGTACCCTGAAACCGGTTGACCCTTCTTCACCTTTAAATACCGGGCGTCTCTTAGTGTCTTCCTTGGAATGTGATTCCAATCGACAGTGATTTCGGATAAAAAGGGGGGCGGCTACGGCCGTGCCCATATCCGGACGCAGCTGCGCCGTCCAATGCTCAAAGTGCTATTGTCGTGTAGACCTTCCTAGTACCCTCTGAGCAAGTTCTGGCAAGGCAACGTCGATTATTAGCGAAGTTGTTGAGCTTGCGGGTAATGATATTAAGAAGGTAGTCAGCCTCCGTCTCACGGAAGCTAAAATGGGTACTTAGATAGTTTCGGCTATGACGGTCGAGGTAAGAAATGCGTAAAGTGTCAAATACAAAAAGAAGAAAAAAAAGTCATCAAGCGGTTTAAAATTCCTCATGTTGGGGTCCATCATCTGGCAGAACGGTGGAAAGCACCAGACAGTTGCTGTATGTTTCCATTTCGAGGTCGTCTTCGTCCACATACTGAAGTATCAAGAGGAGCTCTAGAAAGCAGCCCAGCGCGAACCTGGAGAAGGCAGAAGTTCAGAGGCGAACGGAGAGATGCGCCGGGGGGTTAGATATAACGGCAAGAGCACTTTCTGTACCTTCCTGGGCAGATCCGAGCTCCGCCGTATTATGCTTTTTATATGAGGTTATGGAGGAACTCCCAACCGAGCAGCTCAAGCACCAACATTGCGACCAAACGGCCCAGCGGTCATCGGAGCGCTCAGAAAGTTAGAACAAAAGGTGTTTTTCGTAGCTACGTGTCCGGCGGGGAGAATTGCTTCGTTCGAAGTCCAGCCAGAGCAGCGCATGCGATCTTTTTGGAATTTTTTTATCCATTTATCTTTTCGTTGTTTCAACCGATACTTTTTCGTGGCTTTTGCCTTATCGATGTACGTATTCAGCACCCTCATGGTGCGCTGCATACTGAGGCGGTCGTTAATCGCATGACGTCCCGGTAAGCCCACATCCTCGAGCCGGGAGCGTCGTCGAATAAAGCAGCGACATGGGCCGATGCTCTTTTCCTAGCCCGGATCTTCTGCATCACTCATTGGCTCGAGGGGACTAGAGTAGTGGCCTGGGGTAGACGCGAGTGGGGGACGACCTTGAGCTTAAAGCGTGGCAGCAGGCAGTAGTGGGTACGGAGACACACTCTCTCTGCCAGGTCTACCCATAACTCCCAACCCGATCCTGGGAGAAGCGGGCGAGCGCGAGATATAACTTCAAGAGATGTCGAAAGAGGTTTGTTTGTTCCATTTCGTCAAGTATTGGGAAGCAGGTTTCGACGAAGGACAAACTCTTCCCCATAGATGGTGCTAGGTATTTTTGAAGGACCAGAAAGCCGGAAGGGGGTACATGAGATGGGTTCGATTTTATGTAGTCTGAGGGATCAAGCTATCTGAAACTGCCAGATATAAGTTCCAGCATTCTCAGGTGGTGTCAGGAAAAAAAAAAATGATAAAATGGCTAGAGTGGGTGAAGTGTTCCTCTTATCCATCAATTTCGCAGGTGTACAAATACGTTTTCGATGGCGGACCGTAGAGTCGATTCACATGACAGTGAGGTATGGAGAGACATAGACACGAGAAAAGCAAACTGCGTCAAGGAAGGGGATCCGGATAGACGGTAAATTTGTCTGCATACCACATATAAGAAGCATTTCTCAACTACGCTTCTCGTCGGCGGATCCTGTCTCACCTCCCTCCCTTCACATCTTTAGTCAGCCAGCTCTGGAATGTGATCCTCAACTATCAAAATATATCATCCCTTCGATGCCTGGGAACCATTCCCCACAGGCAAAGATATATCGGAGAAATGAATGGATCAATGAGATAATATGAAATCCCAGCTCATGAGTCTCGGTACGGTTTTGGCGCATCTTCATAGGAACGTACTTGTTTCTAACACCAAAGTTTTCTTCGGATACAGGCCTGCTTCGGGCAACTGACTCAATCGCGTGGACAAGTATATTCCCCTACGTTTATTCCATGATTCGATCTTACGGCAGCGTCGAAGAAACGCAGATCTCCTACTACGCAGGACTCATGATAGCCGTATTCACCTTTTGCGAATTCTTGAGTGGAATGCTCTGGGCCAAGCTAAGCGATCGAATTGGTCGCAAGCCCGCCTTGCTGATTGGGTCGTTTTGTGGTATCGTTACCGCGCTTGCCTTGGGATTCTCGAAGTCGATCTCACTGGCCGTTGCCTCGAGGGCTTTTGGCGGCCTTTTCAACCCAAACGTGGGCCTTGCCCAAACCTGCGTTGTGGAGTCGGTTCCGGAGAAGGATGAGCAGGGTAAGCCATGGCATGAGATCTTAACTGCATGACGCGTGACTCTTTACGGCTCCCAAATCTGACGACAGTAATCTTATAGCCAAGGCTTTATCGTTTATCACGTTCCTGAGATCCACTGGGGAAGGCCCCGGCATATTTATTAGTGAAAAGTCCAAACTTAAACCTCAAGCCGACATCACACCCATTGCTCCCGTCGACAGCAATTTAGCTGGGCCAGTGTTGGGAGGCTTTTTAGCAGACCCAGCTACATTATATCCATCCATCTTTCCACAAAAATCAATATGGACTTCGTATCCATGTTTTGTTGCCAAACCTGGCTATCGCGTTTTTCCAAGCCGCGAGCTGGGTAACAGCTTTCTTCCTTTTACCGGAAACTCACCCCGAACTATCGGTCCAACCTAGCCGAACTCTGGGTATTTTGCGCCTCATAAAAAGCTTTGTCGCGAATTGGAGCCCTATGTCACCAGCTGAGGGCGACTACGAGCTCGTGGATAATGGTCAGCCAGAATTGCAGGCCCTCAGAAGGGCGTATGGCGCTCCCTCCATCCATGAACTGGAAGACATCTCCGTTGACAAAGAGTTTGGAGACCATCTCAGCCCACCCGTGGGCGAGGGCAGGGCAGTTGCGTTCACTGCACAGGTTATTTTCCAAATCGTCTCAGTCTCGCTTCTAGCCCTCCACAAGGTATCATCAGATGCAGTAATGCCCACGTTTCTTGCCATCTCCGTAGCGTCGAATGGACCGGAATCCTCACCTCGTCGGAACCTTCTACAATATTCCGGCGGGTTTGGATACGGCAACTACGAAATCGGGTTGATTCTCCTATCGCAAGCCGTAGTTGCCGTCGTCACTCAAGCCACCGTGGTGCCTCTCTTTATCAATCGCATGGGGCCGCTTCGGGCATATCGTGTGATCCTCTGCGTTTATCCGACGATGTACCTCTTCACACCTATCCTACCGAAACTGGCGCCATGGATGTCCTTGATTTTCGTACTGTTTGATCTTTGGACAAAGGTCATTCTCTCTTCTGTCGGATATAATATATGTTCTGCGATGTTATAAGTAATAATGTTCGCATACGGGGAGACCCCTCAGCTCCTCTGTTTACACACACCCTAACTCGTTGAGTAGAATCTCGAACACGATATCCGAAAAGTACTACATTGCTCGTGTAAATGGAGCTTCTGCTTCATTTTCATGCCTTACACGATCTGTAGGTCCTATCGTGACCGGCAAAATCTTCACAATAGGCCTCGAGCTTGGATACGTAGGCATTGCGTTCTGGACCCTGACGGGCATTGCGTTCCTTGGATCACTGGAGTCCTTTATTCTAACGGATCACCCGTGATATGGCTATCCTCTTTTCTCTCAGTGGGTTACAAAACGTGTTCAGAATTGTACCAACATGAGCTCCTAATAGCTCTATTTGTTCATTATTGATCCCCTACTTGATTCGAAAGTATTAATGGCAATAGAGGTGCAAAAGCCATCGATTGACCTCCCACTACAGGCCGAGGTCTTCTACTTCCTCGTGATAATTGTCAAATTCAGGTACTCCGAGGAATTGAAAAGTCCGGACCCGCTTCCTCTGTTTGGAAGAGCATTGTCCGGGGCGGGGCCGCGGGTGGGCAGAGAATTTTTTTTTTTTTTTAATCTACAGTAGCTGTGTCACCGCCACCCTCCGTGCCAAGTGGGTTTTGCTTGAGGATTATTTCCGAACATACCATAACAAGATCGGGATACATGAGGCGATAAGGAGGTGCTTTGCGCGTTTAATAAAGTTGACTAAACTAAATTAAGTCCTTTTGCAAAGCTGGGTTTGTACGTTGTATAACCATGATTTGTTTGATTGTGTTAGGTAGGAGAGGTTGTAAACTACTTGGTACTTGAAATTCACTCAAGTGACAATGGCCCCTTTGTTCTATTGTCATCCGCCGATCCCAGTGTCGAACCAATGGGTGTCTGATGCACTTTAGCTGTGAGATGCGATGAGGCAGGTGGTATCGAGGTCCCACCCCGCGGGCCTGATCCGTCTGGGTGGAACCGGGGTCAAATGGAACTGGGGCGGTCTGCATCGTCGCGCAGGGCTCATGGGCTATTCATCAGTGCCCCTGGGCCCGTCTTGCCAGGCACCAAATCTTCAAAGTTTTCTCTCCCGATTTCCACCCGACCCGATCCATCTGATCCTCTGCATCCACCTTTCACGCTCGCTCGCAGTGTCGGCCCCCAACTGTGCTCTAGATCCCCGATCCCTGATTCTCAGTCCTCTCTTCCGAACAGTCGCGACCATTAATATTGTCACTACTATCATCACCATCACCACCACGATCATCCTTACCATCAAGCACTTCAATACTTCAGCTCGCATATCGACAACCAGCAGCAGAAACAACTACGCGTCTCGTCTCCTGTGCTACTTGGCCCCTTCTAGGCTTGTTAGCCTACTTTGGGGCTGTTGTCAATGCTGCGGGTGTGCTGGAATTCGACGTGATCTTCCCGCGTACCAACGAGACATACGCCGTCAGATAGGTTTCCCATTGTCTTTGCACTACAAAATGCCGAGCTCGCCAAACATATCCCAATCTCTATCCAATCGCTTGTTCGCCAAGGTGCTGACTTTCGGTCAGCAACTGGGGACTCATTGCGCCACCTAAACCCAACCTCTCCTCCAGCGAACCCTACTTTATTTCAAGTCAACCTCACCACTGAGGAGCCTCATGAACTATTTGGTACTGTTTACTGGGCAGGCTGTGATGAGAGTAGCAATCCAATCGCCTTCAGTAGCAATACCACCAACTTCAGTGTCTACTTTACTATCAAGAAAGGTGGCCAAGAAGCCAATCTTGTTACTGCTACAGAGAAATGTGCTGCCCGAGATGGAGTTGCTATTACTGTAACTGACCAAACACACGAGGTTCCTGAGAGGCCGTCTTGGCAGGGGCAACCATTCGGTACTTGCGCAGTATTGGTCTCTTCTCCAACCCCAACCATCAACCCCTGCCGGTTTAAGATCGATACAGCTGCAGCGGAGAGCATGTCTGCTGTTATTCATGCGGCAATGTGCAGAGGCTTGAACCGGCCTGCCGACTGTCCGAAGGAAGAGGAAAATGCCGTCCACCAGCTGGTTGTTGTCGGTGTTGTGAGCTTCGCCGCTGCTCTCGGCGCCATCGGTTTCCTTCTTGCCTGATCAGATAACGGGTGATATGACCCACCCGCACCCACGACCTTCTCACGACCCCCCTCCTTTTCTGTGGGCCTTCTCTTAACCGTTCCTCCCGTCTCCCACTCTTCCTCTCGGTTAGGAAAAGGGGTTATAGGAGAAGGGGTAATATGACAATAGCAGCCGAGGTCCCCCTTACTTAAAGGTAGGTGCTGTCACTTCCTCATCGAGAATCAAATCCATTCCGACTCCGACATCAAGCGGCATCTTCAACACACTTACTATCTGTGTAGTGGTAACTGAGATACACACTTTGAATTACGAGTCCAGTCCCTCTGAACAACTTGAGACATACTGACAGTCCTGCCCTCATCTAGGTGTCCGCAATACAAGATCACACCCAGAGCTACCCAGTCACCATGGTGGCTTCGTCATGGCTCACAGTGGCACTTGGGGCTGTTAGCCTCGTGCCAGGAGCCGTGGCGTTCATCCATTCCCCTTCTTTTCCTCCTCTTCTTCCCAGTAGCTAGTTATCCATAGTCCATCAATTTATAATCAAGGTTCAGGCAGCATCAGTTTTGATATTCAGTTTCCACATGTCAGCTCTTTTGTCAATAATAGCCCCAAGATCCACCAACAAAGTCCCCATGGTTCTTGTACACAACATATTACTGATGCGGCGCAGCCACCGACATGCATATTTACCTTACTCCATCTCGCATGTCGGCATGCGTAAGAGGAAAACTGAAAACCTAACACTCTCATCTGAAAGTAGAGGGCCGCGTCATGGGCATAGTCAACAGGGCTCAATGAAATAGTATTTTTGATTGGCATGGTTCTTATGATTACTGTAGTACCTAGGCAATCGAGGAAGTGGCTAAGCATCTGAAAGTCGGCCGAACCTCCCACTCTATACGATGACCTAGAGATTGGCTACACTTCGCCAGAAGTGCTAAGTGGTTCACGACGGGGGGCGTTGATAAGTGCTTGCTTCGTCGCGATCTACCAAGAAACGCCGAAACAGTTGGAGCGTGCAGATTAATCAACGCTTAGGTCAGCTTACAACGGGCCGTCGGATGCCTGCATTGGGCGCCCGAACCTGCATCAAGTGAGAACGAATCACATTTCGCGCCCAAGGGTGGGTCGCAAGTTTACCGGCCACCAAACGTAACAACAATATGCTGGACCCGGTTATGATGTCGATCACTAATCAATACACTGTTTTATAGCCTTCGTTGCCAGCGAGGGCGATATTTTGGCTAGCCCTTCCGCCATTCTTGGCTCCTACCTACTTCCAATACATAGAAGCCACATCGGCAGGACCTTTCAGATCGGGCTCCTGAGGAGCCAAACGCCTCTTGAACCCCTAAGGGATGTGAAATATCAACCCCCTGAACTTCGTGTTAATCTGGAATGATGTACTACCTTACAGAGAAAAGATTTTCATCGTTTGGCTGCTGGTCGGCCGCCCGGTTGCCGCTTATACCGAATATCCACCTCGCCAGTAACAACTCCTAGACACGTGTATTCGATGAACCCTTTAGCTCGGCGATGATCAGCAACCACAGTCGAAATAACGAAAGGACCTCACATGGAAGGATTCGATGTTGCATCGGGGTAGGACGGGCGTCAGCAGGTTAGAATCGGAATGGTAGCCCGATGGGGTAGACTTACGTAGCCAGTCGTACTCTTTCCTCCTTGGGGTGTTGGGAAAAGGACCGTCATGAAGATGAGAAACTCGATGAGAATACTGCATGGAGACAGAGGGCTAGGGAATCAAACTTAGTACTACACGCCGGCGTTCCTCATGAGCAGGAAATTATATAAAGCTCGAGCCCGCGCCCTCTTCGCTCCCATCTTCGCCATCATCAATTCACTCACACATCTCCTCCACAACTTCAAACACTCAGAACACCAGCCTTCCAAAACTTTCCCACAAATTTAAGCAACTCTTTTCAAAATGCAGTTCACTATTGTCCAGACCATCGCCCTCTTCTGTGTCGGCGCCATCGCCATGCCAGGCAACGCTCAGGTTGGCGGCCTCGAGGCACGCAACATCGAGGTTCGCGCTGACTGCAGCCACATCCTACCTGCTTGCAACGGCGGGAAAATCGTTGGCCAGACCAACTGCCGCTGCAAGGGCCAGAAGGAGACCTGTGATCTCTGGACTTGCCCTGGTCCTGCCCCTAACACCGTAAGTCTTTCCTGTTCCCCTACTAACCGACCCTTTAACTACTCAAGCAATGCACACAACCAGTCGTCTCGCGAGAAAAGAACTACCTGCTAAAGACCTTTCTTTTGTTTATAGATGGTTTGCGGCCAGGCGGGTACTGGGTGCGTCTGGATTTAGGTTTTGAACACCTATCCCTTCCGCGTCAGGCTTTTGTGAGGATTGTCAGGGATGCAGGTGGCTAGTCACCATCTCTGGCAGCTTTCCCTCAGAGGCAACAACGTCAAGAATCGAAAACACCCGACATCACCCTAACCCTCGCTCTCATCTCTTTCGCTCTAAATCGGGGTCCAAATGATGTTTTGGAAATACAACACTAGTACAGGCTTTAGGACGGACTGCCCCGGATTATTCTTCTTCTTCTTTATACTTGTTTAGAATCTAACTACCTTCGTCACTCATTAATAAAGACTGCCTGGGCCGGGCATACTCGAAACGAAAAGGAAGAAAAACCACTCCTGCTAAATGTTATTTCCGCATTCTCAACCCGGTTTTACGTGATACTGCCCTTTGACCTCCTCCCTCGTCTTCCTCACCCCTATCCAGGTTAAAGCAGGACCAGTTGTTCAGGTCTGAAGGAGGAAAGGAAAAAATCTTAGTGGCCGAGCTCCGAGGCTATTTATAGGCCGGTGTCGAACTTCGCGAACCTAGTCATTGCACTACATTCTTCAAAACGTTCTAGTCATGAAATGGAAGATGAAGACGATAAGAGCTGAGCTGAATTTCCTCCGCCCACACCTTGACATCTCTGCGTTCGATAGAGAGACGTCCCTATCTATAGTCAAGCTTGGGTAAAAGAATGCCTTAACCTTTCTTGGCCTTGACCCGCCATTCCGCCATTCGCAATCGCGTTGCGAATGGCATCCTTGGCCACAGCAAGGAACGTGTGAGCGTAATGCTCTACAATTGGTTTATCATGTTCGGTTGCCCACATGGGTAATTTAATTGCTCTCTTCCAAAACTCGTTGGCACGGGGAAAGTCTGATGTCGGTTGAGGCTTTGTCCACCGTTTGTCGCCGAATCTCGGAATGGCCTCGTGTGACTGCGTGAATAATGGCACATCGTTGAGGAGGCCAGTCGATCTCGGAATGTCTACCTCCTTTAGCCCACGGTCTTCGAGTTGCTTGACGAACTTTTCACGAGTCAACCCTCGTGGGGCCTCGTCCGGGTTGAATTGCATCAGGAACGCGTACCAAGAGTGACGATCCTTTTGAGAGTCATGTACTTCAGGCATCTCAAGGAACGGGATCTCTTTTACCTCACTAGTGAAGTAAGCCGCATAAAGCTGTCGGTATCGGTCATGGCTGGAAAGATATCAAGTTGCTGGTTCGCAAGCGCTATGGCCAACGGGTGGGCACGTAGATTCAGACCCAATCCGGTCACTGAGTAGTGAGAAGACAGTTACAATTAGTACAATTAGAGCAGAGCTTCTCGGGGAGAGCGAGGCCGGGTTAGAGAAGCTTACGCCAGAATTTGTGAAGCGGGTGAGTCTCTGGAACTTCCTGCTTGGCTCTCTTATAGGATTGCTCGAGAAAAAGAGTCGGTCAAATTCGTCGCTAACACGCCAGCCTGCCCACTCACCAAGTTCTTTTTAGCTTGAAGGGACCACCATGTCGCCCACGTCCCAACAAGCTTTCCATCAACCACGGCTCCGTGGGCGGCGTGCGAGCAGTCTTCGAGGACTTTGATACCTCCGTTGACTCTGCGGGTGTTCTTCACAACCTGGGCCATCCGGCATGGCAAGCCCCACATGTGAGTGACAATAACGGCTTTGGTTTTGGGCATCGCTCGTTTCGAAATCTCTTCCGGATCACTGTTGCCGTCGGGGAGAGCGGGCAAAATATCGGAATAGCTCCATATTGCAGCATTGGGGTAGCCGTGGCGAAGAATGTGTACACTGGGCATAAAGCCTCGTCGCCTAGGCGAAGATCCAACGCCTCAAACATGTGAGGGATGGCGATAGTCCCCGAGTTGCAGAAAAGGGCATGTTTCAGCCCGTGAATTTCGCGCCACCTGTTCTCGAAGGCCTCGTATACGTTGGAGCGGTTGTAGATGAATAAGGACGAGTGCATTTGCTGCTTGATTGCCTCCTCCGAGTCTCGGGAGAGCAATGGCCAGACATGATGGTCACCCTTCAGTGATGCTTCGTGGAAGTTATTTGAGGATTGTAGAGTTTCCGTCGTTCCTGGATTATTACGATAAGAGCGGCGGATTGCATCTGTGACTCGGACGACATCTTCAAGATTACCTAGTGCGGCAGGAAAAACTGAAGACGAGGACTATTCACTCCTAATCCAAGCTGAAAAGCTCCGGAGCATAGAGTGGATCACAACGTATCCCGGAAGCGAAAGGTTTCATTCCCAGCGCTATCTCGCATCGTAACCTGCTTTCCCTCTAAGAGAGTGCCGTTTGCCCCGGTGATAACCAGCGACTCTTCTCCATGATGGGCGACGCGAGAGAGATGTACGCTCCGGATGTTATGCTGTCGGGCCCCCCTGAAGTTCATGATAATATTAGAAATGTCGTCTCCACCGTATGTCTGGTCTACCCGGATGCCGCAAGAATCAAAGACGAAGAGTGCGCAGACTAAAAGCCATTTTCGGATTCGAAGCTGAGTTCTAGTATCATCAAGGCTGAGCAAGGGCTGGCGAAAGCTTGTCGCGACGTGACCGCGACCAGGTCACGAGGAAGCGGTGTGGCACGGCAGAAAAGAAGTCACGTGGAGAATTAGCCAAGGAAGTCGGAGGACTGTATGTCCGACTGATCGGTCGAAGATAAGTTCGACGGAACGGTCGCAAGAACGATCGACCGGTCGGTCAGCCCACGGGCCGACCGACAAGGGAGGAGCTTGGAAGAGAAACGTCTATATAAGCCACATGCTCCACCATGTATCTAGTTTGTCTTTCAAAGACTCTTCAGTAGTTAATTTAAGTAACACTTACACCCTACACTTGTATACACACTAATCACCCTGCATACTGCTTGACTACCTCACCTGCCTTATTAAACAGGCCCCGCAACCCTATCCCAGACTCAAGCTACAAGTAATCCATCGGTAGGATCGTAACAATGCTGAGCTCGGCTGATGGGGGGGTAAGCGACGCAAAACAGGCCCACTTTTAGAAATAAGGCAGCCTAGGAGATACAGCCAGGGAAATCCAATTCCCGCAACATAGCTTGTCGGAGCCCAGCAGCACAACCCAATAACACAAACAAGACCGTGCCGCCCGCCCACAGGAATAACTGACAGTGGCTGGGAGCCACGCAGCGAAGAAGAAATGGTCTGATGGTCGTCGGAATAGTCTAGTGGGAAAGTAGGACATCGCGAAGTCAACAATCAGTCAGAATCTGCACCGTAGGACATCACATCCAAAGAAGAGAAAAAATATTATAAGATAGAAAAGAAGTAGTATTGAGAAAGGAATAGTAAAAGAACGACTTTCAGTAACAACTCTCTGGCGACAGGAAACGACTGATTACTCGCTGCTGCCACGTTGTCCTTCGCCTTCTTCCGCGCTGCTCTCTTCTCTAAGATCTATTCTATGAAATTGGGGGCTACCATCGCCTTTTATGTGTAAGTGAGGGTCGGATGTGTGGTGACTCAAAGACAGTTCTTCTATTGTTTTATGCGCCTAAGTGTCCTGTATTTGACACTTACATACTTTTTGACTTGTCCCTATTCAGAAGTCTCCTTTCTTCATGATCTAGCTCTATTTCCATTGATCAACAGTTCCGACGTTCTATTACTATTCCTGCAGGAGGGATTGCAGCAGCTTCTTGCGGGAACCATTCCAGACCATCTAACCATCTGTTTCTTTTATTTCACTCTTGTAGTGATCGGGCAGGCTGCACTGCTCCGTTTCACTATTTACTACTTAAAAATATATGTAATAAGTCTATTATTATTGTAAATTCACTAGAAATACTAATATTTATAAAAAAAAAAAATTTACTAGTACTTTTAAGTACTTAAATCTATTATAATAAGCTATACTATATATATAACCTTAATCAGAGCCTCTGACAGGTTCAAGGTCTCGGGATGTGCCAGAAACTCTAGAGTTGACAGCAGTCAACAGTTGTCAGCGGACAATTTCCACATGAAGTGTGTCAGGCACAAAGGGTGCGGTCGAATGTTCCGAATCCGTTGCCATTGGGTCCTTGCCGTGCCAAGTTATCGTCGGCCGGCATGTGATTGGCGCAGCCGGCTCCCAGCCTGCCGGAGTCCTCAGGTGTCGTGGCTGAAATAGATTAGGCTAAGTTGGGCCTCAATCAACAACCACAGCGACTATTTCGTCCGAACACGTAGCATCCGTAGTCCAATCCCAGCGGCAACTCCCTCAGCCGAGCCGGTGATATACCCATAAATGTCTCCCAATCCGAACGAATCCATCGCCGCAACCCTCTATCAGCCCCTCAGGCAGGACAGAACAGACGACACAATCCAAGAGCTGCGCCTCCTCTCCATTGACACCGTCCCCGTCGACCCAGCCTCTAGCGAGCTCATCTCCTGCATCCTCCGGACCTACTCTTTCGCCGACGCTCAGAAGGCTGGCTACTTCGCCCTCTCGTACGTATGGGGAGATGCCGGCGATACGCGACCCATTCTGGTCGACGGCCTAACCTTTGCCGCAACGCGCAACCTTGTCGACGCGCTGATCCATGTCTGCGCCGTCGAGCCGGCATGCCGCGCCGGCCTGTGGGTCGACGCCGTGTGTATCAACCAGGTCGATGTGGCGGAGAAGAACGTCCAAGTCGCCATGATGGACCGCATCTATGCCGGCGCCACTGAGACACTCGCCTGGCTTGGGGCCGGTGACGCTTCCAGCAAGGCAGCAATGCGACTTGCCGACCGACTGTGGAACTACCACGATATCATGGGCGTTGCGGGGGGAGAACCTCAACTCGAGAAACTCGCTGAGCCGGAACTACTCCACTTGCTGGAGGAACTAAGGGACACGAGCCTAATTGGCGCGGAGGTCTTCACCGACATGGCGTACTGGGATCGCATCTGGACCGTCCAGGAGGCCGTGCTCCCCAAGTCATGTCGCCTTATCGCCGGAAACCAGACTTGCTTCCTCCATGCCCTCATCGATATAATGGAATGGGCATACCTGGCACCCATGGATAAATTCCTCGCCCGCGATGTGAGCGCTGATTTTCCTGCTGAGGTCGCCATGGTCATGCGGAGGATCCAAGACATGGTCCGCAACATTCAGTTTGACGCAGAACGGGGTCTACCACTTACCCAACTGAGGCATGTTAGAAACGCGGCCTTCAGGATCGGAGCACGTCGAAAGTTCTCCGACGTGGAACAGACGATGGACTGCGTGGGCTCCATGTCAAGCCGTCGCGCGACGGATCCGCGCGACAAGCTTTTCGGCTTAGCCGCCCTCGTGGACATTGGCGTGGAGATCAACTATAATATGTCGACTAAGGACCTTTATGTCGCGTTCGCTAAGCGGATGGTCACGCAGCTAGATGATCTTCTCGAGTTGCTAATGTGGGCTGGGTTGTCCAGCCAGTCGTCCGCGCTTGGCTTGCCCAGCTGGGTGCCCGACTGGGAAGTGTCTCCCAAATGCGCTCCGGTGTATAGCAGCAAGCTCAAGATAACCAACCTGGAAAGTCTTCAACCTGTATTCTTAGGCGAGACCCTGCAAGTTAGAGGCGTGTGCCTGGGAATCATTGAGTCGACAAGCCAGCCTGGCCTTGCTCCTGGTGCGAGGACGAGCATGGGGGCACGCGCGACTCCGAGCGTGAAGGAACGATGCCGCCGTACCTCGGAGGCTGCCGAGTACCTGATGGGCTGCTCTATGACGAAGATCCTAGACGAGGTTCTCTCCAAGCCACTCACCACGCATCGGTACCAGGACAGCATGCCCTTGCTGGTCGCTGTGCTGGGCCTGTTGATGCCTACGGCTTTGCGGGCTTCGAAATGCTCCTTATCCCATGACGTGGCATCGCTTATCCACTGCTTCATCATCTCCGGAGGGATATCTCTATTGCCGGCTGAGAGCAACGACGCCGACGTCGTTGGTACTGCCGTGCGCTGCCCGGGATGTCATGTCCTTTCCAGGGTATGCGACGAGGACAGGACCGAGGCACTCGACCGGAACGACATCCTTCGCGAGGCTGCGTATCATTTTCAGGGACCGGCATTCTACAATAGCCTATTAGGGGATGGATACGAAGGTCGCGCAGGTTTAAGTAGGTATGTTTACTTCCGAACGATAGATGGCCTCCTGGGATACGCAGCAAGGGGCATCCAGGGCGGTGATTCTATTTACATGCTGGGGTCGTGTGCAGACTTGGTGATTTTGCGGCTGGTAGGCAACCACTTCCTTTGGTTGTCGCCGTGTCATGTTGTGGGATTTGGGGATGCGAGCGGTGTTAATTGGGAGAATCTCCAAGGCAGGATTGAGGACATCGAGATCAAGTAATGGCCTGTTGCTACTTCGCATGGGGATGGGATAACATACACTGATGGGAACCCTGCAGTACGATAAGGTTAGAGCCTCTAGCTATATTGCCACGTCGGATCATGTCGAAGGTGCAGCCGATCCATTCTGTTACGGACATAGAGGGTCTAAATAGTGCAATAGTGTCCCAAAAGTGGGTCCATAACTCATCCTCGCATTGCCACCAATAGTTTTTACACTTTGGTAACTATAGCCGCAGGGTGGCCCAAAATAGTGAACCCCCTCGCTCACCCTCGCTCACCCTTGCTCACCCTTGCTCGGGCTGGAGGAGCTGCTCAGTTCCGAAGAGGGAAATAGAAATTCTTGATGAGCATATTGGGGGCATATATTGGCTGTATCAGACGCCCCCCCCCCAATGCGTGGGACAGGACCTACGACGAAGCTGCCATCTGCGCGCCAGGTAAAGGCGCCCATCCGTGGAAGACGGGCTGAGCGAATCTGGACCTCTTCCGTGAGTTAGTTTAGGAAATTTAAATCGAGTGGACGTTTACTACCCCCTCTCTCTGACAGAGTCTAAAGCCGTGTCCATATGAAACGCAGTAGGTGAAAACACTTGGGAAGTATATGGCTTACATGTGCGGCAGCCATGCCATGGTAGCAAGCATGACGATGTTGGTGTGGCATGACGCCCCAACTGGGTATCTCATACCTCAAGCGTCATCGGGGGCAGTGTTACCAGGCAAGAACTCGAGCAATACAAAAGCAGAACCCGCGGGATTTGCGTTGTCGAGCTCGGTCGCGAAAACGCGAGACATCGGCTTTTTGGTGTTGAGCGGGACTGTGGGTCGATTTCGATACGTAGTCTTTGAGAGGTCTCGGGGCTGACGCGCGCGGCTGGACTCGGTCGATCTAGTGGGTTCCGTCTTGGGACTCGAGTAGACGCGCGAGAGAGCTGCCGCTAACTCTGTATTCTGAGAGTAACTTACAGGGCTTGTCTCTGTCGGCTCGGGAGGCAACGATAAATGGCTTCCCAGATGGTCTCCGCGTGAGCATTTGTCCTCCGGGCCCTTCATTGAAACATTTCGAGCAACCTAGTTCAATTTGTCTAGGATGTTCTCTCAATCGGAAGTCGTGGTTACTTATATCCGTAAACCAAGAATTCTACATGGGTGTTACCGCAAACGTCATAATAAAATAATATCTATGCGGAGCTAGACTTATTCCTATGAGGTGATGTCAGGGATCTGCCTCTCTAAAGCCCTGTACAAGATTCCTCTCCTCTTGGCTACGGATTATGTGTGTCCGTCCCTCTAAGGGAACTTCAGTATTCAAGAGCTCGTTCAACCACAATTTCGATTCGGGCGTGGGTCGCTACTTGGATTTCGAGCAACTTCGGGTAAGGAGGGATACCAGTGTACTGCGACATGCATGAAAGGTCGGGAATCTGCTTTACTAAAATTGACAAAGTAAGGGAGCAGATTATCCATTTTTTATCAAAATTTTGGGGTTTGACTTCGCCCTTACGTCTCACCTTGGTGGATGCGCGACCATCAGGTCCGCGCTGGATGATAGCGTTAAGTATCGAGAGCCCTCTCCAGTCTGTGCCGCTCTTAATGATGCGTACGTCCCCGCCGAACTCGGTAATTGGCAACCCAGTATTGTCATCAGAGTGTAGCTGAGCTACTTTTGGATCCGCGTTAGTCTCATGGGATGCTCTTTGGACAGTGAAATGGTCGTGACCGCCGAAGATAAAGTCAACCCTCTCGTCTCCAGCGAGCGTGTTTTGAGAAACCATAATGTCTTCAGCACCCGCATGTGTGTTATAGCGATGACTAAATCGCAGTTTTTGTACCTTCGGAGGTGACGTGCAATTTTCTTCGCGATGGTCGTCGGATCCGAGATGTCACTCTTCGGGAGGTGTTGGCAGTTTGACGACCAGTCACTATTTTAAGTCAAACAAGTAGAATGCTTAGCACGCACCTTCATGGTGCCCTCGGTCTTAACGTTTGAGTCAGATCTTTCTGGATATAGGGAAGAGTAAAATGAAGTAAGTTACGTGCTAGCTAGGCCAAAGAAGCCAATCCTGTATCCGGGAATGTCTTTAGTAATGTACTCATGAGCCTGAGCGAGTAAAGGCTCGGTCCGTTTCGGGCAGTCGTTGCTGGACTTGTAATGCGGCATGGATCGGCGTAAACGGACGCAAACCGACTAATCAAGGCGGCATCGGAGATGTGATACTAGAAAAAAACACATATGAGCATTGCACGATAAATCGCTGCTGAAGGTCGGTTTGGGAAGAGGGAAGAGCGCGGGGGAAGGAGGAGAAGGGCCGCCGCGGGGGGGGGGGGGGGGGGGGGGGGGGGTCTTGGCCAAACGGCGGCGTTGGAACATACCACATCGTTGAAATGGAGAAAACAAACCTCGCGTTGCTCCACCATGATCAGAGTCCTCGCTTGAAGAAGATTGGTTGAGTTTCGGTCGGAAAGGGTAACAAGATACGCCGTATGAGCGGCAGGCGTCTAGAAGGGCTATTCACTTCGCTCGTATTGGCGTGGTCGCGGGCTGCAACTAAATAGTATCACGAGAGGTCAAGCTTGTTGTCAGTCCGTGGCCTGCGCAGTAGTTGATTCTGTTTCCCCGGTATCGGATTATAACATTTCTGACGTGGATAGACGCACGATAGGCATCACCTTCTGGGATACAATCTACTCCACTCTTTAATCTGCATCCGGGCCGCACGCAAAGCACTCGGTCGCTCGATTCGTACCTCCAAACGATGTATCACTGCGCTCGCTTGCTTAGGGCGGAGTGAAATTCAATTCCTTCCCACCGCACCGCACCGCTGCATATTCCTGATCTTTCTCACATCACCATGCAGCAAAAGTACCCCTTTCGCATTTCTCCCTCAAGCTAATGTTGGAATATCTGATGCGGCATAGTACGCTAGCCGCCATAGAGAAATGAAACGCCAAACTTAGCTCAGACTTGATAGGATGGGCATGGATGGTGCAAGACTGTCAAGACTTTCACATGTTATGGATGTTACGACCCTACCGCCAGCCCGTTGGCTCCTATCAGGTAGATACAACTGGTGTAAAGGGCAGGAGTTCCTGTTATAAAGTAAGCGAGGCAGTTAAGCAGTGTTTACTTTGGTGACAGTAGTGTAGTCAGCACGAATCAGAAAGAGGAAGGGCAGCGACAACACATGATCCTCAAAGACTACATAGTACATCTGACACGACTTCTCGGCGCACTTCAAAGTTCCTACGGTAAACATAGAGGTAGACGTTAGATTACCTTTGTGTTCTCGTCTTTGCATACTACATCGTTCGGTACGGAGTAGTCTAATCTATCCGCACCACCAAATTTACATCGTCTAACCGTGACGCTCGCCAAGAACAGGGCGGGTCGCTGCTGCTGCCCAACGCTAAGTTGGCTACCTCGGTTGCCTACCCATCGTATTGAAGCCATCTCTAGAACGAAGAGAGAGAAGAAAAAAAAAGTGAGTTTGACGTTAATAGACGAGACGAGGTTGAAAAGGTAGGTAGAAGGGAAGGCAGGGGGAATACGTACAGTAGGCTTGCAATACAGTCGTAAATGTCGGTTTGCCTACATGCGTCCGCTATTGCTTCATCGGAAACACGTCTGCCGACTTCCGAACCCGTCAGCAGATTCATTTTGACAGTTCAATTATACAAGGTAAGATCTTGGTTCACCAAACCGATGCACTGTCGGTATTTGCCCACGTTGAGGGAGGTTAAAGACTCGACAATGGAGGTGACCGCCGAGGATTCTGTGAGCGAATGAGCGCTGTATCGGACCATGGCCTTACCTCCGAGATACCACGAAGTATGGATGACCAGAGCAGGATGAAAGTGAGGAGCCAGTTCAAGACGAAGCATACAATGATGGTGGCCACTAGAGTACCCATAGTGCTGATGGTCAAGGAGGGTTTAGACGAAAGAGCATCTTGAGTAGAGTTCGAGTCGGCGTTGAGCCGGGAGAGAATCTCACCGGTACCCGTAGCGTCAAAGGTGACCAGGTGTTGCCTCAATACTGCTTCGAGATACCTCTGCTTGATCCGGCGGGTAATTTGAGCACCCGTGTGCATGAATCCGGCCGTGGCGATAACTACCCTGACATTACTATCGGTACAACCATCAAGGGCAGCGTGGGCCCTCATACTCACCGAGAGGGAAGGCGGTAGAGACGATGTTGTATTCGGCTCGTTGTTCGGGGTCGTAACCCTTCAGATTTCCCAGGCGTTGCGGATGTTGCGCGGCCATGCATCGATAACATCCCGGTCAGGGTGCATCTGAGTCCCGGCATGACACGGCTAGAGCCGCAGCGGCAGGTCCAAGCCGAACGAAGCTACGAGGTTTACTAGTAACACTATGCCTCGACATATGTCGACGATAATATGTATATATAGCAGTTTGAGAAAGAAAATATCCAAAAATGGAAGCAGTAACGACTGATGAAGAAGAGAAATATTGATCGGCCACGGGCCCAGTCAGTTTTGATAACCACTTGAAGCTCAGTCGTGTTACGTCCAAGTCTGTTCTCAGTTCCCACCTCAGCCTGGAACCCCGTGCCATTCCTCACGAAGATCAATGTGCCTGACGAATTATTTGCTGGTGCGGTCTTGGGTCTTGTTGCCGGCGAGACATAGCGGATCCCCGTTTCGGCGGTTGCAAGGCTCGAGGTCGTCTCGGCACTTTTGGCCCCGGCATTTCGTGCTGCAGAAGTCAGGCGTAAATACCTCTGCCATCCAGTCCGGAAGCTTATTTTCTCCGACTTTGTCGCCCAGGCCCCTTCGTAGGAAAACACAAGGGGTCGATCCAACCGGATCGTCTTCTGTCCAAGCGTCCACTGAAAGAACTGGTAAATTAAAGAAGCAGTTCTGTTGTAGGTCCAAGCCACCTGCGGCATACTCCGCTGGATCATGACCTTCTTCTTCCTCCACGTCTCCATATCTCTGTGAGGAATAATCTCCCATCAAATCCTGGCACCGCTGCGAACTGCCGTAGAGGAGTTCCAGTTCGTCCTTATATGCCGTGGGTTCCGGATTCTGGTCAATGGTGCCATTAAACAAGCCTGCGATGATGTCGTTGCCCTCTCTCGAGAATATGGTAGATGACTCAACTGTGTATCCAGTATTCCCCGGGCCAGAGGAGTGCAGAGCATAGCATTGTCCATCTAGCCATCTTGCTGTTGAGTGAGCCTCCCTGTCATTGCAAGGCTCCTCGGAAAGCGTGTTCTTCAGGATATAGTAACCACCACCCTTCAATCCAAGAAGACTCATCCCGGCTTGAAGGCAGATGCTCACGACTCGACGCATTCTCTGGTTATCCAAGGCGCTTGTCTGGGCCAAGCAGGGAGGTTAGGTGGGCTGATGGCGTATGAAAACTGGGAGATATGCAAGCGTACGACTTACCAAGCCCAAACATTGTCCAGGTACGCACTCGAGTCACTACTGATGTAAAGTAGTAGTGCCCCTGCAATACATTCAGGCCGAACTTGACCAGAGAGTTTTGGGCAATTGGCGGTCTGAGATCGGTCCCAGAGGCACCACCGATACGGAAGTGAGAGTCTAGAATAAACATCGAGATAAGTAGGGGGTACTAGGTATGGATGTGTTCTTTCATCTTGATGGCTTGGCTTACCCCACATGGCCGCTCTCCCAGCAGCGTCAGCTTTGATATTCCATTGCATTGCGACCAGGCCAGCAGTTGGTCCCCGAGCAGTGAACAGGAGATCTGAAATTTCAACGCCTCCCTCGTCACCCGGATTCCCAACTGTAATCATAATTGTGGGGTCGTCTATGTCATGGAAGGACTGTGGGTGTGAGTCAATTTTCATTCAGGGACCTTGTTCTTGCTGCAGTGTCCTATACTTACTGGACCAGAGGCCATAATCTGAGGCCAACATTCCCCGACAATGACAGCACCAGCTGGGATCTACGGCAGCAAGTCAGCCACGTCCCATAATTGGATATGGGGAACTCACTGCAATGGTCTGCGTGACAATATACACCCCATGCGGAACAAATAATGGCCTTTTTTGCTGGGCAGATAACGAAAACGCCAGACTCAAAGCGGCCGAATCGTCAGTTGATCCGTCGCCTAGGTGAACTGTGTTAGGTTGGACAATAGCCTAAAAAGAGTATCCTCTTACCAGCCGCTTCAACCACCATCCAGTTATTCTCGTCCAGATATTGTGGTCGTGATCTGCTATATACTCCTGCAGTCTTCTCGAACGCAAATCGGAGCTCCTGGGGAATCGAGTAATGAATACCGGTGGCATCTCCAGTTTCACCGTTGGAAAATCCATTCTTGCTGGAGCCTTCGGAGTAGGTCTTGCCAACGAAATAAGATTCGACATATCCGTTCGAGCCTCCGTTCAAATAAGCACCCGATGATTTTGAATCAACCAATGTACGCGTATTGGTATACGCAGTGTTTAACAGAACAACAGTTACCTGTTCCTCAGAGTTAACCGGCTGCGTATCAACGAGGAATGCCGGTCTGTACGTTGTCAAACTGAGAGTCCATGACAGTCAGTGATCCCCCAGGAAAGTTGCTGGTTGCAAAGTTGATGCCGACGTCGCAGTCTGAAATATCGAGCCCCTTCCCTAAATGTCCCGTTAACCTCATCACCAACCACCCAAGTATAAGAGCCGGTAGGAAGCTGAATATACATACAAATCCATCCCCAATCCCACAGCATCGTAATTGCGTTTTTGCAGCCGTTGAACACTAGGTTCTTTGCTGTGAACTGTTGATTGCCACCTACACGTCTTTAGCAAAGCAATGCGGAGCTTTTGGCATGTTCTTATTCATAGAGACTTACACAACATTCCACTCTCTCCACCTTCAAATGTGAGATCATCTATTCCGCCCCCGGACCTTGTGACCCTCGTTGTAAGCGTCGTAGATGAAATATATTGCAGTTGTCTCATCTGTGAATTTCACTCACCCGTTCTCCATGAAGAGGCCAACCTGGCTGCTATCTCGCTTCATTTTAAAGTGAATATTCTGGAGGCTTGCAGCTAAATCACGTCTGGTCAGAGTCTCTCATCTAGGCAGGGTCGGAGGTCAAAATTAGTATCGATGAATACCCTGTGCGACTTGCCCTACTCTCAACGGGTTAGAACGAGATGCTTCGGGGCAGCGACCAAAATGAATGATAAGCGGTGGTCCACTCACAATGCATCCCTTTGACAGCCTGGCTGGTCGTTTCCGAAACATCAATAATGAAGTTTCGGACTTGTCGAAAAAAATTCGCCTGAAGAACTGTTAGGATCCTTGAGATGAAAGGCACGCTTCAGGGGTATTGAAGGTATCTCGATCAATAAGACCAATTGATTTTCGGCAGCCTAGCCTACAGTGTTTAAGTACCACTCGTCATCACCTCCCCACCTATCGTTCCATTGTCCGGTGTAAACGTTCGCCGATACAACACCTGTGCTGTGTCAGAAACGACGTGAAGACTTAGACATCAGATATGGGGACTTGACAAGGTCCACGAAGGATGGAGCGGCCAGAAGAACTGGTAGATTGTGCGGCTGCGCATGCGTCAGGTAAGTAAAACTGGAGGAAGACCGTAATGGAAGTCGCTGAACTTACGTCGCCCACAAGTTGAGTGTAGTACATTGCAATTATCGACGTACTGACGAGATACGTGCCGGGTGGAAAATAAACAGTAGCCGGTTTAACGGTTGATGATCCGCAGTTGTCGCCGCACCGGTTTCCATCACTGATAGCCCGATTTATGGCCTCGGTATCATCCGTTTTACCATCTCCCCGAGCTCCATAATCCCGGACGTTTCTAAACACCTTGTAACCGGGGTCATTCTGGAATGGACTGCGGCCTGGATGCTGGCTGCCCAGCTGTGCAAGCCAGTATTCACCCGCACGGCGAGATCGAGACCGATAGCTCTGGATCTTTTGCTCCTTACGACCAGTTGCTTGGTCCTTGATAGTGATGTTATACTCCTTATACAATCTTCCTTCGCGGTCCAGATCTTGTGCTTCGAGCTCGGCTATCAAGGCAGCGGCCTTCCGCACTTCTTCCGTGATCATTGGCCGGACTAGATCCCGTTTCGATCCTTTCTTTCCACCATTGCTGCCTTTGAGGCTGTAATGATTCCGTCCTGGGTTCTTGGAAATCTCCAAACTCTTTTGACGTGTCTCTTCCATCGCTATCTGGACTAACTGTCGGGCGTTGGAGATTTCCGATTCCGATGTTGAGCGACGTTTCTGAACATAATCGAGCTTGGAGGCAACAGGTTGACCGGAAGTACGTGAATAAATTGGGGAGACGTGACTTAAGAGTTGTTCCCAGTAGGCCTCGACTGTATCAGAGGAAAGGGAAGCCGCAAGTCGGGGGTTCTCTAGCTTCCAAGTCTCCACGTATGTATCGTATTCGGCACGGCGATCGGCTATCTCCTTCGAAGAGAGAGCATTGGGATTTGCTGGACAAGTCTCGTAAGTACGGTCTATTATACTCACCCAACTGACTGGGTGACAGTTGGGGTCTCACCTCCCGTCGCTCCACGAAGGGCGCCGTTGCACCATAACGACAATAGGGCTAGGATAATCCCCACAAGTACCCGTCGCCACCGGCACCGTCGCTTGAAAGGGAAATTCATTTTGAACAAGATGCTGCTGGCTTGTACGCCGGGGGCACCAAACACCGAACTAGGCATTTCTGAACCTCTTAAATACTTCGACTGCACTATCATCAGAGCGGGGAAATAAAACTGCCGAGTCGGGGCTTTGGAAGAGGATCCGTGTCAAGGTCCCCTCGGAACTAGAGCCAACAGTTTCAATATACGTTTTTGGGGGCGGTTCCCATTTCTATCTTATGAGCCGGCAAGAGAGGTTTCTCACGACATACCGGCTGCGGTGGCTTCATGTTGTACGACCTCGTTCTCGGCGCCATTAATTACTAACTCCGCTCCGCCAACCGTATGCTTCTGAGACATGGTTGGCCTAATCATCTTAGGAGGGCGGCACGTATAGTGGATACATGTGGCCCAATTTGCAGCAGCGGGCCTCAGCACTGACATGGTATACTTTCGAAAGTCGTCAGTTCATGAAAGCGGTGCAGCGATGTTTTGACTACGACGCCCGCGTCATTCCGGCCTCAATAACTCTGGTGGCCGCGCCTGCCAATGGGAAAGATCACGTTTCGAGTTGGTACTATAACATGGACCCGACACTCTGGTACCTTTTAGGCCGTTGAATTGAGGCTACACCTAGCACATGGGAGATGCCACCACGGAGCATAAAGCTCATTTGCCATCATCCAAATCAACCGCGACAATCACGGCAAGCCGGCGGAAGTAATCTACCGACAGCATAATCAGGCCACGGCTCGCCTACCTATGGAATGTCTCATGGACGTGGATTCCCCCTTTATCCCTCCCTTTCCGTTCCCTTCTCCAAATCTTTATTTCACAAACCGCGAAGGCCAAACCCAACACTCCTGGGTATTCATCCATCCATCCTCACCCAAATTTTGACTTGGCAGCTTGATATTGATATTTCGAGTTCGAATATCAATTTTGGCGGACACCTTGCACTACAGCCATGCCTGCGCGTGGCACAATCCGGTGTTTGACCGCACTCGCAAGCATAATTACCCTTGTGCCTTGTCCGTTACCCAACCCACCCTAATTTCGCACTACCCACTAACGTCTCATCGAGTCTCGTTTGCGGCCATCGACTGTAATGCCGAGTCCCACACCATCTCAAGTCAACAAGATGCCTCTGATCTCGACGAATGTGCCGAGTCGGGGCAAAAGATTAGGGGTGAGGTAGTGATATCCCCAGAAACAGCAACCGACATCGAGATTGCGAGTTTTGGCAACATTAATGGAAGGATAGTCGCCACCGACAATCCATACCTGGAGAGCCTAAAGCTCGGAAACGCCACGACAGCCACTTCGGAGACATCTCCTTCGCTATCTCTCATCAACGTCACTAGCCTAGGCTCCTTGGTATTCGATGACTCCGTGTGGAGGCTGGGCGATTTGGACCTCCGCAGCCTCCCAAAACTAGCAACTTTGGATTGGGGTGTCGGAAGACCGCCCATTGATCCATACATAGCGCAAAACTTGGAGCTGTTGGAAGTGGGCAGCGTGACTCTGACAGGACTTCCAAATCTACGCAAGATCGGATCTAGCGGGCAGGAGATTGTTCTTGGTTTGAACGTGACAATGAAAGACGTGGCGTTGGAGTCCGTGGACGCATTTACCAACTTTACCGAGAGCCGCCATCTCGCGATAGAGGGGATCCCAAATGTCAATCGTATAACCTTCAGTTATGTATTGTCAGAATCGGTTACGATACAGGGCAATGGCGAACTTGACATCGCGTTTACTCACCCCGATTACCGGGGTTGGTATGCTGAGACACAGACGATACAAGATCTCACGATATCGGGTGTGAAGTCTCTAGAAAGAACTTTCAACGTCGAATGGCCTTACCGTTACCTTAAAGTTGGGAACCTCACATTCGAAAATAATACGATCGGCAAGATTCCACTGGATATATTCGATCGCGTGACGAACTTGTATGTCCGCAATAATGCGCACTTGGGCTATTTAGCATTCCCTTTGAATTTCGACTTATTCCCTTGGGAGAATATCGAGATCACGGGGAATCCCCGGTTGGACATGTCGAATCCAAACTTCCCAGGTAATCAGTGGCGTTGGCCGTTACTTGGCGCACGATCTATCGTCTTTGAGGTCGGGAGAGGCGACCTTTTTAGGTGAGCCATAACACGTCAATTAATGATAAAGAAATCTCTTCTGACTATCAATAGTATTTACTTGGCAGTATCATCGAGGAATTTAACACAGCGGCCTCTTACCCGCGAAAAGTTTGTGCTCCGTACGGTTGTCGATCCGGACTGCGGAGAGCTTGACAGGTTGAGGCGTGAAGGGGCTTTTAAAGGGGAGTATTTCTGCGGTACAGTAGACCAGTACAACTCCCCTGCTAGCCGGGAGATACCACCAGTTCCGCACATGGGAAGAGACGCATGGATATTGCTGTTGATAGCCACAGCGTGCTTACATGGAATGGGGTTGCCTTAGTCTGGGACCTGTTTCTGCGATCGAGAGAAACAACGTAGGCTAGTGGCGAAGGAGGGTGATGGGTGATATAATGTCTTCTAATTTAGTCCGTTTCTACGAAGTAGTGTCGAGTGATAATATATTATTACAAGTGTCAATGCACGAAGTAAGACAATGGTCTCTCTTAAGAGGAACGTGACGGGTATCTTACATATAAATTAATGTGAGATCGTACTTACATGGGTCCCTAGTCAAGAGGGGTCCTGTTTCGAGCTAACAAGTCTAATCCCCGGATTAGGAGATTTAGAGGAGGGAAAGGAAAGCTTCGTTTCCGGGAGCCTTTCCCGATAAAGCATAACCATGCGCATAGCCGCAACCTCTACGATGGCGCTAAATGTTAGTCGAAGTTTTTTCCGAGCGTAACGCGGGAAGTCTTTTGGCCGAACAAAAACAAGATCCTTGGAGGAAACTAACTCCTGAGAAAGCTTAACTCGACTGCAGCAAATTATAGCCGCCGCGCGAGGGCCTCACCCACTATCTAGCCAAGGACATTTTCCACAATAACTAGCCTTCCCTTGTAAGCGAAATTCGCGAATCGATGGGACGGGCGGCTCTTGGCATTCTCGTATAGGAAGCGTTGCCTCGCCGTCGGCGGTCTCCTCAAGTCCGAGGGTCTCGTCGCCGAAGCGGGAGAATATACGCCGCCGTATACCCGAGAACTCGGGGAGTAGCTGGGGGAGGACTTAGTATAAGTCCGGCGTTCGATTAAACTACATCGTGCAATTGTACTCCCAACCCTAACGCTTGCATCACGCAAGCACGCAAGAACTCAAGACATTGTCACAACACGGCCCCAAAGATAGAAGAGTAAAGATGGAATTGCATCAAATGTTTGTTGTACGTGTGTAGAATTATGGATTAATTGGCGTGTATCGAATGATATTAGATATTAAGCTACGCTCAGAGACATTGGCCCGCCTTCAAATGAAGCACAACGGCAACAAAGACGACAACAAGCCGCCTGCTCTCAGCTTAAGGCGCATTGGTGCAAACCAAGGCGTTAGCCCACAGGTTCGTGCACGCGGCGTTTATGAACGGGTTCCAGCGCTTGAAGTTGGCCACGGTGATGCCGTTCTTCTGTGCAATGACATCGCACGAGTCGCCAGAAACAACAAGGTAGAAGCGGCTGCAGTTCGACACAATGTCGGGCATGGGTGTGGCGGCGCCAGGAACGCCGACGCAGGCGTAGTAGTCAAGCCAAAGATTGTTGCAGCCTGTACGAAGAGGAAAGGATTAGAAACGGGGAAATTAAAATTGAGAGTTCAGGGGATGAAACGTACTGGTGTTGATCTGGGTGTTCCAGCTTCGGAACTGGTCGACAGTAATGGTGTTCTTCGCGGCAATCTTCTCACAAGTATCGCCAGAGACGATCTTGTACCATTTGTTGCAGTTCGATACGGCTCCGGGTAGAACAGGAGAATTGCTTGGCGTCGGGGCAGAAGAGGTGGTAGACGGCTGAGCAGCTCCGGGGACATGAGTGCAGATGTAGTAGTCGAGCCAAAGGTTCGAGCAGCCAGCGTTGATTTCAGTATTCCAAGACCTCAGCTGGGCGACGGTGATGCCATTGCTCGATGCGATAGCATCACAGGTGTCGCCGGACTTGATCTTGTAGAAACTATCACAGTTCTCGGCGATGCCAGGCATAGTGGGGGAGTTGCTTGGCGTGGGCGCAGTGGAAGTAGTCGACGGCTGCACAGCTCCGGGGACATGGGTGCAGATGTAGTAGTCAAGCCACAGATTGGAGCATGAGGCGTTAATCTCGGTGTTCCAGCTTCTCAGCTGGTCCAGGGTAATGCTATTGCTCTGAGCAATGGCATCACAGGTGTCACCAGACTTGATCTTGTAGAAACGATCACAGTTCTCGGCAATCCCGGGCATGGTAGGGTAGATGCTCGGGGTGGCTGAAGGACTAGTGGTCGTGGACAGCGTGGTCGAGGACTTGGTGGTAGTAGTAGAAGTCTTGCTTGTGGTACTCTGAGGCTGCGAAGACGTAGAGGTACTAGTCGCGTCAGGAGTGTACTCGCCGATCACGCAGTACGACTTGCCGGCCTCGAGATTGGGGCAGGTAACCCCCGGGTTGATGTTCTTGAAGAGGTCAACCGAGATACCCCAGCTGGACGCAAGGCTATCGCAAGTATCACCGCTCGCTGCGGGCATCTCAAAGTAGCACACGACGCCGCGGCGGACGTGTCTCGCAGCCGAGACCAATCCCGGGCCCGAGAGGAGCCCGGCGGCAAGAATGTGGAGACTTGAGAAGCGCATCCTTTCCTGAGTCTGATTAAAAAGTTTAACGATAGGAATCAGAAACTAGAAGCGGACTGAAGAGAGACGAGACGGAAGGCGGGTGTCGTGCAGGAGAAAATGAGGATCGCCAGAGCTGACGCCAGGCCGGCATCTTATACGCATACTGCGAGAGTACTTCGCTTCGCTATGGTGTCATATGTTTACGGCGGCCTACGATTCTCCGATGAAGTGCTATCTTCTCGTAAGTTCACTTTCTCTTGACCGCAGCCCGGACTAGATGGCTCGATCGATAAGAATCCTTAGCAAGGACGCGATGGAAGTCCGACCCACGAAATGAGACCTCGTGATGATTTGGCGGACTGCAGTCTTGGAGGCATCCTCTGGAGTGATGTCCGAATTATCCGGCGTGATTGTACGCAGATGGATCAATAATCTTTTCTTCAATACAACCCCGGACGGAGACAGAACTTGAAGAGGGAATATGCTCATTTAGAGTAGGGCGTAGTGCAGCGTCTCACTGCTCCTTGACTTGAGTCTTGATACTACGTATCTTGGCGAATGATGGATTTCATGTCATGCATGCGCGCGTATTTCTGCCTTTCTGGCGCGGGCAGCAGGGCAGACTCGGCAGACTAACCAGGGCAGACTACAATGTAAATCCTCCCGCCGCATCCCCCGCTTTCCGGGTGTTCCTTTGTTCCTTCCGAATTTCCAATTGTCAGTGCAATTTTAAATTACGGACGTAAACTAAGGTTGTGGGGCACGGGTTGATGCAACATTAAATTTGTCATTGGGACTTTTTTGTTGGTCTCTGGCATAAAGTAATCCACCAGGCCACAGTTGTACCAGGCTACAAACGGACCGGATCCACCAGCCGAGTCCCTTTTGGCAGCTGCAGCCTGCCAGGGGTACTGAGACAGTTCAGACGGGAAAGCGGCATGGCGCCAAGCGGGTCACGCCGGGTACTTCCGACAGGGCCAGGAATGTTGATTGGCAAGATGGCGAGGGCGGCCGGCCGACTTGGCCAGGTCTCCTTTGTGATGGCATGTGCGAGTTGTTTGTGGACCGTCTTGTGGACCGTCTTGTGGATCGTTGTGGATTGTTGTGGAGTGTCGTGGATCGCTTAATTGCCTTAGGCGGGTAGGTCGTACCAAACTGATCCTCCAGATCCCTTGAGTCAGAATTTCCCTCATTTATGCCTGTTTACCTTAGCTGATTCTGTCGTCCAGTCGGCCCTTTCTTCGGAATATTGTCATTTCTTCAATAGCCTAAACCAAGATGAAGATTTGATGATGCGAGTGCGAGGGTGAGCCCCTGTCCCGCCTGCGGGCCCAGCGGAAGGACCGGATCCGTGGGGGGCAGGACTGGGGCAGAGCTGGGCCGGCCGGCATCGTGCATGGACCCTCCAGTACCCTGCAACAGCCACAGCCACGCATCGAATCCTTCGTTTGTTTCTTTCCTTGTTTCCACCCAGTCCAACTGCGTTCAGCATTCACCTCACTCGTTCACAGTGTCGCCGCCCCCAACTGCGCCTGGATACCGACTCCAGTCTACTGTTCCTAACAACCGCCATCACTGGAATCACCACTATCACTATCTTGATCATCAATACCTTCACTAGCAACAACAACGACAACACGAAGATGCATCTCGTCTCCCGTGCTGCTTGGTCCCTCGTGGGCTCGTTAGCCTACCTTGGGGCCGCCGTCGTCAATGCTGCCGGCGTGCTGGAAATCGACGTTGTCTTCCCGCGGACCAACGAGACATACGCGCCAACAGACAAGTTTCCCATCGTCTTCGCGCTGCAGAATGCCGAGCTGGCCAAACATCTTAACCCCGTTATCGACTCTTTCGTCCGCAATGGCTCCAACTCGGACTCGACCTTCGGGCATTCCGTCCGCGACCTAACCAATGCCAACTACTCCAGCGAGCCGTTCTTTATCTACCACTACGTGAACGTCAACACCGAGGGCCCGTATGAGCTGTTCTCTAGTGCTGCCTGGCGAAGCTGCGACAAGAGCGGTGATCAGGTCGCCATAGCCGACAACAGCACCAACTTCGCTATCCCATTCACCATCAAGAGTGGCGGGCAAGAAGTCGATCTTGTTGCTGCTACCGCCACATGTTCCCCACAAGACGGAGTTGCCATCAGTGTGACTGACGAAACGCACGAAGTTCCTTCCTCTCTGCAGGGACAACCGTCTGGCACCTGCGCAGTGTTGGCCTCCTCTTCTCCGACTCTGAACCCCTGCCAGGTTAAAATTGACTCGGCCGCAGCTGCGAGCATGTCTGCCGTTTTGCATGATGCATTGTGCAAAGGCGTGAACCCACCTGCCGACTGCCCGAAAGAAGATGTGGCCCAGCAGCTGGTCGTTGCTGGTGTCGTGACTTTCGCGGCTGCCTTTGGTGCTATTGGTTTCCTTCTTGCCTGATCGGACAATGGGTGACGCGATCCCGCACCCCCACACCATCCCTTCTTCCCATCTTATCTTAACCTCCCCGGACCCCTTTTATTCATGTCTTTTTGTTATGCAGATGCAGGGGTTGTAGTTTAATTATTGAGATAGAGCCTGATAGTTACCACGTGGTATTCCTGCGCCGTGTAGTTAGATTAATTTTGCTTACACCATTTTTCACCTCACATACCTATTCACGGCTTTCTCACGTTAGCACATCCTACATCTTGGCAAGGTTGCCTTGCGGCGTAGTTGCCCAAAACGAGAAACATGACCAACTCTTCTCAAGGCCCACACCCCTCTCCTCTCATATCCCATGGGATCCTACCGATCCTTCCGGTGTTCTTGGCCGGCCTTGTGACCCCATCAAGGATCTTGTTGAATTGATGAACTTGTTCGGTTCGTCGGTTCGTCGGTTCATCGATTCATCAGTCTTTGTCACGTCAGCTTATGGTGGTCATGCTCTAGTGCAACTGCCTCGGCGCCTGTTGGAGACCCACTCTTCTACCCGTCCACTCTTCCGCTCTTCCTCTCGGTCAGAAAAGGGGGCGTTCCCGGGAAGGGGGGCAAGATTATAATGGCAGAGAAGGTCCTCCTTACTTAGGGTGCCGTCTCTTCCACATCGAGAGCCATTCCGGCACCAAGCAGCCTCCCGCGCACACACTTACTGTTTGTGTGGTAACTGAGACCCACAGACTCTGAGGTACGAGTCCGATAAATCTTAGCAACACCTTGAGGCTTACTGACACGATACTGCCCTCATCTAGGCGTCCGTAATACAAGAATCACGCCCTGAGCTACCCTGCACCATGGTGACTTCACCATGGCTCACCGCGGCACTCGCGGCTGTCAGCCTCGTGCCAGGGGCCGCAGCGTTCACCCCTCCAGTTCGCACAGCGGTACGGGCTGTCGACTTCTGTCCTGAACGATGCGCCGTTGCCGGTCCCAACACCGGAAACTGGTCCGTTTACCCCAACTTCAAAATTATCAAGAGGTGCCGGCAGACCATGTTCTACGACTTCTCTCTTTACGATCCTGTCGACAACCCGGACACCAATCATCACATCCAGGCATGCTCCTCCTACGGCACGGATTTCGTCAGCTTGCCATCAGAGTCCGTCTCGGTCCAACTTTTCCAGTCCGCCAACTCCGTTGATGTTGAGTTTGAGCTCGGATGGTGGCAAGAGGGCTATGGTCTTGCGAAGGCTGCCATCCGCTCACTCGTCGGGCAGCTTCGCGAGTATATCGACAACGGCCACGGAACTTCGGATCGGCCCTTCATCCTCTATGGCCGGTCTGGACAAGCCGCCATTGGTATTTACATCGGCCGAGGTCTGCTGAACCAAGGCCTCAGCAACTCAGCCCTCCAGACTTTCCAAGATAACTTTGACAAAGTCAACACCACGACGCCGAGCTTGGCCATGCAGCTCTGTGGTTTGGGCTATGACAGCTCTCACATCTTTGGCGTCGCAGTTACCAGCAATGCCACATTTGGGCCCATCCAGAATGCCATCAAGTCCTGGGCCAACGCGACATGCCTGTCTTTCGCCGGGTCGAAAAGCTTCCCCGGCAGGGCCTCGTTCACTACGCCTCTTCTGAACGGCACCTTGACCAACAACTCCACCCTGACCAACTCCACCGTCCGCGCTCGGCATGACCCGCGTGCCAAGTCTCTTCAAGCACGTGCCGATTGCAGGACGGTACAGGTCGAATCCGGCAATGGCTGTGCTGAACTAGCAGTCAAGTGTGGCATCTCGGGTGCCGACTTTGACAAGTACAACCCTGGTATCTGTGGCTCGCTGAAGCCAAAGCAGCATGTGTGCTGCTCCAGCGGCACACTTCCGGATTTCCGCCCCAAGCCTAATGCGGATGGATCGTGCTTCTCGTACCAGGTCCAGAACGATGACAACTGCGCCAATCTAGGGGCTGAGTACAGCCTGACGAACGAGGAGATCGAGAGCTTCAACAAGAACACGTGGGGATGGTCCGGGTGCAAGCTGCTCTTTGCCCAGACTATCATGTGTCTGAGCACGGGAACGCCCCCTTTCCCTGCTCCTATCCCCAATGCCGTGTGCGGCCCGCAGAAGCCGGGGTCCAAGCCGCCGACGGATGGTACCAACATCACTGATCTCAACCCCTGCCCCCTGAACGCCTGTTGTAATATCTGGGGCCAATGCGGTATTACCAAGGACTTCTGCGTCGACACGAACACTGGCCCGCCGGGAACAGCCGAACCTGGCACCTACGGCTGCATTTCCAACTGTGGTGTTGATGTGATTAAAGGGACTGGAACTGGTGCTATTAAGCTCGCCTACTTTCAAGGTTATGGCATGGGCCGTAAATGCCTTTACCAGGATGCACTCCAGATCGACACCTCGAAATACACACATCTTCACTTCGGATTTGGTACCTTGACACCTTCGTACGAGGTCCAGGTTGGCGACGCGCTGTCTTCGTATGAATTCGGCGAGTTCAAGCGTATTACTGGTGCTAAGAGGATCTTGTCATTTGGCGGCTGGGCCTTCTCGACCGAGCCCGATACCTACAAAATCTTCCGTGAAGGCGTTAAGCCGGCTAACCGCTTGAAGATGGCCACCAACATCGCCAATTTTATCAAGGACAATGATCTTGATGGTGTTGATATTGACTGGGAATACCCTGGCGCGCCAGACCTCCCCGATTTTGACCCTGGTAAGGAGGAGGATGGCCCTAACTATCTAGGCTTCCTTGCTGTCCTCAAGAACCTCCTGCCCGGAAAGTCGGTCGCCATCGCCGCCCCTGCCTCGTACTGGTACTTGAAGCAGTTCCCTATCAAGGATATTAGCAAGATCGTTGACTATATCGTCTACATGACGTACGATCTCCACGGCCAGTGGGACGCCCACAACCAGTACTCTCAGGAGGGTTGCGATACGGGTAACTGCCTTCGTAGCCAGGTCAACCTAACTGAGACCAGACAGGCGCTGGCCATGATCACCAAAGCCGGTGTTCCCGGAAACAAGATCGTCGTCGGCGTGACCAGCTACGGGCGCTCCTTCGCCATGGAGCAGCCAGGTTGCTGGGGTCCCGGCTGCAAGTTCCTCGGCACCCGTCTAGAGTCCCAGGCAACGCCGGGTAGGTGCACAGACACCGCTGGGTATATCGCCGATGCCGAGATCAACGAGATTATATCTGGCGGAGGTAGCGCCAAGCGCCAGAGCCGCGTGGTGACGCACTTCCTGGACGCTAGCAGCAACAGCGATATTCTCGTCTACGACAACAACCAGTGGGTTGGATACATGAGCGCGAACACCAAGAAGATCCGCTCCACGCTCTACGCGAGCTGGGGCATGGCAGGTACCACGGACTGGGCCAGTGACCTGCAGGAATTCAACGACGTTCCTAAGCCGGCAAAGGACTGGGCTGCCTTTAAGATGCTGGCATCCACCGGGGCCAACCCGAAGGAGGATACCACGACGAACATCGGCACCTGGAAGAACTTCGACTGCCAGGACCCTCTCATCTCGGACAAATACAAGCACACACCGTCGGAGCGCTGGAAGGGCCTGGACGCCGACAGTGCTTGGAAAGAGATCGTCGCTAAGTGGGTCAACACTGACAAGCCGAACAAACTGAAGTTCATCGAGTCGGTCGAGCAAACGACCAAGATGAAGGGTGGCGGCAACTGCCAGACACTGAATCCGGCTCAAGACCAGTGCAAGGGACCGACAGAGTGCGAGAAAGGCCTCGATGGCCCGAATTCCGGACCGGCGGCTCAACTTATCTGGGACTCGCTGATCAACCTCCACCTGATGTACTTTTCGTACTGGGACGCCGTGCGGGGCATGACGGGATCTTTCGCACTGAGCGCGGACGATATGGAGGACACGTTCGCGCCGATCCCGGAGCCCAAGACCAACCAATGGCTCAACATCTTGATCGATATCCTCACCATTGGAACCCTGACCACTGCCGCGCCCTTCTTCAACGGGTTCCTCAAGAACCTGCCAGCCTTTGCCAACCCCGTGACGTACGACAACGCCAAGGACACTACGCTGAACCTCATCGGCCAGAGCACAACGCTGGCAAAGGACATGTTGCAGAGCCCCGAGCCAGACAAGTGGACTCCGCAGGAGCAAAACAAGTTCTCCAACTACGTAGGCCAGGTCATCTTCGGCTGGATGAATACCACGGAACTCGCCCTCCGCAAACTGTTCGACGGCAGCCCGGAATCCATCACGCTGCTCGGGAAAGCCATGTCGGACGGCCAGCTTATCGAGGGTGAATGGGACAAGAACTACGACCGGCCGGAAGACACGACGGGTACCGAACTAAACTCCAACGTCCTCAAGTCTTTCTTCGGCTTCTCCATCCCTCTCTTGTGGCGTCGCTCCAAGACGTACGCCTTCGTCATCGACTCCGGCGCCGACTGCAACGGCCATCCCCTCAGCAAGTACGTCGAAGACAGCACCGCCGACGACACCGGCGTCTGTTTCGAAGGAAGGCTCTACTACCTGGTCCACCCGGATGGTAAAGCCCGAGAATGCGTGTGCCAGCATTTCGACGGGGGCCCCTGCCAGGAAGTTTGCCACGACAACAAGTTCTCCGCTCCCGTCGGCCTGAGCGAGCTCGGAAGGTTCGGCGGCGTGACCAAAGAGGACTTGGTTATCGGCTCCGTGCGTACGTGGCAAAAGAACGGAAAGGCCAACGGAGGCGGCGTAGCGGACCCGGTCAACGACAACTCGGCCCCGACCGACCTGCTCAACATGGGCATCAGGAGCCCCGGAGTCGTCCGGCTTCCCGTCTGCAGCCCTGACCGCGCCTTCCAGTCCTGGGATACCACCGATAAGGGCAGCAGTGACAACTACCCCTGCGACATCCCCCCCGGCAAGGACCACTGCGGGGACTCCACATTTGAGGACCGGACCAGCGATGCCTCTCCCACGGTGTCAGACTGCCTGCAGATCATCACGAATATCGAGGGCGACGGCGGCACCGAGTTCAGGCACCACATTACCGGCCAGCGCGAGATCCTGAAGTATGGCTCGTGCGCCTTTGGGATCGAACGCACTGGAGGAACGGGCGGCACTGTGGAATTCTGGGTGGGCGGCCAGGACGTCATCGACATCATCAACGATGCGGTCAAGAAATTCGGCGGCGGCGGCAAGATCGGTGCTAGAGGCGTCATGAATTGTGACGGCGTGACCGCCGGCACGCACGTCGATGTGTTGTGGGGCATCTACTAAGGGCGTGGTCTTCCTTCTCAAAGGCGTGGTCCATACTTTTTCTTCCTTTTCTTTTCTTAAATGTGTGGTTTATATTCTTGAAGGGCATGTGCTTTTTCTAGAGATGCCTGTGCCTACACCCTCTTCTTGGCTGACTGCCTGACTTCTTTTTTATTTGTACTATATCTATTTGGTATAATTCCTATTACTTTCTAGGATCGCGAATATAATATGCGAAAAATACTTTGCTGCTCGTGTAAATGGAGTTACTACTTTATTATCATCGATCTATAGGTCCTATCGTAATAACTAGGAAATTCTTTGCGACACATCTTGAGCTAGGATTTGTAGATTATTATTGATGTTCTGGATTCATATTCTATACTCCTAGAAGTATTCTAAAAAGTTGAGAACCTACAAGATTACTTCTTCTTTTCTTAGAGAGGGTTGCAGGAGCTGTTTAGGACTATATCAACATCAACACCTCACTTTATTCCTTCATTCTTGAACCCCTCTAAACACAACGGTGCATAGCTTTCCAAACTTGATTCGAAAGTAATAGTAATAGACAGGCAAAAGCTATCTCCTACTATGGTTCTTCCACTTCCTCGTTGTAATTGTCAAACCCAAGATACTCCAAGGAATTAAAATTCCGAACTCCCCTTTCTCCATTTTCGCCAACAAGGTTATCGAGGACGTCGAAATCATCTTGTGCGAGATCAAAACGAGAGTCGAAATTCTCCGCAAGTCTCTTGGGGTTGTTACTCTTGGGAATCACGGAGATTCCTCGACAGAGCAGGTAGCAGAGGATGATCTGGGCGGCCGTCCGGGAATATTTTTTCGCCAGCTCGGCAATCTGTAACGCGAGCCGAACAAAATAAGTTTGGTTAGAGGGAACAGCTAAAATAAATAATAATAGATTAAAAAGGTAACTTACGGTCTTGTCTTCGAGTGGGCCGGGACCTTGTCGTCCGACCAAGGCCGGAATGGGTACACACCCAAGAGGCCCAAATGCAGTGACGTGGATATTGTTTTCCTGGCACAGTTTCACGAGGCCCTTCTGCGGGAAATGCGGGTGGCACTCGATCTGATTGCAGATCGGCTTGATTCGAGCGGACTGGAGCAACCTGAGGATCTTTGGGGAGGAAAAGTTGGAAAGGCCTTCGAGGATGTGAGCAATGAAGGAAGGTTTTGCGATTCAGAATCGTTGGACTCACCAATATATTTTGTCTTCCCAATATCCACTAGCCTCTCCATGGCTCGCCAGGTGATATCAAAGGACCGGGATGGCTCAACGTCGATTAAGGGCTGCGGCAGCAAAAAAGGAAAAAAAAAGCTGGTATTAGCACTTGATTCGCATGGGTACTTGGGGGGAAGTCTCACCCGTCCGTTCTCGTCTCTGACCGATCCGTAATTCTCAGTCCGCTTATAGGCATATGGGACTAATCAATCGTCAGAAGATGTTTCTTATCGCGCACAAATCACATCTCCGCGGGCCGTTATCTTACAGTGCATAATGAAAAGGTCAACTGCGAGTTTACCTCCGGTTAGTGAATTCTGGCAGCCGAAAATTCGCATCTATCGCCTGCAAATCATACCGTAGTCTAACCCGAGGTTCTTGAGACTGATGTCTATATTCACCTCTACATCTTCTGGGGCATGGTACACGTTCTCCCTATTCGTTGTGTTGATAACAACTGGTCAGTCGGTTGGCCTCGTTATCGACGTAAAAGGTAGATGTTTGAGCTTACAGCTTAGAGACGATGAAGATCTCCTCCCGGGGTACGCCGCTCTCCCTCACAGCTTCACCAACCTCCTTCTCTCCTTGGCCATCCCCATACCGCAACGAGGTGTCAATGTGCCGATAGCCAATCTTTAGGGCAGTCAAAACGGATTGCTTGACGCTCTTAGGACCATACTGCTCAGGATTGGGCTGAAAGGTCCCGAGTCCTCGCGCTGGGATCCGCGCGCCGTTGACTTCGAAAAAATCCGGGGGAATCATTCTAACCTGTGCCTTTTTCCAATTGTCGAGAATCAAATTAGTGATTAAATTTGAACGATTACGCTGGTGAGGTATTCGTTTCGAGCATGGGCAGGAGAGGATTTATTATACAACGGAAGGGACTGCACGAATGCAGAAGGGGAGACCAGCAAGACGTACCTTCCGATCCCTGCCATTGCCCTTGCATAATTCCAACTTCTCCCAACATGTACAGTACATCGTGGCCCTTTCCCCTCATTTTACCGCCCTGTCAGAGGACTCCGCATGTCACTCTTTCGTAGTCTTGCCACGGGACTGTAGGGGACATAGCTTGGGTCTCTGGTAGCTTACCTTGTGATCCCAAAGAAAGTGAATATTTCTCTTGATTGGAATGTGTTGGGCATGCTGGATTTTACCCCATCTTGAGTGGGCCAAAGGTGCACTCTCAAGGTGACTAGATTTTCAAGCAGGCTGAGAATGATACTGTTGGGGGACTTCGGGGTGCAATGTTCCACGACAGGCTTATTGTGATGGGCTGAAGTCTTGGCTGAAGGGGCGTGATATGACCAGAATCCGGCAAGAGTGATCACAGCGTCGAGGACAAGCCTTTATAGATGGTAGGTAGGATAACTGGAAACGGTATCCCACATACGGAATGGCTTAGGTACTTCGATCAGTTAACATAATTCTTGTGTCCTGAACGAAACTGTTGCGGAAAATTCGGGGCCCAGCATGACAGACCGTTCAGATTTGAAGTCGCGCGTCCTTCCTCAGATGGCGTTTTGTCCGCCTGAGTCTCCGTCCCCGCGGCCGGCGGCTCTCTGGAAGAACTCATCCACTACCTCAGCCGGCGAACGCTTCAAAGTCTCCGGAAACGCTATTGTGACGGGAGGAGCGGGTGACCTTGGTTCGGCCGCGAGTCGCGCATTGCTCCAGCATGGCCTGCAAGGACTCGTCATCTTCGACCTGGATACGGAGCAGGAGAACCAGCTAGTTGAGCAGCTACAGGCCGACTTCCCATCCGTCAAGGTTTTATTCCTGAAAGTTGACGTAACAGAAGCCGAGGTGGTTGAACGCGCCGTGGACGAAGTCGCGAGGTTGCTCGGTTCCGTCGATATCCTTCTCAGCTTCGCAGCAACTGTGTGTTGCGTTCCCGCTCTGGAAGTGAAGCCGGATCAGTGGCGCCGAACCCTCGACGTCAATGCAACGGGTACCTTTATCGTCGCTCAAGCAGTCGCCAAAAACATGGTTGCCAAAGGCAGCGGAGGTTCTATGATTTTCATAGCCAGTATCTCGGGCCACACCGTCAGCTACCCTCAGCCGCAAGCACCGTACAATGTCTCCAAAGCTGCAGTTTTGATGCTGAAATGTTCCCTCGCCTCGGAATGGGCTGTTCACGGAATACGTGTGAACAGCATCAGCCCCGGTTACATGAATACGATCCTAAACGAGGGAGACGGCCTGGAAGCCGCTCAAAAGATCTGGGCGAACCGAACGCCCATGGGAAGAATGGGTGAGCGAGAGGAGCTTTGTGGTGCCGTGTTGTTACTTGCTAGCAACGCCGGGAGTTACATCACAGGTGCTGATATTGTGGTGGATGGGGGCCAAACAGTTTTGTGAAGTAGGTGCAGGGGGAACCCGGGATCATTCTAAATCGTGCTGCATACCAGAGGGTGAAAATTCAATTGGAAACGAGATAAAATCTACGAGACTGTCGTAATAACGGTCTTGCCCCTTCTCTGATGTTCTAAAACCTTCCCTTCCAGTTAACAATCCCCACCTCGCCATTTCTGGGGCATAGTAGAGCACCCTTCTTGTTTACCAGTGTCAAATGTATGGTCTCATCGTTAACCCAGTCGCGCGGTAAGGAATAAAGGCGTTTGATGGGGCCCATTTCCCGGCCGATAGTGCTTATGCAAACCCAGTTGTCGTGGTCCAAAAAAAGGAGGCGGTCCCCGAGGCTGCCCAGTAGATAGCTGACCTTGTCTTCCATACCTGATAAAGGTATAGCATCCCACGTAGAGGACGTCCCTGGCCCCTGAACTCGGACCAAATAAACCCGTAGTCCACGACTCCGTTTGGACCCCCTCCCCTGTAAGGTGTCGTAGATCAGATACCGGCCACTCTCGGCCAAAACAACAGTGTTGACCGTTTCCTGGGTTAGCGGAGGACTACTCTCAACAGACAACACAAGGGAGGGTGTGAGTGCTCTTGATTCTGCTTCTCCACTCTCTACACGATCGAGACTATTCCACTTAAAGACGAGCTGCTGATTTGACTCCACGCGCACAAGTTCATCCATGCGGCTAGGATTGTTTATCCACTTGCATCTCTGCTCCGTTTCTCTTCTCTTTTTGCAAACCTGACACCTTGTCTTCAAGTCCCAGATGTGGTCCGTGGTATCGGTGCTAATAAGAAGAAAGGTCTCTTCAAGGTTAAACAAGAGCTGCGCAACGGCCCCCTCAACTCGCAGGTCAAGTAAGGGATAGACGGCCCATTTATTGTCCTCTTTAATCCTGAGTCTCTTGGCAATCACCTTCCCGGAGTCGTCGGCGGATGCTATGAAGCGACGGGACGAAGACCAGTCAATAGCAATGACGCTGAGCATCGCTGAGTGCCTAGTGACCTTGCGGACTCTTGTGCCGTTGCTGATTTCATGAATGGACACGGATCCATCATCTCGACCACAGCAGAAGAACTCATCTTCGCTATCACATACCAACGCAGTTACCTGCCCTTTCTGGCTCTGATCCTCAGCGAAGACGGCGTCGCCGACAACCTCCGATACGGCTGCGTCGTCGAGATTGCTAGACCTTTCGCCCACATCTAACTCTTCCACCCGTACTAGGACGTCTGGTGCCCATACGTTGCATCTGGAACCCCGGACGTCATAGATACGTCGGCTATCCGGACTAAAGGCCAGGTCACGGACGAACTCGCTCGACTGCAATCTGTATATGAGGTTGAACTTCGGCAGCCGCCAAACGCTAACTGATCCGCGGTTGTTACTTGTGAGAAGCAAGGTTCCTTCCTCATTGAGGACCATCTCCCGCGCCTCGGTGTTCCCAAACTCTACTTGGGTATCGTCGATCACGTTCCAAGCAAGAATCGTGGTGTCTTGGTAGAGGATATAGAGAACGGATCCATCAGGTTGCCATCTTGCAAGTTCCGGGGAATTGAAGGCATCCTCACCATCCTCCGAACGATTCATATCGTCGAGGCGGATAACTGTCCGCGAGTCCGACTGGGATTCCCGTTCCATATCCTGAACCACAACCGGCTTTCCACGAAACCCGATGGCGAGCTTCGAATGACTGGGGCTCAGGACCATGAAACGAGGACAGTTTCCCAGAACGCCCAGACCCTGCGTAGGCAAAATAGTCGTCCCTTGCAAGGTCCCCAAATCGTACCGTATGAGAGAGCAATCATCGTAGCCTACCGCCAGCTCGGCACTAGCTTGACCGAAGTTTAGGTTCATAATACGGGCGCCACTTGGCTTGGGTATGGAGTAAAGCCGCGTGCCGGTGGAAATGCTCCAGACGGCAATGGTGTACCGCCCAGCGGTTGCCACCAAACTCCCCGTCTTGTTCGTCTCCATCACAGTGACCCACTCACCGTGGCATATCCGACGCAGCTCCTCACATGTCTCGATGTGCCACACGATCACCGTGCCGTTGCGGCTGACCAATGTCAAGAAATAGATTCCCGTGCACCTAACGCGGGATGCAATCTCTTCGTGGCCAACTGAGAGGCGCGCCAAATTATCGTCCCAGCACTCGGTGGTAAGCCCATTGACGGTAATCAGTGGGTTTTCTGTGTTTTCGAAGTACCTCGACGAGACGGCAGAGGTAGGCGGGCAAAACGGAGGAATGTGCCGGTGAATAGCAGAAGGGTTTTGCGCCAGGATATTACCAAACTTTGATACGAGTCGGATGAGATCTATGGTCCATTGCTCCAGAAAAGCCGTCTCAGCCAAAATAACATTCATATCATCTTGATCTTCGGCCAGCTGGTGCGGCTCGGAAGAGCCAATCCTTCTGCTCCGCTGTAACCACTTCTTCAGGTACTGTGCGGCCCTGGGGATGATTCGAAGGTTTCCGGAGAGAGCGGCGGCTTGGATCCAGAGCAGAATATACCTGTTGCAAAATAGCCGCAAGGTCGCAAGTAAATCAGGCGCCTTGGGGTCAGCCAAGCTGACGTGGCCTCCCCAGAAATTCATGGCGTATTTTAGGAAAGGAAACTCATCGTAGACGGACTCTAGCCTATCCCCACTCATACACGTAGAGTACTGAGTTTCCGGAACCTGACTGAGGACCTGCCTCCACTTTTTGTTGCACAAATACCGTAAGCATACAACAGCTATGTGGTCATGATTGATGGGGGCATCAGGGGACAATGTATCCAGGAGAAACTGGCGGGCGGTTCCGTGGATGAGACAAACAGTACCCTGGTCGACGCGGACGAACTGGCCACAGACCTGTACTACCGTCTCCGCCAAGTCCACGAAGCCATCAAAATCTGGCTTCAGCGCAGCCTCCAGTTCCTCGACGGTGAGCCAACGAAAGCCGCAGGCCACCCAGGTGAGCACGCGGAGCCCAAGGTCCCGAAGACGGGGAGGCTGACTCTTGACATCTTCCATCATCTTCATATACATGGCTTGCATGTCGCCGGGGACAAGGTCGAGCGCTCTGTCGATATCAGCCTTGGTGTGCCAGTTGTCCGAGAGCGAGTCCAGGACCAGCTTTGTCCAAAGGAAAGAACCCTCAGCCTTCTCTGTGATTCGCTCGATTATGAACCGCTGGAGTGACTCGTCCCGGGGCAATACCTCGGCGACGACCGATCGAGTGTAGGTACTGATGTCGGCCCTCGTGTGGGCCGCCGAGATGGGCTCTACCAAAACCGAATTGGGATGCGACCCGGCAAGATTCGTGAGTTCCCGCTTTGGTCGGCTGAGAAGAAGAACTTTGATAGAGGTCTGTGGGCGCATTTGAATCAAATTCTGCAATAGGGATTTCGGCGTATCGGCTTCGTTAAGTCCATCGAGCACCCAATGTAAGGTGGAACCAAAATCCATCTGAAAAACGATGTTCTCATAAATCGTGTCCCAGATTACCTGGAACTTCAGGAGGGCCGCAGAGAACTTGATTTGCCTGTGCAGCTCCAGGAGCCTCTCTGCAAATCTTGGGTATGCCAACGCTAGCTGGTACGCGATGGCTCTCAGGCAATACGACGTGCTTCTTTTGGCTGGCTGAGCATCTACGAAGAAATGATACTGGCACTGAAGGCCCCCTTGAATGTGCTGGATCGCCTTGGCTGCCAGCGTAGACTTACCGGACCCGGGAGGGCCAGTGAGCCAGAGCACCTCGGAAGGCCCGTCGGATGCATCAAGCCACCTTCGGAAGCTTTCGACTTGGCGGAGCCATTGGCACGATCCATGCGCGGCGCGGTCGAGGTGTTTCCGGAAGTCGTCTTGTATCTCTTCCTGGACTCCAAGAATTTCCCTAAGCAACGCCGCATCATCGTTGGAAGAAGGCGGTCGATTTGACTCTTCAGAAGCTGTTCCACCATTCTCGAGGGTTAGCTAGACATGGTCGCAGCAGAAGTCTCTTGTCATTTCCTCCAGCTGGTCTTGGGCCTATCCTACCTCTAGTTCTCAAATCTTTGGTCAGTTGTCGGAGGAGATTTACCGCCATCAAATAAGACTGATCCTGGCTGCTCTCGAATTTGCAGATTGTATGGTGATCAGCGTCGATCGGAACAGACATCTCCTGCGGATAGCCTAGTACCCCAGAATCTTTTCCGACGATCTAGGTAAAATAGATAAAGAATGAGGAAAAAAGTTCACTGTGGAAGGCAGAGATAATCAAGCAGTTTCTACTGGAATACTCACCAATTTCTTCATGCCCGACACCAATTTAGTCGGGAGACTTTCGTACAGAGAGATGAGTTTCCACTGGCTGCAAATATTTCGGAATTGCTCGTTAATGTCTTCGATCGATGTTGAAGAAGTCTCGAGCTCTCCAATGTAAACCTTCCGAGACGTGCCGACCATGAGGGACAGGAACTGGTTGAGGGTTCGCGCGTGCGGTGAACCCTTATGGGGCGTTGAGAAGAACATTATGCCGTGGACTTTTGACACCATCATCGAGTAGTGGTCGTTTGTTTTCCCCAGGATCAAGGCCTTCGTTTTGTTTTGGGAAGACAGAAAAGTCAGGATTCCGGTTTGACAGAGACTGAAATTGATCTCGTTAGATGGGGGTCATTTTATTACCTTCTTGACGACAAGTCCTCCCATAGAGTGAGCTACGAAAATGATGGGCCGCTACGATTGCTATCAGCAATTGAACTTTCCCGATTGGAGCAATGTATGGTAGACATGTCCCACTGGAGCAGTCACGGTGTTCCATAACCTATAGGTGTGCTCAATGCATATATGTGATCCAAGGGTTAGACTCACCTGTCCTATGCCGTCGGCTTCTCCATGACCGTATGTCTTCATTCCTAATAACAGGCCCTTCGAAAAGTCCAGAAGGCTGAGGGGATTCTCGGACTCTTTGAAATTAGCGTTGTAGCCGTACGAAAACACTCTGAAGTTCGAGAGTCCCTCCTCCTGGCGAATCCATGCCGGCCAAAATATCTCGGGTCTCCGCTGCCACGACCATGTTCGAAGGGAGGAGCCCCCAAGACCATGGACAAAGATTATGTCGGCGCTAGACTGAGGTACGCCGTGGATGAAAATAAGACCTAACGGATCGTCCGGCTCTGGTTCATGATTGGTCCTTTGCCTCGAAAGCAGGCGCGTCAACGCCGAGGAGAAGACAGACGTATAACCTGCCGCTGCTGAGAGACGCCTATCGACCCCGATAGTGGCCGGATTAGATGCTGATGAAAGCTGTTCTTGCTCGGACCCAGGTATCGACAGCACCGGAAGGGCGGGAAGGTCACACGCGAGGTCATCCCCGCTTGTCGTGGACGGACCCTCCTCACTAGTCCGGCGGCCGGTCTCTCCCCTTCGAGGATCGGAACTTGAGGGTCGAAATTTGAGGTACGAGCGCCGGAAATTGCCAAAATGCCTTTTTCCTTTATTTCCTTCACTTTTTTCGGGAGGGGAGGAGACGCCTCGCTTGAACATCTCGAGAAGGCGCAGACGAGGTATGGCTTCTATCTTCTCGGTTAGCTAGGTAAGGGCACTTTCCGCGACGCATTGGTGTCTCTTAAAGTCATCATGAATTCTTCGTATTCGCCATATTCCCTTGTTATTATCGGGTCATTTGATTTTGATCAACTCCACACAGGTTGATGTTCAGGACAAACGCGCAAAAGCCAAGCCGTGAGTGGCGACAAGGGCGGTGTCCCCGCCACGTCACAAGTTCACAACCATGCAGGAAGAGTGCAGGGGTCACGCCAAAATGGGATATGTGGAAGCGGGATAAATTGGGGCGGCAGGGTAACAACCAAGCAGGCACCCGAGCCGCCTCTACATTCACAGCAATCTTGGTCCCTGGATGCAATCAACGACAAGCATAAGTGCCCCCTCTTCTCCCCCAAACCTTTCTTGAGGTTATGAGACTTATTAGTGTAATGGAAAATATGACGCTCCTATGCAGAAGTTTCTTTCCCGGTGAACTCGCTTCCATTCTGGGACTTGGGAATCGATCGGAGCCACATTCCCACATTTACGGCACGACCTTCGACGATGAAGAGGAAGAGGGAGATTAACAGTTTCTGTTTTTGTGTGGGTTATAGGACATGGGATGCTTTGGCCGCGAAAGTCTTGGCCGGATAGGTTAGCTCAAACGATCGCGTCTTTAGTTTGTCCTAACTGACCTCACGTTTACTCACCGAGTTAATCTAAAAGATTATAAGCGCTAAGACCCGTTAGCCGTCACTAAGTAATTAATCAACTAGAACCAACCTCGCAGCATAACGAAAATACAGCTGCCGTAGATATCGCATGCGGGACAGGAAATGCGAGCACACTACTGTCGTAGAGGCCATCGTCTCTGCCCAAAGACACGAGCCCATCATCCTCAGTAGGAAGGCGAGCTCCACAGGTCCCTGATAGAAATTTTAATCATAATCACCCGCTTCTTTTCCACGCGCATATTGCCGTTTGATCACCAAGTGAGTCCGTCACCGGAGGCTAACTTTGGGCGGGAATTACCCGCCGTAGACAAGTGTGACGTCGATTCCCTGATTTGGGTGTCTGAAGAGAATGAAGTCTACATCGTCATCGCCAAGTCCTTGCCGGACGGCCGACCCCTCCGGAGGTGGATTTCATTCCCGCTACGTATGCATAGAAGCCTACAAAGCGGATGATCTCGAGTGATCGGAGTGTGCCCTTCACCAACAAGCGGGCAGTCGATAGCTGTACCGTACCATACAAAAGGAAAGCATAGGCCGAGGTAAAATTAAGAGACCAGTTCATAACAGGGATTAATTCTATATAGTGGTTGAGACCCTCTATGATAGTCTTACTAAAAGGAGCTTGAGGGCTATCTGGTTTCCGGCGGCCTTGAAAATTCGTACTTGTCTCTCTCACTTCTCCTAATCATAAATACCCTCAAGTCGGGGCAAGTATCTCAAGATAGTCGGGTTGTATAATATCACCGAGTCTATCTCCCACTAGAATTTCTCTGTGGAGAGAGCCATGCGGTTCTAGACCCAAGGGAAGGAGCGCCTTCTACACCCTCCGCACCTTCCTCAACACAACACGGCTTCAGCCATATGCTGTATATATTAGTTAACGGCAAGAACTTCCAACCGAGCAGCTCAAGCAGTGGTGACACTACGACCAGTGGCCAAGTAGTCATTGGAGCACTCAGAAGGTTAGAAAATCGCAATTTTCGTAGCTCGTGGGAAGCAACCGGGATTCGATCCTGGGAGCGACCCTCGAGCGAGCTTTTTGCTTTTTTTTTTTTTTTTTTAATATAATTTTTTATTTTATTTTATTTTAATTTTTTGTATTTTGTTAGAATACCTTCTAGAAGAAAAGAATTATTACTTGTTAAGTAGATTTGAACCTCGTCTTTTCTTCTCTCTGGCTGTGTTTTTTCGTTGAGGTAGAGACTTATCGAGAGGTCGGAGGTAAAGAGAAATCAGGAACCGTAGAGAGGCCGTGGCGAGGAAGTAATGCATTACACAGAGTAGTAGGTATTATATTGATATTATCTTGAGCAAATTGATATGGGATAGAAGCCACGATGCTCGATCTATCTATTTCCTTAGGGCTGCTCAGATTGACCTTGCCGTCACTCCCGCGCCTCGGCTACCTTGGCCAATTCCAGCTCCTTTCTCATTTTATCGTCCTGAGGACGTCACGATTTCCTGGTCCTTCGGGGGCCATTTGTGTAAAATATTATGCTTGCTCGACGTTCGGGATCGACGAGAACCCTTGCTTCACACTCGAGGGTATCTTTAGTGGCTTGAATGGTGTGCACCTTTGGCGGAGCATCAGAGGGGGCAAAGACTTCTTTATTTCTACCCTAGGGACCAGGTCCCGGCATGCTTGTTGGTGATCACGGCCAGACCCTTAAAGAGCCGACAAGTTCCGGATGCTAATACTACAAATCCACATCATCCCCGTTGTCCGTTCTCCGGCGCTTTCTCTGGCATTCTGGAAGAGGCTGCTCCTTTGGAAACCCGATGACGGCTTTAACCTGGTTACCATTCGTAGCCTCGAACCAGCGGTCTTGGTCCATTGCCAAAATATTTAGGCTCGTGAGCTTTGCTCCGACGGCTGTAGATTAAGTTAGTCTAGGAAAGGATCATGGGCGTACTCAACAAAGGTATCTCAATTACTCACAGAATAGTTCATCAGTATCGAGTTGACTCTGGCGTTCCCAGGGCCAGAGTGTTCGTTGGGACGCCGCTCTCGGGGGGTCCGTGGTATTTCGCCCGACTAACTCTGGTATGGGCGGATCTGAAAATGGAGCCGGAGGCGGAGTAGGCTCGTCAACGGACATGTCCATGTCAATGTCAGTGGCATCCTTAGAGCCTAGGCTCGCGTCTGGCCGCAGTTCCTCTCCGTTCAAATATGCAGAGCCATCTCCATCGTCTTCAGGCCTGGCGGAACTAGAGGGCCTGGAATTTCGAGGCTCGGGAGTCTCAATATAACAATCTTCGGAGACAATGTTGAAAGACAGCGGATCAGACGCAGAGTTGATAATGATGAAGTACTCTTGGCCCCCTTCTAGGTTGTCCTCACGGTGAGAAACTCGACCGATTGGTACGGTCGCGACCCGGCAAGGCTGGATGCCCGAGCCTGTCCCTGATGTGCCTGGTAATAAGACACATGGTGGCGAAGACACTGTGGTCGATTAAAATCAGTTCATGTGCTCATTTCATATGGAAGTGTCCCCGAAAAAACTGACCGTCATCGGCTAGGAGATGCTCCTTTAGCTCTGCACAGTGATGGTGATCGGTACTGTGGACTTGGACGGTGATGGGGGTGTCGTCTGGCCATCCTTGAACACTGGGCCACAACACCTCGAGAGAACCAGGGCTCGTGGTCTCCACCCTAATCTTATCCATTCGCAAGAAATTGAGAAGTCGCTGCTCCATGTTTCTGCATATCTCATGCCTCTTTCCCCAAGCTCTTTGAAGATCCGGGCTTCTTTTGAGTTCCTGGCTGAGCACTTGGTCTAGCCCGTCACTGAATAGTGTCTTAACCGTGTGCAAGACCACGTCGTAGTCGGCGATGACGGCAAGCAAGCCCAAACTCTGGATGGCGGCCTCTTGGGAAAGCCACCTTTCATGGACTTTGAACTTGTGGTCGGGTTTTTTCGAGTAGAAGAGTTGAAGATCAAGGGGTCCGGCTTGCACGAACTGGACTGAGATCCCGTCCAAGTGTGGGCAAGCCTGGATACAGGACCGGAAAAGGCGCTCGACGCATCTAGCAAAGCTAGTCTGTGGGATTTTGGCTGGCTTGGCCTCTAAGAAGCGACGCTTCTCTTCCTCTTCCGCAGTCCATATTAAGTTGTGCCTCCTCAGGATAGACCAATACGGCTTCTTAAGTTCAGAGCTCTCACGGCCCAGTTTCCTAATTATGTCGTCGAACCTTGGATTCTAGACCTGTGTCAGCTCTCTAGAAAGGTAAAATGTGCTTGAAGCGGTAGGGTGATAGATACCTGAGCCTTTTCCTCACTGCAGTAATACCATTTCCCGTTGAACTTTTCGCTAAAGAGGTAGGCCTTCAGGCGTCCGGCGGTCTCAAGGTTCATATAGTTTTTAGCAGCGGTGACGTCGGCGTATTCAATATCAGGAGAATTTAGCATGCTATTCAACTCCTCGATCAGGTTGTGTGCATTCGGAATTCCTTGCCAAATATGGAGCATAGCTTGGGACTCTTCACGAGCACTGGACATAACCTGTCTGTCCCTATTCGTTCGTCCAGAGACGAAGTTGTAGCCAAATTTCAACTCTTTACCAGACATGCTCGCCGATTGGTCCGGGGTCGACTCCTGAAGGAGTAAGCCCTTCAGGTAAATGTTGCCGCGAAACCTTGGGTCCAATACCAGATGGCCAATTTGGATCTCGTCCTTCTTACTCACCACAAGGTTTCCCGAGGGAATGTCGTGTAGAAACAAGGCCGCCATTGTCCATTTGTCAAAGTCCTCTCGGCTGACTTGGGCGCAATCTCTTAGTTTCCCTTTTTCGTTTCTCCTCCTCGAGCGCTCTCCAATGACGAATTGAACGTCCCGTTTGGGGTCAGCGGCAAGAGGGAGGAGAGAGTTTGAGACCTGCTGTGCGGCGTGACGCGTGACGTCCTCGATTTTCTTGGGTGTCATTCTCGTCAGCCGAGCAACCATGTTCCGTTTCTTGGTGAAATTAAAGTTCCAGCTGAAACCGCCCGACTGGCATCGGATCCGATAGTTCTGAGGACTGCGCGTCATGACGATGAGAGCGACCTTGAGCCCGTCGCCATGTTCGCCTGCTTGAGTCTTGTCCTCGACCTTGGACGAGCCTCCGAGGTTTAGATGACACGGTTGGAGGGTGGCTCTTCTGTTGGTGATTTCGATCGTTCCCATCCCATCGCGGGCTTTGAAGCGGATGTAGCCACAACATAACTTGGGCTCCACACCGAACTTGAAGACTTTGTATACGATTTCCGTATTCCGGCCTGAGGACTTCTCTTCTCGTATTACTTGGAAGTCGTGTTCTTGAATGTCATACGATTTGATGATCGCGTCTCGCCTATGTAGGTGCAGCGTACCAGTTAGCGCCGAACGATAGAAGTCACCATCGAAGCTTTTTCACGAAAGCGTGCGATATCCCAGGGAAGTAATCTGTTCCAAACTTGCCAATTCTGTATGAATTCGCGGAAAGCCTCACGAGGCTTCCAGTCGGTGGTGTAGTTTGCAGTGATGGAGAGCTCGATTTCCCTGCTGTGTTTGATCGAGCGGAGTGTGTCTAGTTCCTCCGCGCCGTAGGGATCATCGTCACTCGTACAAGAGAGAATGTCCTCTCCCGAATAGGGAAGACCGTCGTCGTCGACGAGATGCTCTTGATCCATGGTCAACGAATTGTTCTCATGGGCCTACTGGCAGTGAATGGCGAGGTAAAATAAGAATTGGGAAAAATACCAAAATAAAGCGAATTCACCGAAAGGTAGGTACGAAGCAAGGTGAAAGCTTGTCGTTTGATTAAAATCTATAGGGCAGGAGCAGACACGACCCCAGAACGTGAATCATTTGTTTTGGACGTGGCGCGTTTTATGTCATGCTGGTGCCACAGCTCCGATTGATAGCGACTTCCAAAAGAGGGCAGCGTTTGTATTGATGAAATACGCGCGCACCAGGTAATTGACTATTGCGGCTGGTAAGTTGCGGCTGGTAATTTCTAGTAGGGGGCAAATTGACACATCCACAGAATATATCGCTCTGGAGCTCCCGAACCACGTCAAGTCGTGTAATAGCATCAGAGCACATCACCACCAAGCCGTAGCAACATGTCGGCACGGAAAAAAAAATTTGGGATCCGGAAACCCGTATTCCGTGAGGCGCAAGCGGATTCGGCCTTTTCGTCGCCGTGGATACATTTCAGCTTAGCTATGGTGATACAATGATGGATGAAACCAGGACCGAGTAACCCGGCTGACGGGGACACACAAGGCATCCCGGTAAGTTATATTTCAGCTCCAGCCTCCCTCTTCGCTGTCCCCGTGCTCAAATACGCTTGTCGGTCGGAACAAAAGACGGAAGACAGGACTATCACACTCCAGATGTGGTGGTCTGTGGAATGGTGTCGTAGCTTATTCTGTCTAACCGGTTACATTCGACTTGATCATAATCGGGTTGCTTGGCAGAATTTGCAAGTTTGAGTTCAAATTCAAGAAACTGTTCAATGGAACCTCCCCCATCTGCGCGTGTCCCACGATTAACACACATTCTTCTAGAAAATCACCAACCTTCCCCAGCTCGTCCCAGATCCGGATAACCTCAGCGAGCTTTTCCTACGACCCAACGGGTAACTATTATCAAGGCAACAGCACGCCCCAAACGGCAAGCTCGTGAACATTGGAAGCCGAAAACGTCTATGCCTCGTCCGCAAAACTCAAACCCTGAAGGCTCTCAACAACGTTCTCGTACTCTTCGTCTTTCTCAAGAGCCACCAGACTGTTAATCAACTTATTGTGCGGCCGGTGCAGTGCATACATCCCCGGGATCATGGGCACCGGCCCGCCGTCGCCGCTGTCACGCGCGGTGCACCGCTCCGCCTTGATGGCCTGCAGCTGACGTCCGGCGACGCGAAAAACAAACCTGACGCTGGAGTATTGGAAAAGCTTAAACGTGACTGACGCTTTGAGTTTGCCCCAGTAGCTGTGGGAGTCGGGCGTCTCCACGCCGGTCGCCGCTGCGGCTGCGCCGAAGAGCTGAACCCTGAGCGCCCTGTCGGCGAGGCACTCCTCGGGGGGGCGGATGGACAGCCACTTCTGGTATGCGGCTTCCAGTTTGCTGGGAAAATTATCGTTTACCAGGGGCCCGGGGACTGTGTCTTTCCAGAACTGCAGTGCACCTTTCAAGTCCCGGTGGAGGGCTCTGCGGAGCTTCTCGTACACATCCAAGCTATTGGCGAGGATGTCCAGCTCATCCGAGTAGAACTCAAGATCTTTGTCTCCCCCTGTCCTCGCGATTTTCTGCGTCTTCGACAAGGAGGCCATGATCCCCCTCATCTCCCTCTCGATGACGGGCTCGGCCACTTCGAACCTGAGCCAGTCAAGGATGTGCTTGCACCGGTCCGGGCGGCTCCCCGACTTATACGCCGGCATGTCCGCGGCAATCCGGGGCATCCTGACGAACCGCGTCTTCACTCTACCCAGGTCCTCCGGCGTGAAGATGACGCCCTGCTTCTCCTGGTCGACGAGCCTACCCAAGAGGGCGCTGAGAGCGATGGCCCTGTCGCTGCTGATGCTGTTGTCATGATAGCACACTTTCTCCTTGTAAGCGGTGCACCGGCCGAGCATGTTGGGCCTCATGGCGTGGAGGAAGCCGTGCGTCATGAACTCGGAGGTGCTGCGGCCCGCGCCGCCGGAATTACGGGACAGCGCCTCGTCGACCGTCGTATTGTCTTGTTGGATGTAACAATCCTTAAGGAGCTCGTCCTCGTATATCTTCTTCTTCTCCGGGACCGGAACGCCTTCAAAGTTGTCCACGATGTCTGGGTCCCAGCACACCCACGCTCTGTCGCCGTCGTAATCGCCACCCGAGAGGTACTCTGCCAAGGGTTCCGCGCCCTTGATGGAGAACACGATGACGTCCTTGAGGTGCCGCAGCTCGGGCCGGAAAACTGCCCTCACCTTCTGGATGTCGCTGGGGAAATGGGCCGGGGCACGCGCCACGAGGACGTCCTGGTCGTGCAGCTCGCCGGTGGCCTCGCCGTCCGTCACAAATTGCGTCGAGAAGCCCAAGTGCACTTCGCCCTCGTCCAGGACCTCGGCAAAGTCTACCACCATGAAGGCATACGTAGACCGGGGTACCGAGATCTTGAGGTTGTTGCGGAGCGAATCAGCTACCTGCTTGGCCATCTTCTTGACCAGGTCGGCGACGAAGACATTGGACATGTCAAAGCCGCCATTCAAGAGGAACTTGAGCATCTCCCCATCCTGCCTGGGTAGCCCTCCGAGGAAGGGCACGTAGCCATCGGCGGCTTTCTCGGCGCATGAGATCTCGGTCTGATGGACTAGGCTCAGGAGGGTCATGGGGTGCCTCGCGGCGCGGGCGATGGCCCAGAGCTCAGTCGCAGCCGTTCGCTCGAAGAGGGCCTTGACGACGTCCCGCAGGCGATATCGGTCCGGAGCGCGGTCCTCGAGGATGACGAGGAATTGTTCGTTCACGTCGGCGGGCTTCAGTGGTGACGGGGCCCCTCTCACCTCGAACGTGCAGTGGTCCGGGTCTTCATCGTAGCGGCACACCCACTTCGTCTGGGACCGGTAGATTTCGATCCACTCATCGTCGTCGTCGTCGAAGTGGCTGGAATCGATGATCCAGAAGCCCTTGGCGCCGCCGAGCCGGCCCTGGAAACCGCTCGGTACCGTGTCGAGGCCGAGATGGGCGGCAATCTTGCGGGCTAGGCGCCGCGACATGAGTCCGATGCCATCGTTCATGGGAACGCCTTGTGGGGACCTGACGTCGTCCTCTTTTACTCGTAGCTGGTGAGGCTTGAGAACGACAGTCGCGGTGGCCCTGCTAAGGCCTGTTTGACGACATACCAGAGATTAAGTTAGCCAAACCGATTTCTCTTGGGAGCTATAGGGACATAGCCGTACTTAGCGCTAGTCGTGAGAAGAGCTTGCAGATCGGCTGCTCAGTATTCTCCGAGATACCGATACCGATGGCCCACTCGAGAAGGTCGGAAATTTCAATCTTGCTTCTGCGGCTGATTTCAGTCGCATCTTCCTTGCGAGGGTACCGGAGATGAGGGCCACAGGGACGGAAATCGTCGCCATCGACGGCGAAGAAGTAGACGCGGTCCCGCATTTCATACTTGATCGGGCCGCCATTCTTCTTGACGCTCGGCTGGGCTTTTGTAAAGAACGGACGCCACACACGCCCAAACATGACATGGTCACTCTCGAGGAACAGACGAACCAAGACGTCGTAGGACTTCAGATAGGCGGGCCGGTCGTCGGCGGCGGGAGAGGGAAGCACGACTTCTAGAAACCGATCGGCGCCGAATCGCCGCGCGAGGCGATGGCTACGTTCCAGCTTGAGCGGTTGGAGGGCCATGGTGTAGAGCTGGCCGTCGGCCGGGCGGCGCGCGTACCTGGCTTCCATGACGAGGGTGACGGAGTAGCTATCATGCTGGAAGGTCGAGAAGGCGGCGTCCCAGGCCCGGCGGTTACACATGACGGGCAGGGGGCCCTTGACTCCGAAGTCCGGGTGAGCCTTGAGGGCGCTGTGGAACCCGGCTTGGGTGGCCCAGCGCTGCGCGTCGTATGGCATCGCGAGGGTGTCGAGCGGTACGCCGCAGTGCAGGGCCGCCCTGGTGGTCTCCCAGATGATGGGGAAAGGAGCACTGGCGAGGAACCCAGGCATTTTCGCTGCCACGTGTCAATTATATGTAAGGACATTTACATCACTGCGGTACGTAAGTAGCAAGGATGGAAGACCGCGAACCTGCGCTACCCGGCTCTAAAGTGATAAAAGTAGACGGGGTAGGACCTACGCCAGGACATTTCGAGCATCCGCTTCAAATTTGGTTTTATGACGGACTTTCTGTTGCTAGACTCGCGGAGGATGGACGGTCCTGGTTCGGGAGGACTCTGCGGAGGGGGCAAGGAAGGCCCAGGTGGGCTACGAAGTGCGTAGAGTTCCTCCTCGTTGGGACGGCACGGACTGTTCTCCGAGGACTGCATCTCTTGGCTCGTTGCTTGCGTATGGCTAGCGAATTTTACGCGCGCAAGTGGCCCGTCTAGTGCCTGCGACTGATGGATGGAACGGTTGCCAAGCTTAAAGAGATCCCAGAGGCCGCCTCTACCGAATTGAGAGCTTAAACTGGCCGTCTCGTGGCTGTCTGGTTGGCCGTTTGCATCAAACCGTGTCAAGGACCCAACGGGACTCCGGATGCGGCCACCGCCACTGACACCATTGAAGCTGGGCAAGGAGTGGTCCCGGCCATTAGGGCGATGCGAAAGACGCTGCGTGCTGGGGTTCGCCGAGTGCCCATTGGGTGATGCGAATTCCACGGGGCTCTCTTCTCTGATCACCATGGATCTGGTCGGAGTGGACTGGAGAGTCCTTTCGAGGTTTTCTTCTTCCGGCGTGCGCAAGTACGCCTCACGCGGTGGCTTGCATCCCGTGGGGAGCGCCAGGCCGTTGTCGAGTTGGCTGTCACGTTGAGTTGTGCAAGCGGTATACCGAGGTGGGGAATTTTCTTGACGGAGGGAGAGAGGGGATATGGTCGGGGTCAGCGATTCCAAAATCCGCAAGAGGCACATTTGTAGCTCATAGCTCTTCTCGGCATCGGGAGCCCTTACCCGGCAGCCGGCCGAAGAAGAAACGCCGTTACCACCCAGGGTATCCCGCGCCTGGCTGACGCGCGCAACGTTTCCGGACGCTCGGAACGCTCGGAACGCAGCCGTGACGCATGGAAGCTGCTCCGGACACTTATCGGCTAGGAAGCGGGCCCGACGGTGAATTTCTTCGGCGAGCCGGTCCGCGTCGGTTTTAAGCTGTTCTCGTCGCTGCCGCGGTGACAGGTCTAGGTTCGGCACGCGGATAGCAAGACCGTACTCCGAGTTGAAGCTGTCTATAAATGAGGATGCGACAGTGAGCGCATTCGACCCGGTCCTCCTTGGGGGCGTGACGGGTTCTTCCATATTGAAAGTTCCGTGGAAGACTCGGAGAGTAGCAGAAGTAGACGTGGAGACAATTGGGATAAGGCCGTATCGATCTTAGGGGGATATGACGTTAGGGGTTCCCATGAACCATAAAGTATGGAGTAGAGTGACTGGGGAACTAAGAACTTCCGGCATGTACTCAGTAGGGCTGAGACAAAAGAAAGGAGTCTGCCGAGGATGATGACGCGGATACCCCGGCGTCGTAATTGCGAACAACGGTTGATTTTATAGCTGGCCAAACGTCAGGCCGAGCAAGATAGAACTTTTCGTATTTTGGGCCCGATTCACGGGCATTCGCATCATTTTGACCGTGATTGGTCGCTCGAGTCGTACTGCATAAAAGTGCCGGGCCTCTTTCAAGCTGGGCTGCCTGCAGGAGGCCCAGCCCACCATGATGCAGGGTACCGTTGAAGGCATGGCACTTGTTTCCAAGTTGAACAGAACCGGCGGGATTCCCAAGACGGATTTGGTTTTCACGGGAGGGGGGGGGAATGTCGGGAATTATTCGAAAGAAGGCATCTGCTAAGTCGGGCGCACCCAAAAATCCCTAGTAGACCTTGCACTCTGAGATTTGCAGCATCTGGCCATTGATGTCACAACATCGGAGGCCCAGGGCTCCAGAGGGGCTGTGAGGTACGATGGCCAACCAGTCGACCCCGCAGGGCGAACGAACTGCGGTCGAACGCATGGAAAGGCCAGTTGTTTGACAGCCAGTTTCCTCAAGCTAGCCTCAGAACTGGCCTAGGTCGGGCTAGGCTCGCGGTCTAAATCGAGCTCTTGTGTTCTATGGCCGTTCGGCAGGTATTCGGTGAGAATATCCGTGTCCAAAAAGACCGTTCCATCTAGTTCCCGTACAACGCGACCTACATCGCCGTTCCTATAACGGCGCTACTGTCCCCAATGACGAAGAACGTGTAGTTGAAGACGCTGAGAGCGCGGGAAGGGAGGGCACCGCCGAGAAGGTAGGCGTAGTAGAACGGCCCGAGGGGCGGTGCGGAGGCTAGCTAAGCCGGAGATGACGAAGTGGACTGTGCCGAGGGGACGTGGTGGGAGAGTGCAGCGCTCGGAGCCTGGAAAACTAAGCCGCACCAGGCCAGCACCCGCCTACAGGTGTTTTCGTTACTGAGGTGCTCCGTGTAGGAGAGAGTCATTGTGACTGACCAATCGAAACTCAACTTCATTTGCTAACAGCCAATTTCCAAGCTTTACTAAATATTGTTCCTTCTCGTGCACTATACTACTTACCCTTATATAAACTAATAAAAAAACCAATACTCTTCATTATAAACTAATAAGGCCATGTTTCCTATAGCAATCTACCGTGTGTTTAATTTAACTACTGCTCCCGTATTTTTCCAATTAGATAGTTACATTTGTTCATTAGGTCGGCTTCCTAATTCCTCTCCTCTGGACACCAGCAGCAACCTGGCGCGTCATCTGTGCCTTAGTAGTCTTGAGGAAGAAAGAAATCCCCAAGCTAACAGCGGCAAACGGAATCAAACTGTACCAAATAAATCGGTAGCAATCAGCTAAGGCCTTGGGATACGCTAGCCTATAGGCCTCGATAACTTCCTCCGTAACACCTGGTAGTTCAAGAAGCTGAGCCCCGACGCCGGCAGCAGCAGCAGTCAGGAACTGAGTAAGATTCTCTTGAGGCAGGCCAGCGACAAGGACAGCCTTAGCTAGCTGCTTGGGAAGTATCTCCTTGGTCTTTGTGTGGAAAATCGCGTGGAAAATGACAATGCCAATGGACCCACCAAGGGCACGAACGGCAGCGACAACACTCATGGCATGGGCAATATACTCGTTAGCCGTGCACACGCTGACTACGACGTTGAGGATAGACAACTGGGCGCCGACGCCGAAACCAAGAAGGGCGGTAGGGAAGAACCAGGCGGTAAAGTTGATGTGCGGTTCCATGACTGCCATTATGCCAGAGCCAGCCAGGAGGAAGCTAAAGGCGGTGATGACAATAGGCTTGGCCTCCTTGGTTAGGCCCATGATGATACCGGCAATGAAGGCCGAGATGATGCTAAAGCCGTTGAAGGGAATATTATATACACCAGTAAGGATGGCATCGTTAGTGAAAAGAGTAACGATTTCCTGGGGAAGATAAGCCTGGCCACCAAAGAGAACGATGCCACCGACAAAATTAAGGGCCATAGAGATAGCGAAATTGCGGTGCTCGAAGAAGGCATGGTGAAGGAGACCATCCTTTCGGAATCTCCAGTTGTAGATGCCGAAGATCATGAGAAGGACACCACCGATGATCAAGGTGCAGAGGACCAACGGATCAGTCCACTCGTAAGGGTTCCCTCCGTAGTGAAGACCAACAAGGAAGAGAACGAGACCGGAAGCAACGAGGAACACACCGAGCCAGTCGATCTTAGCGACCCTACTCATAGTAGAGAGCTCATTCTGGCCGGGTCGTGGAGCGGGATGGTAGAAGAGAACCAGCGAGATGAAAGTCAGAGCATAGAAGCCAGCGCAGAGGTAAAAGCCACCTCGCCATCCATTTGTATCCCCCCCCACGCCGTTCTTAATGAAAGCGCCCTGAATAACGGGACCAATCATGGTGGCTATGCCAGCAATGACACCAGCCAAACCCTGCATCTGGGGTCGCTTATCCTTGGGCACGACCTCGGACACAAGAGGGATGGCGAGATAACCAAGCGTCAAACCACAGCCATTAAGGACCTGTCCTCCGATAATCATCTCAACGTTGTTGGCGCGGCTGGACACGATGGCGCCGGTGATACCGAGCAGCATCCCGGCCAGCAGGAAGTGCTTGCGGCCGAGGATATCGGAGAGCTCTCCCATGAAGGCCTGTAGCACGCAGTTGGGGATGGAAACGGCTGCAGCGATCCATGCCGATTTGCCGGCACCATCAGGGAATTGTTCAACGATGAAGGCGATGGAAGAAGTCGGGACTAACAGACCCCATGTCGAGGAAAAGTAACACATGAACAGGGCCAAAAGATTGGTGAAAATGGCAAGGTCCCATTTGAAGAGCTCTTCCTCTGGCTGCTGGTGCTCAGGATCGGAGGGAGTGCCGGGCTCCTTTTCCGACTGGTGAAGGCTCGGCTTCTCGTCGTTGGCTGAGATGGACATGGCAGAGGATGCAGGTATGCAATGATTAGGTGCAAGCGTAAAGGTAGAGTGTTATCTGCTACAGCCAGTTGTCACGAGCAAGGCAAACTCGGCACAAAACACAAGGGAATCGCCCCCATTTTCTACACAAGATTTTCTGTGTCTGGTCCCCAGTTCCGTTGCCCCGGATTCCCCGGATTTCCAGCCACGGCCATGGAAGACATGGCGAACGCCGGATTCCCCGCGATGTTACTCAACGAGACGCACGGCGAAGGATCTGCGGTTAAGGTTGATTCGAACAGAAGAGACGTGGTTGGTCAGAATGCCTGTCGTAGGACGTTGCAGGAGGCGGACGAGGTCGTCCACTCCGGGGTTGTGTCGGCCCTCACCATGCACCGCGCTGCTAGTACCATTCAACAATTTAGAAGGGTCAAATTCGCTGTCCGTTTGACTACGACGCCGCGTATGTGCCGGCGTCGTCTAGGTCAGAGAGGCAATGGGAACGAGTCAGCGTCTGTGGTAACAGGAGAATATGTGCTGCGACAACACATCTAACTACATACTAAGAGCCATAGGTGCGGGGGGATGTCACCAAGAGCGCGTTTGCAGCCAGCACATTTGTATTATCCCTGAATCTCCTTTTCAGCCAAGATTGATGTTGTGTCAGAGTGATGGGATGGATCTAATCAGTTTTCCAATTGATTCGAGACAGATGCATGCGAGGGGTGCTTGCATGGAGACATAAAAGTGTAGTTGGCGAAGGACATAATCAGCCGGTTACTGGTATGACTTTTAAAACGTTCGAGTGCCTGTGAGTCAAACTGTCGTTTCACCTCGGCTATCAGGCAGCTGCATCATATTCACCTGCCGATGAACTAATACCCCCAGATGTCCATACGATCACGTCAGATCCCCATGTGCGCGACAGAATAGCGCGTTCGGGTCTGTTGTGTGTGTGTATGTATATGTGTGTTTATTTAACGCCATAGGCAGGCAACTGGCGACAGCCAGCTCTACACTCCTATTAGAGCATTAGGCAGCAGGCCCTTCCTGCCACCTGGCCTAACTAGCCAGGCACAAGAAACTTATTAAAGAACTTATTCTTCCTCTTAAGAGGAAGGAAAAGAAAAGAAATAACTATGGCCCTGGGCCACGGCAAGGAATAACATTCTTCCCCCCCCCCCCCCAAATACTTGCGGAATCCTAAGAACGTCCCCCTTTTCACCAATGTCCCCTTTTTCACCGTCACACTACCTTACTACTTATTTTCTAGGCCTGTGGGCCTGATGGGTTATGTAACCTACGGATTACCTATGGGCTTTCTGAGGCTTAGTTAGGAGTAGACTAAGATCGAAGAGAGGCGAATCTTAATAGTTTTATCTAACTATAACTCGGGCGGAGAATAAGGAGAAACAAAATGGAAATGAAGTCGCGATATTTGAGAACTAAAGAATCTAGAAGTTTATTTCAAGGTCACAGCACGACAGGATCACAGTGTTTATCCTGCTACATCGTGTTGCCTTCCAGCGGAACCCCTAGCAGAGCTATTTGCTTAAACAAGCCGAAGCACAACAACAATGTACTACTCATACATACCGAGGTACATTTCCCCTCATCCCGAAACCTAGATGAGCCATAGGACGGCTGGCGAGACGGAGGGAAGGGCTGATGTACAGGTATAAAGGTAGCATGAATGCACGTTAACTTCTAAAATAGAGACGTTGGCACTCAAGGTACCTTACACGCGTGGGCAGTGGATATTGTGAGTCGCCGCAGGAAGGAGTGAACCGACTTACGAGACTTGGGATACCGTAATTGAAGGCAAGTGCCAGTGACACAAGCACCACAGCTCTAGGATCCTATTTCAGGTAGGTATCATCGCAAAAGTAGGCCTATATATTCATTCATTTAGAACCATCGCAGCTAGTCACGTTTCAATGACTCGATCTAGTGTTTTATTCGGGACGCGACTTGTGGTCACATAGCTACCTTAGATGTGCCTTGCTCAATGCTCCGACAAGCCGCCCACGTCCTTGGGGAAAAATTTAAATAGGTCAGTCGTGACAACGTCAAAATTGAACGGAGGCCAATCTTGGGTTACCGCCGGCGACGGATTTCGAGATACGACCGAATCAGTGAATCCTCGGGAGGATGCATCATCGACTGAGGGCATGCCAGATTCACGCAGGAAAATGGGTTCGTCTGTGGCATACGAGGGTGTACGGTCTAGAGGCGGGACTTCGCCAGGTGCATTAACTTGGGCCAGCGAATTCTCGTCGCTCGGCAATGACGAGAGCTGCTGGGTTGCAGCACCTCCCATGGATAGAGCGGTTGCCTCTCGCGCGATGGAGAGCTGCACGGCGTTCAGGATCTGCTGGATCGAGGCGATGACGTTCGTGACAGGCTCGTCGGCCGTCATGCGCTGAAGGCATTCCAGAGCTTGGTTTATGTAGACGACATTGTTGGGGTGCTTTGATGGATGGCTCAGCGAGTCGAGGAGGAGAACAGAGCAACATGCCTCGACGAAGAATGAGTCGTAGCGGCGGGCCTAATATTGTCAACGACGACTTTCCCTCCAAGAGGGGCAAAAGGTGTACGCGGGCTGTGACTCGGCTAACCTTTATCAAGTCACTATTTTGGAACGTGGCATTCATAAAGACAATGGAGTCTACCGCCGCGTCGGTGGCATTCCTACATGCCTGTCGGAACCAAAGGTCGTGGAATTCATTCCTTCCACTGCTTGCCTGCAGCATGGACTCGGCGATGAGGAACGGCCGGAAGGTTGTGTGAAGGAGATGGAAGTATACTACCCCGTATAGATGAGCTTCTCACTACTCAATCGGTTTTCTCTCCTGGGGTGGATATATAAGGGAGTGAATGAGTGAGCGAGGAATTACACTAACCGCAGTGCAGCGTCAACTTGGCCATTGGCTTATCCGACGTCTCCTGACGACGACACGAACGCCCGATGCCTACAGTCTGGCTCCATTGTCGAAGACGTTGAAGAATCTGGTCGGCTATCTCATGCAGCTGCCAGAGAGAGTCGGACATACCACTGTACAAGGATCCAGCCATGTCTTCCGCGATGGCGGCTAGATGGCAGAGATGCACCAGGACGGGTTGTCCAGTGGGAAAAGGGCAGCCGATGTTCTTGCGCCTGATGATGCTCTTCCGGCCTACGGTCAAAGACAACCACCTGGCAAGCCCATATTACCTATTAGCTTGGTGATGCCTTGTCCATTTGCAAATCTCTTCTTGTCTCTTAATGGTTAAACGGCGAGGGAAAAAAAAAAAAAAAAAAAAAAAGAAAAAGAAATAGAAAAGGAGAAAGAGAAAGAGAAAAGAACGAAAAGCCTTACGTCTCAAAAAAGTACAAGCACCACAGAGTGGAGTTGCGTTCCTCCACCTCGTGAGAGACACTGTTGGCTGCGACGTTGTTGAGACCCATGGCCAGTCCCTTTCGACAGGCATTGCCTATGTGTAGGTATCCCGAGCTGGGCCGGCCCATGTTAAGCTGGTAGTCGGCCATCAGCAGGGAAAGTTGAATCATGGGTAGCGTCACGGAATCCTCGTAGATGGCAGCCTCGCGCTTGGCTGCCAGGAAGAGCGTGTCGGCAACCTCGGTCTGCGTTGTGCTTAGGGCGCCAATTGCCAAGATCATGAGCATTATGGCCCATCTTGGAGGTATCATATGCGCGTCGGCTATCTCGGGCGAATACATGCGATCCAGGAGATGGTCTAGCGACGAGGCCGTGATGAATGGGAGGAGATGCAAGCTGGCGGTCTTGAAGTTGTCGAGGTAGGACACGGCAGCAGGTTTTTGCACGAGGTCAGTCAAGGCCGAGCGGGCATCGAACCGGGCAACGGACACGGGGTTGACCTTGAGAGGAACCCCGAAGAAGACGTTCCTCTGCATGAACGTGTCTAGCCCCGAGTCGTCCTCGCCCGCATCTTTCTCTTCCGAACCACTGTGGGCGTGTGCGGGGAGGGCGTAGGAGATGATAGTCCGATGGATATGCTGCAGGAAGGCGAAGTTGGATGACGATCCGTAGAATAGCTGGGAGCTGTCGGTTGACTTGGGAGCGCGGTGGACAGCAACAACGCTCTCATTGTACCTGCGGGAGCCAGCAGCATCCTGCGCGGCAGCAGCAGGAGCAGCAGCAGCAGCACTAGGCGTCGGTGGCCGCCTGGACTGGCCGGCCGCGTTGCTGTCGGCCGTCGGAGAAATTGACGCGGGCCGGCGAATATGGCTCCGGGCCTTCAGGCGGTACACACATGCTAGGGGGTTGTCGTGGCAGAGCCGGCACGGCTTCTGGCCGTCGCATTTCACCTTACGCCGACGGCACGGCTCGCACGCCTTTGGTGTTCTGTTCGGATCCGGCTTTATCATTTTCTGCCTCTGCCTCTTGCTCCGTATTCTGTCTGTGTTGGACAGGGGAAGAGGGAAGGGATGTGGTCCTCCGAGACGGATGGGCCATTGGCATCCGTGGGCCAGATGATGATGGAGCCACATTGCGCCACCGATTGGCTGCCATCTCGTTAGGATTCTGTTTCCGGTCGTCGGCGTTCACAAATCCGGACACCCAAGGTCGGCCGACTCTGTATCGCTCTTAAGCCGGCCACTCTGTATCGCTCTTAAGCCGGCCCACTCTGTATCGCTCTTAAGCCGGCCCACTCTATCTTACCCCGCCTCTTAAGCCGAGCACTTCTATCTATATCCGTTTTTTAACCGAACCTGCTCTAGCTATATATCCGAAGGACGGAGAACAGGATCCTTCAGGATTTCCCGCACACGTGTATACATGTAGCCCGAAAATTCAGGGTGCTCAATAACATTGAGATAATAACGTCAAAGGATCCAGGTGCTACGGAGTACTCTTAATCTATGAGTTGACTCTGTGCCAACCGTCACGTACGAGAAATCTGGCTGGTTAACTCGGCAAGTAATCGAGTCACGTGATATAGTGTCACCAATCTGGTAGAGCGCCTGGTGTCCGGGGTGCCTGGGCGGGCCTTGAAAAGCAGGAGTCGCAGTTTTGCTGTTTTCAGGGAGCTTATAGAGTAGGTTGTGGTTGTGATAAGGGTTATAATAAAGTCCTCCGAATTCGCACCGCAGCAAATGCAAGGGGTGCCATTGGGAAAATATACCGAAAATCGACGAACATCAGCTAACCGACGATGCCATTTCTTTCAATCTCAAACCCTAGATAATAGTCACACTAGTACAGGAACGGCCCACTTTTGTTTTTCCTTTTCTTTTTCCCTCTCTTCTAGCTTATGGCGCGAGTATTCGTACCATCCGGGAATGCCTTCCGCATTCGCCGCATCCATCCCCGCTCATCAAACTTGGGCGCCAGTCGACTAACCGGACCAGCAACGGACTTGCGGCTCTCGGTCTTCTCCGCATGAACGCGGAAGCTTGCTTCGTCGCTGGACACGCCCCACCCATGTGGAACTTGACTTCTTGTCTTCGTTACTCCGTACTGTCCAACTCTCTTTGGTCCAGGTGTGGGGATGAGTGTTTTATTACGTCTCTCACTGGATCAAATTCATAGGGAGTAGCGTCCCTTTTCCCGTACTTCCACACGCACACACACAAAATCTTACACACGTTTTCATTCAGATTAGATCAAGTCCTCTTCTAAGTCAACCATGGTGAACGTGTTTGCAAAGACGATTGCTGATGACCCTAAGTACCGCGGGGTCTTGCCGGCGGATTTTCTTCACGGTTACGCGTAAGTTGCATGTTGCCGTTTCAAAGTGTTGCCTCCTTTCAAAATGTTCTTGTGTGTCTCATTTTGAACTCCGACTGCGTGGTTTTTACATTTTCGCCATCACTTACGCCTAGCCACTGCTCTTTCTCTCACCCTGTCCGAGTACGAGCTCTGGATCCTGATGTCCATCTAGGTCGGCTGCTTACCAAGTCGAGGGAGGGGCGTCCGAAGGAGGTCGAGGCCCATGCCTCTGGGATGTGGCTCTGCAAAAGTATCCCGACAACGGCGAGGAAGCTTGCATGTCCTACCATCTATGGGAGGAGGATATCAAATTGCTTCAGCGATACGGGGCCAGGTCCTATCGCTTCTCCATCTCATGGTCACGTATTAAACCCCTGGGCGGAAAGGACACCCCCATAAACGAGCGGGGAGTCGAATACTATAACCACCTGGTAAGATTGCTTGTCCCCTTAAGTTTCTAACCACTGTCTTCTATTCGATATCCCAGCGGACCCTGACAGAACATGTCTCGTAGATTGATGGACTTATTAGAGCCGGGATCGAACCCACAGTCACCCTGTTTCATTATGACACTCCTCAGGCGCTACAGGACCGGTACAGGGGTTTTGCTGCCGTCGACCCTGCTGAGCTGATTGAAGATTTTGTGGAATACGCTCGCGTGTGTTTCCAGCGATTTGGCGATCGCGTGAAGCGGTGGCTGACCATCAACGAAGTACGCAAGACTTGTTCCGTTGCCTTCCACCAACCACAGGCACCTAACAAAATCCGAAAATCTAGCCGTACATTTGGGCAATTCACATGTTTGACCATCTCGAGAACTGGACAAAGGCTGACTTTATGAGGTGCGTTGACTGTCCATATACGTCTCACGATTGATAATACAAAAACCAACTTACTCCCTACTAGGGTTGGACACAACTCTATGCTCGCTCATGCTTACGTCGTGGACCTTTACCGCAGACAATTCAAGCGAGAGCAAAAAGGAGTTATAGGAATTGCTCTGGTGCGGACCTTCCCACAAGACTATAAAGAAATGGGAATAATAGAAAAGTAGAACAACGAATGGGTGGAGCCTATTGATGAATCTCCAGCGGCTATTGCTGCAGCAAAGCAATCCCTGGCAAGGACTCTCGGCTGGGTAAGCTATTCCTTGGTCCCATCTTTATTTCCTTTTTTTTTCCTTGTTTCTCCCCTTTCCAACCTAAGACAGTAGGTTTTTACTTCATGTCTAACGACGAATGGCTCTCAATATAGTTTGCCGATCCGATATGTGAGTTCTTCAAATATACATTGTTTCGATAACTAACCAGGTCCGCAACAGTCAAGGGGACTCAAACAGATGGATGGGATGCTTGGGGAGACTTGTTTCTTCGCTTCTCGGACGAGGAGCTGAAACTCGTCCAGGGTTCATCAGATTTGTGAGTAAGCCTACTTTATGAGACCCCTCCGGCTAATAATAGCAATCAGCTTCTCGATAAACCACTATGGCACCATGTATGCCACAGGCAAGCCCTACACAGAGGCAGATTCGATCGGTTGGCAGACCATGGACGAGGTGAACAAGACGTGGGTAAAGGAGGGAAAGTTGATTGGCAAGCGTGGCGAGAACGGCCACCCCCACAATGGTAGGCTCGGTTTTAGTTCTGTTAACCCAAATGATGGGGCGGTATATGGAATTTATCTGACCAGTCTTCTAGTGGGCTGGGGTTTCCGTAAATTGCTCGTTCACTGCTGGGAGGAGTACGTCAAGAAGCTTGACATGCCCATCTACGTATACGAGAACGGATTCCCAGTCGAGCACGAGGCAGAAATGCCTCTGGAGCAGATCATTGATGACAAGGACCGCCAACAATTCTATTCCGACTATATCCAGGGGCTGTGCGATGCTGTTCTCGATCACGGTGTCAAGATCGAGGGCTACCATTGCTGGAGCCTGCTCGAGTAAGTTGGAATAGAAACGTGAATCTGCCGGCTCAGCAATTCATGGCTAACCGGTCCTATAAACAGCAATCTTGAGTGGACATGCGGGTACACACCTCGGTTCGGAGTCACATACGTCGACAAAGAGAACGGCTTCAAGCGAATACCCAAGAACTCGGCAAAGTCGGTTCAGGCAATCTGGAACCATGTTGTCCGCAAGGAATGATGAGAGTAGTGGGAGGAACGACTTTCTTTCATTGAATTTACAGATAGCTCAACAGGTAGCTAAATATTCCCTTGAGTTCCCATTCTCACAAATGGCCCGTCCTTGGGATATAGAGTAAACTACTTCAACTCCCGTCGGGAACGGCCCTGTTCATAAGAGCTGAGGGACGGAAACCCTGTACATACGTACATGTCGTTCAGGATTGGCTTCGCGTCGGGGTCTGTTTGTATTGCACACGACTCAAGGTCGTCTCCTTTATGCTAGGGAGGCCAAGGAGGAATCAGGGAACAACCATGCACCTATGCACCCTTCACATGACTCGGGCATTGCCTAGATTCTTCACCTGGGGTTCGACAAGTAGAAATTGCGAGTGAGTACAGAAATCAAATTGAAACGATCAAGGCCATCCATGTCGGAGTTGTGGCATGACACCAGGAGGGTATACGACAACCTAACGCCGGATTCTTTCAGACGACGAGAGCGGGGTTATTAGTCTAGAAAACTAGTAGGACTACTGTAAGTGGGCCGGCCCCAAAAAGAATCATCCTATGCGGGCCCGGTCGTCGGCGTTCCATTCCAAAGCCGAATCCAATTCCGGTTCCGTATCCAACTGTTATCGTAGTACGTTCCATGCTTAGCTTAGCCTCTTGCTTCCTCACGCTCCGGATCTAGATTCTGACTGGCTTTCCACAACGATACCCGGTCGCAAGAGTTTGATCTCACGTGGCAGAGGCGTTCCCCGGATTCTGGACCCCAGATGCGCTTCTGCATTCTCCGGAATCACTTGCCCAAAATTCTGGGGAAAAAAGGTAGAAGTACCCTGCTTGTGCTCGGACACTTTTAAATCCCCAGACTTCCCCAACCCCAAAAACAACCCCAACTTCTCCATCCTCTCCTTTATCTGTCACAAAGCACCTTTTTCACCCAAACCACTTATCACAATGGGGATCCTGGATGTGTTTGAAGGAACAACACCCACCGGGGTGGCCTGCATGTTGTTTGCGTCAGCCGGCGCTCTTCTCTTTGTAAGATGACTTCTCCCGTCATTCGCTCCGGTGCTGTGCGACTTAGGCTGAGTTTTCTTCCGCTCAGGGCATTGACAACGGATGGTGGTCGACACTCCTCGGCTCCGAAACCTTCCTTCGAGATTATGGATCTTGTACTATGGTTGATGGCTCCGAGAAATGCAATCTTTCCACGAGCCAGCAGTCTGCGGGTAGTGCTGTACAGTCTGCCGGCGTTAGTGAGTTGCTTCTCACCGATCCCTTTTGCCTTGGAAGACACCCCACTGACACGCTCTCTTTCGAGTGATTGCCTGCTTGTTTGCCGTTTATCTTAACGACCACCTTGGGCGCAGAAGGGCCATGCAGGTGACGGCCATCATCTCCCTAATAGGTGTCACTATCGAATTGACGAGCGCGGCCGGAGCAAAGGCCCGGTTCGACCAATTTGTGGTGGGCAAAACCTTAGCGGCTGTAGCAATGGGTCTCTGCGCCAATATTGTGCCCATCTACCTCGCCGAGACGTCCACGGCCAAGGCCAGAGGCGCTGCAGTAGGCTTGTACCAGAATGTGCTCATGCTCGGCGTCATCATTGCTTCCGGAACTGTCTACGGCTCAGCCTCTCGTAAGGACCCTTCTAGCTACCTGATACCCATAGGCCTACAGGCTTTTCCGCCTATCGTCATGTTGGCTGCCTCGCCGTTCTTGCCCGAGAGCCCACGTTGGCTCGTATGGAAACAGTAAGTAAATCTCGGGGGACTGAAACGCCTGTTGCCTGCTTGGTTGGTCTAATCTTGAGAAAAAAAACACATCAGACGTTTGGAAGATGCACGCATGGCCTCGGATCGACTGTTTGGTACCGCCACCAACAACTTCAGTGCAGTCCAATACGTCAACGCCATAGAAGCTGCCATCGAGAACGATCGAAGCCAAACTTCGCAGGTCAACGGCTGGTCTGACTTGGTGCAGGGCCCAGATCTCCGACGCCTGCTCATCGCCGTCGGTGTTCAGTGCCTGCAGCAGGCTCAGGGCTCCAGCTACATGAGCAACTACATTGTGTCCTTCTTGCAGGCCGCCAGCGTCACCAACGTCTTCCCTGTCATCATGGGTATTAACGTTATATACTACGTCTCCATCCTCACCGGTCACTATCTGCCCGACAAGTTTGGCCGCCGACCCCTCATGATGTCCACCTCGCTCTTCTGCGGACTTACGATGCTGGCTGTGGCTATTATGAATACAGTGCTGGTGCCTGCAACCGACGCCAGTTCCAACGCTGCCATCGCATTAATTTTCATCTGGAACATTGGTTTCGGAATTGAGTCGCCGCTGATCTGGATCGTCACGGCCGAATCCGCTCCTACTCGTAATCGTGAGAGGGTTCTTGCCGTTGCCGTGTTTGTCGGCTTCGGCGTGTCACTTTTGATTACTTCCGTCTCGCCTTTTCTGCAAGACGAGGGCTACGGTAACCTTCAGGGCAAAATTGTCAGTCATTCATCCATGTTTTCTAAGGCTACGTAAAGCTAACTCTCGTAAATAGGGATTCATCTGGTCTAGCTTCTCCTTTATCACGGCTATTTGGGTATTCTTCTTTTTGCCAGAAATGAAGGGCTTTTCTCTCGAACAGCTTGACTATTTGTACGCCAAGAAGACACCTACTCTCAAATTTAGCAAGATCAAGTTTGCCGATGAAATCCTCGCGGATGGACAGGGCGGATTGAAGGACGGCCTCAAGGAAGCTGCCGATAGTAAGCATGTGGAGTTTGGGGAGAAGACGTAATTCGCCGGCTTAAGACGAAACGGCATATAAGGCAAACGCATCGATCGCTTTGGCAACTTCTTTTTTACGCAATGCCTGTACAATGAACCACTCCCGCCATTGCACCTATATCTAGGGGGTTGGTCATTGCTCGGCCTTACTATATAGCTTTGTATACATACGTACGTGCCTCCTTGTGCGGAGAACCTAGTACTTGACTCTCTACCCTAGCCGTTATTCTAGATCCAGCTCAAGTTGGGCGGGACGAACAAGTCTACTCGGCTAGTCTCATCGCTGCGCCAACTAGGCGCTTCTGTATTTCTTAGACATCCCAGGTGATCATGGGAGGTCCTGGCGGCCGTACGTGGATGAGGTGGCCCCTGTAGAAGCGGCTGACTTGTGAAGCCGAGCCTATGTCCTAGTGGTGTGGAAACCCGTCCTTGTTCACCTCAGTCGGCATTGGCGTCGAGTGAGGCAGTCTACTTTATGCAGTCCTAGGTGCTGCGGGGCCGCGGCCGGAAATCCTTGACGGCAACTCTGAGGCTTTTCTCTGCGCCCTCCCGAGATGACCTGGATAGCCCTGGCACAAAAACACTAGTAGCTTAGCGTCACTAACCACCAGGCTGGGCGTCATCGCGCTGAACGTGATGCATCTTACACGTCTAGCACCCCATCTGGGACCCTGGGCCTGCCAGTTCGCCTTCTCCTCACCGCTGCGACTCGGATCTCGGGACTAGCAGAGTGTACCAGTGCTAACCAGCTTCCATGACCTACCATTCCGATGGTGTTGCCAGTCCACCCCATGAACCGATTTTTAATCTCTCGGGGCTGTCTTAGTGCATACGGAACGGATATATTCGGCTGTGGAAATGCGGATATGCAAGTGACATGCCAGTACCTCCTACAAGCTGAGACCAGACCTCTGCTGAGATAAGCAGTATGGGGCATTAAAAGACGAAGCTTCGTGGGTTGATATCTTCATAATTATACCAGTGGGCGCGCACAGCTGCAACTCCTGTGCTGAGACGATGATCTCTTCGATTATCGGCTTCCGTACACCCCTAGCTGACAGCTTACTCGCTTCCTCGCAATGCCAGTCCGTGAGAGAGTCCCTGTATGGCTTGATTGCGATCCTGGGCATGATGTAAGTGGTATCATCCATACTATTGCCAATGGGCAGAGCGCGCCACATGATGTTACGGTACCAAGTACTTGGTGCTGTGTAACCTTTTTTTCATCCTGCATTTCGACACTGGTTCGACCTGCAGGTTGACGTTGTCATGTGCAACACAGCATCTAAAAGCGAGAGACAAAGGGAAAGAAGATGAGAAGAAGAGCGGGGAACGAAGACGAAGACAAGGACTTTCAGCTACGGGCTAACGTTATTTTCCAGGACACCTTTGCGATCGTCTTGGCCGCATACCATCCAGGCATTAACGTTCTGGGCATCTCAACCGTATATGGGAACACGTGTGTACAGTACGTTACCGATGTCAGCCATTGGGGAGAGTTGTTGTTGTTTTATTCTGGTCGACTAGATAATATGCGAACCTGTCAGCTAATGCAATTTTTCTTCTCTCGTCAGGAAAACAGCTGTCAATGCGGCTTCTATCCTCACCGCCATCAACAAGCACAACGACATCCCGGTCTTCGCCGGATCCGCCCATGGCATCTCACGTCCTCCAATGCAGCCTCCCACGGCGATCCACGGCGAGTCTGGCATTGACGGCACGACGCTACTGCCTCAGCCTCTCCGAGCTCCGGACTGGACTAGCGACGCTATCGAAGCCATGGCCACGGCCATTTTGGGCCAGCCGGCGGGAACGGCATACCTAGTGGCCACAGGCTCCTTCACCAACATTGCTCTCCTTATTCGACGATTTCCACGAGTCGTAACTCACATCAAGGGTCTCAGCGTTATGGGCGGCGTCTTCGGCGACGGCTTCACCGATGTCGTCCTAGGAAAGAACCAACACAAAGGCTACATTGGCAATTACACACCATGGGCTGAATTCAACATTGTCGCCGATCCGGAGGCGGCAGCGGCCATTTTCAGCAATACCGAACTTGCAGCCAAGACTATTGTCATCCCTCTGGACCTCAGCCACCAGGTCCTTGCCACGCAGGACATAAGGGATCTTCTGCTCTACGGCACCAAGGGGAGCAAAACTGGAGCAGGGAAGACTACGCTACGTCGCATGCTCGTCGACCTCCTCTTTTACTTTGCCCAGACCTACGCCGACGTACACGGCATTACTGCCGGCCCGCCACTACACGATCCTCTGGCTGTCGCTGCGGTGCTGAGGGACACGGAATACGAGATTCCGTTCTACGATTTCGACCCTCGAGAGGAATTCCGAGCCGGACAAAACGGGCGGACACCAGAGCGGTTTTCCGTGTCTGTTGCCACGGAAGGATCCTATGAAGACGCACTTGCAGGTAGGACGCAAACCGGGCGAACAAGTCTAAGAAAGGCCTGCCCTTGGGAAGAAGGAGTTACGATTCCACGTGGAATAGACACTACTAGGTTCTGGCAAATCTTGGAAGAATGTATTGAGAGGGCTGATGCGGCAAATAAGGCTGTTGAGGTAAAAGTACAAGCAGTAGCAATTTGAAAGTGGGAAAGGTTTCGGCGAGGGAGCTGAATAACAAAACCGCCCATCTACTTTTATTTCTAGGCAGTATAGATTGTTTCGAGTCGCCATATTTCTATAGCTAAGAATCCCTTCAGATCACCTAAGTAGAGTTAGGTTTGGAGTTAGGATCTTGTTGCCGATCCTCTATTCTTGCATTCCTCTAATCTGCTAGGTAATTCATACTAAGGAGTTCAACCTAAATGTCGCAACAGATACTCCGTCAATAGCCCTCGTAGGGTCCTTAAACTCGCCTCATGGAGATCATTACTTGTTCTCCTCGCTAAGACCTATCAACAACCTCAGTCCAACCGTGACTCGACCAGTGTAATCCCCGCCTCACTCTTATTTTCTTTAAAAGTTCTCCGGCATTCTGGGCTTCCCACTACAGACCACTAGTAGTGATTCTCCTAGGCCTTGACCCATCTCATTGTGCCGTCGTCTTCCACCACTACACCACTGCTTTCACACCATTGCTTTCGTATCATCCCTAGTCCCAACTCGGGGCTGTTTTCACGACGATGTCGAGTTTGAGAATGCTCCTCATATCCGAGCGGGCTAACAAAGCACTTCCACTCTGCATCATTTGGAGTCCTGCAGCTCCCAAGAAAATGATACGTCGAGAGATCCAACTTCCAGCCCTGAGAATCATCGCCCGTTTGGAGCGAGACGGCGAAGTCCGTGAGGCAACAGTTGCAAGATCTCACTTCGTCTTTAAAGCTCCGAATCAGAGAAACGCGTTGCTTTTGTTTCCTCCGAGCATGAGCGTGTTTATACGCTTCCCGTAGGGTGGGAATATCGCTGTTGTACGGCCTATTCGAGTAAAGTTGTTGATGTTGACAGATTGGTAGTCCACACTCCACAAGGATGTATATGAACTGCTTTAGGCTAACAGCAGGTGCCGATATGCTGTGGGATATGTGCAGATAGAAGCCACCATTAATGACTTTGGCTTCGAGATGACGGTGAAACTCCCAGGGCTCGGTCTCGCTCGCAGACTGGAAGCCTGTGCGTTGACGGGTGCCTCTGGTAAAATGCAGCTTGCCTTTGTTGGGGGGGTCCTGGGGGCTTGCGTAAGACCAGCCCTGGCAGAAGCGAGGAGAAGAATGAGGGGATTCGCATCTCGTAGAAATGTACGCCTTTCGAGTACTTCTCCACTCCAGACTTCCCACTGGAAGCCCATAGTCCTGGCCGTACAGATGCCCGTTCATTGCGAGATGAGCTTCCAGAAACCCCAGCTCTACTTCATCTATGAAGAGACGCGGATATCGCTCGTCTATGTGAGACTGTGGCGGTTTCCAGTGACACAGAGCTTCAAATGTTTCGCCGACCTCTGGTATAAATGTATCAAAATAAAAATTGGGAATGTCACCCCACTCGTCATAAGAAGATGGCGACGTTTCGTCTGTAGGGATTTCCCAAGCGGTTTTTAGGGTGTCCCTCAAAGCACATTGGTGACGCTTCTGCTCTCGCCAGCCGAGGCCCTGATCAAAAGCGCAGAGCTTCTTGCAGAGGAAGCAAAAGAAGCGGCCGGGTATTTTCCCTTCCAGTGGCAGGATCAGTTCCGTCTTCTCCTGATCGGATAGAGAAGGAAGCCGGCGTGATGGATAGAGAGCCGCATAAAGGCTCCTACTTGACAGAGCAAGGGAAACACGTGAGAAACTGGGAAGATGCTCATGTATCATAAACAGTACATCCAGGGGCATGCTGGAGAAAATGTCCCTCAACCTTACCCCTGCGCAAGGCTCGGCTTCGAGGAGTCGAGGCGCAACATCCATCCTGCGAAGAGAGAGTAGACAAGGAGACGTTTGCCGTAAGTATAGGGCATGGATGGTTGAAGAGCGGGAATCAGGAAAGCCGACGTGAGTTGGGCCCACCGGTACCCTCATATACCGGCGCTGTTGTCACATGGAGGATTCCAAGATTCCAAGGCATATTGGATTGAGTTGCGGTTGATAACTTGCTCATGACGTGTCCGGAAATAAGCATCAGCTAGCTCATACTCAACAACACAAACACACGCATTTGCGGGAAGGAGTTGGGAGTAGATCTGGTCGATGCGGTTTAGACTGAAGTATCGAAGCTCGAAATACGAAACTCTCCACTGGGGTTAGCTGGTAGCCGCTCTGCTATGAGTAATAAAATGGAGTAAGTCTCGATGCATGGGAGCAGTTGGATTTTAATGCACAACGAATAGATCGTTGAGCTGAGCCTGCTCCACACGAGGCTTGTGTTAGAGTGGCGTTTCTCGGCGGGCTCCGCGCTACCTATTGATAGACGAACCCCGGTTGTAGTGTCAAAAAGAATGTGATTTTAAGGGTGAAAGCTTCTCTGCTAGTCACTTTTGTGTGAGCGGAGGTAGAATAATAATACACCAACTCAGTCGAAGCATCGGACAACTATCTAGGCAACCTCGCATCACGACCCTCCGCAGGAAACGTTTAATTCAGTCTGTACTCCTCTAATCTACTCACAGCTCACAACTCACCAACTTCCCAAGTCTCCTGGTCACTCACCTCAACATCCTCAACACTCTGCGCCCAAACCGCATTCAACTCAATCATCTTCTCCAAAAGGTCCTCAGACGCAAAGCCCGGCATGCCAAACGGCACAACCGGCGCCGTGTCCCTCGCCGCGCTCGCCATCGCCTCGGCCGAAAGCGCCACGTGATCTTCCTCGCATACGGTGCCAGACTTGGGAAGCTTGCCCGTCTCGAAATACTCCCGCACAATCTTCTCGGTGCACTGGCTGACACCGCTTCCGAGGGCGCAGTGGCCGAGGGATTCCTGGATGACGACAGAGGAGCCCGGGTGGCGCTTCGACATGGCGAAGGCGTTGCGTAGCGGCGTCACGGGGTCGAGACGTGAAGTTAGGAAGAGAATGGGCGCCGCAGGCTTGCCGTCGACGATTGTGGGGTCGGCCTCGGGTGTTTCGAAGGGGCCCATGAATCGGTATTTGGGACGGTTGCGCCACCCAGAGCATCGGAAGCGGATCTCGGCCCAGATGGGCGCGCTGATGGAGGACTGGTTGTTGAGCTGCGCGAAGTAGTCGGTCCAGTCATCGAGGGACAGGAGGGATCCGTCTTCACCGTCGGCGCAGGATATGGCCGGCTGAGCGTCGAAAGAAAAGATGGGGACGTAGTCGGGAGTGGTGCAGAGAGGGCAGTAGTTCTGAATAGCGGGGAACAGAGCCTCTAGCACAGAGGCTAGATCCTGGTAATCTTGACGAACCACGGTGGCGAGGACCGATGCAATGAGTGGGAAGAGGATATTTGGTTTGTACAGAGACGCAAATACCAAGGCGCTAATATCAGTTTCGCCGAGGAGGATGGTGCCGCCGGATGTCTTGACTGGCACGGGGGATCTGGCCAGCCGAGCTAGCGCCTTGTTCACCTTGGCCTTGATATCCTCCCAACTCTTGTCAGTGCCATCGACAAGAGCGCATTTCTTATAACCAAGCTTGTAACATGACTTGTAGAGGGCATCGAGAAGTTCGTCGGTGTCCATAAGATTTGTCAACCATGTCTAGCCAACCGCCACTAGTTAGTAAAGGAAGTTCAAAAAGTCAAGGAATCAACAAAGAATCAGGGTTCTCTTACCCCAGCCATGTAATCGTCAATGTCGGCGACTCCATCAATAACCATGCGGCCCACACGTCCGGGGAACATGGAAGCAAATGTATTGCCCAGAAGGGTTCCGTACGAGAATCCAAGGTACTGAAGCCTGGCGGGCTCCTTCTTGCCCTTGCCCTCATCATCACCCAACCTTTCCTGCCCAGAGCCATGTCTAGTGGCCTTTGCCTTCTCCCCATCGTGTAGCTCCTCAATCTTGTCGATGATCTCGACCATGTCCCTCGCAACGGATGCCGTGCTAGCATAGCCCAAGATACCTCCCTCTTCGCCCAGCGTCTCTTCGCACCGCTGCCCATAAGCGTTGCTCAGACCATGTCGCCAAGCGAGCCTGGGGTTCTCAACACGAAGGTTACCAATGCTGTGAGCTTGAAGAAGCTCGGTCGCCCGGGTTAGGAGGTCAGGGTAGCAATTGGCGCGAGGAGTGGTGAATGCGACACCGCGAGGGTCAAAGCCAATCATCTCATAGTGCTTCTCGCCATCGAGAATCTTTTGCAGGCGAGGACCCCAGCTTAACGCGATGCCGACACCGCTTCCACCGGGGCCGCCGGGGTTGAGAAGGACAGGGCCTCCGAAGCTGGGGTCCGTGTCGGGAACGGTGGCTGGGAGCTTGATGATGGCAAGGGCAACCTTGTGCGGACTGTCCTCGTCGAGCCAATCAAGTGGTACGAGGAGACGAGCGCACTTGAATCGACCATAGCAGTCGTGATATTCGAGCTGGCTCGAGGGCTCAACGTCATCCCATCTAAAGTAGCTGGGGTCGTTGGACTTGGCCGCTGATAGGGAAGCTCCTGCGCCGCTAGCCTGTAGCGCGAGCGCGGCGACGGCGAATCGGGACCAGCCACGAGCCATGATTGAGAGTGGAAATACGACTTGTAGGAAAAAAGGTAAAATTTTGAATATTTTGGACAAGCGCGAAACTAACAGCTTGAGAACCAAGAAAATAAGCACCAAGTCCGCCCCTCCACGTTTTTATTTCGGTGCCTGGAGGCACGAGCTGACGATAACGAGCGGAGAAGATAAAGAAGGAAGGAGGATTGATCATCACAGGCGGCACATTTAACCCGAAGCGGCTCGGAGTGGGGTTGCAGCCGTTACCAGTTGCCAAATGCCTCCACGAGCTTTCCCTCCATCACATGGCTAAACTCAAACCAACGAGCTGATTTTTGAAGCTCTCCGATTGGTCAGAATCGAGATTGGGTTCTGAAACTACCCCAGATTCGCCCTTGCCTCTTTTCATTCCTTAGCTCGTTACTAGAACGTATCACCCCTGAACGCTGAAGACTGCACGCTGCACCCTGAATGCTGAACGCGGTTGCCAACCCAACTTTAGTTCAGCCACACCTCAGACTCTCTCTCTCTCTCTCTCACACTCTCGCTCACACTCACACTCCCTCGATCTACCAGACAGCGCAGATCATAGGTTGGGTGACTCTCCGAAGTTCCAGATGGTGATAAACCAGTAGTCCGGAGATTTTCGTCTTTTGCTATCGGGATGGGCTCATTCTCGAACGTCTCGGCCGCGATCCGAGTCGCTTCAGTGCTTCTCATCCTCGGCGCTCTCCTCCTCACCTTCCACTGGCTCGGTGACTCGGGGTTCAGGGAGCCACCACAGCACCATCTGCAGACTCCCCCTGGAGGAGCGCCTGGCCATCGACCACCACCCGTTCATGGTGGTCCACCACCGCCTATCCCGCAGGACAAGCCGCAGGGTGATGCACAGCTCGGGGAATCTGACAACGCCAAGGATGGGGCCACTAAGAGTGGGAAGCCATCTGAGAAGCCATCCGTCGTGAAGCCAGCGGTTGAGAGTCCCGTTGAGCCTCCCCCTGAGCTTTCCGAGGTCCCCTCGAGCTTCGCAGATGATGTCCAGCCCCCCAGCAATACCAGGACGGACTCTTGGCACCCCCTTCCGGGAGACTGCGGCAGCTACTCCCAGCGCGCGAAGGTTGCCCAGAAGCCGTTGTCCAAGGGACGATTCCAGCTCGGATACCAGCGTCCGCCGCCAGCCTGTCGCTCCTTCAACTCGTCGCTGGCCGAAAAGACAGTTACGCGCATGAAGGATGTCATCTCGGACCCGGACCTCTACCGCATCTTTGAAAACACCTTCCCCAACACCATCGATACCGCCATCAAATGGAAGGGTGTTGCTGCAAACAACTCCCAGGAGGAGCTGTGCTTCGTAATCACCGGCGATATTGACGCCATGTGGCTCCGCGACTCGGCAAATCAACTACAAGTCTATCGCGACATCATGACGTCCCCCAAGGACGACATCGCGAGCCTTTTCCGCGGCGCCATTAACCTGCAAGCTCGCTACATCGTCGTACACCCTTACTGCAACGCGTTCCAGGCCCCTCCAGAGTCTGGCATCCCTACCGGTGTCGGAAGCGGGGGTTCAACCGTCTTCCCACCCATCGATACGAGCGTCGTATCCACGTGCAACTTCGAGCTAGACTCCTTTGGCGCGTTCTTGCAGCTTTCTCACGACTATTACACGGCCACGGATGACGCCGAGTTCTTTGGGAAATTCCAATGGGTCTACGCCGTGCAATCCATGCTCAAGGCGGCGAAGGACATGATGGCGCCGACCTACGACGACGATGGAAAGCGTTTGAAACCGCCGTATACCTTCTCATCTTACACCCGCACCATGACGTCGACTCTCAACCTCGTGGGAACCGGAAACCCAGTTTCGCGAACGGGCATGGTCCGCTCTCCCTTCCGACCTAGTGACGATACCTCCGTATTCGAGTTCCTCGTTCCCGCCAACATGATGTTTTCGCGCTACCTCAACGACACAGCCGCAATCATGGATCAAATCTCAAAGGCCCCATCCGGCCTCGCTGACGAGATGCGGGACCTTGCTACCGAAATCCGAGAGGCTATCCAAGAGCACGCTATCATTAAAGGTCCCGAAGGCGAGCTCATGTACGCGTACGAAGTCGATGGCTTCGGCGGACAAAACCTCATGGACGATGCCAACGTCCCTTCGCTTCTCTCTGCGCCATTCATCGGATATCTGGAAATGGACGACGAGGTATACCGAAATACGAGAGAATTTATCCTCAGCGGAAAGAATCCGTGGTATGCTCGCGGACCTGTGATTAATGCCGTTGGGAGCCCACATATCAAGCCCGGTGCCGCGTGGCCGATGGCGAGCATCATACAAATTATGACCACGGGCGACGATAAGGAGATGAGCAGGCCTTGGCGGAGCTGGTTTCGAGTACGGATGGCTTGGGGCTGATGCATGAGAGCATCAACAGCCTTAGCGCGGCTGAGTGGACGCGAGAATGGTGAGTTGTTTGTTGCCTGGACAGAGAAACTACGTGCACTTTTTGTTTTTCGTTTACTAACTTGAGTTTCTAGGTTCTCGTGGGCCAATGGCTTGTTTGGGCAGATGATCTTGGATCTCGAGGAGCGCAAGCCGCATATCCTCAAGAAGTCGTTTCAGGCGTATCCCGTGGGCGGAGAGGAGGAATAATTAATCTATCTATACCCTTGAGTATGAGCTTTGTATTCTTTTTTCTAGGATATCCTTGTTTCTTTTTCTCCCAATGTTGGATATCCCCTGTACGATGTCTGTTTTAATGCTTAACTCCTTACATTCCAGTTCCTGGATTGGGTCGGACGATGCTCTCGGGGATGGATACAGTCCCTCGTAATACAAATCTCTTCCCCCCTCTTTGGCACTTCGGACGAAAGCAGAGATGAAGCATTACCATAGTCCTAAGGAGGTTCTCTGTGCCGACTGCGCCTCCAGCGTTGTTGATTTCTTCTCATCAAGCGAAAAGTTACGGCATGAAAGTGAAAGGAACCATAGACAGCAATTGACAGTAGAAATTCTATATAAAACTAGACCAATCCATCTACCATATATTAATGCAAAGAATGAAAATTAAGACCATCAATCCTAACGAGTAGTACTACACACACATGTATACAATCCACTCCTCTACCCTCACATCAAACTAGTCCGGCCCCCAACCTCATAACTCCCCTGCCCATCCCTCATCTCCCCACTCCTCTCCCCCACAAACTCCTTATAAATCCTCCCAAGCCTCGCCCTCTCCTCAGCACTAATACTAGGCCTCATACCCTCCAGCGCCGCCTCGAAATGCGACCACCCAATCACAGCCTCCTTGTGACCCGCCGCCGGAGCTGCCTTGCCTCCGTTTTCTTCGACGCCGAGGACAGCACCGCCGCCCGCCACGCGCGTCTTCTGGACGAGCTTGGCCTTCTTCTTCGCGAGCCGGATCCCTTCGAGCTTGGATAGGATGCGCGCATTCTCGGCGAGTTCGTTGGCTCGGCTGGTGGCGGAGCGCGAGGATGATGAGCCCGGTGCGGGGGCGCCGTAGGGAAACTGTATGAAGCTCGGGGTGCCGGCCTTGGAAGCGCCACTGGATTGGCCGTTGTGGGTGTTGGTGCTAGCGGCGGTGAGGTCGTGGCCCTTGAGGACGTCATGGATGGCTTCGAGCTGGGCGTTGGAGACGAGGGCTTGCAAGTCGGCGCCTGAGAATCCCTCTGTGCGGCGGGCGAGTTCGGCAAATGCGTCATCCGAGTCTAGCAGATCTTCGTCGAGGCGGACCTTTTGAGACATAGCCTTGAGGATGTCGAGTCTGTCCTCAATATCGGGCAGGTCGCAGATTAAAGATTTGTCGAGACGACCGGGTCGGAGAAGAGCCGGGTCGATGAGGTCGGGCCGAGACGTCGCCGCGAGGACGTATACGCCCGATAACCCTTCGGCGCCGTCCATTTGTGTGAGGAGCTGGTTGACGACGCGATCCGTCACGCCGGTCGAGTCGTGGCCACGTTTCGGCGCGATGGAGTCAAACTCGTCGAAGAACAAGACACAGGGCTTTGCGGCCGAAGCTCGCTCGAAGAGGTCTCGCACGCTCTTTTCCGAAGCACCGATGTACTTGTTGAGAATCTCGGGACCCTTGACGCTGATGAAGTTGAGGCCGCACTCGCCGGCTACCGCGCTAGCGAGCAGAGTCTTACCACAGCCGGGGTAGCCGTAAAGGAGAAGACCCGAGCGCAACCGAAGAGGACACTTTGCGAAGAGGGGAGCATATTTTGTGGGATATTCTAGTGTTTCGAGCAGGACTTGCCTCGTCTCCTTCAGGCCACCAATGGAGGCAAAGGTTGTAGAGGATCTCTGCAAGGGAACGTTTCGAAGGGAGGCGGGAGTGAACCCCTTGAGCGCCTTGTCGAAATCCTCCCGACAGAGGCGGAAGCCAGCCCGCTCCTCGAGCTCTCCACCATTAATTACCCTAAAGATGGCCTCGTTGCGCGCTCGGTTGACGAGAGTGAAAAGATCGGAAGGCATGTAGCCGTCGGTCAGTCCAGCAATGTCCAACAAGTCCAGGTCAGCGTCCAAAGTGAAGCCGGCAGCGGCTTTCTTCAAACCTCGACGTTGTGGTGGGCTGCCGCTCTCCATCCAGTCGCCGTGAGCATCCGCAGACGAGTTGCCATCTGCGGTAGGTGGCCGGCTTCCCTCATCATCGCTAGAGTCCCCGTCGGCTCGCTCGGAGGATTTAAGAGTCTCGTTGATGATGGATTCGAGAACCTGCCTCCTTGCGTCCTTGTCGGGAGCCTTTAGTTCGATAATCTCACGTACGACATGGCCTCCGATTAACACCTTGTGAAGCGACTCCTTGCCGGCAGCTGTAGCGAGCAACACGACACCGCTTGCCCGATCGCAGTATTGCCTCGCAATAGAGACAACAGTCTCGCTAAGCAGTCGGCTCCTTTCGTTATCGTTCCCGACAACAAGCTCCGTTTCGACGGGGCAAAGTTTATCCAGATCATCAAGGATGACAAGAGCCTTGCCTCCGAGGCGAGCGCCCCAGCTTGCGCCCATAAAGGCGCGCGTGAGGATCTCTTTTATGTTCGAGGTCCGGTTCTCCTCGTTAATTAGGCTCCTGCAAGGAACGTAGACGATGTGGTACAGTAATTCATTGCGTAACCGTTGGGCTAGGAATTTGACGAGGGAAGTTTTCCCAGAGCCCATGGCGCCGGCAAGCAACGTCGACGACATATGTCGCAGCTGTGTGAATAGGTTATTCATCAAGCTATCGACGCCCGATAGCACGGTATCGGGGATGGGGTTTAACTCCCAGGGATCCTCGCTTGATACGTGAGAAGGTGGTTTCGGAATAGGTGGCTGGAATTGGACGGAAATTTTGCTGTCCAGGGACGCGACCCAGTTGACAGAATCATCCTTGTGGGTGTCGCCCTCGAACTTCACAAGACCACCTTCCCAGCCATCAGCAGCGTGAAGTCCGGGGAATTGACCAAAGACGGTGCCGTCCGTAATAGGCCCTCCACCAAGCAGGCCGCCGTTCCTCGAGTATATGGTCTTGAAGCGCTTGGCGGCTTCCTCCTTCTCCGCTTTGGATTCTCCTCCAAATTTCAGGCCTTCGCTCTCGTCCTCCCCCGTGGCGAATGGATAGACCTTCAACGACTTGACGGCGCTGCGTTGGAGAGGTAAGGGTGCGGGTTGGATCTTGACGATTCCTCCTAGGACATCCTGAGATCCGAATGCGGAGCACAGGGCAGACGAAAGGGCAATAGCCTGGCTGTTGGGAGAGTCCTCCCAGAAGCGTAGCCGCGCAACTGCTTTATTTGTCGCTGAAACGGCCTGGGCTTCCTCGGGTTTAGCCTGGCGTATACCAGAAGGCTTCATAATCTCTACCACGACGTAATCCACCCCTCTGAATCCACCAGCGGCGAGCACATCCTGGTCGGCCCACACACTAAACTCCCCAACGGTAGCCTCATCATCGAACCAGTCACTACAGACAGCGCGGTCCATACCACGAAGGTACAGGGCCGGTGGCGGTTCTTCTCTGCGCTTCTTAGAACTTCCCCTACTTTTCTTCGACTTTGATGTGCTGGCAACGCTGCGGGTATCCCCACGACTCTGAGAGGCGGCCTTAGCCCGGGTCTTGGGTGCCACGATCATTTCCGCGTCGGGCGACACTTTAGCGAAGGGTTGGTCGGCAGGCAAAGCTGGCTCGATGGCCGTCACCTTAATGTTGGCCGTCGTAGTCGGGGAAAGATGGACTGTCAAGAGGTGAGGAGGAACGGGGGAACCTCCAGTCGGATGATACTTGGGGTTCGGAATCGCTCGGATCTGGGACTGCATATTGAGCTCGAGGAAGTTTGCGTGAAGTTCAATGACTTCCCAGTCTTCGGTTGTTGAGGGCTCGATGTTGATCGTGTGCACGAGGGGCGGATCGATATGGACGGTGGTAAGAACCTTTTGGCCATCGTTGAGGCCGAGAGTATTCGCTAGGACGGTATCGATCTCGACGAGAGGGAGGTCCTTGCGAGCTGGGCTCGCCCGAAAGCCATTCTCACGGCCGATGGGCGCCGACACCTTGCGCTTGCTGGGCATGCCGGTCCACCCAAGGAAGACCGACACGCCCTGCGCCGCCGTGCCGGGCGGGGGGGCTCCATTGACAGGAGAGGGGCGGTAGTTTAGTTCGACGATGACATTTTGCGCGGGCTGCAACGCGCAAAGTTAGTTGAGCAACTCCTTCCCTCGACTCCGCGGTGTGACTCTTAAGGAGTTCGGCAAAACGCATACCGTATTCAGGTTTACCAGCAGGGATTCTAGAGAGGCGGGGAGGTTCACAAGACAGCTCTTGAGGTGGACGAGAGAGATCTCAGCCGGCGTCGGCCGTGCATTTCTTTGGGGAGGCATGGTTGAACAGACTGGCCATTCCCATGTACAGAGCAGAGCGAATGGAGCAATACAGGTCGGCAACTTATAAGAACCCCATTCGGTCGAACAAGTTTTGGCGATGTTTCCCTCCTCGGTCGTAGCTTGCCCTTGCGGCAGTTAGCGCCAAGTCCGTCGGAGCATGTGCCGAGGTCTGCCAGCTCTGCCAGCCAGTGGCGAGTGTGCGATTCGGAGATTGTGCGTCTCCAGCTGGCAGCGCCCGACGAAAGGCTGACCGCTCTCATGTGCCACAGTGTGGCTCAATTCCATTAAACCCATCGCGATCCGACGCGAAAAAAACGCGACCCTGAATTGGGACGCGTCCGGTTTCATGGGTCCAGGCGCTGGTTTCCCAGCCACTCAGGACAAGGAGAGAGAGACCAGGCCTCAATGGACGACGGACAATTGCGAAATCAAATCTCCAAGTCTAGCTCGCCCCTCAGCTCCCCATCGCCATCTTTCTTTTCTTTCTCACCCCGCATCCAACTGTGAAGCACTATTTTGTACGCCCTATTAATCAAAATGGCGCTTCGGCAGTATCCAGCACCGGTGGACTACGAGAAACAGCAAAGTAGGGCCACGACCTGCGTCCTTCTCCTTGCCCTTGTTTACATTGTCAATCGCTAACTTCTTTCGTAGCCGCCTTCGAGCAGTTCCTCTCCGAGTTCAAGACAACACCAGAACAATCGATCGCGCAAGCCTTCGGAGATATTTCCATTGAGGAGGATGGACTAAGTGATGAGTATGACTTTTTGGACGAGGATGAGGAGGCGCAGGGACGTCGCCGACAAGAGCGCCTTGAGCGCGCCCAGAGGCGGAGAGGGCCGCATCACAAATACAAGGAGATCCTCCAAGATCTTGCCGACAGGAAGGTCCAAGAAGTGACGATCGATCTCAACGAGCTCGCATCGGTAAGTCTCGGTTGCTACGTCGCGACTGTTTGTGTTGTCTCGTGTACTCACCACCATTGAATAGTTCGAGGAGACTCTCGATGAGAACCTGAGGCTCGTTCCTTCAATCGAGATGAACACTAAACACTACACCGAAGTCATGTCTCGCGCGATTGACAAACTTCTTCCCACTCCCAGTGTTGAGATCAAGTGAGTTTGATACGGTAGACTTTATATACACCGCCCACATCGCATCCCACTAACCCCCAACCCTCTCGCTTAGCTTCAAGGATGATGTGCTTGACGTCCTCATGGCTCGCCGCCGAGATCGAAACCGACGTATGCAAGAAGCCGCCGAAAACGATCCAACCGTCCTCCAAGACCAATTCCCGCCTGCACTGACCAGGAGGTACACGCTTGTGTTCAAGCCACGGACCTTCTCTGGCGATGCGGACAAGAAGGCCCTCGCCGTCCGTCAAGTGCGCGGCGAGCACCTCGGCCACCTCATCACCATCCGTGCCATTGCCACCCGCGTATCCGACGTCAAGCCTGTCGTACAGGTCAGCGCATACACTTGCGATCGCTGCGGTTGCGAAATCTTCCAGCCTGTCACCGAAAGGTCGTACGGTCCCTTGACAGTCTGCCCGTCCGAGGACTGCCGAAAGAACCAGGCCAAGGGTCAGCTTAACCCTTCGTCTAGGGCTAGCAAGTTCCAACCCTTCCAGGAGGTCAAGGTGCAGGAGTTGGCTGAACAGGTGCCTATTGGCCAGATTCCTAGGAGTCTGACTGTTCTCTGCTACGGTACCTGCGTACGTCAGATCAACCCCGGTGACGTTGTCGACATCACTGGTATCTTCCTGCCCACGCCCTACACCGGTTTCCAGGCTATGAAGGCGGGTCTCTTGACGGATACCTATCTCGAGGCACACCACATCGTCCAGCACAAGAAGGCCTATTCCGAGATGACGGTAGACCCCATTCTCGTCCGCCGCATCGACCAGTACCGCCAGAGCGGGCAGGTGTACGAACTTCTCGCCAAGTCCATCGCCCCCGAAATCTTCGGCCACCTCGACGTCAAGAAAGCTCTATTGCTCCTCCTCATCGGCGGTGTCACCAAAGAAATGGGCGACGGCATGAAGATCCGCGGCGACATCAACATCTGCCTCATGGGTGACCCCGGTGTAGCCAAGTCCCAGCTTCTCAAGTACATTTCCAAGGTCGCCCCCCGCGGCGTCTACACGTCCGGTCGCGGATCCAGCGGCGTCGGTCTCACGGCCGCCGTGATGCGCGACCCCGTCACTGACGAGATGGTGCTCGAGGGCGGCGCCCTCGTCCTCGCTGACAACGGCATCTGCTGCATCGACGAGTTCGACAAGATGGACGAGAACGACCGGACGGCCATCCACGAGGTTATGGAGCAGCAGACCATCTCCATCTCCAAGGCGGGAATCTCCACGACCCTCAACGCCCGCACTTCGATCCTCGCCGCCGCTAACCCCCTCTATGGCCGGTATAACCCGCGCATCTCCCCTGTCGAGAATATCAACCTCCCCGCCGCCCTTCTCTCACGTTTCGACGTGCTCTTCCTGCTCCTTGACACGCCCACGCGCGAGACAGACGCCCAGCTCGCCAAGCACGTCACCTACGTGCACATGCACTCGCGACACCCCGAGGTTGGCGCTGACGCTGTCGTCTTCACCCCACATGAGGTCCGCAGCTATGTCGCCCAAGCCCGTACCTACAGACCCGTCGTCCCCGAGCGTGTCAGCGAGTACATGGTCAAGACGTACGTGCGGCTCCGAGACCAGCAGCGCCGCGCCGAGCGCCGAGGCCAGCAGTTCACGCACACGACGCCGCGTACGCTGCTCGGCGTCGTGCGTCTGAGCCAGGCCCTCGCGCGCTTGCGCTTCAGCAACGAGGTCATCCAGGATGATGTCGACGAGGCGCTGCGGCTCATCGAGGCTAGCAAGCAGAGTCTTCAGGCTGAGGATCCCAAGCGGAACAGGGGTCTCAATGCCAGCAGCAAGATTTACAACATCGTTAAGGGTCTTGCTGATTCGGGTGCTTGCAGGGCTGATGACGCTGAGGATGATGAGCTTGGCGTTGAGTTGAGCATGAGGAAGGTGAAGGAGAGGGTTATTGCTAAGGGGTTCACGGAGGATCATTGGTTGAGGGCGTTGGAAGAGTACACCGAGTTGAACGTAAGTTTGCTTCTCTTTTTGCATCGCGAACGAATTGAAACTAACTCGGGAAATATAGGTCTGGCAAACTGCTGGCAACGGTACTCGCCTCATCTTCATCCATGCCAATGACGATTCAGACGAGGACATGTCGGAGTAAACTGGGTTTCCTGTCTCACTCGACTTACTGATTGATTTTGATCAAAAGATTAGAAAGTGTCTTTGACCTTTTGTGTGTGCCGGCGTCGGCGTCTGGATAGGGAAATATCATGCTGTTAATTCACTTCGGGTCGGAGGATTGCTAGCAGTTGCTGGGTTCGGTGGATGTATGGATGGATGGTTGGGGTTATGTGGCTAGGTTTAATGAATGGAGAAAGCAATATATCTAGTTATCATGCTATTCTTTCCTTCCAGCACCGGATCACTCCGTCGGAATTCTCAAGCCCGTAGTCTTCGGCTTGGTCGCCCTCTGTAGGATTCTCTCTCGGATTGCAATACAAAAAAGGAGTTATATTCTATACTTGTACATAATACAAAAATTCTACATACTCCCCAGAAATAACCTCTCTACTATGCGTACAAGATGGACAGTTTCAGCCTTTTTTCATCCCCTCATGCTCCTCAGCGTAGCCCTCTCCATCTCCCCAAGAACACCATGTCCACCAAGAGTCCACTTAGCACTAACAGCCGGTTCCGTAACAGCCTCCAAGAATGCCCCACTAGCAGCCCAATACTCCATAATAGAGCGAGCTTCGGGCTTGCTGACGCCCTCGAGCGAAAGAAGCCTCGCGTCCTTGAGAACATCAAAGACGCGATCATCGTAGCCGCGCTCATAGGGGTCAGGCTGGGGGATCTCCTTACCCTGGGCGCCGGCCTCGAGCTGGGACAGGATGAGATCGAGCGAGGGGATCTTGACGTTGTCGTTGCCACCGCAGGCGCCGATGATGGCGGCGCCGTTGGGGAAGGCGGTCTTTCCGGCGAGAGCGTCGGTGAAGAGGCGGATGGTGGTGAGGTCGTGGGCGTGGACGGGGTTGAAGGACGGGTCGCGGTAGGCGCTGTCCCTCATGACGAAGCCAAGGCCGTCGAGGGTGAAGAGGACGGGGGGCCGGCCGCGGACGGTGGTGAGCTCGGTCCAGAAGGTGGAGAGGGTGGGCCAAGCGAACTCGAGCTCGCGGCAGGAGGCGGCAAGGTCGGCGAGGGTAGGGTTCGAGGGGAGGTGGGCCAGGTACGTTACGTTGGAGTAGTCCTTCGTCAAGGGGAGGGTCTGGAGGACGTCGCCGTTGGCTTTGGAGATGGCTTGGAGGAGCTTGAGGGCGAAGGAGGGCTGGCTGAATTGCATGGGGTCGGTGTCTTGGACGGGGGCGTAGTCGGTATGGGCGTTAACAAGTTGGAAGGCTACAGTTGCAAGAGTGAAGGTTAGCTAGGGTTTGGGGAGGAAACAAGACATTTCAGGCGGTCGGGGGTGATTCATCCTTACCTTCAGGAATGTTGATAACAACCCACTTGTTCAAGAACCCATGCGCCATCGCCTGCAGCAAAAGCGTCGTCTTACCCGTGGCCTTACCACCATTCACAATCAACTTCAGCACATTCTTTTCCCTCTTAGCGCTCTCCATCATCTTCCCGAGCTCCACAGTCTCCGACCTCACGAGCACATGCGGCCTCTTAAAAAATCCCCACGACTGCGTAGGCCGGAACGCCTCGACAGCCCTCAGCTGATCCACAACAGCATCAGGCACTCCCAACACACGACCCTGAGACTCCTCCGACGCCATCGACTCGGGAGCGAGGTCCCCGAGCCCCGTAACGGTAATGGCATTGTTGTTACTGAGCTGGATCCTCTTCCGGAAAGCCTTTCGCTCGCCGGGTGCAGGCGTCTTGGCTCGCGTGAGCGTTCCCTTCTTCTTGTAGTTCTTCTTGTGTCGTCCCTTGATGACGTGCTTGCCGCGGTTGTCCGACGCGTTGACGCGCGTGGATGTCGAGAAGGAGGAGGAGGAAACGGTCGTCGTCGCGAGGAGTGTCAGGACGGGGACGAGTCGTGAAGTCGTCGGGAGAGTAGGTGTTGGGCGGGCCTTGGCGAGGCACCGGAGGGCGATTGAGGCCATTGTGGGCCTAGCTTTTTGCGCTTCTTTTCTGGGGTTCTTTCGGTTCAATTGGCGAAGAGGTTTATATGGACTGGAGCATCATGGATTTTACCGGGGGATGGTTTGTTCTTTCCGGATATCCCACGGCGGTTCGAAGTTCTCCCCGACAGCTTCGCCCATGAACCTATTTTTTTTTTACGTCGCTCGCGAGGTCGAAGAATTCCTCTTCTTCATTGGCCCGAAAATTCCATGCGAGTGGTTCACTGCCCACGACCCGATAATTTCCCGAGAGCGGTGAGAAGAATAAAAACCGGCAGAAAATCATAATCTTATGAACAAAGAGAAGTTGCAAAAAGGAATTCGACGAATGTAAATAAAAACTGCTTAAACCAGAACTCGAAACCAATTGAAATCCCCAAGACGGCCGTTCTCATATCAAAACAATCCTATCTACAGTAGGAAGAAGTTCAATCCCTTCAGTCGGTCTTCCCCAGGGGATCGCCTATAATCCAACTCAAGACGGTTATCCACTCTTTCCACTTCTTCACCTCACCCTCTGCAAAGTCAATAATCGGGCCCTTCCGAACCTCGACCGTTTTATTCCTGCTATCCACAACGCCAACCACAATGCGCAGTTGTGTCCCTGCTGCGGAAACGACAGTAACCTGCCATTGAAGTTAGTTGTCCGGGGTTAATTAATATGAAGACATTCGGCACAAGCCTCCCACTTACCGGAATACGCTTGCAATTACTGTAGCCCTCATCTACAACCCTGACACCACCGAGGGTCAAGATCGTCCTCAACTCAGGAACGGAAATACGATCGTTTCGAAGAGGGACTCTATCAGCTAGGGCGCATACAACATGCGGCGGCTCGGGGGTCCGTCTTTGCCATATATGGGTGACCGCCCATTTGACGACATCATCCTGCTGGTTCAGCTCGTATTCGGGTGGAACTCTAGTTTTAAGCATTAGTTAACATTATGTTGGACAGTACACTATCTAGTTTGGTGAGTTACTCACGCCATGCCATCCCACTTTGTATCACCGATTACGCCCATGACGTGTTCAGTTCTTGCCTTGTAGTGGTTGAACAAGTACATGTTAAGACGTTCACCGATTTTATTCGCGTACCACCAGTTATCAAGACCCGGGTCCCAGTACCCAAGGTGGGAGGAATCTCCATAGTCGGGATCTTTCCAGGGCTGAGTAGCTTGGATGGACTGGTTCATACGTTCGTAAGGGATGAGCTGCGTGAACTTTTCGGCGTGCGAGACAGGTTTATTCGACCTTGGGTCCAAGGGTGTGCCGTTGTAGAAGTCGAGACCACGGCATTTGATGGCGTATTGGTCCAAGTAATCTGGACTGACGTAGTCATCTTTCAACTTGACAAGCGGAGCAAGCCTGGTTCTCACGAATGAGACATGAGGAGGGATTGCCGGGTTCATGGTATTTTCCAGAGTTTGAGAGTGTTGCTGATGTTCAAGTCGGCACTGGTCATCCATTCCTACAGGTACGGGGTTGCCCCTAAGAGGCCGGGGAGCAGTCCGCATTATGTAGGCGAGGGAGCGATTGACTGTTGACTTATGCGCAGTCGGTACGTGCCTGGTATGAGTGGATGCCGAATCGGTGAGAAGACGCCAAGATGGGCGAGTGACAGTCGAGTCTTCTCTTCTTGCCAGCACAATGTTGTCATAACAATTGAAAGATCGACCAATCCGAACTGATGGTTGGCTGGGAAGCTGGAGAGATGGTGTTTGGAGCCAATCACACAAGCCACAGAATAAGCGCTGAGATTGTTCTCAAACCACACAATTGCCCCACAGTGGCACAGTCGCCGTTGAATTGTTACGTCACACCAAGCTCCAGTCAAAGGCACTCCGTCGAGTCCATTCTTCCTTCCTCAGTTCCTGCAACATTGTGGTCCATGGCCACCGCGCGGTTGCCGACTCACTGGAGCTATTTTCGGCCGGAAATCGAATGTCGTATCATGCGTGTTGAGCTGATCACACTGCGAGAATGTTTGACAGGCCGACAGACGCCAGGAAACGAAACAATTGCCGCCGCCAGGCACAGCCCGCGTGATATCCCGCGGAGGTCTCCACCATGGCCCACCGTGCCATGCCCACCATCCGGCCCCTTGTGTTGGGGTCTGGACAGGTTGGCGACGCGCCAATGGAACACCTACCTCGGTGGCACGGATGGGAAAAGCTGAGAAACGAGTGTGGTGCGTGTTACACCCAAAATCGAAGCTGCAGGAACCGGAGACCAGGAACCCATCGAACCGTATCGCTGCCCCCCTCGCATCCACTCTCCTCTCCTTTCAATTCAGGCCGCTGAGCCAATTAACTCAACGCCCTATGTTCCTTTAAGCGCTCGCGTTATTCTTGGATCACAATACCACGCCGCTTCACGATATCGCAAGTCTCAGGTGTGATGATCCTCGCCCGGAGCGCTTGTTCCGTCCACATTATTGGCAAATCGGTCCTCGTCGGATCCTCTGAGCTGACCAGCGAAGCAGCATCGCTTGGGTTGAACAAGCGCTTGGGAATGGAGTCCCCCCACTCATCCTTTCATAGGCCCAGATCACCCCGACAGTTGGATTTCCGGTTCCAGTGTCACAATATGACCTTGCAGGCGACGTAACTATGCAGCTGCAGCGCAGGGAGAGCGCGGCAAGATGTGTCTCGCCTAGACTCCTGCTGTGCGCAGCGTCGAGTTCAAACAGTTACCGCCCGGTGAGTGTGATGCTGTGAACATCGTACTCTGCGATTGGCCCGGCCCACAGTCTACCTCCCGTCCTGCTTTCTTGCTCTGAGGTTCGAACCACGAATCATATCCCGCTTCTCAGGCCTCACTACTTCGTACATACGACCTACTTACGATTTGGCAAGTCTTGAGTAAGAAGAAGAAGAAGAAAAAAAAAGAAAAAAAAAAAAAGGGGGGGGGGGGGGAGGGAGGCGATGCCCACTTCGCGTGGTCGAAGGCGTCTGTGATCAAACGGCCGACACGCCGCATCAATCCATCTCCCAACCTGTCCCCCCGAGTTATATAAGGGCCTATGAATCCACGCCCTACCCCGTCTATGGGCTAGAGAGCTAGCATCGATAGACACCATTGATTCCCGCTTCCCAGCCTTTGCTTACTCCCTTTCCCACCACCCAGTACCAAACCCTTAGCAATTTCTTCCAACTCTCTCAACTCGCTCAACTCGCTCCACCCACAGCAGCCATGGATGCCTCCCTCCCTGATTCCAATACCGCTTGGCAAAAGCAGGTGGCGTCGCATGGACTCGGGGGAAAGACGATCCACCAGGCAAGCTTCCGTGATTCAGCTTCCAAGATCAACAAGAAGCAGTTTCTTCTCCTCCGTGTGCTTCACAGACCGCTACAGGACGCAGGTGAATTGTTCAGCAAAGATTATTTGAAGGACTTCATCGCCGAGTCTTATATAAAACGCGCTTTTCTGTTCATTGCCTCAGAGTCCAATACGTCATTTGCACAGTACCACGCCTCGATCGAGAGCCAACCCACTTCAAGCCGACCTTTCTCCGCTTCAGATACCGCCTTCCCTGAGTTGGGTACATTCACACTTGTCCGTTACTTCCAGCTCGCATCAATGGATTTGCTCACCACCGATTATGAGGATACACCCAAGCTCGAATTCGCCCCGCCAGCGCCACGAGAGGCTGCTGTCAAGGCCAAAGCCGCCGTTCGGGATATGCTAACCACACCCACCAAGTCGACTGGTGTAATGACCCACTTGCTTGGAAGGGATACCCCTGACATTAGCAAACTGAAAATATCTGATCTGAGTATGACCCCGCAATCCCCGATGAACAGCGTCACGGGACGTCAAGTGAAGGCTATAGAGGACGAGCAAATCGTCAACACCGCTCTCATCTCGTTTCTCATTGCCGTCACACTCCATTCCCCTCAAATCAAGGCCGATTGGTCTCTGTCGCGAATGGCCTTTAGTGTCTCGGACGAGGCGCAGGGTTCGAAGAAAATATTCGAGGCCCGGGTGGACGGGGTCCTTCGCATGAGGAAGGGCCGCGAAGTCAAGGCCATCGCGGAAGTCAAGCCATATCTACGCCACCAGAAAAAGTACAACGATGTCAGGATGCAGGAAGCCGCGCAGATGGCTGCGTGGATATGCACCAATCCTCCTGCTAACCTCGATGAATTACGGGCAAATAAAAAAAAGAAGGCAACGTAAGCCAGCCACACCACTCCCCACTCTTTTTCTAAGCCATTTTACTCACCGGGATGTCTACAGTCGGCTGCTCATCTCCCAAGACCGCCATGAAATCTACGTTAACTTCGCGACTTTCGGCGCAGCGTACGTTGATTATATTCGGGGATCTCCTTCTTTCGACGAGACCGAAGCATTTCTCACGATCCAAGAAACTGGCCCGTACAATGTCGATAACCACAAACACATGCGGAATCTGGCGACTTTGATGTATGCCTTTACGTTGCAAGAGTGCCGCGACTAACTTTGTAATTTCGACATCTCTAATCTGTGCTTGGAATATTGGCGCTCGCCAGGGACGGAGCAGCTGCCACTTGTTATTTGACTTGGGTCTGATGTTTCTCTTGTTTCATTCTTCGCTTTTTAAAAACAAATAAAAAATAAAAAATATTCACACACCCCGCTTCCCAATACAAACCACATCACTGATTGAACCTGTGACGAATTCGGTCTTTCTTCATGACACCCCGATAACTTTCAGAAAGCGGTGAAGACAGGGCAGGCCGTCCGTCCTGTCCATCTGTGTCAAGGCTACGGAGCTACGGCGTGGGGCGCAAGTTGACACTTTTCCATTGTTTTGCCGAAATCCTCATAATCCTTGTCCTTATCTTATCAAACGAAAAAAAAAGAAAAAGGAAAAAAAAACCTGGGCATCTCAAAATCCTTTTTTTTGACGGAGATGAAGAACTGAAAACACCATCGCACGCCCAAAAATCCAAACACAACCAACCACACAAAGACAATAAAACGAAACCGGAATCATGGCCGTCTCCGACGCCCCCCCAAAACTCCCCGTCGTCGTCTCAAAACCAACCCCCTACACCTTCGACCTCGGCCTCCTCCTCGCAACAGACCCTAACCCCATCACCCTCCCACGCCCCAACCCATCCGACCCATCCACCTCCTCCGCGCAGCTCGAGCAATCCCTCGCCGAAGTCGCCCGCGACGGCGCCCAAGCCCTCATCAACCAGCTCCTAACAACATGCCCCATCACCTCCACCTCCGAGGGCGTCGTCCTGACCCTCCCGCCCGTCTCGACCCCGCTACCGAGGGAGAAACCCCTACCTCAACCTAAGCCATTGACTAAATGGCAAAAGTTCGCCGCGAAGAAGGGTATCACGCCCAAGACGAGGGAGCAGAGGAGGAATTTGGTCTATGATGAGGAGTCAGGCGCTTGGAGGCCTAAGTGGGGGCATGGAGGCGTTAATAAGAAGGGGGAGGATTATCCTATTGTCGAGGTTGATATGAAGAAGGAAATGGAAGGGAAGGAGACCAATCCTAGGGCCGAGGGGAGGAGGGAGAGGGTGGAGAAGGTGAAGAGGAATGAGAGGAAGATGAGGAAAAATATGAGGCAAAAGGAGGGCAAGAAGAAGTGAAGAAGTTGAAAAGAGAGAGAAGAGGGGGGTTACGAAGGAAACTGGTATGGGAAAAGACGGCAATGGCAGTTTTTCTTATTCGATTGGCGTTTTGGAACATGGCGTGTTATCACGGTCGAGGAATGTTTTTACACAAGTCAATGCTACTCAAAGAGTCCGGCAACCGACTGAGGAAAAGGCAACCCGGGATGAAAAGAAGCTCTTCATTATTCCAAATTATCCGTCCCTGTATTGCACCCACCCACAGCTCGGGCCCATATATTGTTGCATCGACAAACGAGACACAAGACAAGCCATGCACAACTATTATACACTCTTACATCTCGTCACAAATCCATGTCCCTTAAGTCAACACCCAGTCATTGAAGAAAAGAAATGTAGAAAAATGTAAGAAAAGAAGTGATTTAAAGGGAAAAAAAAAAAAAAAAAAAAAAAAAAAAAAAAAAAGATGAACATCCTAACTCTCTTCACTATGCAAACTGCCCGGCTCTTGAACAGATGAACGAAATTGAGTTGGAGCGAAATCAGAAAAAAAAGGTGCATTTTCCCCTCCCGCCCAAACTCCATATGTCGAGCGAAACATCAAGGTCTGTCCCCCGAGTGCCGCGTGTGTCCAAAAGCTGCAGCCTTCGAATAATCAGGTAGCATCTTGGAATCTAGTGCCGCCTGCAGCCCTTTGTAATCATCATTGCCCGCGTCAACATACGTGGAACCGGTGTATGGGCGGCCGCAACCCAGACGAAAAATCGTGTTTGCTAGTTGCTGCACGAGAAACCGGCCAATGACATCGAGGGGCCATGAAGCAAGAACGCTGCTGCTTATCCTGAGGCTTCAAACGAAGTAAAACGAGAAAGGCGAAAAAAGAGGGCCGACAAAAGTTTCCTCTATCCCAAAACGCCACACGGGATGGAAAGCATCTTCCTTGCAAACAGATCTCGGTAAAGTCATTGGGCAAACTTGAGCGAGTAGCGACGCACTTTTGGGGTCGAAACACCCAAAGGAAGAGACGAATAGTATTGTAAGTCGAACGGAATACGATATCTGCTGATGAAAAGGGCGGAGTAGAAAGCGGGACGAAACTAAGGACAAAGGAGACTCGTAAACGGCGTGAGATCGTTAGATCGGCAACATGCTAATCGACAGTGTGGACACACAAAAAGCTCCATCGCCCGCACCCACGAAGAAGAGTAAGGAATGCTTGCAGAACACGGAAAGCTCGCCCCGCCAATTGCCAATTCGGCAACCGGACAAATCGGCCGTCTCGAGGTTCAAAAATTCAAGGGCGACAAAGGCTTGATAGGTGAGAGCGGACGTAAGTCGGTGTTTGTGGTGGCGCTGGGCACCTCCCGGTCGTTGCTGACGGTGAGGTTGATAGACGGCGTAGAGGAAGAATTGCTGCCATTGGTTTCCAATAGTTGGAGATTATTCTTCTTCTTCGACCGCAATTTGGGTCCGTCTTGGCTGCTGGGCGGTTTGTTACTGCTATCTGATGAGGAGATGGCTCGTTCTTCTACTACCGGTTGCTCATCCTGCACAGGCTTTTTAGGCTCGGCAAGACCACGGGGAGGCGGTTGGTCAAAGAGCATGTACTCTGCCTCAATGTACTTGGACTCATTTTTGCAGCCCTTCCAGCAATCGCGCCAGTCGCAAACGAGGAACTTGAAGCAGAAAACGTCAATCTTCATGCAGGGCTGAAAGCAAATGCAGAGATTGCGGAAATCCATCTTGTTCTTGTCGGAATGCGCAAGCAGGAGGCTTAGATGACAGGTTATGGCGAAGAGGAGGTAGTAGTTGAAGGGTGGTAGCTCGGAGAGCTCGTCGATTAGCATTTGAGGGACGGTTTCGGCGCCAGCGCACTCCCGAGATATACGTTCCTGCGCTTCCTTCGGGAAGATCTCGTCCGGCAATTCTCTAAGCCATGCCTTAAGCATCGAGCCGACGATGTTAATATCGTACAGATCGTCTTGGGCAAAGAGGTCGACATCATATTCTATCGCCGGGCAACAGGATCCGGATTAGTATCATCATATTTGGAAGATTCCCTCCACCGAACTGTTGAGGAGATTCCTGTTCGGGGCCAAGTAAACATACCTTCATCAAATTTCCTCTGCCATTTCTTAATCTGAGGGCCACTACCAGGTACTCGATACAGGCCTTCGACGTCGCATCCTTTGTAGTTTAAGTAGTCAATCGCACGCCAGGGGAACGCGGGCATCCAGAATTCAGTCTTGTCTCGAGAATCCTCCAGCCGTTTGGAAATGCGCGTGAGCCTAGTCTGCTCGATAAGCGGTAGGTTAATGACCTTGACAACATAATGCTCGTCATCAACAACAGGTTCCTTTTCGGACGCCAGGGCGCTTCTTTGGGCCTTGCCGAAAAGACCACCGCGAATCATGTCAGCCGCTCTCGTCGAAGAGCTCTTGAGGCCGCTGAAGAATGTGCTGCCGCCGCCGTTTTCGCGTACAGAGGACGGTTGCGTCCGCGTCTGGTCCTTTTCTCTGTGGTTCTGATTCTCCTTGTTGGAAACGTCACGATACCCTGCCCGGTCTTCCGACCGATTGCGCGAGGCCGACGTCATTATTTCGCGGAAAGACCTATCTTGGGTCTGCATCGGCGCCGTCTTGGGAGTCTGGACCCCGTAGGAGAAAGATCGCTCGACCTGGTTCTGGTCGTAGAGTTTGACAGGCGGAGGGAGTGTTGGTTCTCGAGATCGATCGCGTGAGTGCGAGTGCGACCTCGGGCTGGCGTCTCGATCCTTGTCGCGGAGTGACTTTGTTCGTCCCAAAAGGCCGAATGGCTTGGATTTGCCCTTCTTGGAAGCGGCTTGCGCTTGCTGGTGCTGTGGAGGAGCAGGTTCGTAGTCGGTGGAGGAGGCGAGCGACAAATCGGATTTGGAAGGTAAGGAGGGGTTTGGTTTCTGAAGTGAGTGATCTGCATACGACGCATCTGTTTCGCAAGGGGCAGCGTGAGCGAGGGGGTTAGCGCTAACAGCCCGGATAATAATAACTGGAAACGGCTAGTCCAAGGCAAACTGCTCCCCTGCAGATTCTACAGGTAGGGATCAAATCGATTGCACCTGATGTGGATCAGGGGGAACGATTGGGATAGGATAGATGAGAGCACAGGATCAGGAAACGAAAAAAAGAGAGCGAAAAGGAAAATGTATTGGAAAGGAATCCAACAAACAAATAAAATATTAACATCAATAGAAACAAGAGTAAGCAAATAAGGCAGAAGGGGTGGAAGGGAAAGGATTAATGGAAAACAAGGCGCAATTAGAGAAAAATGCGAAATTAGGCGAAGAATTGATTTCTCAACACGAGTCTCTATTTGCGCCAATAATCAGGGCAGCCGTAACGAAATTACAAGAGATTTGACCGTTGCAAGCATCACCGGCCAGAGCGTCGCAATTAGGGCGTGAATGAGGACTTGATCAATGTATGGCACCACTACTACTTGTAGCCTGCCTTGGACAAACATTGGAGGCTGGAACCCTCTCTGTTGGCTGGCGGTGGAACGACGGACAGAGACTGCCTGGCTCGTTCAGGGGGTTGGTGGGATAAAGAGCGGAGATAGTGTAACATCGCATCGCCAATGCAGGGAGCAGCATTGAAGGAAGAAGAAGATGGGCATTGAAGAAAACAATAAAAGTGTTTGCGCTTACCTGGATACTGAGAAGCCTTGGCGGGCATCATAGAATTTTCCGGCCCGCGTGACATGGTCTCGCTTCCACTGGACCCGGGTGGCTGCTGTTGCTGCTGCTGCTGCTGTTGTTGTTGTTGCTGCTGCTGCTTCGGTCGCTGCGCGTGTGGATACAGATACTGCTGTGAAGTGGGAGAATTCGAACGCTGACCGCTACTCGACTTGCTCGACTTGTGGAAACTGAAAAAGAAACCGCTGCTCTTGGGTGCTCGAGGTTCCTGATACCGCAGCTCGTCTTTCTCCGGGGGCTGATTGATCACGGGCGGAAGTGGCTGGCGCTGCATCGACGTCGCCGGCTCTTGAGAAGCTTGGTGGAGAGTGGCAGCGAGCGGAAGGTATGGAGAAGTGGCTTCTTCGACAGAGGTTATGGTAGGGTCGTGTTGTGGGCGAACAGGGCTCGGGCTCTGACTCCGATTACGAACATGGGATTGAGGTTGGGTCTGAGTTGCGGCCTGGGCTTGCGATTTGTCTTTGGTCAGGGCTGAGCTAGGACTGTTCTTTCGAAGCTGCCGAGGTCTAGGAGCAGTGTCGGACGATTGTTTCTCGCGATCACGGGGGGATCTCTTGGGGCTTAGTCGAAAGGGGGAGAGGGGAGATCGGGGAGATCTTGTCGAAGCAGCAGCAGCGGTCGGTGAATGGACTTGTCTGATGGTTTGGCGAACGTCAGAAGCATCCGCCGGGGTCGCCGCCGAATCAGACAGGGTTAGCGGTTGTGGAGCTGGCTTGCGACCCATGGTCCTGAATCCTGAACACTCAAACAAGGAGAGAAACTCAGTTTTGCGAAGAAAGGGGGGAGGTGTCGACAACAAAGGAGGCAGGTTTAATTGAATGGACCCTAGCAATAATCTGGGGGCCTGAGTAGCACCGGATCTGGCGCCAGCGCAGGTCCGACCAGACAATGCCTTGAGGGAGTGAGAGACCCGTGGGCGATACTACTGCCAAAAGAGCAGAACTGGGAGTGCGGAGATCGTGCTGGGGTCAACAAAGAAGAGGTGTGTGTGTTTGGGGTGGTTGTAGCCTGAGTTCGCCAATTCTGTCTCGTGTGGTTGTTTGCGCGGCGCAGACAGAGAAAACTGGGGCAGACTCAGACCAAACTCACCCAGATGCAGCAGCCGGGCTTGGATGGACCAGGTCAGCCAGGTACGAGAGGCGCTAAGAGTCAACCGAACGAACAGGTCGCAGTTGGCACCTCCCAGGGACACGGTGCCTATAACTTTATTATCACTGTATGCCAGAAAGCTTGCGAGCTCCCGGTACCTCAGTATTGTATTTCGTAAAACGTAAGATGTAAGACTAAGGATAGAGTAGCCGGGCTAATATTAAGAGACGGATGGACAAGGGAGGTTCATTCGCGCAGACTAAGAAAGCAAGAAGCCTACACCGAGGGAAACAAAAAAGAAAAATCAAAAATAAGAAGATCAAAAGTACGGCGTAGTGTGGCGGGTGGGGGACGCGGTGTTTGTGTGTGATGGCTGGCGAGGACAAAATTTGAGGGTGTATTGCGCAGTCTGATCTGAGACGTGTGAGAGATTCAGTACCTCACTTCGATGAGAGAAAGAGTCGAATCGTCGAGACGCCAGGCTGGAGCCAGTCGCATGTACCGTCCGAAAGCCGTCGAAGGGGGGAAGAGGCGGGGAACCAAGGTTTGAGGGGCAATCCCTAAATTTAGAGATCAACAACGGCTCTCGATTGCGCCGCGCTCCGAGCTCGTACTTGTTGCAGTCGCCAGTCTCGTTTCTTTGCTAGAGGCGTCTGGTCATCATTACCACCTAACACTGGCGGGAATGAAAAACTAAACATGGAATTTTTGTGATCGTCGATGGAGCTGAAGTGGAGGGAGGCGGCGGAGGCGGAGGCGGAGACAGAGGCGGATGAAGATTGAATGGCGGAGGTTTTTAGGAGCGGGGCGGTTTTAAGAGAGTGTAAAGGGGGTTGATAAGTACCCTTATATCATTACCAAGTCTATAAACGAAAGAGGCACTTGAGCACTTCAGCACTTGAGCAACCTTTTCTGAGATCGAGGATGGAGAATTTGAATTGTTATTGGGCACAGCTAGAAACAGATTATCCGTCGAAGTAGCATTCTCTCGTTTTGCTTCCACAGCTTGGTCTTGGTTGTCAGCTTGTACAGCTTCAACACTCTACATTCGTAGGTACTATACATCCATCGATCCCTCTCTCCTCCTTCGATCAATCCCTGCGTCTGCTGATTGTTCAATTCAACTTGAACACGGCAGGTGGGGTTGTCTCCTCGGAATTTGATTTGGGGAAAGTGCAATGCACAACTTCGGAAGTATTACTAGTGTACATAGGAACCCTACAAAGTACACGGCAGTAGCCAAGCAGAATCAGGTACGTGTAGGGCAATGACCTCTGTTCCAGATGGAGCAGGCAGGAAGCAGCAGAGATTTGGACTGTCAGCACATGCCTGGGTTGAGCTGAGACGAGCCGATAATAACTTCAAAGTTGTGGTAAACCCAGCATTGAACAGCCCAAGATGGAGACGCCAAGACAGCCCAACCACTACTGATTAGTGGACACTACTTTGCATGCGTTTGCTTTCATATACATGGAGTAGTTGATCCACCCAAACTTTAAACTTAGCAGAAAAAAGAGGCGGCGATTGATCGGGTTGGTCTAGACTTCCGTCTCCGAAGTACCATACCTGTGTGTTACGAAGATTACGTCTTAGCCAGGCACAGTCGGGCGTTGGCTGGCCCAACTTTGCAGAAAGCCCTAAGACGAGTCCGTCATCGAATTGGCGTCTGTATTGAGCCTCGAAGTGTCGAGTGTCGAATGCCTTCAGGTTGGTAGGGAAAGAGAAACAATAACAGCAGTCTGGACAGCATATTGCATACAGCTCAGTGAGCCTTGAAACCAGACACAGGGCCCTCATCTTTGCTGATTCCAAAACACGGCATCCTGGAGGATCTCATTGGGTGCCGTCTACATGGTGCTGCTGGCGATGCTTCTGCGCCTCTCTCCAGTCAGCATCATCACAACACCTAACACATGGTCGGCTTCCCCTCTCTACACTTCTTCACGCCATACCGGGCAGTACACAAATCGCATTAATATGTGCATCGATTGATCCTACGCTTGTCGCTGGATGTGGAACGTCCACGCACTTCATTGACTGAGGATATTTATAGCGCTGCGCCCTACGAAAGACCACATCTCAAAGTTGTACGCGTACATCTTGACAGATAAGCGGGATCATTGATTTGGTGACTCACAAAAAATCTCCGCTGTGTCCTTTCAAAGTCCCCTCCGGACGTAGTAATCGCGGCAACAGGGACCTCGAACGTTGTAGTTGGGCAGCCATTGTGAAGGCCGGCACAGTGAGGAGTCTACTTGGTCATGGGAGTGAACAAAGTATTCTTTATCCCCCAAGTCAATTCACACGTCAATGTTGTGTGGGGATTTTAGAAACCTTGAACCACGCATTGACCATTCAGATCCTCGTGAGAAGCTCTTCCTGAAACAGCCATTGTCATCAAGACCCAAATAAGTTTCTCCACAAAAATAGCATGATACAGGGCAGTTAACGGTTCAAACATTGGAATTATATTTGGAAAAAGAAAGTCACCCAACAGATCAATATTTCCAGATGTTCCTCTTACAGACTGCGCCAACCGCCACCATGGCCTCAACCGGAGTGGGTCAGGCTTGCGTGTCTTGGTGCAGATTGATGTTTTCGTTTGAATGGACGAGGGCAACGATAGCCCTCTCACGAGTCCCTCATCAATCGTCATCCACCTGCATATTAATCCTGCCATCTAGATGCCACAAGTGCGCTGGCTGTTCAACCCCGCTGTCCTTGACTGTGATGATTTCCCCTCTGTGTGATAGTCCATCGAGTGTGCCTCATGACCTTTCTAATTAATATCTCGCTTGATTCTCGTCCAAAATTACGCTGTACACATTTAATTAATATCGCCTTTTGCATCAAATTCATCGATTCCCGACATCAAACATCAGCTGAATCCCGTACCGCTGCAAAGAATGATGAAGTTTCTCGGAAGCGAACTTCGAGAAAACCTCTATCTAGCCGAAATCCGCTCAGAAATTGCCACCTCATGTATGTTTCTCCAATTTGGCTATATTTGTCTTGCAGGCACACCAAGCCTACTTGCGGGAGGCATTAATGGTCACCGCAATGCGCTCACCTCGAACGAGAGCACGATAAGAAACTCGCAGAACAGCCGGTGACGCTCGTCTCAAGCCATGCCCTTGGATTTTTGCCAATCCCGTTGCCATATCCCGATGAGAACGAGGAGGAAAAGGAAGTAAAAAAGAAAAGAGCAAGACAGGTTCGACGGGCAAGACACAGATGGTTGTTTAGTGTCGTGAGCCTCTGAGCAATTTAACCCAATCCAGCCTAGACCAGGAACAGCCCCTGAAACTCGGCAATGTTTCCCTCCTCTTGTCGAGATCATCCTCACCAGCATGAAACCAGCTCTTTGAATATGGTTATTGATAATTCCGATGGGTTTTTCATGAGGGGAAGAGAAATGAAAGACTGAAAGGGACTTGACAGGGCGTCAGGCCCACTCATCCTCGAGACTACACCTACTTCGTATTCATCCTGGGGGCGGGTGCTATGGGCTGTCCCCACAAAGACGTACTGGCGGACTTTCAACTGGTGACCAAGTAAGACGGCACTTACAGAATGGAAATCCTAACATGCATTCCACCTAACCTAGATAGATTAATAGACGGATACAAGGACACGATGACCCAGGTTGCATGGTCGCACTCGGCGCTTTGTAGATGTCGCATTGCCAGAGCCGGTGGCCAAACGCAATCACCGATTGTCCGCATTTCGGATGCCAGAATATGAATAGACCCTTGCATGCTATGGGAATTCCTGTCGACTCTATTGGTATCCAAACTGTTCTCGGTTAGGGTCAAACCAATTGAGATCGCTAGTGTGGGTCCGATGTTAGTACAACGTTCGGATCAAATGTTGCTGTTGCCTTCCAAATGGCTCCTCAAACAACGGCCGGGAAATCATCGGATATAATGCCCTTCTTAACCTCACCTTCATCCAGGCTGCAGAATAGCAGAAAACTCTAACACGTCCAGTACGCAATCCTCCTCATAAGTCGAAGGCTCTTCTATGCACCGATATTGCCGAGTCCCCAGAGTTCTTAGAGGTCTTTTCTTTTCCAGTATTCGAAATGGCTGCCGTCCAAGAGAGCCTGCCTAATGAGCTTCAGCTCGCAGTGGATGCGCATGTAAAATACATCCAGAGCCTGGATACGCAAAAGGATGACTTCAATTATTGGTTGACCGAGCACTTGAGGTTAAATGGTGTATACTGGGGCTTAACAGCTTTGCATCTCCTTGGACATCCAGACGCCCTACCAAGGGCAGAGACGATAGATTTCGTCCTCTCCTGTCAGCACGATAACGGCGGCTTCGGTGCCGCGCCTGGCCACGATGCCCACATGCTCTCCACAGTCAGCGCAGTCCAAATCCTAGTGATGATTGATGCCCTGGATGATCTGGAGAAGCGGGGAAAGGGCATCGCAAAGGTTGGAAAGTGTATGTCCGAGTATTCCGAGAAGGTGTCACATCTATCTCGAGCAATTGCGAAAGGACCGCTGACATGTCTACAGTCATTGCCGATCTACAAAGCCGCGAGACGGGAACTTTTGCTGGGGATGAATGGGGAGAGGAAGATACACGCTTTTTATACGGCGCTTTGAACGCGTTATCCCTACTAGGTCTTTTGCACTTAGTCGATGTTGACAAAGCTGTCCAGCACGTTGCCGCGTGCGCAAACTTTGACGGCGGCTACGGCGTCTGTCCCGGAGCAGAGTCTCATTCTGGTCAGATCTTCACCTGCGTTGCCGCCCTTGCTATTGCCGGCCGACTAGATCTCGTCGAGAAGGACAAGCTTGGGCGGTGGCTGAGCGAACGGCAGCTGCCCTCTGGCGGCCTGAATGGACGGCCCGAGAAGGACGAGGATGTCTGTTACAGCTGGTGGGTCCTGAGCAGCCTCGAGATAATAGGCCGAGCCCACTGGATAGACCGACAGAAGCTCGTCGATTTTATCTTGCGTTGCCAGGACGTTGAACTTGGCGGTATCTCCGACAGGCCGGGAGATATGGTCGACGTCTGGCATACGCTCTTTGGAATCACAGGGTTGAGTCTCTTGGGTTATCCGGGCCTTGAGCCTGTGGACCCCGTCTACTGTTTACCGAAGAAGACTATCCAAAGGGTATTGGGGAAGTAGCAATGATATTTCGTGGAGAATGAGAGATCATATACCTTGATTCACGCACGAGCAGATGGTCGAGCTCATGTGGGTGTACCTCTTGCAATCTAATAACCTGCTAGCTATGCGTTCCATGGTAGCAAGGATACAAGGCAAGAGAAGAGCAAGCTTAATGGTCATTTTTCAAGGGCGCCACTTGACATTGTGTGAGATTGCCCTGTGCTTAGCAGCCATACATCTTTGCATCATACGTATCCTGTAGGTTAGAATAAAAAAAGGAAATATTAATGCCATTGGCGAGTCGTCTCATCACTTCTAGCTGTCCAGTCGATCGGTTTGACTAACCATGTTGTTCATCCCAGAAATCCACCATGGGTCCCGCCAAACGACGGTGGTAGTTATAAACACAGTCTCCGCTCCTCGATTGGAAATAGTTCTCTGGATTAAGGATCCCCAAATAAGAAGCCTAGTATCGGGAGACTGCCGCTGGGCATGAGGGACGCGGATCTCATACCGTATTGACCGCGACATGACGAGATCCTAAGCCGACCCTGCTCCTTTCACAACCAGGCCATCTATAGCCGATACCCGGCTTCTAAGACTTGAAAAACTGCAACTCGACCATTAGATGATGCCTGTTCCATCCATTTCCAAACTCCTGTAACTTGCTATCCAAGATCAGACACTCTACGATCCGGCCAGGGCGGAAAACATCGTCACCCCTTCTCCATCCACCTTGAGGAATTCCTAATCCAAGTCCATATTCAAATCCTGTCAAGATCCTTTCCTTGCAGACCCGCCGGCGGACCTATCTTTTATCGTTTTCCCAAGACCAAGCTAAATAATTTCTTAAATCTACCATGAGCGCCCGTTCACCTGCCCGTAGTGGCCAACATTGCTGACACCCAAAATTCGGTGCCTCGTTCTCCCTTTCACCCTGAGTCTCTCACCAAATGCCCAAGACCATGGATACAGAGGATATTTCTATTCAACAACTAAATGTACTTTACCGGTTCGAGCTACCGCCCAAGCCAAGGAAATGCCAAATCCAATTCCCCAAGAAACAGAAGATGAGCCGTCCATCCTTACTCAAGTCTGCCGACCATTTTCGGGATTTAATACACTTACCGCTGGTGGGAGCTACAGAGCTGATTGAATTGTATCTTGTCTTAGGCTCCCCAAGGCCCCAAAAACCTACACTTGTACCATCAGCACCTTCCTCTGCAACATCTCAGCTCACCTCAGTCATCAGCGCCTTCCTCATATTCCCACCAGCACCTTCCTCACCTTGCCCACAAGCTCTTGCTCCAGTCACTACCAAGCACCTTCCTGACATTTAGTTGAAAGCACCTTCCTCCACATCTACACATCTGACATGTTTCATGGAGTCTCGTCTCCCAGGTGAGCAGAAGAAACTTCCACCCCTGGGGTCCCCAACCCAAACTCTTCCACTCTCACACCACACGCCCTCTGTCGCCAGTCAGAATCGCAGTCTCGTTTTCTGGCTTCCTCTTCCCAAGTCCTTACTATATACTACACCCCAGATTCACATCTGATACAGGTCATCCAAGTGGATCTATTGATACCTTCACACATCCTTTGACCACCATCAGATCAACTGTCATTGTCTGGAACTTCATCAATTCCCTTTTCACCATCAAAGGTATCTTCACTTTCACCCCCTCCATCAAATGCATCCACCCCCCTCCACTACCTGGTTTGGCAAGACTGGCTTATGCTGCACTGGACCCCCATTGACATGTACAATAGTGTCATCTCAAGGGTACAGAGATGGAGAATACAGACTCTAGTACTTTGATTCAGGGAGGTCCTCCCCCTCCTAGCTCTCCCGAGCCCCGAATGGCAGGTGAGAGCAGCAGCAACTCAGGTGCTGTTGACCAAAACATGCCTGGTGACATCATCCTGCCCCAGGGCGAAGACAACCTTGCCTACGATAACCAAATGTTGTCTCAAACGGGCGAGAGCTACATACCAACAGCTACTGCCCTGAACACAGGGGATAACTATGGGCAGCTCACTACCCCTGGCCTCCTTCCTCAGGAAGTTGAAGGCAACGAAGGAGATGCTGATATGCAGAGGACCTTTACGGAGCTGATGGCGGAGGCTTCCATGGATCTTCTTGACACCGAGTACCAGCTCGACTGGAACTTTTTCGACACCGATTCTTTTCTTGACCAACCTTCAAACACATTCTTCGAGCCAAACGCGTTCGTTCCGACGTCTACTAACCTTGATCCCGCGTCCTTTGACCCAAACACGATCTTGTCTGATCCCAACTACGTTCACCATAACTTTGGCATCGCCCCGGCTGTTCCATCTGAGCAGCTTACCGAGTTTCAACCCGTCCCCTTGGGCCATTTCCAGTACCAGGAGCCTCTGATTGACGCGAACCCGTCCTTCGACTTGCCTTCGAGCCAAGAAGCTGCAACAGGTTTCATCTCCAATCAACCCCAGTCTCCTGAGGCTTCGATTCAACCTCCTCTCGATTATCAGGTCGATCCTCAGTCCGACCTTCATCATCAGAATCTCACTGAAGCCGAGCCGAGCAACCAGCTTGAGGAAAACGAGTCAGACACAATGGCGAAGTCTGGACGTACCCCCCTTCCTAGCTCGCCTCGAAAGCCGGGCAAGCAGACTCGAGGTGGAAAGAAGGGTAATTCATCGGTAAGTTGCTTCAAAACGTTTCAATCATTGTCTATCTACCTTTTCCTGGTCCTCGGACTGGCCTTTGTTTTTCTGATGGCCAGCTGTGACACGGGTACCTGCACATATCGCGCGTTTCCCCGGTCGGTTATCCGATTTCCTCGTTTCTCCCCTACGCCCAGAAATGCGTCAGACACCTGTTTTCGGTCTATCTCAGTTGTTTCCTTCAAGGTGGGAAAGTCGATTCGCTAACTGTGCCCTCATCACGAGTAGGACTCTTCTGCCTCGAAGACAGGCGCGTCCAAGGGTCGATCGGACAACAAGCTCAGCAAGATCCCCCTCATTTGTTACGCCTGCCCTGATGAGCCCAAGTTTTCGGACCCCTCTCATCTTTTGACCCACGTTGGCTCAAAGGGCCACCTTGGCGCTCACCAGAAGCTTTTGATTAAGGCCATGACGGACACCGACGCCAAGGCGTCGATCGATAAGTTCAACAAGTGGTATGCCGAGCACGAGATCCAATCTCTTCTCGCCGCCCGTATGGCAGAGCGTGAGAAGAAGGACAAGAAGAAGCGAAAGGCCCAAGATGATCTGAACCAGCAGGTGAGAGAGAAAGATCATAATCCCAAACCGTCCACCTATCTCGATCACTAATGGAACATGGTTATAGATCAAGGACAAGATGCCTTATATTAAGGACGAGGACGATGCAGGCGACGGCCCGCGTGCCAAGAAGCGAGTCAGTCTCGCTATCGTTCCCACGGACGAATCTTCTATTGTCTCAGAGGACATAGATGAGGACACCGTGCAGACACGCAGCGGCCCTAAGCTTAAGGGCACCGTCTACCCCGGAATGGGCGTTTTCGATGCCGCAACGGATGAGATGAAAAAGAACCGGAACCAACGCAAGAGTGCGTCCCTCACGGCGCAGTTGAAGGCTAACTCTGATGCAGTCGAGCCTATCGAGATGGTCTTCGATATGAATCTCAACTTTATGCGCATTCGTAGCGTCTTCGATCGCCCTTCGCCGCCCCCTAGCCCTGTAAGTATCATCCCCCAGACCGCTAACGCTGGCTTTCAGAGACCTAACATTTTATCTAGTCCGCCACTGGCGCTGAGGACTCTATGGTGGAGGACGAGGAGAACTCCTCCAAGGACGCTGATCCGGAGGATCAGGGCGCCGACGGAGATGATTCTTCTGTCGGAGGAAATCTCTCTCATTGTCAGTAAAGGCGCACAATCTGGCCCGCCCACTGACTAGTGTCACGCAAAACCACCCTCCTCCACACATTGCCATATTTGTTCGACTTTACACCCTTGAGAAGATCCTCATTTCACTGCCTTTCGACCATGACGGAACACCACTGAATTTTGTTTGTAATGAGCGGACGCAAGTGCGGCATATCGGAATCACGAGTGGCCCCTCTTGATTGCGATGAGGATACTAACTATTGCGCCTTCTTGTCCAGACCGAGCACCTTCCAGCGAGCTTTCCCGCATTAGTAAAAGGTACGGAGATCTTACTCGAGCCTTGTCAATCGATAGAGGGGGACTGTAGGTGAGATGCCTAAAGCTAACTGTTCGTTCTAGTTTTTCAAGTCATCGGATTGCCCTTCAGCGCCTTGGCTCCAACTCAATTATCAGTTCTCCCACCACTGTCCCCAAACATCAGCTGCCTCTGAGGGTATTCCAGTCTGGCAAAGAGAACTTTTCTTCTGGTTATGGACTTTCCCATCACCAGGGAAATGGCAATATCTTTGGTTCTGGGGCGGGTGACGGCGTCCATGGGATGCCGACTCGCCTGAATAGCAATCCTCTGTGTTTTCAACCAAGTGAATTTCATCTGAACCCATTTGGAGGCTCTATTTCGAATTCCTATCGGCCCGATGTCGTTTCTAGCACTTTCACACCTGTCAACGGCATGAGTCAACAGGAAATGTTCAGTCATTACCTGGCTATCCGCCGTGGCCGTGAAGCACTCAATGCCAATACTCAAGGAGGGGACGCCTTTTATGAGAATTCCGTCTGAACTCCTCGCGGAATAGCCTTCCCTTAGCTTTTATCGTCAACTGTGTGCAACGAGTCTAAACGGCTACAGCTTGCATCCTCTGCGGCGATTTTTTGTTTTCCTTCCGTGATTTCCCCCTCGGCTTCTCGGGCATCATCCTTGATACTCGGCATTTTCATTGTTTTCATTTCTTTTTCTTGTTGTCGAATGATTGTAAGTGTCTCTGAGCATCTATCGACCTTATTGTGAGGAGACTAACGGGTCCTAGAACGAGTAACGAAGTTTATGAACGGCGTTGAGGCATGCCATGCTTGATTTCCAATTCTGGACCAGCTCGGCACGATCGAGCCGAGGCAGTGATAGGGCTGTTGGGAAAAGTTGTTTCCAGTCTTTTTTGCTTTCTTTTCTTTTACTTCGTTTTTTGCCCGACATATGCATCATGGAATCTCGACTTCTCGAGTATCCTACACGAAACCCCGCATATAGCATGTAGTTTTTCTCACTTTTCATTGTTTTACAATGGCCTTGAGCTAAAGTCTTTCCCATCTGTACATGCGGGGATCTTCAAGGTCGGTAAATATATTATTGTTATTGCCTCCACCATGTTGCCAGTGATCGTCAGTGGGGTCCACGCTCCATATTCCGTCGGCGTGCCCCTTGCTTGTGATGTAGTGGGCTTTCTAATGCGCAAGGATAGTTCTACGTAGGTCTTGGGGCTTCTTTTGCAGTTCCGGTCAGAAACGATGACTGTAGAGACGTGGACAGAGAGAGAGATCGAAACACTCGCAAGATCTCGGAGTGGCATGGCACACAAGGCTTGAGGTCACAGGAAGAAAAAGGAAGAGTGCGGTCGAAGTAGAACAAGACCGAGACGCAATAGAGTATTATTACAAACTAATCAACTTGAATGTGAACACAAGGAAACTTTAGCATTGAAGAGAAGATTAAAAAAAATTCCTACAGCTGCTCGATACACGACACGAGCTGCTCCATGTTCTCCGAAGAACCCTCCTCGCCAGACAGCCCCGGCCCAAGGAGCTTCTGCAAAAGGGAAGACGCAGCGCGAAGACGCCTCGCGCGCACGTCGGCCTCCATCTCGCGCGACTTGCAGGCGGCGAGGTCGATGATGGGACGAGGGATGCGCGCAAGACGGGCGACGTTTAGGCCGTAGGAGCGGTGTGCGACGCCTTCTGTTACTTCGTAGAGGAAGGTGATTTCCTCGTCGGCGGGGTCGGCGTCGCCGTCCTGTGCGGCGGCGGCTTCAGCGGGCGAGGAAGAGGAAAGCTGGTTGTCGTCTTGGCGGGCGGTGGTAGCCTGGAAGCGCATGTGGACGTTTTTGACGAGGCCGCCCCCGAGGCCGTCGGCGACGCGGGCGAGGTTCTGGTAGTGCGTGATGAAGAGGGTGAGGCACTTCGTTTCGCGCGCGACGTGTTCGAGGACGGCGTGTGCGATGGCGGCGCCGTCGTGCGTGGATGTACCGCGGCCTAGCTCGTCGAGGATGACGAGGCTACGGGGCGTGGCGGAGCGGAGGATGCGAGAGGTCTCGCTGACCTCGACCATGAATGTCGATTCTCCCGCGAAGAGGTTGTCACGGGCTCCCATGCGGGTGTGGATGGCGTCGCAGAGGGTGAGGGAGAGGGAAGTGGCGGGGACGAAGGAGCCGATTTGGGCGAGGAGGACGAGGAGGGCTACAGCGCGGACGAAGGAGGATTTCCCGCCCATGTTGGGTCCCGTGATGAGGTAGGCTAGCGGGGAGGGGGAGGAGAGAGTGGATGTGAAGGGGATGTAGCCGTGGGGGAGGGTGTGTTCTGCGATGGGGTGGCGGCCGTCCTTGATGGAGATTGTGGGCGGGGAGTCGGAGGGGAGGAAGGTGGGCTTGGAGTAGCCTGGTAGGGAGGCGACTTTGGAGAGGGACATGAGGCAGTCGAGGGTCGCGAGGGAGGATACGGCGTCGCGGAGGGGTTGGTAGTCTGCGGAGATGGAGGACAGAAGATCCTTGAAGGCGTCATCGCACGCGGCGGCCAACGCCTCCTTGTGTCTATCTCGCTCGCTCATCAGACGCACGACTTCCGGCGTGTGGAAGCGCGAGAGCTTCTTCGTACCGCTAATCTTCATCCACGAAGCGGGTACGCGTTTGATGTCGGAGTTGCTCACCTCGATGAGGTACTCGATGCCGGCGACTGTTGCGTATTTCACGGGGATCTTCCAGCCGAGCTTTTCCGTGGCGACTTTTTTGTGGTTGTCGAGTTCCTGCTCGACAGAGGCGATGCCGATTAGGTGGTCTTGAATGGCCTCCGTTTGCTCCTCTTCGCGGAAGAAGTTGATCTTATCGTCCTTGCGCGCGCCTTCGGGGTTGATCTTGTCGAGGTAGGATATGACGGTGTCCAGGATCAGGGGGAGGGAGCAGATGGCATCGCCGAGAAGACGGGAGTGGAATCCTGTGTCGGCGGGGGTCTTGACCTGAGCGTAGTGCGTCGCTATCCTTTGCAGGGTCTGGAGGACGGAGAGCAACTCGGGGCGGGTGCATTTCCCGTAGTAGATACGGATTAGACTACGCTCTAGGTCGGTCTTGGTATGGGCGAGGAGATTCTCGAGCTGATCGACGTTGGCAGTGGACTGGTTCTCGAGGAGCTCCTCTACGGCTTCAACTCGTTCCTCTAGTCTCTCCTTGTCGAGAAGAGGTCGGCCAACCCACTTCTTCAATAATCGTTGGCCGAAACGCGTGTGCGTCTTGTCGAGAGCCCAGAACAAGCTGCTCTTCTCCGAATAATCGGTCGCATTACGGTAGACTTCAAGACTCTCCAACGTGGTACCATTGATGAGCATATGCGAGCGTGTGCTGAAGCTCTGGAAGTACTTGGTCAGGTCGAAGATGTGCTCGAGGCCGTACTCCGTCAGGTGCGTGATCATGGCAGAGAGACAAATCGTGACTTGTTCGGGAAGGTGGAGGACCTTATCGAGCAAGGCGCCTGCTCGATCGTCGTCACCCATACCCTGCTTCAGCTTGTCGGCGTAGAATTGAGTAACATGCGAGTGTGACTCGGCAGGCATGGTCTTGGACCTTCCCACCCGCTCGACTCGACTCCTGTCCCCGAAGACGTTTGTGCTCGAGCCGGAAAGGTGTTTGATAAGTTTGTCCGTGCCTCGGGTGAGGTCGCCGACGATGAGGAACTCGCAGGGGGAAATATGCAAGAGCCTCGTCTCAATCTCGCTGCGCATGAAGCCATCTTCGAAGCTGTCATATATAATGTCGCCCGTAGCAGGCTGGACGGCGAGGATGCCCACGTCAACCTTTTCGTCGGTACCGCCACCTTTGCTGGGAGTTTCCGTGATGCAAAGGAGGTAGCCACCCGACGGCGCTCCAGTGGTAGACTGGTCGAGCTCGCCGATCTCGTCGACGTAGGTTCCTTTTGTGTAGACGTTGGTGAGTTTCCGGATAAAGGGGGTGTTTCGATTGTCCCCAGCTTTCTTTAGCGCGGCGGTTTCCACCTGCCGGACGACTCCGACTTTGTAGCCTGCGGCGACGAGGCGCTTGGCGTGGACGGGTAGGCGATGAACGGGGATGCTCGCGGACGCGAATCGGTCGAGATGGGCCTCGGAGGGGTCTATCACGGCTGTTAGTAAATCGACAAGCTCTCAGATCAAGGTACAGATAACAAGGTAGTAGATATACATACGCTCATCGTATCGGAATTTCCCGGGTATACAGACAATGCTAAGCTCTTTGGCCGCAATGCGAGCATCCTCTCCCAAGAAACGAAACTTGTATCCGACCTCCATAATGAGAACGGTGTCCATGTGCTTCCTCTTTATGTCCAGGAACTGGATCTCCATTGGTGTCAATTTATTCGCCTTTCCACCTTTGGCAGTCTTCCTACCCTTCGGCGGAGGTGGTGGTGCTTCCTCTTCTTCGGCGTCATCATCGCCGCCATCTTCACCCGCGACTATTGCATCCTGATCTGATACAAGACGGCGCAGAGAAACCAGACTGTCTGGATGTCCCAACTTCTTCACGAATTTCCTATGTAGGTCCTCCCGCCGACGCACAACTTCGGGGCTGACGTCTAGTCCATCTTGGCTCGATCCGAAGAGATAATAATCAGTCCTCGGCGACGATCTCGGCTTGTTATTCTCGAGGTCTTCCGCTGGCACATCCTCATCTATCACCGGAGCAGCCGGTTTGGCGGGCCTCTGCCTCTTCGAAGCTCCGGATCCGTTGTTGCCCTTATCGGCATCCTCTTCGAGCGGTCTCTTCCTCGCCGGTAGCGGCTCGGAGGGTCGGAGCGGACTAGAGGTCGGCGGGTGCTTGGGTCTCTGGGATTGGCTGCTGGATGGGGTGGTAGATTTCGGCGAGAAGAAGCTCGTTAGGGAGGCTTGTTTTTTCTTCCCTGATGCGGGAGTTGTCATCTTGGCGGGCCGTCGATATGTAGTCTTCTGCCTTGAATTTGGGAGGATCAAGGAGGTGGATTTGCATAGAGGACTTGGAAAGTAGACTTTCATTTCTGGTCGCGTCTCTAGGGCTGAAGACGCGTTAAGAGGGTGCAGGGGCAAAAAAGTCAGTGCGGGATCCAGACCCCCACTGTCCGTGATCCTGGGTCAGGAAGTTAGGGACATTTCGAAGCAATGGGGCAGGAAACGGGCATTTGCCAGATTTTATTTACAGCTTTACGGAGTACGAGTAATATTAATGATCATGTTGAAGACGTTTTACGATCTCCTTTTGAAGTGCCTTCGCTTTGATGCAAAGTCCTGGCTTCTACAAAAGGAGGATAATTATTCCATTATCGGGTCAACAGGTTTGGCGGGGTAATGTATCTACGCTGACTGTTCCCAAGGAAAACGTGGGCTGACAGCTGCCAAGTCCGGGTCATAGTGGCGCATCATGTTTCGCACCCATCGCGTTCTAAATCCACACACGCCCACTCATCAGCTCCACGAGAAGCTCTCCAACAAGCTCTAACAAGCTCCCCCTCCACCGGGCGCTCCGGAGACCTCGACACTACCCGGCTCCCACGACTCTCCTACACGTACCAAGCCGAAAAGCAGCTACACCTCACCTCCCCCCTCCCACCCACCATGTTTGGCATGCTCACGCCGGGCCCCCAAGCCCCCGGCCCAACCTACGTCTACAAAACCTACGACGACCTCTTCGCCGACCTCAGCGCCCGAATGCAAAGCGACGGCTACAAAGTCGTGAAAGCGCGCTCGCACCGCGGCAAGATCGGCGGCGCCGACGTGCCCAACAACGAGATGGTGCGGTGCGACCTCGTGTGCGACCGCGGCGGACGCCCCTACAAGTGCCAGGCGACCAAGCACAAGACGAGCACCAAGAAGACGGACTGTCCGTGGAAGGCCAAGGCCGTCAATCGTAAGATGATGGGCGGTTGGATCTTGACGGTTATTTGTGATCAGCATAATCATGAGCCGGGGACGCCGGAGCCGCCGACGCCGGGGGTTAGTGAGAGGGATGCGGATGGGGAGCCGGATGGGAACGAGGGTAAACACTCTTTCTTTCTTTCTTTCTTTCTTTCTTTTGATGCGAACGGGTTTTGAGGGGGTAATGGCTAACTTGGAGTCCCTTTTAGCTGCCGCCGCGGAGGGTCCGACTCCAGACGCAGAAACGTCCGCAGCCCTCGCCGTAGCAGGTGTATCGCAAGCCGTCTTCCGCCTAACAGGCGACACGTTCCAACAATTCAAAGGCGAATACCGCAAAATGGCCAAACCACAGCGCGTCCAAATGCTCGCGCAGCTCCAAATGCGCATCGCCGCCATCTACGCCATCGAGAACGAAGACGTGCAGCGCCAGGTGCGCATGGAGCAGCAGGAGAAGCGACACAGACAAATTGACCAGACGAGGAGGCAGTCGACGACGGTAGCTGAGAAGCGCGCGAGGAGAACTTCGGCGATGATGGTCGAGGATGAAGGGGATGATGAGGGGAGGACGTTGCCGAGTAGTAGTCCTGCTAGGAGAAGGCAGGGGGGTGTGGTGCAGCAGGATGCTCAGGGGCTGCAGTTGGATCAGGGGCAGATGGGGGATGGGCAGCATCTTATGGAGGGGCAGACGCAGCAGGATGAGGTTGATTCGTTCATACATGGTAATGTTATTCGTCACCCTATCTCTTATTCACTGGACCTTTTGGAGACTGACTCTCATCTTGTTTTCGTAGCCCAGTTCCAGGTCCAAGTACCACAGGCGGGTGTTGGTACGCCTCCCGTCGGCCAGTTCCACCACTTTCCTGCTCCTCCACCTCGGAGGCTTAGAGGTCGTCCGCAAGCGCAAACTTGAAAGGGGGGCGCCTGGCTGGCGAATGTCCCGAGCGCGTTCGTTCACATTCGTGACTGTCTCGACACGGTTGTTCTTCTTTTTGCTTCCTTTTATTGTTTAGGTGCTGTATGATACTTGTGAAGGCTGTGCCGTTCGAGTTTTAGTCTGGAGGGTTCAAGGTTTTTTTTTTTTTTCTTGTATATTGGGCCCGGATATCGAGGGGCCCTCACTTCTATTCTTTTGAACAACTAATGACGGGTTTACGGATTATGACTTGTACGGATGGAAGGAGGGTTGGTTGAGAATTTCAAAATATCAGAACAGGTTTACTTCTGAGTGTACATTACCAGCAACAAGTGAAGATACGAAGGCACGCAGTGGAAGGAGGAATCATGTCTAATTCAGAATTTTAGGTCTACCTGCAGATCGTGGAGGAATCCAAAAACGCTCAATCCCTCGTGTAGACAGCATGCAGCGTATAATCCTTCTTCGGCCCCTTGACCTGATACCCAGTTGTCCACCTCTCCAGATTCACGGCCTTGAACCCAAATTCATACTCAACGGAATAGTAATCCCCGCCGCACAGATGACCCGCCTTCGCCTTGACGCCCCTCGCCTTCGCGCCCACATGCACGCCCGCCGAATCAAACGCACCAGCACCATCACCGGCGTCATCATCTTCCTCGCGAGGCAAGAACTCGACGTCGTGAAAGAGGTAATCGGCCCTCCTGGGATCATCGACACGCACGAACCAGACACTAAGCGTATCCGTCACCTCATCATATCTATAAACGTACCTCCTCGTAGCGGAGAACGAGAACCCGAGGGTAGAGTTGAATGTCCCCTCCTCGATGTAGAGATACTCTAACCCCCCGTCTTCGGAAATAACAGCAGGGTTGGTGGATTCGGAAGAGGGGCCGTCGAAGCCATCTAGGGTCTTTTGTCGCACGAGGAAGCGCGCCGTACCGGTGAAGGTGCCGCTGGGGTGGGAGGGGAGTTTGCTGTTGATTTCGCGCTCGAGGTGCCATGTGCCGAGGAGATTTCTGAAGATGGAGGCGGCGATGAATTTTGTTGATGTGAGGGCCGAGTTGGCAGACGAGTGTACTTGGGCGAGGGATTTGGCGGTTTGGGACTTGGAGAAGGTGTTTGCGTTGGCGGAGGGGGAGGTGTAGCGAGCCGGGGTTAGTGGGTCGAGAGATAGAGGGGAGTCGGGGATGAAGAGTTGGGGAGCCACGGAGGGTGAGATGGGGAGGTTGAGCGCGGTGGAGAATTCCTGCATGAGGAAGGGGTAGTCGCCCATGGGGAATTGCGCCGTCTGCTTGTTGCCTCTCATAGCGAGAACGTTTTCTATCGAGCGGTCTGCTTCGAGAGCCTTCTTCATGGCCTCGGATTGCGGGGCGATGTTTTCCGGCGTCCATAGCTCGGCCAGGAATCGAGACTGCATCTCGGCAACGCCCCAGTACGGTCCGCGGTAGAAGCCCACGAAACCTAGACCGGGAACGGAAGGATGATGCGTGCTGTGGAAAGCCAGCGCAGGAGTAAGATCAGGGTACTCTGGCGTGTGGTTAATCGCCTTCAAAACGTCCTCCGAGAGGAAGCTCAGCGACGGCGAGGGATCGAAGCCCGTCGCCAGCACAACGGCTGCGACGTCCTCGATGGGCCCTGAGGTAGTTTCGGCCGTGGTGCCGGATAGACCGGTGAGCTGACCGCGGTGCAGGTCGAGGAGTTTGGCGCGGAGGAGGGGAAGGTAGAGCTGAGATATGGCGACGAAGGCTGGGGACGAGGTATCCTCGACGACGGCGAGGGGGTGGAACTCGGATTGGTTTGTTCCGAGCGAACGGCGGAGGTTTTCGTGGGCGGTTCGGGCTGCTTCCTCGCAGATGATGCCGCCGCGGGTATTTTTCAGGGGGTGGGGTCTTCCTGCGATGTTGAAAGAGTTGAGATCCGAAGGCAAGAAGAAGGGCGCAGCATTTGCTGGCTGGAAAGACGGTCAGTATCTGGCAGGATGAAAAGAGAAAGAGGACGCGTACTGTAGGAGTAGTGAATAGAGGCAGAACCCAAACAGGCCTATCTGCGAGATGGTGCACTGAGTACTTGTCGGGGTTAGGAATCGGACTCTCGAGAGGAGAATTCACGGCCGAGGACAACTGCGTCGCAATGGTCGCCGCAACCTCCACGCCAGACATCTGCCCACCAACAACGAGAATCTTGCCCCCCGCAGCAGTCGTCCCATCCGTCCTCGTCAACAACCGCTTCAAATCGCGATACGCAGTGCTATGCACGACGGGAACCTTCCGCTCGGTCTCACCACCCGCCCTGTCTGGGCCAAGCCATTCAGGGATCCTCTCTTTCCCGAAATACCCCGATGAGACAACCACAGCATCAAACTCCCTCTCCTCCCCATCAGCCTCAACGACCCAACCATTGCCCTTCCTCCACACCCCCGAAACCCTCGTCCCAAGCTTCATCTCCACATTCGCACTCCCTTCCAGATACGCCTTCGCATACCGGGCCAAATATCTCCCCACCATCCAAGCCCTCGGAAACTCAGGCACCGCACTCATCTTCCGGCCTTCCGCTCCTTCTTCCAGTCCCTCCCAGGCAAGATCGCTAAACTGAACAGTGTGCCTGCTCAGGTTCGTCGTCATCAAGGGGTGAATGGGCCGCGAGTCGTCCGTTGCATCGAGGGGCCAGAGACCGCCGATGGCGGCGTTGGCGTCATAGACGGTTACGGTGTAGACGGGGGATCCCTCGAGGGTGGGAGGGTGGCGGTGGTTGGCGAGGGTTTTTGCCGCTACGAGGCCAGAGGGGCCGGCGCCTGGTGGAGGGGGAGGGGCTGTGTGAGAGATTGAGATGGGCACGCGGAGGGGGGATGAGGGACTCACCGATAATGCAGACTGAGCGTGGCATTAGAGGATGGGGGATGGAGGATATTGATCAAATTGTTCGGTTTATCTGAGCGGCATTTGGATTTCGATGAGCGGATATCGGGTTTGAGGACGAGTTTGTGGGGAACAACGAAAATATTAGCTCAAGTGAGAATTGAGAAGTGAGAATTGAGCTTGATCAATGGATTATCAATCATCGCGACACTTTAAGACTTTTAGCTCATGGGCCGGTTCAAGTCCGATGGACTATTAATTGCCGAATTGTCGGGCGCGCCAACCATTAATAGTGCGTCGCAGGATGGAAAATAGTTTCGCGGACAAGCTCAAGCAATTGTAAGATGGCTTAATTCTAACGCCGTTTGGTAGTTTCATTATTCAAATCGTCAATCTATCCTGTCCGAGTTGAGCGGAGAAAACCTGCTCCTCCTGTCTAGCATCTACAAACATTGTAATCGCCCCAAGCCTCGAATTACTTGCAGGTATCTCCGAAATAGACAACAGCCGACCGCATCTTTTTTTGTTTCCAGCTTGGATCATTAAAAGAAGAAGAAAAAAAGGAAAAGGAGAAGAGTAATAGTGAAGAAAAGAGAAAAGAAGAGGAAATGTAAGGAAATATGAAGAAATGGACAGAAGAACACTAAGAAAATCCTCCTTCACGCAAACTCTCTCCTCCTCAACCCGATGGAGCCTCTTCTAGACGTTCCTAACCGGGAGAGAGTCTCGCCTAAGCCGCGTAAAGCCCTCCTTCACCAACGAATTAGGACAGTGCCTCCCCTTAACAAGGTCCTCGAGGTTCCTAAGCGTGCACTCTGAGATCTCCTGCAGAGCCTCAACAGTGAAAAAGGCCTGATGGCCCGAGATGATGACATTCGGGAACGTCATGAGTCGCGCGAGAAGGTCGTCGTCAATAATCTCGCCCGAGTGGTCGTTGTAAAAGATCTTGCCCTCGCCCTCGTACACATCGAGTGCAAGCCCACCAAGCTTCTTGCTCTTCAACGCCGCGATGACGGCATTGGTGTCGATGAGGCCTCCACGCGACGTGTTGACGAGCATGGCGTCGTCCTTCATGAGCCCGAGGGTCCGCTCGTTGATGATGTGCTTGGTCTGCTCCATGAGCGGACAATGCAGCGACACGAGATCGCAGCGCGGCAGCAAATCATCGAGCTCGAGGTACTCACCGTACTCTTCAAAAGCCTTGTTGTGGAAGGGATCAAAGGCGTACAGGGTGCAGCCGTAGCCCTTCATGATGCGCGCGAAGGAGATTCCGATCCTGCCCGTGCCGATGATGCCGACGGTTTTGCCGTGCAGCGTGCGCCCCAGCAGCCCATCGAGCGCAAAGTTGCCCTCTCGCACGCGATTATACGCGCGATGCGTCTTGCGATTGAGCGTCTGGATCAGCGCCACGGCATACTCGGCAACAGCCTCGGGCGAGTAGGACGGCACATTGGCGACCGAGAGACCGAGCCTTTCGGCGGCCTCGAGGTCGACGTTGTTGTAGCCGGCGCAGCGAAGGAGCACGCCGCGGACGCCCTTGGATGCGAGAATTTCGAGAACCTTGGCCGTCAGCACGTCGTTGACGAAGACGCACACGGCGTCGGCGTCGCTGACGAGGTCGACGGTGGAGGGGGTGAGGGCGAAGTCGTGGTAAGTGAGCTTGATGGATGAGGCGTTGCCGTTCCGCGCGAGGTGGGCGCGGTCTAGGAACACCCTGTCGTAAGGCTTTGCGCTGAAGACGGCGAGTCTCATTGTTTCAACGTTTCAATGCTGGGTTGTAGATTTGACTGAATAGTTGTGCGAGGTGAGGTTGGATGTGGGATTGTATGCTGTAAGGTTTTAAAAGGGCTTATCCACAAAAGATTAATATCGTACAGATGTATAGAGATATATATATGGATAAGATGAGCTTTGTGAGGGTCAATTTGATGCTAATGGATGCTCATGAACTTGAGTGATGAGAATTGAGTTCAGGGTCAGACACTTGGTCTTGGAGGGAGGGGAGGAGGAGACCTGCAGCTATTTATCGGCACCGAGATAACGACAGTTGATGCAGGTATGTCAGCAAGGAAGAGCTGAGGTTGGATTGCGTCGATTGAATCCGCGGATGCATCATTGAAATCATGCATCATACGAAGAAAGCGATCAATGGTCCATCGGATCCATCAGCCACGCGCCGTCCGCCGTCCGCTGTCCACCGTCGGCCATCCAGCCATCAGGAACGGGAAGTCCAGAGCCCCCATTACCGTTGCATTCCCATTAAGACGACATGAGATTAACAATCTTGGAGGCAGAGTCACTACACAGACCCCATCCCGCCCAAAGTATCTAAGCCAAAGCCAATCGGTAATTGGGGTTTTTAGCGATTATAACGATAAAAAAAATATATATCTGATCCTCTTTTAACATACGATCTTGATATCTTTTAAGCCCCCCGTCCAGCTGTTATCTTGCTCGTCCTTCTAGGACAGTTGTTGCAGTTGTTGGCGGGATGGTTCTTCTCTAAGTGACTGGTTTTTTTTTTTCTTTTCTTTTACTCTCATGATCTCTCGTATATATTCGGCCATTTCTATTGATATTTCTATTTTATACCGTTACCTTGTCCTTCGCTACCATCGTTGCGCATCCGGCCGAACTGAAGCCGTCTTGAACTCAGCAGACTTCGTCATTGAATGACAGAATTCGGTGGCAAACTACTGCGAAGGAAAGGGGAGAGAAGAAAAAATTGAAGTGGAAAAATAGCTAAAATCAATAGAAACACACCACGGGAGACGTCGAACTAGGAACAGTCCTAAGGTGTAGGTTTCAACACCGAGCAAGCTTGGCGGATAGATACAAAAGAAGGCGTTTACGAAAGACAGCTCGGAGAATCAAAGTGACATCATTAGGATATCGTTCCGTCCGAGACTCTTGTTGCCAATAAGGTAAAACTGCTTGTTACTTCGGAGTTTATCAGGGTTCAGGGTAACGACGGCGATCGGCGGTGGTTCGTCTCCGACAAGGCGGTAAGATGATGGAAGCCGGTCGAAGAACACTACGGAACATCATGCTAGTTTGCCGTAATCTAGATGATCCAGTTTCGCAGGAACAGTTTTCTAAAGATAGAATTAAAATATAGTCTCACGTGTCAAAACAGTCATGCAAATATGCAAATACGGGATGGAGCTGTCCGGCTTCGGCCTGAAAGAGAAAGTGGTGAGATGGACTCGATGGCGATAGAGCGAAAAGGCGAACAAGGCCACCGAATGGGGTGTTCGATCCAGCCAGATCCAAGAGACAATTGGTCGATAACGGACCTGCAAGTGCGGCGGCGCCGCTGTAGGCCCGGATGCGAGGCCGATGCCAGTCGCTGTGCGCAATCGGTACATGTGGCGTATTGGCAGGTTCGATTCGAGTCTGGGCAAGGAACGTTGCAGGGAACTGACTGGACACACGAGTTCTCTTTTTTCTTTCTTTTTCGGTGCTGCCATCTGTGCCTGAGACTGACTGGCGAAGGGACCCTGAAATCTTTAGCTCTGCGTGGGAACGTGTGGGAACGAGAGGAGCGAAAGAGGACATCGGAGGGGCGAATTCTGCTACTCGGATTCTCAGGCGATACACTATCCATGGACAGACCTCGCCGGACCCCTGACCCTGAACCCGGAAACAGTTTGGTACGGCTCCTCCGCCCTAATTGTGTGGATGGGGCGGCTAAAAGAAAGCAACCATAATCTGGTGGTTGAGTTCGGCGGTTTTGACTTTGACTTACGGGACAATCCTATTCTTACACCCTGATGTCCCTGGCGTCTACCTTTGTAAACTTTGGCGGCGCAGGTTTCCACGTCTCTCTCCTGGGCGTGGTTTCCTCGATCGACCAGAACCCTTCCCCTTCCCCTTCCCCTCCAACCCCTCCCCCTCTTTTTACCCCCGCAGTTCGTTCAGCCACGCATGACATCATATATCGATTGTATCGGCCGCATGTGAAAATCATTTTCTTCCCTGTACTTCGTACTTACAAAAGGTACAGGTATGGACGATATCGACAAGATTAAGAAGCGAGCACGGAATTAAACTACTAACTACTTCAAAAGAATATTTGAAGCATCGGAAGGTGCGAGTCCAATGAAACCCGATCCCGATGAGTCAAAATGGTGTCGACGAAACAATGAGACGACCTGGAACGGGTGACGGATGAAGTTTTCATTGTTTGGAGTAGTATTGTCGAGGACATTGGAGGGTTTATCACCGAGTACGACCACGACTGCCAAGTTGGTATATCGGGCGGCGCCGTCAGTTGTTAGTTTCTCCGACCGAGATCAATTGATACTTTGCCCGGACTGCGGTACTCCAATGTGCCTCGACGACGGAGTAATTCATCGTATGGGAGCACCTCGTATACGTGAAAACCCTGCGGAACACAGGCACGCCGGCCCACGGCTTGTTCCCACCATTCATTACCCTCCCCTCCTCCAATTGTAACTCGCCTACTCGTCCCTCTCCACCCAGGACCCATCGTCTCAACGCCATGATCCACGCGTCCCTGAGCTGTCTGCTCGCTCACCTTGACCCGTCTCACGGGCCTTTATTTTGTGGATATCGAAAGCGGCGATTTTGGGATCTTGCTGAAAAGATGGTGCCTACGCCCACGCCCACGCCCATCCACATCAACTGATGCCCCTTTTGCGAAAGATCAATCAAGAGCCTGGCTTCCTAATAATTGCTGGTGCTACTGCTAAAAGCACTACCAAAATCGCTTGCATGGCCAGTCAGGTTTAATGCATGGAAGAAAACGTGGGCACAACGAGGATTTCATATTCAATGGCAAGCTGCAACTCGCACCCGACCGCCCGCCGTGCGGTTTATGACTAAGCCGACCCGACCCGCATTCGCACTTGACCGCCGTTCCGCCTAGTCCTGCGTTGCGTTCTTTCGTTCGCTTTCACCACCTTCAGCCGTAGTGGCCAAGGCCTGTAAAGACCTGTGGAGGATAATATATGCCCTTCTCATTATTAGCAGCGAAGGTAGTAGCTAGGAGAGGTTCATTGCAATATCATCTGCTTATAGCCGGGAACACCCTGCCTGGAACGACAGACATTGGCCTCTAAGTGCAATACAGGGCGCCTTTTTTTTTTCTCTAGTGCCACAGGAAACTTCCTTTCCCCAACGTTTGTTCCCAGAAGGTTCGGCAAACTCAGGGCAGCCGCCACAGCTAGCCGGGCCGCCAACTGGGCGCGCTGTGAGTCATGGGGTCGACCAGCCCTTATCAATTTGCGGTGCGTAGATTATATAAGACAATCAATCCACTATCAGGAGACAGTCCCACAAAAAACAGACAGCATCTTCACCTACTTTGTGCCAGACACCAAGTTGCTTCGCTTCCCGTATACCTCTTGCATCTAACCCTTGGGTCAATCTCTCGCACTTCCCTCTTCACGTCACCTCTTAACTTCAAGAAATCATTATAATGGCGCCGGAACGCGTTTGTCTGTGAGTCATTCCGACGCCCGTGTAAGATACAGCTTGACTGACGAATGACCTGATTCAGTGCCTACTCAGGTGGTAAGTTAAACACGCTTAAGAGAAGATCACAAATTTGTACTCATGGACGTAATAGGCCTTGACACTAGTACAATTCTCCGGTGGTTGGTTTTGCAAGGCTATGAGGTCGTGTGCTTTCTTGCCAATTGCGGCCAGGAGGAGGACTTCGAGGCTGTGCAGTCCAAGGCCATTAAGCTCGGGGCTGAGCGCATGATCATCCAGGATGTCCAACAGGAGCTTATTGACGAACTGGTCTGGCCTGCCATTCAATGTGCGTCCGCCGCCCGCTCTGCGTCTTGGACTGGGTTCTACGAGCCTGCTGACACTTGACATTCATAGGCAACGCAATCTATGAGGACCGATGTAAGATAACTCAGCTTGACCGCTTATCGACATCCCAGCTAACACCAAGATGACCTGCTCGGGACGAGTCTTGCCCGCCCGGTGATTGCCAGGGCGATGGTCAAGGTCGCGAAGGAGTATAACTGCACGATCCTGAGCCACGGATGTAAGCGGCCTCCCGGCTGGGTCACAGCCCGCTTGTCGTATCGGTAATTTGCTAACACAGGTGTCCTATTTCCTCAGGTACCGGCAAGGGTGTAAGTTTTCAAAATCCTATCTTTGCACGGTCCTGATACTAACGTTTCCTAGAACGAGTATGTCTATATCTCCAAGGATCTTCTGTTGTCGATACTTACTTCTTTCTCTTTAGTCAAGTTCGCTTTGAGCTGGCATGGAAGGCCTGCGACCCCACCCTGAAGGTTCTCGCTCCGTGGCGTATGCCGGAGTTCTACAACCGATTCGCGTTCGTGATCACTCATCCCTCACTTTCTAGCAGCCAAGCTGACGAGCGCACAGAGGACGTGCGGATCTACTCAAGTTCGCTGCCGAGCAAAACATCCCCGTTAGCTCTACGCCCAAGGCCCCCTGGTCCATGGACGACAACATCATCCACTGCAGCTATGAGGCCGGAGTAAGCCACCTTCCATCCACTTGATAGACTCTATCTTGCATCGTGCTGACCCTATTAGATCCTCGAGCAAACAGACATGGAGCCCCCGAAGGATATGTGGAAGCGCACTGTTGGTAAGACGCTCGCTTCTGCCTTTCCAACTAAGTCGGGTAGACGCTGACGTGCATCTGTAGATCCGATGAAGGCTCCTGACGCGCCGACACCCTTCACCGTCCATTTCGAAGAAGGCGTTCCCGTCAAGCTTGAGGTCGGCGGCAAGGTCATCACCGGCTCGCTGGAGATTTTCAAGGAAGCAAATGAGATCGGCCGGGCTAATGGTGAGGCTTCAGGCTTACGAAAGCTCCTTGAATCCCTGCTGACCAATTATTAGGAATCGGACGTGTCGACATTGTCGAGTCCAGGTTTATCGGTGAGTTGGCGCTCGCCAGGAAGTGTATTTCTGTCAACTGTGTCATCCGCTGACGACTTGCAGGCCTGAAGAGTAGGGGCTGTTACGGTATGCAACTAAATCTACTTCCAAATGACCATACAATTTCTAATCTAACATCGCGTCTATAGATACTCCGGGCCTAACGATTCTTCGACAGGCTCATCTGGATCTTGAAGGACTCGTCATGGACTCCAAGGTACGCTCCATCCGCGACCGTCTTTCGAAGGACTGGTCAGACGCGATCTACAACGGTTAGTCATCTCCGTCCACGCTCATGTCTTGCCGTTGAATAGAACATCCTAACTCTCTTCAACTAGGCATGTACTTCAGCCCTGAACGGGAGTTTGTCCAGCATGCCATCAAGTTCTCACAGCGTCAAGTCGAGGGCAAGGTAAGTCTCGTCGCCTATAAGGGTTGCGCGTACGTCGTTGGACGTTCCAGCGAGACCTCCAACCTCTACTCTGCCGATGAGAGCAGCATGGACACTCTAGACATGAACTGGACGCCCCAAGACGCGTCGGGCTTCATCTCCATACAATCTATCCGCCTCGAGAAGTACGGTGCAAGGAAGATCAAGGACGGCGAGCCCCTTGCCCGTGTCTGAGCGCACATTCGGCATGTCCGCCCCGAGAGGTCTCGGCACCTTTCGGTAGACGGCGAAAGCTTACGGGGCTCTCAAGGCCCACCATGCGGTAGTTCAGTCTCGCGGTTGGAAGAGTAACCCAAAATCTGGATGCTATTCTGATTGTCTAGCCGTACTGTCTGCATTCATCGTATTGATTAAGGGGGTAGAATAACTCCGTCGCCTGGTGAGACATAACGTACCTGGTCAATTCGGCCAGATGCGCAACTACTTCATATGGTAGCGAAGGACAAGGTAACGGTATAAAAATAGAAATAAACAGAAATGACCGAATATATACGAGAGATCATGAGAGTAAAAGAAAAGAAAAACCCAAAGCCCCACAATCGGGACGGAGTCACTTAGAGAAGAACTATGCCCCCAACAACAGCAACAACCATCCCAACAAGTGCCCCATTGCCACGTTCCAACCTCCTCGCACCACTAACAGTAACAGGCCTCGTCGCAGATGGTCCACCAATTGCGCTCGCCGCCGAGCTTGGCGGTTGTCGAGCACCTCCGCTACCGCTGGGTGCTCCAGCGCTAGGGCTTCCAAGGCCGGGTCCTCCGCTTCCCGCGCCGCCTCCTGAACCTCCTCCACTACCAGGACCTCCGGAGCCGCTGCCGCCAGTAGGCGAAGCGCCACCACTTCCAGGACCTCCTGCACCACCAACTCCTCCAGCGCCGACGGTGACGGTTACCGTCCTGATCTCGCAGGCCCCACTAGAGCTCGCGCCGGGAGGTCCGCCTCGTCCGGCGCTGCTGGTGGGGACGGGGACGCTACCTCCGCGGCTGCTGGAAGGTCCTTCGTCAGGGCCGGCCGGACCACCTGGAGCTCTGCTGCTGCCAGTGGGGGAGGGTCCGGAAGACGGAGGGGGACCACCAGGTGCGCGAGTACTCGATGGAGAGGGACCACCAGACGGCGGACCGCCCGCGCCTCGAGTGCTGGAGGGCTCGGGGCCTGAGGGAGGAGGCCCGCCACCGGATCCCCTGCTGCTCGTAGGTGCGGGTCCAGAGGGTGGGCCGGTTGGAGCACGGCTGCTGGCTGATGATCCACCGGGGGGCCCCCCGGGAGGGCCACCCGACCCACGGCTGCTAGTAGGAGAAGGACCGGCAGGGGGAGATCCACCCGTTGGAGATCCCGGGACCCTTGTAGAACTGCTGCCTCCTCCGTTGGGAACACCGGCACATCCAGTGTTTGAGCAAGTATCACCCGGATTGCCTTGAAAGTTTCTCTTGTCAGCAAAACAACTTGATTTTCTTTCCTTTTTTTTTTTTCTCTCCTTCTTCCTCTCTTGCTTCCACTTCGTAAGGGAAAACAAAAACATCAACTTACAATACCAAGAGGTACAGCACACAAACCCCACAGGAATACATCCCTCCCCACACCTCACAAAACCCTCCTTGCAAGCCCCAGGCCCGGGACAAGCCTTCCCCAACGGACAGCAAATGTTATCTGAGGAGCAGTACTCGCCCTCGTCGCAGTAGGCATTGTTCCCGAAGCGGCAGCAGTTGGCGCCGCGGGGGATGCAGCCGGTGTCGCAGACGGATTCTCTGGGCGAGCAGGTGGGCGGGGCTTCGGCGCGGAGGGAGAGGATGGCGGAGCGGCCGCTTATCAATGGGAGAGGTTCTTCTTCGATGAGAAGGGGGGAGGAAGGGGCGCCGAGGGCGAGGGAGATGAGGTGTTGGGCTTGGAGGGGGAGGGGGAGGGTGAGATAGAGGAGGAAGAATGGGTTGCGCATTGTGAAGGTTGTGGTGTTTGATAATCAAGGGGAAGCTTTGAAGTTGGGTTTGAAGGATGGGTTGTTTGCTCTGGCTCTTGGAAGCTTGGTGAGAAAGGGGAGAAGATGGAGAGATGGAGGGAGCTTCGAGGCCATTTTATCCTCGATCGTGAGGTTCACGATAGGCTCATCTTTGGACATCTTCGTGGATTTGCCGTGGATCGTCGTCGTTTTCCCATGACAAGGTAGATGAAGGACAAGGTTGATGGGCATTTCGATCTAGATTACCTCGATGCTCAAGAAGAGATAAGCCAAAGAATGCAACTCGCATCATCTTGGACATCTCATGATGCTGCACCTCCCCATAGTCTATCACCATTCATTGATGCAGAACCTCGATCCACTTCCCACAGCTTCCTTGAACACGCATCACGACAAGCTCACCTCGAGGCACAGCCCACAAAGCGCGCCAAGTATCGTCAAGAGCCGCGCGCATAATCACTAAACATGTAAATGCCTCTCTCCCAAGAAAAAAAGGGCCTAAATTTGGGCTAAATCTCATCTGCCGGCCCTGTCATCTCGATCTGGGCCTGTCAGGGCAAGAGGTGAACATGCCTTGCCGAGGCGATCATCTGCAACGAACCCGTCTTGTCGTCAAAGCTACCTGCAACCAGGACAATGCCCGCTATCATCGGCAATTCCTGTCACTTTCCTCGCTCTCTCGTCCCGATACTCTGGGCTTAACCCAGCCAATCCTCATTCGAATCCCTGGTTTCTGGTTTCGCTTTCCCTCCCCCCAATTTCTTGCATTCGGCATTCAAAGTCCCAGGAATCCCCCTCTGCCGCGCCGTCCCCCCTCTTGATCACCCTCGCTTCTACCCGTCCCCCTCCCTCACCTCTTTATGCTAAAGTCATTTCGCATAAATCTCTTCCTTAAAGTGCAATCTTCATCATTTCCCCTTGCGGTGTTGAACTCAATACTAATCACCCGCGCATGTATGATAATGAACAACAGAGCGAAGGGCATTGCCGAGAAGAGTCGACGAGGCGTTGCGACTCAACCCAATGCAGCACCAAACTCCCCAGGCAAGAGATAAAACGGAAATAGACTAGATTAATGCCTTTTCAATTCTAAGGAAAAATAGAAGTTCTCAATCCACCGGCGGTAATAACGAGGGGGAAAAGGGGTTATGCTCTCCTAAACTCCAAGACGCAATACAAGCCGTCCGTACCAATGTGTTTCTATCCCGTATGCTCAACAAACCTCCACGAACCCACCATATCATTAACGGTTGGTCTCATCGTCTATTATACTCTGGTATCAAAAATATGCTCCCAAACGCCGATCCAGTAACAATTCACGAGCGGATGCCTTCCAAAACCGACCACCGCGTACGAAATAGGCAAAGAACGAGGGGGGACCGCGGCGCTACTAAGCCCCCTCATCCCTCCAGATGTGAGTGTCTCCTAGGCTCAGGGAGCTCGTCGAGCTGTGGGTTTCGGGTCCTAGAATGTCTAGAGGTGTGCGAGTCCCTGACGTTGACTCGTCAAGGACGGGAGGCGGATCCTGGTATATCCAGGGCTGGACGAGACTAGATGTTGAAAAGAGATGTTAGAATCCCATGACCGTCCCCAAAAAAATAAGAAAACAAAACAAAAAAAATTTGCGGAGAAAGAGACCGGATGACTTACGGTATCTTGAGGCTTGGATTAACATACTCCAAGCCTTTCTCCCTCTCCTCATCCAGCGTGCTCCCCCTCCTAAGAACCCCCAACGTCAGACGACTCGGCGACATCCCCTCGTTAACCGCCGCCGCATCCTCGGGATCGATCTCCGCCCGGATGCTCCGCAGAGAGATAAACTTCGTCAGCGGCACGTACCGCCGCTTAAAGTAGAAGCCGTACCACACCGTGAAGGCGATGAGCGGGATGACGAGCACGACGGCCTTGAAGGCCTCGTGTAGACCGAGGACACCGCCCATCGTCAGCTGGAAGAAGACGAGCCCCAGCACGATGCGGTAGGAAATCATCGGCCATGCTTGTCCCGTCGCGTGCTGGGGCTGATCCATGGCGTAGAGCAGCTGGTACTTGTACGTGAAGTAGCTAAAGGTGAAGTAGATGAGTCCGGCGAGGAGTACCAACACGCCGTTCTGAAGAATGCTGTACACTAGGCAGAGGATGAAAATGAGAAGAGCCGTGGGCAGATAGTATCCGTAGCTGAACAGCGGAGGCGCCTTCATCTCGTGGAAGTCACGCGGCGTCTTGGCTGTCAGTCGGCCCCAGACGTACAGGGCAACACCGCCAGGCTCGAGGAGACGGAAAGGAATCAGCCCAACACCTTGCAAGACAATGAAACTAATGTAAAAGTCGCCAATGTTCATGATCGACCGCGCAATGAGCTTGGGCAGCTCGTGGGTATTATCGAGAGCACCCCAGAGCACGGGAATGAACTGCGTTGTCGACCCGGAAACGGCAAAGACGAAGAAGATGTTGAAGAAGGTGAAGAAGAAGTTCTTGGAAATAACTGAGAGTTCAATCTGGCCTCGGGAGATCATGCCCTGGTAGTGAGACAAGAAATCGTAGAGGAACGGTACCATGACGTTGAGCAATGACACGGCACCTGTAGGCAGGCCGGTCTGCACAAGAAACCTGATCCATTCGTGGTGAACGAGGTAATCCCCGAACTTCGGGAAGGCCTTGTTGATAGTGCAGATGCTCAAGAGCGAGGCAAGCGTGGCGACGATGACAAACCAGACGAGACTCAGAACTGTGATGAATAGGGTGACCACCCACGACTTCAGCCTCCGCACTCCGCGGGCGGCGTAGGTGTTTTTCCATACAACATCAGTTGGTGAAGGCGCGGGTTTCGTCAAAAGTCGCCCGGGCCGCGGATCAATCAGAGCTTGAATGGCCATCTGACACGAAGCAATAGAATCCATCGTGACGAAAGCGAGGTCGGCAGGTTCGTACGTCTTTTTCCGAGCCTCGATAATCTTTTCGTCAAGACGCCGCAGCTTCTCCTCGTAGTAGTCGATAGCATCCGTCTTGCGAGACTGAAGACGAAGAAATCCGTGCCAGAGGCGGATCTTAGGCCGCTCCCGTTCTTCAAGCCCGTACCCAGCCTCTTCCAGTCCGGGATCTGGAGAAGCATCCCCGCCGCCAGTGTCCGTGGAACCCTCTTCGCCGCTTCCGTCGAGGCGGCCGGATATGCCAGAATTAGTGGACTCAAGTTTCCTGTGGTATTCGCTCCAGGTTCTTTCGAGCTCCCTCAGGCAGCGGTCGCGCTCCTCAAGTAAGGCATCAAGCTTGTGCCATTGGCGGCAGAGTATGACCTTTTCCACTTGACCGATCTCGAGCTTTTCGATAAGGTTCTTGATTTTTCCTTCGTCGCGTAGGTCGGTCGGAATTCCAGAAATACGGAAAGTTCGGTCGGTAACAGTAGACTGCGTTCCGAGGTATTCCTGACGAACACGTAGGACTCTGACGGTCTCCCTGTTAAGGATGTAGAGGACAAGTGTAGAGAAGAAATACGTAAAGACGAGGTAGGCGTAGAGGTAACTTATATCCTTGTTTTTCTTTCCCTTCTTGTCCATGGCGGCATGCAGTTCGTCCCAGGGATCGAGGTAAACAGAGGATTGTGTCGTAAAACTGGACGTCTCGCCATCACCATCGCCGGGATTGGGCTCTATACGGGGAAGGAAGTGATCGTTGATAGGCGCTAAAACGACAGCCGCAAAGAAGGCCATGATGGCAATAATGCGAATTGACATTTTGAAAAAGTTGAGGAACTTGAACCTATCGTCAGTACACAGATACCAAGTCATCCGAGTAACGAAGGTTGCCGACGTACAACAAAGGCGTCTAGACCAGCAGAGGCAAGCACCTGCTCCTCTGTAATCTTGTAAAGCGAAGGGATCCAGCTGAAGAAGCCATCCGGCAAGGTCGGCAGGTCAACATCGGAGTGCAGGCGACGCTTTCGCGCCGTATATAAGGCTTTCCATCGTGGGCGCCAAAACTACAAAATAGCATCAACGAAAAGGTTAGCCGCCAGTCACCCATAATACAGATGCAGTAGTGATTAGAAAAGCCATACGCAAAAGCATAGGAAGGAGGAGATTCCCAGGGCTAGCGACACGTAGACAATCAACAATATGTCCTTGGACCCGGGATAGAGGAATTCTTCGGTAGGGCATTCGCTCGGTATGAGACTCTGGGTCGAGGTCGGAGCAGGCTCCGATGAGGTAGGGTCACTCATGTCGGGCTGATAGTATTCGTCTGCGAAATCATTCTTTCCGGCGCGAGGACAAGGGCGGATGCAGAAAAAGAGATGCTAGATGGACTGGTGATACTCTCTACCAGCTTCTCGGAGCTACAAAGGGCACATGAAACTAGGAATAGGAATCGGAATCGGAATCGTCAAGCGTCGGCGTGGGAGGGGAGAATAAATGGAGTTTCCAGGGAAGCTCTTTGTGAACTCACAACGGTTCAAGGCTCAACTTAAACGGTCGCAGTTGCCTGTGGAAAGCGTGCAGCATGACCCTTGAAGACTGACCACATGACGTAAGGTGGGGACTAAGAAATGTAACAATTGAAGCTTCCGCAGCAACAAGTCGCACTCACCTCATATTTTAGGCGCGACTCACAGTCGCAGTTTCGACGAGAAAATACGTTGGTCACGTGGTGTACACTCCCCTTCTCCAAGTTGAGTGACAAAACCGAGACGGTGTTTTCAAGTTGACCAACAATGCAAGAAACTGTGAGCCATGTTTATCAAGGGGTATCTGATGTGTGTCTATCTAATGCCTCCACAACCTCACCGCCTTATCCTTGCCTCCGCTGCCAACAAGCTGTCCGTCCGGACTCCAATCCACTGCGTAGACTTCATCTTGATGTCCCGGCAGGTCAGAAGCCAGCTTAAACGACGCCATCGACCACACCTTGAGCGTCGTATCCTTGGACGCCGTCACGAGAAGCCTCGAATCGGCCGAGAATGCGCACTGGTACACCGGCGCCACATGGCCCCGCAAAGTGTTGATAAACCTCCCGTCCCTGATTATTCGTTAGCACACGATGGTGATTTGATTCAGTGAACACTACTAACCTTGCACTCCAAATCTTGGTATGGTTATCCCACGCCGCACTCGCAATCAACGTCCCATCAGGTGAAAACGTGACATGATTCACCTGCTTCTGGTGCCCGTGTAATCGCGCCACAGGCTTCGTCCCCTGCGACGGATCCCACAAATACATCGTGAAATCATCGCTCGCAGAAACAAGCCTCTCCGACACCTTGCCCTGGATCTTAGCCGCCTTCTCGAACCTCTCCAGCGCCTTCTTCCTCTTCCCTTCCTCACTGTCAGGAACGGGAGTGTGGTCGAAGTAACCCGTCCTCAGCGCAAAGTCCGTCGACAGCGCGAGATGGTTCACCCAGTGCGCGTGCGAAGAAAGGGAATGCGCGAGCGTTCCCTTGATCGCGTCCCATACCCTGACCGTCTTGTCGTGGCTCGCGCTGTAGATGAGGTCTGTACCGCCCCACTTTACGCAGCTGACGCTGCTCTTGTGGCCCGAGAGGACGTGCTCCGTAACACCCGTATTCACAACCCACACGCGAATAGTCGCATCCTTGCTCGCGCTCGCCAGCCTCGGCGTGCCGTCCCTCCAGAGGTGATACGGTTCCCACGCCAAGCTCGTGACCCATTTGCCGTGGCCCCTAAACGCCCCGGCGCCGATAGCTTTGCCCGTCTCCGGATCCCAGAGCCGCACCGTCTTGTCCATGCTCCCAGTCGCCAACCGCTTGCCATCCGGCGACCACGACACGCACAACACCCAGCCGTCGTGTCCCGCCAGGGTATGCTTTGGCGTCCCCGTATTGGTATCCCATATCCGCGCCGTCTTGTCGCCCGACCCGGTCGCCAACCGACTACTGCTCGCGGGGCTAAATTGGGCCGCTAGGATCGCCTCGCCGTGGCCCGGTATCTTGCTTGCCATGCGCGTTACCATCTGCACGCGGAAGACGGCCTGCGGCTCGGCGCCGAGGGTGATTGTCGTCTCGAAAGGGTTGGATATACCATGGCTTCTGAGGAGTTGGAGGAGATCTGTCGGGTATTGGTCGACAATGATGTCGGAGTCGGGAATGTGAACACGGAAGCGGTAGGGCAAGAACTCTTCTCGATCCTATACGCCGAGGGCATTAGTCTAGAGCCTACTAACTGCTACACCAAGAATTTCCGTACCCTTCCTAATAAAGTATTGAGCAGTAGCGAAATATTCTTTTCGCTCGCATCTGCGAGCGGCACTTCAATCACATCGGCCAATTGGTTGCCGTCCCCGTCAACGAAGCGGGCCTTGAAGGACCCTGCCTCTGTCGACACTGGCCGGGATACATCCTGTTGTGTCTTGGTACGTTCGAGGGTTTCCCTCTTTTGTTTCTTGGACGGAGGCGGCAGGATTGTCGACATTTTGAAGGTTTGTGGCTGGGCTCCAGGCTCTCTGTCGTTAATGGCGGGGTACGCTGCTAGAAAATTTCAGGTCCATTTTCAACTTTTTTGCCTTTGATAAGGTGGGGCCGGCAAGACAAGTCTTATCGATAAGGACTTGGAGCTTTTTCTCAGCTTAGTCATGTTGGTGCTGCTTGGATTCGTCCAATTGCTCTTGAGGCGAGATTCAAGACTAAAGCATCAAATATCAAGGCTCGGAAGGATAAACTTGCAATTCAGGTTCTATTGGGAATCCAGGTGGTCAAGTGTTTCTACCCAGATGAAATACTGTACAAGTCTTCGACGCATGCGATCTCTATCCTCCCCTTCAAGTTAACACCCAAATACATAGCACAGCCTTTTTCTCCTCGTGGATAGACAGTTGTTCTCGTCTCCATACCGAACATTGGGTCCGGGCTACGGTTCACGGCGTCCGGTTGATTCTTTAGGGTCGGGGCATAAGCGCTGATAATGGTGGCAAAGACATAATTCAGCGCTGGCCCCAAAATCAGCTGCATACCGTAGGAAGCCTTCACCTTGGCCTCCTCTTTGAAGAAAGAGAGTACGACTGCCGACAGTGCTGTCGCAGTGGACAAGGCTAAGACAGCCAAGGCGGGTATCAACGGGCGTTGGTTTGATTCGGCAGAGAGTGGGATGAGGCTAAGATATATGGACAGCACGGTGTTGAAGAAGCAGCCAAACTCTTCGAAGATCCTCTTGGGGCGCTCCTCGGAGGCTAGGAGGCAGAGACAGGGAAGTACGACGGCGGGGAGTAGACAGAGGTAGGTTAGCGGCCACATGTAGCTTCCCATCGCCCTCGCGCCCAACCACATCGATCTAAACAAAGGACGAGTCGTTAGTGTTGGGCTTCTCGGGTAGTGCCCAAGACCACCTAGAGCAGAGGGTTCAGGATGAACTCGACCTACAATTTCCCCATATGGAGCTGGGATGGGCCTGTCAAGACTCCCGAAATGACGATGGCTCGTTGGATGGCTTCCACTTGTGCTGCGTCCGGTTTCAGGCGTTTGGAGGCTCGGCTGAGTGGGGCGACTAAGTCTTCAAAAGATGATGCACACGCGGCTTCTATTCATGCCGATTCATACGAGTCCTCAGGGACGATTTTATACCCGGCTCAAGGGCTTACCTTCACACGACGTCAAAGGTGTTAGGAATATGGCGAGGAGGCTTTGGCTGAAGGAGCTCCCTGAAATAACTTGGAATATGAGGCCCTCTAGAATACATTCGCGGGTCAAGCTATTCCTCAATATTGAGGAATCTCATATTCGCCAATTTTGAGGAATAAATAGAATATAAGGGTATTCCAAGCCTCCAAGGCATCGGCTGCATCTCGTCTAGAGGAGATGGCGATTGGCGTTACACCAAACTTGTCCACATCTCAGCTCGATGAGCCGATCCGACGGTTCCCTCTGCTCCGTAAAATGCAGGGTTGAAACGAGGAATATTTAGGAATACTGAACACCCTCCTCAGGGACCAGGGACTCTTCTATTGGCCGACCGATGAACGCCACCGATCCGACATGCAGCAACAAGGAGGTCATTGGTCTCACTCTGTCTTTCCCTCTCCCTCCCGCTCTCTTGTCGTCCGCCCTGTCATTTCACGTGGCTCGAGCCTGGTCTGTATTCCTAAATAGATGCATGATGCGAAGTCCCGAGCCTGGCTAAGACGAACAGGAAAATAGCCAGGCAATCTCGTGCGTTCGTGGAATATAAACCCCGGGTGTTCCCTCATCTCAGCTGTAGCAGTTTTCCTCTTCTCATCTCTTCTTCTCCTTCTCTCCAATGAACCACCCTTTGGCTCCCACCCACGGCAGTTGCATCCGCCAAGCCACCTTCATGAACGCTGCCGCTGTATCTGCGGCCTCACCGCCAACCGTGGATGGAGGGACAACTTTCGATGCCATATGAACTCTGAAGATTAAGTTATTATTATCTGCATCATGGCAGCGACTTCATATAAGACTGCTCGCGGACCTCACCTGAGGCCAGTGTTTACCTTTGATAAAGTCGGCCCAGAGTATGTGCACCGTCCCATCCGTTTATACCTGGAGTTGAAGTCTACATTCAACACTAACAACTACCAGTAGTACATTCGAGAGATACTGGTGTTTCGGAGGGAACTACTTCCGCAATACTCCGAACCGAAGCCACTTTTATGTGTGCTTCAGCGTGTCGGAAACCCTCGACAGATCCTCCCTGAGAATTGTTCTTCGTTCAGCCAATCTCATCAAATGGCTAAAAGCACTCTTGCCTACTCCTGTCCTGGCCAGCCTCGAACGTAGTCCTTCGTCTCTTACTATTTACATCGAGGATTTACTCCCATTATACCCGACAATCAAGTCCAGCTTCTTGCGCAGAAAGTCTCATCGGGACATTGACTTCGACGACTATTTCGAATATAAACTGCTCGCTCATAGCTTCCTCCTGGACTATTCTATATTCCTAGGCTTCGACTGTGAAAGCCTCTATAAGCGGGGCATCCTCACTCATGACCATTGGAAAGACATCAAATTCTCGACTGTCTCAACGCCATTCCGTGCCTTGCTCGAACAATGGAGCGTGCTCCTGCCGCCCGAGCTCAGAACCTCTATAGGCAATGGGGAGGGTTTATTATGCTACCCCGAGCGACGAGATTTGCGGCGTGCCATTGGGAGACATGACTCGCAAGCTGTGGCTTCCATACTCGAGAACAACCGACGCTGGGTCGACCCGATAACGTTATGCTTCGCCATACGGTCCTATAACCCTTCTGTTTTTAGCCTCCTCATCAAACACTGTTGCGTATTTGATGCCGACTGGAAAGGTCATATCTCAGCCGAACCCTTATACCGTGCCGCTAAAGAAGGGAACCTGGACGCAGTGAAGGCCATGTTTGAAGCTGGTGCCGGCATCGAAGGGAACTCCTTCCGGGGTAGTTCCAGTCCGCTCACCGGCGCAGCTTCAGGCGGCCACGTTGGTGTGGTTCAATATTTAGTCGAGAATGGAGCCAGCATCAATAGCGAGAAAATGAAGTCGCCTTTGTCTCGAGCCATCAAACATGGCCACATTCACATTATCAAATACCTCGTCGAACATGGAGCGAGAATCGAATGGGATGGCGACGGGCTTTCCGGAGCCGTTAACAGCAGTGACCTGGACGTTGCCCTTTACTTCGTCAAACATGTGCACTATGTTGGGTGTTCTAACTCCGAGCTCCTCCTCTGCAAAGCAGCAGAGCTAGGGAGGAGTGACATTGTCAAATGGTTGGTTGAGTGCCAAAGGATCGATGTAAATTCGATGCCTGGCAGCAAAACCGCGTTGGTCCTCGCTATGGAGAACGGCCATTGCGATGTTGCCAACTATCTGGTAGCCCGGGGCGCTCGATGTCGAGTGCAGCTTGCTTGGAGCTATCGTGATGACAACCCCGATCTCGTTGCCTTCGGCCTCACTAATCCGGCCATCTCTACCAACATGACACTTCCTGCTCTCGCCAATGTCCCCAGTGGGCCCCCGAGTGCCTTTTACACGCATCTCGGGGACTACTGCTTTTTCTTCGACTTGGCAGATCTTGCGGTCGTCTCAGAGCCCATTGTTAAATCCTCTGGCAGGGACATGGCCACCGTCTTCGCCGTCGCTGACTTCATCAGCATGTCCCACTTTTTGGATTTTATGCTTCAGAGTCGCTATTTATCATCTCCAACAATCAGGGAAACGTCAGACATGATAGACGTGCCCAAGGCCTGCCCAATGGAGACAGCCATACGAAACCAGGAACGGAAGAGGATCTACATCAAAGTCCTCAAGAAGCTTGCAAGGTCTCTGCAAGGGCTGGAAGAATCAAGTTCCAGTTCAGATGCTTCTGTCGACTTGGAAGCATTTCTTCAACAACAAGGTGGAGCCTGGTCTGTTTTCAGGAGAGCAGTACGAGTGATTCGAAGCATTGTTGATGGCCAGTTGCCAAATACAGTTCTGGACATTGTCGACTGCGTGCTTGCCACGAACGCTATGCGCTCGGCAATTCCAGAGAGAAAGATGAAGTGTCCTAAAAAAGTGTAAGTATATATAAATCCTCGCCCTTCAGACTTCGAGTTCAACTATTAACGATTAGATAGTTTCATTAACGACTTGGACCGATGGGCTGCGCTATTGAGTGACGAAGACCAGCCTTTATTCTGGGAGATATCCCATTTCCTTTGGGGCAAGGGTCCCTCGACAGGACAGCAAGCCACTCCTCTTGTTGCATCCGATGTACTACCAATCTTTCAAGAGGTGGTCAGTAATCTCGTCAATGTAGCAGGAACATATTCCGACGACGATGAGGAAATGGTGCCCGGTGGCGGTACTCCGTTACACATTCTTCGAGAGCAACGCTCTCACTCTTCGCCCCAACCACATGTCCAGGAGTATGCAGAACCACCAGTCGAGCCTCCTCCCCCTGATCCGCCGGATCCACCCGATCTACCGGAGAGGAAACTGTGGCAGGAGCCATGCCACAAATACGCCTTACGAGGCGAGAGCGAGCATTTGGCTAAACTTGCGGCAATCACCGTGTTGATGGCAGGTGCGATATTTGGCGTTATTCTTCTATTTTTGTGCTGTGAGTGTTGGGCGCCCTTCATCCCCTTCTTCCCCCACGACTGACAGTTTACCAGTGATTCGTTTTGGCTTTACCATGCCGCGTCTTCATCCTTTGGCGTTCAGTGGACAGTGGGATTCGGAGGGAATTCTGAACAGAAACTTGGCAGTTCTCATGGCGTTTCTCGGACTCTCTTCTTGTTTTGACACCCTGAAGTCGGGTAAATCTAGCAGTCCAGTCCAGGGCAACCAAAGTCATGACAACCGCAGTATGGATATCACGGCATCCATACTGCCACTAGTAAACAGCCTCCCGATCATCACTGAACCAGGGTTTGTTTCCAAGCTTTCCAAGCTTTCTTAGGTTTCCGAGAGCTAACAATGTTGCCAGAAACGATTACGACATCGGAAGCTTTCCGTTTTTCTCTACACCCTCCACTAGCGAACAGCCCGAACTCTCTCCCCCAACTTCAACGTCTTCCTCAGCGTCACCTTCCAACGGAACCCTTCGCAACGATTCGCCGCTATCCTCTTCGTCTTCACAAGACAACTGGCCTAGGTGCATCCCCTGTAACAAGGTATTCAAGGGCCGATGCGCGGTGGGCAATCTTAACAAACACATCAAGAGGCATCATTCGGGTGAAGCGGAGAGGGTCAACTGCAAGAATGGGTGCGGCTACAGCGATACGGATAGATGGAACGTTGATAGGCATGAGAAGATTCATTGCAATGGAAGCAGTAAGGGTAGGAGAAGATATACACGGGTTCGGAGGGATACGCCGCCATAGGGCGTGGGGAGTCTACTGATGGGGACGGGCTGTGAGATAACAAGCTGGCGTTTGTATTCTAATATTCGTTACACTTCAACTATGAACTACAATTAAACTGCATTTCTTCTCCGCCTTGTTATAAGCTATCTGATGACTGGACCATAGCTCCTCATCTCACACTCAAGTCTACCTTCACCATCTGTTCACTAACTGCAATTTCTTTCAAGAGGGAATCCCAGTCAGTGTCCAGACCCCCCAGGATGTCATCAGAACTACCATCTGCCATACTCGACTGGGCATCAGGAAAACCGCTGAAAACCTCGCCGTGATCACGAAACTCAGGCTCAGTCTCTGCGTCTACATTCTCCCAATCCCGAATACCGCGTGGCTCCGAGCTAGCGATCAGACCCTCCGAGTTTAGTGTGGTCTCCCGGTCACTTCTGAAAGGTTCCGTCGGCTCTCGCGACACTTTCGACGTTTCTCTGGTAGGGAGCTGGCTACAATCGGAAGACTCCAAGAGACGCAGCCGCTTGGGTGGGAAACGGCCCAGCATGTTCTCCATGGCCCGCCGAAGCGTAGATTCTACGCGCTCATCTGACACGTCCGGCCTCAGCACGAGATCATCAGCTCGGAGCTGTTCTCGAAAGATAGCCACACCCTGGCGCTCGATGAATCCCCACAGCCGCGTAAAGTCCTCTGATTGGTCGTAGTCGACGTAGATAGACATCGGCCGTGGCTCGCCTGGGAACAGAATCTCCCAAATGGTGAACCATTGATCTTTAACTGTTCCCTTCGATCTTCGTGACAACCTGTTGCTTTGGTCGGAGGAGACTCCTTCCAGGCGAGCCGTAGGCTTAGGAGCGCAGGGTGGTGTAGCCATGACGTGTGAGTCTCGGCTTTCCATGCCGTCGAAGATGGTGAAGCAGCGTTGGCAGTAATAACTAGGGGTGTGGCACCGGCGAAGATGCTGCTTCACGTAGCTAATACTGGTAATTCTCTTCAAGTAACATTCCCAATGCTTCTCTGGGTCCATCTTCCAGAACGGACAGGCGAAATGGACGGGCCTCCCCGGACTCCGGGGCCCCTCGGGCCTTGCTCTTTTATGTGGAGAACCCTCCCCGTCCTCGTCGTCATCGCTGCCATCGCCTCTTCTTCGACATCTTCGCCTCCCGTCTGACTCGAGTCGTATTCCAGAGGATTGATTGCTTTTCAAAATGATCGCCGAGGGCGAGGAATCTCCACAAGTTGGTCTGGTCGATTCCCCTCGGAATCCAATGACGAGCCGCTCCAACACACGCTTGAAGAATTGAAAACCAGGGCTATCATCAGTTGTGTCAAACCCAGTTTCAGAGTCGCTAGATGCTGAGAGAAGGCCAGAGCTCAAGGACTCGCTCGGCGTCGGTGACTTCACATGACTTTCTCCCCTTCCGTCTCCCTGAAAGTTAATATTCGAGGCAGATAGTACGGCCTCGCTTTCAACAGGTTTAATGGGGCGTGGGCCTGCGCAGGCACAAACTATATGCCTGCCAGTTTGCAACTGGGTGATGCTTAACCCTCTGGCTTCTCCTTCTCCTTGTGAAAAGTGTTGGTCTCTCCAGCTATATTGGCAACGAGATGCATGCCAATAAAACAGATTTCCGTCCCAACTCGCTAGTTGTAACTCGGCCGGGGAGCCCCTAAGCCTGAATGGGTAGCTCATAGCCGTAGGAGGCTGAGCTGCTACTGAAGACAGAAGCGTCCTATATGACATCTCGATACCCGAACAGCATCTTGGTCGGCCCCTTGTAGGATACCCACGGACTATGACGGGAGCAATGGTAGGACCAAGTAACTTGTACCAACACTCTCCCTGCAGCTGATTATGAGGAACAAGCTCCTCACGAACATCTATTCTGAACTCGGGCTGAGTCCAAAGCAGGTCCCGATGCGTCACGACCATGGGAGAGGTGTAAATCATGGGGTCCGTCGGCTGGGGCCGAAGAGCCGACGCCAACCAACCGAGCAGCTCGCCGCAATCCAAAACGGAGTCGACCGGTCCAGTTGCGGTGATGACAAGGTCCTTGCCGTCTATCACTGCTTCAAGCGTGGTGACATCTCCAGCGGTTCCTTAGGAACAGTTAGTTATGTTCGCGGTTGGAAAGTTAGTTATCCTACTTAATTGTCCCGATCTTCTATCCATCGCGGTCTGAATGAAATCCACGAGGCGTTGGCCGGAAACTCCCCATTGTCGGCCAATATATTCAGACACAGGAACAGCTTCAGCTTCCCCGCAAGAAGCAACAACGGTAATGATATCAGAAATTCCGGTCGCAGGCGTCGACAGCGTCCTTAATTTGAGATTCTCATACCGAATACGGTCGGCTATCGGTCTCCACTCCAACTTGAATTTGGCAGAATGCCCCATAAAGAATTCATCCTTCATCAAAACGGAGAACATTTCTTCGCGTAAAAAGTCGGATGGACTTGATCCCCGGCAAAGCCGTCTCTTCACTACGTCAAGTAAGTGGTGATACTCGGGCGTGTCAAATAGATGCCGACTTAATAGGCTTATTTCGTGGACGTCAACGTCATATTCTTCAGGAACTTTGGGTTGCCGCAGCGTATTTAGCATTGCCTTAGCCATTTTACTTGCCCGTCGGACTTCTTTCTCGAAGGTCAAAAGGCCTTTGTCTTCGCGTGGCCTCGGTACGCCGTCATCTTTCCCACCTAAGAGGTTTCGAAGCTGGTCGACGATTTCCCTATTATCTACCGTAAGTATCCATCACCAATCTCGGGGAAAGAAAATGAACCTGGAGACAGAGTCACCTGTAGTATTCCCTCGCGAAATCTAGAATGTCACTGTCCATCCCGGATGGTTTATCACTGCGGATCCGAGTGGATAGGTGTTCGATAAATCGCTGCAGGTCCTCTTCCAGAATATCCACGCAGTCCAACCCGAGATGCGGCTGAACTCTCATGCCAATATCCTGGCAGAGCTCATCAATACATCTCTTGACGGGCAAAGGAACGACATGTACGGGTTGATTTTGATGGTAGGCAGAATCCTGCTTTCCCGCTGGTGTAGAATAGTGATCGTCATCATGACCCAGCTTCATCTTGGAAGTCGGCCAGATAGCTCCAAATATCACTAGCCTAGTAGAGCGCCCCTTATTGACATGTCGACTTCTTTGTCCCAGTTGTTTTTGCCCTCCACCACGCTTATCACGTCGACGTCTTATATATCTCTTAGGCGAAGTTGGCTTCGTGGTTTCGCTCGGATCCATTGGTTCTATCAGCTCGGCGTCCGTGGTGGGAGGTCAGTTGCAGTAGACGGACTTCAATTGCTCCGCTCAAGGTCGTGGCCACATAGGCCTACTTCATCTTAGAACGCTGGATAATTTATTGTCAACCTCTTCGGGTTCGTAACATGAGGGGAAAAGTGAGGCGGGCACGCAGAGCAAAGGAAGAGGAATAGGGAAGGCCACCAGGCTCCGATGCCACATTTGTGTTCATTGCGCCTTATTGGCTCGAGCGAAGAGAGCTTGGCGACTCGGAAATAAGTGCTGTGCTTAACGCACATCGGTGGCCTTGGATTCTGGCATGAGGAAGGAGCTCTCCCACAGGATTGATTGGACAAGCGCAGGTGGAAACGGTTCCATTTAGTCGAATGAAGTAGGGACCTTGACCTCCAATGTGTAATACGTCCCTACCTCTTACACCGACCTCTCTTGCACCATTAAATCCATTCCCATCGCAATGGGGGCTATTGACAGCCTCAAGAGCCCACTCTTCCCACGCTTGTGGTCATAGATCTTCGTGTGTGAACTATAAGGCGAAGTCAGTGACGGGATTAGATAGAAAAAAAACATCCTCCCACCATAGAATGCATTAGATGCAGAGCCCTGGTATATCATCATGCTTTCGAGTTTCGGGGGATCCAGTGGCTCCAAAGCTTTTGTAGTGTCTTCATTTGATCGACATTTGTTTTCTCAACTAGACAGGTAATTAACTCTCCTTCGCCGAAATACGCTGGCATCGCGATGTCCTCGGAGCAGAACACATCGAGTACGACAACTGGAAACCGAAAGTAAGAAATTGCCGATACGTACCTAATCCTTTGATAGGATGTCGAATTGTAATTCTAATTGAAGTCATGTACCGCCTCAAACTAACTAAGGAAACAGACAACGAAAAGATGGCTCCGGAGCCATGCTGGAAATATTCCTCGCCAACCCCCCGACTCTCCCTGAGCGGCTCATGATGCTCGCTTCTTCCGCCTCCAATCAAAACACTGTCGCCATGCGTGAGGTGAAGAAAGGAAGGCCTAAGCCCTTCCTGGATACTTGGCAACTAGCATGGGGAGAGATGCGGAAGGCGCTGAAGAAGTAGTTCTCTCCTAGCTGGCTCTCACGTAATTGGATGCCAGGGTGCGGCGCTCATTCATATTTGGCGTGAAATGTCGAAGCTGATGATCTGCCTAGGTGTCTCCGGCGGCTAGCAAGCTCCGAATTTGAATCTTGAATCTTGTTCTTCCCGAAACGGAAACCACCGGCAGGTCACCTTCTGCTGGGCCGGACCGGCCCCACTTACTCCCGGCAGGAGTCGGTCATTCTCGGTTTAGCTCCGGAGGACAGTCCCACCAACAAATTTTAAATTGCATTTCTTGCTTGTCTTTTTTCCTTCAGTATGGAAGGGGGAGTAATTTAGTTTACAATTAGGTATCGATTGATGTTCGGCATTGTGAATTTCTCTCTTAGCTTGAATAAATATCCCAGTCATTCTCAACCTCAATATCCCCATCTTCTATATCGGTTGGAACCTGCTGCTCGGAGCCCTGCTCGCAGGTCTCAATGTGAGACATTTCAACGTCTCCTCCGTCGATCGCTGACATTTTCGTAATAAATTCTGCGCGAAGGCGGATTAGGAAGCTTTTGAAGGCCTTCTCGTCCACGTCCGACTCCACTACGTGACGCAGGGTCTCCTGGAGATTTAAGACAAGCTTTCTTCGTCGCAGGGTCTTGCTGTATTCGGAATTTTGCTGCTTCGCCTGCCGTTTCTCTGACAGAGCTTTCGAAATCCTCTCGGCGTCGTTGACTAGGTCTTCGGGGAGGCCAATGGCTCTCGCAAGTGCGATTCCGTAGCGCCTCTCCTTGACCGTTCCCGTTGCCACCTTGTACAACATTGACATATGGGGCATTTTGCCCCCCGCAAGGGATGCCTGTGTAGCAAGGTGGAGATTCATGACTCCAGGTCTGTCGGCGAGTCCCTCCGCTAGACGGTAACCAGTCAGCGCCCGGCCCATCCAATGGAAGGAAGGCAGGCGTGAACGTACCGAGATCGACAAAATGCGTAGCAAACCAAACCATACAATTGCTTTCCAACAGAGCCTCTGATATGGCAAGCGCGATGGCTAGCCCATCTCTGGTACTTGTTCCGCGCCCGAGTTCATCGATGATTGCCATACTTTGGCTGTCCACATTTCTGAGTTTGAAGTTAACACATCGCTTGATTTCACCCTCTAGAGTTGGCATCACTCACCTCAAAATGAAAGCCATTTCTCGCATTTCTAACGAAAAGCTTGACAGGTTCGATTCGATGCTGTCATCCGTTGTCACTCTTGCAAAGATTTTATCGACAATTCCAAAAGCAGCGTAATCCGCCGGCACAAAGCTGCCGATCTGGGCCATGATTTGGAGCAGCGCAACCGACCGTATGTAAGTACTTTTGCCACTCATGTTAGGACCCGTCACGATCTGAAAGCGGTATTGCTCCGTGGCGTAATAATCGTTCGGCACGAATACCTCGGAAACATTCTGCAGAGTATGTGTTAGAGAATCGGACTAGCTATTGTGTGTCAACGGGAATCTTACCGCATCCAGAAGAGGGTGCCTCGCTGACTTCAATGCTAAGGTCCCGGAAATGTCTGGCCGCGAGTACCCTTTCAGCGCGGCTAGCTGGGTGAAAGAAGCGATCACATCCAGGAGGGCCACTGATTCGCACACTCTAAAAAGATGTGGCACCTGAACTCGGAGGCTATCAATTAGCTCTTGTATCACCTTGTCACTCTGGAGGATAGCCTCCGTTGCAGAATCGGAGATACGTTGGTTCAACTTCTTGAGGTCCATTGTTTGACATTCGATAGCGCCCTTCCTCCGAATCTGATTCACAAAGATTTCAGGAACTGGTCTGCTGACAAAATCTATTGGCTTCAACCTGAGGTAAAACAGTCGGCTGCTGTCGAATTTGAGAGTGATATCAAGTTGAAGGGAATCTGGGAAAGAGGCACGGTTAGAAGAAGACAGATTGGAGGAAAGCTGAACCACCCACTTTGTAAACTCTCCACAAGAGTCAATACATCTTGGGATCCTTCCTGGTATGTCTGTCTAGCAACGTCAAGCATCCCGTTTGTGCCAGGCTAAACCACCATTAGCAACTCTGAGCAATGTTCACGGACATGGGGAAATAAATACCTTGACCGCAAAGGTTCTCTGGTTGCGCAGATCGAGTGGGTTCTTCACGTATGTTACATCGGCCTGGATCGTGTCCATTATGAGGGTAAATGGGGGGTTTATGATTTCCGGACAGCAAAGATTTCGAATTTTTGAAAGGAGAGCGCTCTTGGCCGGGGCTAAGACCTTATAGAGCCCGGAAACAAGTTCGAGGAACTTCTTAATCATAAGCACGTTGTTGATTGCCTGTTCAGATTCATGAATTGATGGTTTCGTCGGGACAATGATGAGCTACGGGAAGGTCAGCCTGCCCAGCCCACGACGAGGATCTGTAAGTTTGTCTTGCCTTGGTCAATATTCTCTCAATGTCCGAGAACCCACGAAGCCCTAGACCAGCATCAGCCTCGCTCCAAACTTCTTGTCAAACGCTAAAATATCCTCACCTTTCCTGATCAAATTGAACATTTCTTCGTCTGCCATCAACTCTTCCACGGCGTCGTACCTTGGAGTCAAGAAGGGCTCTGTCAGAGTTGACGGCTGGACAATGTTGTTGCGCAACATCCTAGCTCCCATCGGTGTCAACGTAGTATTAAGCAAGCCGTACAGAGAACTTTTAGACTGGAAATCTTTTAGGTTGCGGATTAATTCGAGCGAATGAATGGTTGAGATGTCGATCATCATCGTATCCTCCGAAGGTTGGTATCGAATCCGCAAAGAATGTGGGTGAACCCTCATGCTGAATTCTCCTTCCAGGTACGCCATGACCTCCTTCCGGTCAGAATCTACTCACCAACACCGTGGAGTTAAGAGCAGACTTACAGCTGCAAAAGAACAAGTCGCGTAAAAATTTCCCTCGATGGCAACCTTGACAGCTTCTGCATCTTCTTTAAAAGCGAGATTTTGGATATATTCTAGGCCAGCCGCCTCGGACCAGTATCGTCGATCAACAGGGACTAACTGGGGACCCACGACGTGCTCCTCGACCAGAGAATACAAGGTAGACTTTGGATACGGTGGGCACGCAGTGGCTAGGATGAGGATCCGGGACGGCTCGTACACCTGCAATTTGTGAACCGTCCGGACATAAAACTGATTGTCGCAGATGTGGCTTAAAATCACCTCGCCCATGGACATATTGATGAAGCAGATGCCGACAGAAGGAGAGATCCCCCGGCCTTCGCTCAAGGCGCATATGATGTCCTCGGATTCTCTGACTCCAAGAGACGAAGCCATCCGTGATCTCCGTCCCGAGGAAGTGCTTGGCCTTGCAACCGAAGAAGTGCGGGTTCGGGGCCGACTCGATGAGCGAGCCGTGCCGCCCATGCTCCGGATATTTGTCGAATCTGTAGAGCGAGCACTGGACATAGAAGGATACGATCCAGAGATAGAGAAGCCCGCAGATTGAGCCGTTTTCCCGCTGCTGGACGCAGAAGATCGCGGCACATCGGAGGACAACGACGCCCAACTTCTCGATGATGAGGAGAACCTACGATCCATCTTAACTGGAATGCTATTTCGAAATTTTAATTAAAGACAGGCAACCTGCTCACATTGGAGTCGGATTTCCAGTTGTCGTAAGTGAGATGGCACCGCTCTGCATTTCATCGGAGAGCTGTGTTCCTTCCATACGAGCAAGTCTAGGCATGTGAACCGAACTCTAGAGTAGACAGAAGTGTAAAGGGCACCCCGAGTTTCAAGCCGCTTTTTAGATAGGAAAGTACCGCCCTTTCCAGGAGAAAGGCAGGATGTCGCACTTTCCCGTCCGTCGTTACCAAGAAGTACCAGTTGGCATGTGAGAGGTAGATGGGCTCTCGAATGAAAGAGCGATCCAATGGTGCCAATTTAGAAATCTCACCACACCAGCATCAAGACATCTCGTAGCTAAGCGAAGTAGATGACGGAGTTCAATGCAAGATGCTCAGGCAGCCATCGTCCTCTATGTCCGGGTGGGGATACCAGGATCGATTGATCGCATTCGGATAAGCAGAAACTTCATTGACAACGGTGAAAACAGACCCTCGTAATTAGAAATCTGGGATATTAGAATTCCCGGGAATCCTCCTCTAATCAGGACACTTGGATGAATACCCGTTCGGGGAGATTATTCGGACTACCTTTGCCAACTCCGATCTCACTGGAGAGCGACTTACCTATTTAACCAGGCCAACACCACATGAACATCATCTGCTTCCCGCGCATAATAATAGTCGGAAAGATCCCGACCCGTGTGTAATAATAAATGTCAGATAGAACTACTGCTGCGTCCAGATTCAACTCCTCGGAGCCGCTGTCTCCACAGAGAAGATATTAAAGCCAGGTCACCAATATATTGATCCAATTAGACGACAACTTACACGGTTAAAGCAGCATCAAAGCTAGGCTTAATACTCTGTTAAGCTTATTGATATATTTCAAGGCTCCCCACTCAACATGATCCGTAAGACGTTTCTTAGTACTCATCTCATGTGGCCGAATTTGTGAGGACGAGATACTATGCACGCCAAGGCTATCACCCCCCTCTTTCTGCTCGCAGCAGGAGCTGTTCTCGCGGCCCCTGCTGCGAGACAGGAAACTTCCGATGAATACGACTACATAGTCGTCGGAAGCGGCCCGGGAGGAGGCCCCCTCGCCGTAAATCTCGCCAAGGCCGGCCATTCCGTACTTCTCCTCGAAGCGGGAGACACCAGCGCCGGAGGATCAAGCCAATATCCACCCGAAATCACCTGGGATTTCTTCGTCAAACATTTCGAAGATGATGAGAAGAATAAAGCCAACGACTACGGTGTCTGGAAGACAGTCGAGGGAAGGTATTGGGTTGGAAAGGACAACCCTCCGGAAGGAGCCGAATTCTTGGGCATCTACTACCCTAGAGGTGCCACTGTTGGAGGATCATCCATGATCAACGCCATGGCGACGTGGCTTCCGACGGACAGCGATTGGAACTATGTCGTTGAGGTCACTGGCGACGAATCCTGGAAGTAAGTCGAGCATGAGCCCCCCCAGAAGAGCAGAGTCTGCATTCGATCAATCAATTAACCTGCTGCTCAGAGCTGAAAATATGCGGGAAATCTTTACGCGTATCGAGAAGAACAATTATCTTCCAGAGGGAACCCCAGGCCACGGTTTTGATGGATGGTTCCAGACCATGATGACCAGTGGATTCGGTCCTCCAGGCAGCGGAGGCGATGGTCCAGCTAACCCCGTCACGGAGTCTATGGCCTCGGAGCTGGGTCTCGATCCGGCTGACGTTCCCGAGCTCGTATCCTCCGACCCCAATGCTCTAGATCCCGATCGCGATACCACTCAAGGTATTTACGGCCTGCCGAGGCACCAGCGAGCTAACGGCCAGCGCTACAGCTCTCGCCACTATATCCTCGAATCTATCGAAGAGGGTATCCCCTTGACGTTGTCCGTCAATTCTCTTGCCACCAAGGTTCTTTTCGAGACCAGCGAATCGGAGGAAGCGAAGCCTAAGGCTATTGGAGTCGAGTATCTCGAGGGCAAGGCCATCTACGGAGCAGACCCGCGGCGAGGCCCCGATTCCGAAGGCACCAAGAAGACGGCCACTGCCCGTCGAGAGGTTATCATCTCAGGGGGAACCTTCAACACCCCTCAAATCCTCATGCTCAGCGGTATTGGAGACCCAGAACAACTGGAGCAATTCGACATCCCGGTCCTCGTCGAGGCGACCGGCGTTGGCACTTCCCTCATGGACAACCAAGAGATGCCTGTTGTTGGTCAGGCTTCGGGCACCGTTGGATTTGGGGACCCCGGTTTCATAATGATCCAGACCGACCATGCCACGTACGATGAGCGCGATATGTTCCTCATGCACAATTCCGGTGGCGTTTTCCGTGGCTTCTGGCCATCGAACCAGACGAATGAGCTGCCCTCAGAAGTCCCTCGTGTTTACAGTACCTCTATGGTCAAGCAGCATCCCCTCAATCGAGCCGGCTACGTCCGCCTGCAGTCCGCCGACCCCTTGGACACTCCGGATATCAATTTTAATCTGTATGTCGAGGGCAGTGAGACTGACCTTGGTGGTATGAGGGACAGCATCGCATGGGTTCGCAGAGTGTATGCGAACGTTGCGGCGCCAGCGGGCCCAATCGAGCCTTTGGAACCCCCTTGCCCCTCCGGCATCACAGAAGATGGGCACTGCACGGATGAGTCGGAGGATGATGAGTGGATCATCGCGCATACGTTCGGCCATCACCCTACTTCTACGGTTCGTATTGGCGCGGATGACGACCCGACAGCGGTGCTAGACTCGAAATTCCGAGTCCGGGGTGTAGAGGGCCTCAGAGTTGTTGATGCCTCGGTGTTCCCGCGCATTCCAGGTGTGTTCCCTGTTGTGGCTACCTTTATCATCAGCCAGAAGGCGACAGATACTATTCTCGAGGAGCTTGCTGCGGAGATGGAGTAGTCAGGATTAAGGAAAGACATGTGATGTAAAGTCTGTTGTCTTAAGGGAGGCTAACATCCCTGGCCAATCTTCTTCCACTGTCATGTATGAAGCCTCGATGCACCAAATATAGGAAGGGATCTTGATCCACTTAATCGAACTTAGAGCTTAGCCGTGAAATTCTTCTTGGATAATTTTTTCTCTTTTCCTTTTCGGAATTTATTCCAAAACTTACACCGACTAGCACCGCTACGAGTATGCCTTGATGGAAGTGGATATGGAATCCGTCCAAGCTGCTGAAGAGGAATCGGCAAACAAATCAAGAAACAAGAGTGTCACCAAAACCAAGGCCCCATTCCCGATATTCGGGAAGTCCAGAGACCGCAACATAATCTGAATGAAACTAATTCAAGGTCACTCGCAGCACCCAATTCGTGCAGACACTATGCATTTGTCAAGCGCCGAAGCCCAAGTCAGCCTTAACATGCCCAGAACATCCCAACCCAACAATGCAGCAAATCCAAAGACTGGAAAGAGTCTGACAGGAAAAGACGAGAATGGGTGTGGCGGGTCACCGTTCCTCCCAGCGTCTTACCACCATAATCCAAAGGTGTCAGATTTTCGTCCCTTTCTCACCTCTATTAAGATGACCCTGCATGAGCTCAGATGTCGCTTAGGTTCTGACGTTTTGCTTTTTGATGCGGGGTTCCTCGACGCGTCAGACGCATCTCGTTCTTCAGCCTCTTGGCGACGCAGCTTTCCAGTGACCAGAAAGAGTTGGAATGGATCTGCGAGGAGATGATTTGCTTGGCAGGTGCTGGATGACGGATCGAATGGGAGGTTGGAGATGAGAGGGGTAAATGGGATTACGGAGGGGCCAGCGACGCCACGGCTGATATATTGGTGCATCTTCAGCTAATGAGAGGTGCGGTATGTAAGGCAGGGAGACGACGAACACGGGGATTGAACTGCGGGGGTGTGGTGACGGCAACTGGGCTGGTTGGAGAATAATGGATGAGGGATGAATGACATCTCCAGCTGGTTGTAGATAGCTTGGGGAAGAGCTCACCCAGGGCATCCGGAATATATAAGGCGGTAGACCTCTCCATGGAATCACCTTCGTCCTCGGAATCTCTACAGTCAGCTCCTATAATCAAGTGATCACATTTATTCGTAGAAACCATGAGTTCTCAAGGAAATATCCGAGTTGTTGGTACCCAGCCAACGCCTGGAACCGATGGCAAGTTCTCATCGAAGTGTCTTTTGAATAGCTCTCTAACACATCTTAATAGGGTCTCTTCCATTGAGGCGTGAGATCAGAGATCTCGAGGCCAACTTTCCCGAACAGTTCAGTCTGTTCATTCTGGCTTTCAAAGCTCTCCAGGCCAAGGACAAGACTGACCCTACCTCTTACTATCAAATTGCCGGTATGCATCCAGACCAGTCGAGATATAGGATTGGAATATTGACGGTCTTGTCTTTGTAGGGATCCATGGCATGCCGTACAAGGTCTGGAATAATGCCAGAGGACTTTCAAACTTCGACTTCGGAGGCTACTGCACGCACTCTTCAATCCTCTTCCTCACTTGGCATAGACCCTACCTGGCCCTCTTCGAGGTATATCTAAATCTCCTATATGGTCGACTGTAAGAAGCATTTTTAACCATCCATTTAGCAAGCACTCTATGCCGCTGCTCAAGGCATAGCAGCACGATATCCAGAGAACGTCCGCAGCCGCTACGTCGAGGCCGCAAAGCAACTTCGCCTCCCGTTCTTTGACTGGGCCGCCCGAGTCAGAGAGCCAGCTCCCTCTTTCCCCGATTCCATTGCAAAGTCGCGCATTGCCATTGTGGATATCGATGGACGCCGAAAGACCATCGAAAATCCTCTCTACTCGTTCAACATTGGCCAGGTCCAGCCTGACCGAGGTGACCTTACTGGCCGTGTAAGTTCCTTTCTATTTTTTGGCCATGGCCATTGGCGAAATCTATTCTAACTTAAACGAATTCTCAGTGGGCAACTCGCCTCCAAACACTCCGTCATCCAGACTCAAGGAACAATTCCCACAACGAAGTCATCGAACAAGAACTAGACAACGAATCCGCCTCCCTTCGGCAGGAACTTTCCCTTCTCCTCCTCTCCTTCACCGACTACGACGATTTCTCCAACAGCACCTGGCGCCAAGGAAGCCGCGTCCGCGCCACCACCAGCCTCGAGAGCGTCCACGACGACATCCACGGACGCACAGGCGGTAGTGGCGGCCACATGGGTGCCCTCGACGTCTCTGCCATGGATCCCGTGTTCTGGCTGCATCACAGCAACGTCGACAGGATCTGGGCCATGTGGCAGGACCTTAACCAGGATGAATTCATGAGCCCTCGGCCTGCTCCGTTCTCGAATTTCACCGTGAGGCGGGGCTCTACGGAGGACGCCCAGTCGCCGCTTACTCCGTTCTGGGATGAGACCGGTACCAAATTCTGGACTTCGGATAGGGTCAAGAGCACGACGACGTTTGGCTACGCCTATCCCGAGACGCAGCGCTGGCAGTACGCTAGCGTGGAGGCCTACCAACGGGCGCTGCGCCAGACTATCGCGCGTCTGTACGGAAGTAACCCGTTCCTTAACTTTGCGCAGACGATCGCTCCGAAGGATGCCGCTGCGGAGAGACCTACTTTTGAGTCTCTTGCCGCTCTCCCGACCACCATGCTGCCGGTGAGGTCCTTGGCGGCCGGTGTCAAGTTGGCCGCGGCACGGGAACCACCGCAGGAGCAGAAGGTGGTGGAAGATGACACGAAGGAGAACCCAGCTGCTAACCCGGAGCCAAGCGGCGAGAGCTTGAAGCCTCCCGAGAATCCGATCCAAGAGGGTGATCTTTCAGGTAAGAAAATGAACTCACTCCCCCGTATAATCCTGTCCAACAATGAGTCTAACGAACATCATTAGCGCCGATCCCCGATAGCATGAAGCGTCTTTGTCCCGAAGGCCGTTACACCGACTGGGTCGTCAACGTCCGCACACTCAAACACGGCCTCGGCCAAACCTTCCGCGTCATCGTCTTCCTCGGTGACTTCAGCCCCAGCCCAGCTGACTGGGCAGGTAACGCCGAGTACAACACGGTTGGCCGTGTCACGATGCTTGGTCGGAACTCGGACACCCAGTGCGGCAAGTGTCAGGAGGACCAAGAGAACGATCTCATGATTGCTGGGGCTGTACCTCTTACCTCTGCGCTGCTACAGGATATCGCCGCGGGCAAGCTGCAGAGCCTTGAGCCAAAGGATGTGGTTCCGCATTTGAAGAAGGATCTCCACTGGAGAGTCAAGCTGTTTGATGGGACTGAGTATGCAGTTGATCAGGTACCTAGACTCAAGGTGAGTGTTTGTTCGATGCCGGTGACCCTAGGTGAAGATGGTGTTCCGGTTTATTCGGGCGTTTACACCATTCATAAGGAGGCCACGGCAGGCAAGGCTGCTGGTCTCGGTGAAGATGAGGAATGGTAAGCTATTTCTGCGTGGATTGAGCACATCATCACTTTGGACCACGAAGATGCGGGCTTGGGTATCGAAGATTGTCTATTGTATTGAAAAAAAGGAAAAAGAACAGTGTGCCATAAATGGACCTCATCGAGATATATATTTTCCGAACCCCATAAACGCCGTGAGATGTTTCATAACGCGTAACGAAAGGCGTAACCCTCAAACACTGACAGAAAAGAGAAGACGAAGCTAGAAAGCCACACGTCTCTTCCGTCCGGTGTACTTGGAGTTGTGCTTGACAATTTTCCCCTTGCGCTCCATTTGTTCCTTCTTCTTCACAATCCAAGCTCTGCTGCCCTTTTTGATCTCGCCCTTACCGCTCTTGGCTTTCCTCCTGACGTCCATGACGTCGACGCCATCCATACCCTGAACAACGTTGGTGATATCTCCACCAACACCTTCGTCGGAGGTGCCACCCACCGTCAAAACCAGATACAGCTTGACGTTCTTCGTTCCGGGGTCGTCCTCGAGAAGACCGGCGCCAAAGCCAGCCCTTATCGCCGCCTGGGTAATCATATCCCTTTGTGTGTCATTCTTGGGGTAGAATTGGCAAACCGCCCTACCACCTCTCCGTATGGACGCGTACAATCCGTTGAAGAATCGAGTCAGGCGGCCCGCAGGCGAGGTGTCGCTACTTTCGGCGTTGCAAAGCCACTGAATGGCGGAGATGCTAATCGCTGCGTCGAAGGTACCCGGTCTGAACGGGATCCCTTGGCCGATATCCGCCAACATCAAGTCTCCCTCGACGTCCCTCTGAAGGGCGGTATCAAGCATCGCCGGCGAAATGTCCATGCCGACCCATGTGTGAGGACCGCCCTCGTCGGGCTCGACCGACGATAATATCTCTCCCGACAATCCACTTCCACAACCGACGTCGAGAATGAATGACGGCTTCTTCAGGTCGAGGAGTTCGAGCGCCCGACGGGTCATTGAGGCCTGAATATTTTGTATCCGAGAGGATGTGGTGTACTTTCGCGCCTCCGTGTCATCGTAGTGAATGTCGGCAGCGCTGAGGGGGAGTGTTAGTCGACTGTGAGAAGAAACTATGGCCAAGCAGGACAATTGACTTACAGGGTGTCCTCTGGCCGAGACATCTTGACTGTGGGATTCCCCTATGTAATTCGTAACGATTTTTTCTATTTTATTTACGCCGTCGCTTTTCGACTCGACGGCCCAAGAGGATTCGGTGAGCAAGGAAATTTCCGTGGGCAGTCACTGGAATTCCTCGATTTTTTGGTGGGGCAGAAATTGGCTGCAGCAATCGACAAGGTCTCTCGCTCGCTTATCTTATCGGGGGTATCTGCGGCTAAAGAATTCGTTTGCAGCGAAATTTAACCGTCAGGAGCTCCAGCTTCGCACCACACAAGAAGCTTCTTTCCCCCTGTCCTTCAATTTGCAAAACTTCAAAGGTGTCCAAAACCAACCTCGTGTGGTTTCCACCTTTCCACACGCAGCGCGTCCATCAACGCTTGAGATTTTCCACCTCATGTTGTGGCAAGCTCTAGTACGCCCATCATGATGTTTATTATGCTTTTAGTCGGATACCTGGGCTCGTTCCTGGGCTTCTGCTTTCTGACTTTAGCGATTGGTGAGTGAACTAAAATCCTTCGCGTGTGTTAGGTTTGCTCCAGAAGCCCATCAACTAACACCGGTCCGTTTAGCATCTGGCCTCTACTACCTGTCTGAAATCGTCGAAGAACACACCGTTCTAGCAAAACGCTTTCTCCTGCGAGTAATTTATTTCGTCATTGGACTACTATTCTTGGCTTGGGCCGTGGACAGGTTGCCGTTTGGCCTGACGCTTCTGAGCATTTTCTCCCATGTCATCTACCTCGGAAACATGAGGAGATTCCCTTTTGTCCAACTGACGGACCCTCTATTTATTGCCTCTTGTTGTATGTCCTCGATATTCACCAACCGTCTTATAGAAGCAGACCATGCTAACTACCATCCCTAGGTCTTGTGATGCTTAACCATTATGTCTGGTTCCGACACTTTTCTGCCCTCCAGAAGGAATCGTACCGTAACATGACATCCTACTATGACCGTCCCGATGTTCCCAGCTTCACACAGATTGCGTCCTTTTTCGGAATCTGCGTCTGGCTCGTCCCGTTCTCCCTTTTCGTGAGCTTGTCTGCAAACGACAATGTCCTGCCTACCATGGGCTCCTCGGAACCTCGTATTGGTGGAGATGTCAAGGGCCGGAGGCAGGGACTCGTCAAGGCCGTTGTTGATGGCGTTTTGGGTGCAATTGGCCAGATCACTGGTCAAGGTGAGGGAAGGCGAGATGTATAACGATTTTCTCTTTGGGCTGCTAGCGGGCGTTTTTTTCACGGTTCAGCTTTTTTTTTTTCGGTTCGAATTCAATCGATCTCATCCAGAACCCACATTGACAGCGTTCCTGGGATTCGCGTCTCAATGCCATGATGCCTTGGGGCTCGTGCGCACCGATTCTTCCGCTGTACTCACACGGCGGGAAATGCTAACTCGTCATCAAACGTGACGTGTGCTGTTTCATCTGAAAGCGAAGTTGAAATTACACGGTGAGTTTTTGTCTTTGATTTCTGCACTGTTGTTTCAATTCCACGCTTGCATGATGAGTCTCCTTTTTACGCTAGATGTTATCTGACAGAGCACTGCTCTGCATGATCTTATCTCTTTTTTATGTCATAGTTACTCTGATACCTGTTTGGCATTTTGCCTTTGCTGTCATCCCACTGATCTTGTTTCTCTCACTTTTGCTTGGGCGAGGCGCTAATGATTCGATACAAGACAGGCGGAATGCACTGGAAAGAGGTGTTTTCTCTCCACCCAGCTTCCCACTGGTGGGGTACGATAGGGCCTAGGAGCGGCTTGCGGGTTGGCGTGAAAGCTGCCTTACAGAAGTATACCTCGCTCCAGTGCCCTATAGAGCTCAACAGATTTTTCTGGGGACAACCGCCTAAGCTTGGCTCTATTCGCGGTCCATGGTGTCCAGCATGATGGAACCAACGGCGTTGTTTACAAGGGTCCTGCCCCCACCTCGGAATAGTGCTGGTGGGTAACGACGGCACCACTAGCGCCGGCTGGTATTGAGACGGGGCTGTCTAGGGTCCTGGGTCAACTCCAGAGGAGTCGTCTTGCAAATCCATGGGAATGTTTCGATGTGGTATCACTCCTAGTCAGCGAGTCTGCCTGTCCCAGCTCATGGGCTGAATAGTCATGCGTGGTTGTGAGGTTGTCTGCAGCTTCTGTCTAAAGCTCACGCGGTAGAGCTCGAGAGGCATCGGTAGCCTGATACCGGGGTCACTTTGTTGCTGTATTTTTTTTTTCGACTTGATGCCCAGGGGTATCCATCGCGGTTCGGATTCCGAGCTGGTCAAGTCAAGTCCTCCAACACGAAGCAATGAAGCAATCCAGACTTGGACTGGAATGCGAATGTATAATTTTACATAATCAACCATCCCATTTGAACTTTCTTGCATGTGATTCTTCCAATTTTGGTGTGGCGGGACACTGTGGCGCAGCACTCAAATAGCCTCAGGTGTCCACATTTCCGGTCTGGTTCCCTCAGAGTCAATCTTTGCCAAGACTTTCGGGGAAAAGCGTATGCATCCCCAAGACGGAGAACGCGAAGAGATACGCCAAACCAACATGCATCATACGTAACGCCCACACGTCACTTTCTTGAGGCAGCCGAGAACCTTAAATCCCCCAGATCCCCTTCACCGCGCAAACATGGCTTCGAAGGCCATGCAACGACTCAGGAAGAAAAACTTACCATAGAGCAACGCCCCGCTTGACAGGCTGTGCAATTTTAGCAAAATGTTTCTAGGAGGAGGAAGATATTGGAACGCAAGGCAGCACAATTGCGCAGTGGTTCGCCCCAGCAAATTGGGGCAACCTGCTCCCTCCACTTCACCGGGGGCATGCCAAGCTGGTACCTGTACTATGGCGGATCCGGCAAACAGTGGCGAGGCGAGCGAACTGGTGCAAGGGCGAGTTGCGTCACGCTGATCAATGGATGCTTGAGGTGTATAAATACAAAGACGGACACACCAGGCTTTGTTCCCATTTAGTTTCTTACGTTACTTAGCAAAACAGGGAATATATAAAAGTTCCATCACCTTTCCTCTCTCTTCATATCTCCCTTTCTCTCTCTCTCGTAACCTATAGGTTATGGGATTTCTGTTTGTCAGACCCCAAGAGACAAACATCATGAGACAAACACTCGATTCCGCACTCAACACAACAGGGCTCGCCGACGAGCAGCGCGGGCTCCTCGACCTCGTCGACAAGCTCCAGTTCGCACAGCTCGACAATGTCAAGCTCCCCCAGATCGTCGTCGTTGGCGACCAGTCGGCCGGCAAGAGCTCCGTGCTCGAGGCCCTCACCGGCACGCCGTTCCCCCGCGATGCTGGCGCCTGCACCAGATTCGCCACGGAGATTCGTATGAGGAGGGCCAAGGACGAGATGCTCAGCGTGTCGATCATACCTGATAAGAATAGGCCGTATAACGAGCAGCAGCGGCTTAAGCAGTTTGGCGGCACTGTTAACCAGAATACGCCCTTCGATGCTATGATGCGGGATGCTGCGGAGCTCGTTGCGCCGCGGAATATTCCTGGGAGGTTCGCCGCCAGGGATATACTCGTCGTTGATAAGAGAGGTCCGGATATGCCGCTCCTTACACTCGTCGACCTTCCCGGTCTTGTCCGCGTTGCCAACCGGGACCAGTCGGAGGCCGATATCCAGACGATCGAGGCCCTCTCTGACAGGTACATGAAGAGCTCGCGGACCATTATCCTTGCCGTCATCGGCGGAAACAACGACTACGTCCAAGCGCCTATTCTCAAGAAGGCCCGCCAGTTCGACCCCTCGGGATCCCGCACGATCGGTGTGCTCACCAAGCCCGACCTCACCGAGAAGATTGGTCTGGAGGACAAGTTCATCGGCCTCGTTACCAACAAAGACAAAGAGAACCACTTCAAGCTCGGCTGGTACGTCCTGCTAAATCCGGGACCCCCCAGCCCCGGCGAAGAATGGCCCACGCCCGACCAGCGCAAGATGCGTGAAGACGCCTTCTTCAGCGCGGGGAAATGGAGCACCCTCCCACCCAACATGTGCGGCGTCGGTCCCCTGCGCGAGAAACTCAGCATCCAACTCCAAAGACACATCGGCCGGCACGTCAACACTCTCCGGAAACAGATCCAAGACGCACACGCGCGCTGCGAAGCCGAGCTCAAGGCCCTAGGCGTCGGCAAGGACACGGTCGAGGAGATGCGCTTCCAGATGGGCGAGCTGTTCTCCGCCTGCAACAACCTCGTCACGGCCTCCGTCAACGGCAACTACAAGAACCCGCCGGGAGAAAAGTTCTTCCCCAAGGCCGCCACGCGCAAAGGGACGCCGGGTCAGAAGCTCCGCGCTCGTGTCCGCGAGGAGAGTGAGCGCTTTTCGAAACGCTTCAGGGATTCCGGAAGGAAGGTCGGCTTCTCTGAGACCGAGCAACCTATCCTACCCAGCGGCATGATGGGAAACCGCTCCAAGGCGGACTTCACTAAGCGCGAGGTCGAGCCGCTGCTGAGGCAGATCCGGGGTACCGAGTTGCCCATGGACTCGAACCCCCGCGCTCCATACATCCTGTTCCAGGATTACTCGGAGAATTGGCCCGTTCTTGCGCAGGAGTACAGGGATAACGTCGGCGTCATCTGCAACGAGTTCCTCGCTGAGGTGATCGAGTACGTGTGGCCGATGCGCATGCGGGATCCCCTGCGCGCACACTTCTTAGAACCGAATATGAGCGAGCTAGTGCAGTTTGCGGATAAGGAGCTTGCGAGGCTTATTGATGATATGGAGCTTGAGGTGCAGCCTTTTGATCCAGAGTATGAGGAGAGGCTTCGCGCTTGGCGTGTCAAGGCTGCTGAGAATGGCTCCACGTACACAGAGGCTGAGGAAGTTCTCGAAAAGATGTTGATCTACTACGATGTAAGTTGACTTCTTCCATATCCAACAACCTTCTTTTATTATCTGTATAGACTAACATAATTCACAGCTCACCGCCCGCATCTTCATCCGCAACGTCATCACCCAAGTCGTCGAACGCCACCTCCTCCTCGGCATGCTCCGCCTCTTCAACCCCCTCCAAATCCTCAAGATGGAAAACCAGGTAGTAGAAGGCATAGCCGCCGAGGACAAGCTGACGCGCGACCGGCGCCTCGCCCTCAAGGAGCAGAAGAAGGCCATCGAGGAGGCCAAGAGCCTCTGCGCCAGCCTTGCCATGCGCAGCGAGCTCCGCGGGTTCGACGGGAATCTAGAGGATGAGGGCCAGGAGTCCGAAGATGAGGAGGATACGAGGAGGTATTCTAATACGTCGTCGGCGGCTGTGGCTGCGGCGGCGGCGGCGTATCAGAGGGCGAAGACGCAGGAGAGTGTGCCGTTGCAGAGGGAGCCGAGGGGGTATGCGCTTGATTCGAGGCAGGTGAATGGGAACTATTCTCAGCAGCAGCAGCAACAGCCCCAGGCGCAACAGTATCAGCAACAACAACAGCAACAGCAGAGACCGCCGTCCCAGCAGTCACAGCAGCAGCAGCAGCCTCCCATCCAGACAAGGGGACAGAACCTCTCCCGTGCTGATTCCCAACGCATGTCCTCCGAGTGGGCCCAGAACTACTACTCCACCTCCGGAGACCACAATGCCGCTCCTCAGGCTCCCGTCTCGGCACCTCCCCCGCCTCCTAGGCCCCCCAAGGCCGACGACGACGACAGATACCCCGATACGCCTCGATCTTCGTACCAGGGGCACTCGCCTTCGAGGCATGAGTCTAAGCGCGAAAGCACCAGGCATAGGCTTAACATTTTAGGACGATGAATGGGGCTTTGATTGATGCGCTGTGGGACGGGCGGATACTTTCCTTTCTTTTGATTTCCTTAGATGAGCTTGTATAAGAGTCTTACTAGTTTCCCAGTTTTGGCGTTTCTTGGTATCCGTTTGATGGGCTTGAGATATGGATGAACAACAAGCATGATTATACTTTATACTAGATAGCTACAATTGAAACGAAAATGACCAAAGTCCTCGGTTCCAAAATAACCAACTGCTGCTGATGGCGTATATCTTCTTGATTCTTTTTCATGTACCTTTTGTCTCTAGCACAGAGATATCCTAAAAGAAAAATGACACAGAAAACCCTAGTCTATATACATCCAAACCCTCCTCTCACCATTTTCTCCACTCTTCCCTTTTCCATCGTTTCTTTTTCTTACTCCTTCTCGACGTTACCATCCGCCTCCCTAACCTCGAAACACCACCCAAACTTATCCTCGACTTTGCCAACCTGAATACCCTTAAGCTGGCCCAAAAGCTTCAAGCAAATAGGTCCGGCATCTTCCTGGCTGTCGGGGATGTAAGTGACGGTCTCGGTGTTGTCGCCAAGGGAAAGACGCTCGTGGCTCTTGACGGTGGAGGCGAGGGAGAGGGGTTGAGAAGCGGAAATGTTGCGGGTGATAGAGCGGATGGGAACGAGGCCGGCGGCGGTTCCGGCGGCCATGACTTCGGAGAAAGAGGGGAGTTCGGCGTACTTGATCTGTGTAGAGCGCCAGCGAAGGGGCTTATTAGAATATTATCCTGGGATGTGAGATGCGTTGGAAGTGTACTTACCGCTCGCTTCTCCACGTTCCAGCCCAAGCTACGAGCAATCTGCTGCACGCTATCGCTCGTAACACTATCAATAACAGCCTTGGAGTCCGGCACAACAATCGTGACCTTGTCGCCATCTACCAGAGCGCCAACGAAGCCGCTTGTGCTAAACTCATCTACCTCATCATGCTTGGCACTATCCAAGTGTAAGGTAATATTATACCCCTCATCCCTCGCCTTGTCAGTCCACCTCAACACAGGCGCATAGTTACCGCCAACCTTTGCATTACCCGTTCCATTCGGCGCAGCCCTATCAAACTCATCCAAGATCAAACACTTGACGGGATGAACGCCATGGTAAACGCCCGTCGGCACGACATAGACCAAGAACATGTACTCATCAGGAGGGTTCAGACCCAGCTGGGCACTCGAGCCGTAAATTTGAGGACGAACATACATAGCGGCGCCGGTCTCATGGGGCGGGACGAACTCTGCGTTGAGGGCCACGGCGGCTCGGCAGGCGGCCACGAATAGGTCTTCGGGGACGGCGGGCATGGAGGCCACAGCGGCGGAGTGCTGCATGCGCAGGGCGTTACGATTGGGGCGGAAGATTTGGATGGCGGCGTCGCCGGGGGTCCGGAAGGCTTTGAGACCCTCGTAGGCTTGTTGGCCGTAGTTGAGGGCCGGGGACATGCCATGGATGCGGATGAAGGGGTCGCGGACGAATTTGGGGGGCGTCCATTGACCAGTTTTCTTGGACCAGTGGGATTCGATGTGGCCGTTGACTGTTGAAGGGAGTGGTTAATGAGACGAGGGTTTCCTGAGTTGGTTGGGTTGGGAGAAGGGAGAGGCGAATGGGGTTGGGACTTGGGTTAGCGTTTACCTTCACGGATCTTGAAGCCAACATTGGCCCAGTCGATGCTGGTAGTAGCAGGAGGAGGGAAAGCGGCCATTTTCGAGGAGGGTTATGTCTCAACGCTTCAGAGGAGATGATGGGAAACGGAGAGGAAGAGGTAGGTTATATTGGACAGAGAGAAAGGAGGAGGAGGAGGAGAATTGAGATGTCGGGGTTAGGTTCCGCGTTGAGTCAAGGTCGAGCTCGAGGGTGGAGAAAGTTCAAGTTCGGACTTCAGCTTGGGAGCAGGCGAGTATCAGACGGACCCGAAGGCACAACGGGAACCAACAGAAAGCTTTAGCTTCAGCTTATCTCGCCTGAGTGTCCCTAATAGTTGGAGAAAGGGTGACCAATGGCTTGGGTCAGCTTATTCCCGTTATTATTTATTCTTATTTTCAATATTTAATTGTGTATTTTAAAACGACTTGTACGCTCCCTCTCTCTGACATCGCATGGTTGTGGTGTGAAATCCGAGAAATGCGACTGGCCCGATGTCGGACTTGAGGATGTGGGCTGCTGCTATTGCTAGGTTTTGTCCGGTTGTGGGTTGCCCCTCCCCCGCATTTTATTTTCTTTTTGTATTTTTGTATCTTGTATCTTGTATTTTATACCTTGTCGAGCTTGACTCACCGAGTGGATGGAACGGGGTGGTGATGGTTGACGGTAATCTAGATACAAGCAAGACATGGCATCCCTCCTCGACGCAGCAACCTGAGCTAGACAGTCTTCAGTCCCTCTAGTCTTGAAATATTTGGAAGGGGCTGGAGAGTTGGTGTTCAGACATTTCTAATCAAATGCTCATTTCTTTCAGGTGTGGAAGGCAAAGAGGCAGAGTCTCGTCATCAAAACAGAAGTGAAAACAGAAAGCGGCTGATTGAAGGCAGACTGTAGCTGCCACTTGAACCTTCATCTGAAGAGCTCTTTCCCTGGAGTCGCCCTTGATCCAGTTGGGTCTTCCTCATGCAAAAGCGCAAGCGCTGGTGCAGGTGAGCATGTGAACTTACACATAGCAGACAATATAGAAGGAGTCCCTGATAGACATAGGACAGGAAGGGGAGGGTGGGGTGGGGGTTAGCATCAAGTATGTCTACTATTGTTGAGCTACAGACCAGATAGACCAGACAGACCATCCTCTTCTCTCCTTCTTCTTTTCCCAGCTTTCCTCGACTTCCATCGAAAGAAGCACTCAAGCTTTCTAAGCAGGCCCTCCATCATCATTTGCGATCTTCAACCATTCCTTGCCTCGACTTCAAATCGAGAGAGGCGAACACTCCTCAAACCGTTGCCAAGGCACTGATGCCGACCCTTGACTCGACTTCCAATGAGAGAAGTACTCCTATCTCACCAGAGCCAGCCCCAGAACGAAGGTATGTAGGTCGATTCAAGTATTGCTGACGAAAAGATTAACAAGATATTAGGGATATAAAAGGAAAACTGCGGGGTTGAAGGAGCCCAAACGAGGAGCCAGGTCCTCTTAATATCAACAGGATTAATTACGCAGGTCGTCCGAGGTATTCTTCGAGATAGCTTCGTCCCCTACCTCATTCATGGCCTCTGTTATAGGGGTGGACAGGGTTCTATCATGTGCACGACGTTGTACTGAAGGAGGCTGCCTGGAGAATGGAAATGTAAGCTGGAGAGGGATGACTTAGAGAACCTCAAGATACCTCGGGATGCCTCGAGTGGGTATGTAGTCGAGAGATGTGCTGAGCATCCTCAAAGATGCGACGAAATCACCAATCTTTGCAAATCTCAAGCACAAAGCCAAATCACCCAGAAGGCACCAGTTGAGAATGTTGAATTGTTCCTTTAACTATACGACAGTTGACGTAACGTCCATGGCCTCATGAAATGAATCGAACCAGACTCCAGAACTCCCCATCATTTAACAGGACCCTAGTTCCTCCAAAACCTTCATGGCCTTCCATCGTACGTCACATATATAACCACCCAAAGGCAGTCAGTCAATCTCCCCACTCAGCCATGAACGTTGGGCATCTCGACGTAGGTGCCATTCTCCTCATCATAAACCCAAGCCGAGAGACGGTCCTGTCGGACAACGTACCGAGTGTGGAGAGCTTCGGTCTTGCCGTCGAGGTGGCATTGGCATTTGATGTGAATCCATGTAGTTCCGAATCGACTCTCCGCTTTGATCGAGTAGACGTGGGTCTCTCGTCGCTACGACGCCAAGGCCATGACCATTTCCCTATGTTAGCTAGACTTCTCTTCCAATATAGAAACTGTACAGAAAGGGATAAATGAAGAAGGTGGAAGTGGGGGAAGGAGACTATAAATCTTGTAGACATCCCCAGGATGGATGGGAACGTACCGTCGAAATGGTGCAGTAAATGTCAGCCAAGATGGTGAACAGAGTCGCCATAAGCAGAAAGCAGAGAAACCAGATAATTTGCTCCATCCTGTCACTCGGAACTTGCTTCCAGCTTCGTAACGAGTCAATAGAGGTAGAAATGGATCGAAGGGCGCGACGAGTCTATCTACTAAGTTCCATCGAGAATTGACGTGTCAGTTTAAAGCATTCCTCATTCCCCCGTACTTGATATTGACGGCTAGGGTCAAACCTGTACGTGCTTGTTGTTACGGTTTGCTGAAACAGCTAACCTTGATGCGGAGCGACACTCTAGACGAGCTCGATCCGGGTTGGTTTGGTCTACGGTTCGAGTAGAGGTCAAGAACTAGAGTCCTTCTTCTCCATGGTAGAATGAGGGGGAACAAACAAACAGGCGAGTGCTGCAATGTGGCCACCAGAGGAAAATAGCAACGGTTCGACGGCTGGATGGCTATCGTGTGCTAACCTGCCCTTGGTGGGCATGAGAGATGTGAGAAGGACCATCCGGCCAGACTTGGGCTATGATACCCAACTTAGTTGGGTTGGATTCATGAACTGACCACCATCAACATGAACTCCTGCAATAGTGTCAGAAGGCTTCACGTACATATGTAAAAACAACATATTAAATCACGGAATCATCACAGAGTTAGGACATCACCGGCTCAAAGGCACATTGAGTAAACAGTCAAAAGAGACATCATGATTTAGGACAAACAAAAGAAAAAGGAGAGAAAAAAAAGGAAAGTAATATTCGAGGAGAATGGAAACTTGCTTGCGCCAACTTCGGCATGCAGGCTGGTATCAAGACAAATCCATAGTGTCCATGATGATGAGAGAGTTAAAAAGAAGCTTCCATGTTGGAACATTTTAATTTCAACTGGACCCCAAGTGTAAATCCAGCCTCACGAACACCGACCACCTCCCTGAACCCGGAGAAAACCACGCAATGGGGAAAATAAAACGAAAGGAAAAGGAAAGGAAAACAATCCATGCCATTTCATACTCGAATTTGACTTTTCTTTCCTCGTTCGTTATCAGGACATTTCCGTTGCATTCCTCATTTCAAAACTGGACGCGGCCTGAAAAGAAGAAAAAAAAAAGTCGAGTTCATGTCCACGTAGAGAGGATCAATCGATTACTGTAGCAGACCAGGTTAGCCTAACGCCCAACTCAACGCAAGCCCCAGGAAAACTTCTAGGGCAGACGTACCTGCGGACCCGGGGGGCCGGGAGGGACGGGAGGACCCTGAAGGGGTCCAGGAGGACCTTGGGGAGGACCCTGGGGTCCCTGGGGTCCCTGAGGGCTCATGCCAGGACCGCCGAACTGGTGGCCGCCATAGGGGCCATGGTTCGGTCCCATTCCCATGTAGTGAGGAGGCGGGGGGGCAGGGCGGTAGGGAGTTCCGACACCCGAGTTGTTCTGGGATCGACCCCAGCTGAGGCGGACACGAGAGTTACCAATGGGGTAGCCCTGCATCTGGTTGATGGCCATCTCAGCAGCATGGCGGTGGACGAACTGGACGAAACCGCAGCCTTTGCCAGGAGGAATCTTGACATAAGTAATCTCACCGAAGCCCTGGAAGAAGGATCGGAGTTCGTCCTCGGTCACGTAGCCCGAAAGTCCGCCAACGAAGACAGTGGTGTTGTTGGGGTCGGTGAATTGGTTCATCTGAGTAGCAGGGTTGAATGCGCCGCCACCGCCATAGGGAGGGGCGAAGGGACCAGGCCACATGTGCTGTTGAGGAACGTTGTTCATCATTGAAGGGGGAGCATGGTGACCGGGGAAGCCGTGGGATCTAGAAAAATCGTTAGCATGGCCATCAGGTGAAGTCAGTGGGAGGGCATCGCGGATGGTTATACTCGAAACTTACCGGTTCTTGGGTGTGGCAGTAGAGATACGCATGGGGCGGCTGCCGCAGTAGACACCCTGCATCTCAACCAGAGCTCGCTGCTGGTCAGTTTCGTCGGAGAATCGAACGAAACCGTATCCTCGGCTTTGGCCAGACACAGCGTCTGTCATAATCTTGGCCGACTTGCAGCTGGGGAATCTAGCTTGAAAGAGTGCGACCAAGACATACTCGTTGACCTCAGGGCCAAGGTCTCCGACGAAGATGGAGTACTCGGGACCACGGTCATCGCTAAATAGAACATGTTAGGCAAAAAGCACACGCCTCCAAGATGAGGTCAACACAACTTACCGACGATCGACTAGTCCGCCACCGGAAGCCCAGTTCAACTTGAAGACGCGGGTCGAATTGGGGATAGCAGATCCGTTAAGGGCAAGAGCAGACGTAGCGGCTTCATTGTTTGGGAACTCAACAAAGCAGTAGCCGGCACTTCTAAGCGAAAATCATTAGATGAGATTGAGGCCGGGACATAGTTACCAGACGGACTTACCCCGAGTTCTTGTCGCGAATAACCTTGACGTTGACCGTTTGGTCGGAGCAGGTACGGAACACACCCTTAATGAAGTTCTCATCCATCCAAGGTTCGAGTTCACCCATCCTATAGGGCAGAAAAGTAAGTATGCATGTTGCGGCAAGGGTATCATAGACAGTCACAGAAAAGAACGTACCAGAGAGTATTCTTGGCGGACTCGCTAGGGCCCGAGCCGAGAGGCTGGATCTCGCCGCCAGGGGCGGCAGCAGGGGCAGTAGCAGGGAAACTCATTTTGTACGAATTTCAACTGCACAAGAAAGGTGTTAGCTT